AGAGCAGTGCTCTTGTTTGTGGGTTTAGCCAAAGTGACAAGTCGATGACTGTCGTTTTTTGGGGGGTCTTTTCCCCACACGCCGTGAAATAAAAGCTGAAAAAGTGTTCAAAACGGCGTTAGAACCCAACTCATTCTTTTGTCCTGATTGTGTTTCTAGGTTTGTCAGAGCAGTGCTCTTGTTTGTGGGTTTAGCCAAAGTGACAAGTCGATGACTGTCGTTTTTGGGGGGTCTTTTCCCCCACACGCCGTGAAATAAAAGCTGAAAAAGTGTTCAAAACGGCGTTAGAACCCAACTCATTCTTTTGTCCTGATTGTGTTTCTAGGTTTGTCAGAGCAGTGCTCTTGTTTGTGGGTTTAGCCAAAGTGACAAGTCGATGACTGTCGTTTTTTGGGGGTCTTTTCCCCACACGCCGTGAAATAAAAGCTGAAAAAGTGTTCAAAACGGCGTTAGAACCCAACTCATTCTTTTGTCCTGATTGTGTTTCTAGGTTTGTCAGAGCAGTGCTCTTGTTTGTGGGTTTAGCCAAAGTGACAAGTCGATGACTGTCGTTTTTTGGGGGGTCTTTTCCCCCACACGCCGTGAAATAAAAGCTGAAAAAGTGTTCAAAACGGCGTTAGAACCCAACTCACTTCTTTTGTCCTGATTGTGTTTCTAGGTTTGTCAGAGCAGTGCTCTTGTTTGTGGGTTTAGCCAAAGTGACAAGTCGATGACTGTCGTTTTTTGGGGGTCTTTTCCCCCACACGCCGTGAAATAAAAGCTGAAAAGTGTTCAAAACGGCGTTAGAACCCAACTCATTCTTTTGTCCTGATTGTGTTTCTAGTTTGTCAGAGCAGTGCTCTTGTTTGTGGGTTTAGCCAAAGTGACAAGTCGATGACTGTCGTTATTGGGGGGTCTTTTCCCCCACACGCCGTGAAATAAAAGCTGAAAAAGTGTTCAAAACGGCGTTAGAACCCAACTCATTCTTTTGTCCTGATTGTGTTTCTAGGTTTGTCAGAGCAGTGCTCTTGTTTGTGGGTTTAGCCAAAGTGACAAGTCGATGACTGTCGTCTTTTGGGGGGTCTTTTCCCCCACACGCCGTGAAATAAAAGCTGAAAAAGTGTTCAAAACGGCGTTAGAACCCAACTCATTCTTTTGTCCTGATTGTGTTTCTAGGTTTGTCAGAGCAGTGCTCTTGTTTGTGGGTTTAGCCAAAGTGACAAGTCGATGACTGTCGTTTTTGGGGGGTCTTTTCCCCCACACGCCGTGAAATAAAAGCTGAAAAAGTGTTCAAAACGGCGTTAGAACCCAACTCATTCTTTTGTCCTGATTGTGTTTCTAGGTTTGTCAGAGCAGTGCTCTTGTTTGTGGGTTTAGCCAAAGTGACAAGTCGATGACTGTCGTTTTTGGGGGGTCTTTTCCCCCACACGCCGTGAAATAAAAGCTGAAAAAGTGTTCAAAACGGCGTTAGAACCCAACTCATTCTTTTGTCCTGATTGTGTTTCTAGGTTTGTCAGAGCAGTGCTCTTGTTTGTGGGTTTAGCCAAAGTGACAAGTCGATGACTGTCGTTTTTGGGGGGTCTTTTCCCCCACACGCCGTGAAATAAAAGCTGAAAAAGTGTTGCAAAACGGCGTTAGAACCCAACTCATTCTTTTGTCCTGATTGTGTTTCTAGGTTTGTCAGAGCAGTGCTCTTGTTTGTGGGTTTAGCCAAAGTGACAAGTCGATGACTGTCGTTTTTGGGGGGTCTTTTCCCCCACACGCCGTGAAATAAAAGCTGAAAAAGTGTTCAAAACGGCGTTAGAACCCAACTCATTCTTTTGTCCTGATTGTGTTTCTAGGTTTGTCAGAGCAGTGCTCTTGTTTGTGGGTTTAGCCAAAGTGACAAGTCGATGACTGTCGTTTTTGGGGGTCTTTTCCCCCACACGCCGTGAAATAAAAGCTGAAAAAGTGTTCAAAACGGCGTTAGAACCCAACTCATTCTTTTGTCCTGATTGTGTTTCTAGGTTTGTCAGAGCAGTGCTCTTGTTTGTGGGTTTAGCCAAGTGACAAGTCGATGACTGTCGTTTTTTGGGGGTCTTTTCCCCCACACGCCGTGAAATAAAAGCTGAAAAATGTGTTCAAAACGGCGTTAGATCCAACTCATTCTTTTGTCCTGATTGTGTTTCTAGGTTTGTCAGAGCAGTGCTCTTGTTTGTGGGTTTAGCCAAAGTGACAAGTCGATGACTGTCGTTTTGGGGGGGTCTTTTCCCCCACACGCCGTGAAATAAAAGCTGAAAAAGTGTTCAAAACGGGCGTTAGAACCCAACTCATTCTTTTGTCCTGATTGTGTTTCTAGGTTTGTCAGAGCAGTGCTCTTGTTTGTGGGTTTAGCCAAAGTGACAAGTCGATGACTGTCGTTTTTGGGGGGTCTTTTCCCCCCACACGCCGTGAAATAAAAGCTGAAAAAGTGTTCAAAACGGCGTTAGAACCCAACTCATTCTTTTGTCCTGATTGTGTTTCTAGGTTTGTCAGAGCAGTGCTCTTGTTTGTGGGTTTAGCCAAAGTGACAAGTCGATGACTGTCGTTTTTGGGGGGTCTTTTCCCCCACACGCCGTGAAATAAAAGCTGAAAAAGTGTTCAAAACGGCGTTAGAACCCAACTCATTCTTTTGTCCTGATTGTGTTTCTAGGTTTGTCAGAGCAGTGCTCTTGTTTGTGGGTTTAGCCAAAGTGACAAGTCGATGACTGTCGTTTTTGGGGGGTCTTTTCCCCCACACGCCGTGAAATAAAAGCTGAAAAAGTGTTCAAAACGGCGTTAGAAACCCAACTCATTCTTTTGTCCTGATTGTGTTTCTAGGTTTGTCAGAGCAGTGCTCTTGTTTGTGGGTTTTAGCCAAAGTGACAAGTCGATGACTGTCGTTTTTGGGGGGGTCTTTTCCCCCACACGCCGTGAAATAAAAGCTGAAAAAGTGTTCAAAACGGCGTTAGAACCCAACTCATTCTTTTGTCCTGATTGTGTTTCTAGGTTTGTCAGAGCAGTGCTCTTGTTTGTGGGTTTAGCCAAAGTGACAAGTCGATGACTGTCGTTTTTGGGGGGGTCTTTTCCCCCACACGCCGTGAAATAAAAGCTGAAAAAGTGTTCAAAACGGCGTTAGAACCCAACTCACTCTTTTGTCCTGATTGTGTTTCTAGGTTTGTCAGAGCAGTGCTCTTGTTTGTGGGTTTAGCCAAAGTGACAAGTCGATGACTGTCGTTTTTTGGGGGTCTTTTCCCCCACACGCCGTGAAATAAAAGCTGAAAAAGTGTTCAAAACGGCGTTAGAACCCAACTCATTCTTTTGTCCTGATTGTGTTTCTAGGTTTGTCAGAGCAGTGCTCTTGTTTGTGGGTTTAGCCAAAGTGACAAGTCGATGACTGTCGTTTTTGGGGGGTCTTTTCCCCCACACGCCGTGAAATAAAAGCTGAAAAAGTGTTCAAAACGGCGTTAGAACCCAACTCATTCTTTTGTCCTGATTGTGTTTCTAGGTTTGTCAGAGCAGTGCTCTTGTTTGTGGGTTTTAGCCAAAGTGACAAGTCGATGACTGTCGTTTTTTGGGGGGTCTTTTCCCCCACACGCCGTGAAATAAAAGCTGAAAAAGTGTTCAAAACGGCGTTAGAACCCAACTCATTCTTTTGTCCTGATTGTGTTTCTAGGTTTGTCAGAGCAGTGCTCTTGTTTGTGGGTTTAGCCAAAGTGACAAGTCGATGACTGTCGTTTTTGGGGGGTCTTTTCCCCCACACGCCGTGAAATAAAAGCTGAAAAAGTGTTCAAAACGGCGTTAGAACCCAACTCATTCTTTTGTCCTGATTGTGTTTCTAGGTTTGTCAGAGCAGTGCTCTTGTTTGTGGGTTTAGCCAAAGTGACAAGTCGATGACTGTCGTTTTGGGGGGGTCTTTTCCCCCACACGCCGTGAAATAAAAGCTGAAAAAGTGTTCAAAACGGCGTTAGAACCCAACTCACTCTTTTGTCCTGATTGTGTTTCTAGGTTTGTCAGAGCAGTGCTCTTGTTTGTGGGTTTAGCCAAAGTGACAAGTCGATGACTGTCGTTTTTTGGGGGTCTTTTCCCCCACACGCCGTGAAATAAAAGCTGAAAAAGTGTTCAAAACGGCGTTAGAACCCAACTCATTCTTTTGTCCTGATTGTGTTTCTAGGTTTGTCAGAGCAGTGCTCTTGTTTGTGGGTTTAGCCAAAGTGACAAGTCGATGACTGTCGTTTTTGGGGGGTCTTTTCCCCCACACGCCGTGAAATAAAAGCTGAAAAAGTGTTCAAAACGGCGTTAGAACCCAACTCATTCTTTTGTCCTGATTGTGTTTCTAGGTTTGTCAGAGCAGTGCTCTTGTTTGTGGGTTTAGCCAAAGTGACAAGTCGATGACTGTCGTTTTTGGGGGGTCTTTTCCCCCACACGCCGTGAAATAAAAGCTGAAAAAGTGTTCAAAACGGCGTTAGAACCCAACTCATTCTTTTGTCCTGATTGTGTTTCTAGGTTTGTCAGAGCAGTGCTCTTGTTTGTGGGTTTAGCCAAAGTGACAAGTCGATGACTGTCGTTTTTGGGGGGTCTTTTCCCCCACACGCCGTGAAATAAAAGCTGAAAAAGTGTTCAAAACGGCGTTAGAACCCAACTCATTCTTTTGTCCTGATTGTGTTTCTAGGTTTGTCAGAGCAGTGCTCTTGTTTGTGGGTTTAGCCAAAGTGACAAGTCGATGACTGTCGTTTTTGGGGGGTCTTTTCCCCCACACGCCGTGAAATAAAAGCTGAAAAAGTGTTCAAAACGGCGTTAGAACCCAACTCATTCTTTTGTCCTGATTGTGTTTCTAGGTTTGTCAGAGCAGTGCTCTTGTTTGTGGGTTTAGCCAAAGTGACAAGTCGATGACTGTCGTTTTTGGGGGGTCTTTTCCCCCACACGCCGTGAAATAAAAGCTGAAAAAGTGTTCAAAACGGCGTTAGAACCCAACTCATTCACTAACTTGGCTGACCTAATCATGTGATTTATTTTATTTAAAGATAATCCACCAACCTACCGAGAATGCTAGTTCCATCGCCCTCACGTTCTTTGAGCTTCAGGCAGATAGTTACAAAATTCGGGTGAGTTCTGCTCTTGAATTGTAATGTAAAGGTGATATTTATATGTCATTGTATGTGTTGGAGGAGCCTCCCGCATTAAACTGACACGCCGTGATATCACTGGAATACTGTCTAAAGCCGCCTTAAACCCAACTCACTCACTGTTGGTTAAATCGTTGGCTCATTACTCCGAAGACCAGGTTCGATTCCTGATATGGGTACAATTTGTGAAGCCCATTTCTGGAATATTGCGACAAGCGGTACAAAACCCTATTCACTCATTCACCAGCATACTGTTGAAAGCGGCGTAGGGTCTAGTGGTTAAAGCTTTTACTCGTCCTACCGAAGACCCGGGTTCGATTCCCGATATGGGTACAATGAGTGAAGCCCATTTCTGGTGTCCCTGCCGTGATATTGCTGAAATATTGCTAAAAGCGGCGTAAAACCACACTCACTTACTCACAGCCACTTTATCAATTATCTGAGGCGCATGTAAAATCTCTTAGTCGACTTCCTTTTCCTTGAAAACAGCCACCCACCTCTTTCGTTTTATTAAACGTTTCACAGCCTGCAAACTAATTACCGTACGTTTGTTTGTTGTTTAACGCCGCACTCAGTAATATTCCAGCTATATGAAAGCGGTCTGTAAGTACTCGAGTCTGGACCAGACAATTCAGTGATTGATATTATGAGCATCGAACCACGCAATTTGGGATACGATGACATGTATCAACCAGGTCAGCGAGCATGACCACCCTATCCCGTTCGTCGGCTCTTACGACAAGCATAGTCGCCTTTTACGGCGAGCATTGGTTGCTGAAGACGTATTCTACCCCGCGTCTTCACGGGTGGTGGGGGGTGGCCTAGTGGCCAAAGCAGTGGCGCGTCTCGACGAAGACCCTAGTTCAGTCCCCAAAATGGGAACAAAATCTGCAGCCCATTCTTTGTGTCCACTGCCGTAACGTGTCTCAAAAAATGCTAGAAGCGGCGTAAAAATCCACTGTCTGACTCCTACCAAGATTAAGTGACCTTTTTTCTGAAAACTTGACATACGTTCTGCAGATACAACCGAAAGACTCCTACAGGTGGACGCGTGGTCGATGCCTGTGTTATCAGAAGACATCAAACACGTCCAGGCGCTGCTTCCCCTGTCTAACCACGGAGACTGACTGGATTAATGTAACGCAACACGGTAGGTAGAAACCCTTATATCATTTAACTAAAGCATTTATCCATGACATAAGCTTATGACATAAAAACATGTATGTCATACCCCAATGACATAAGTATGCAAATTAGATATGCAAATTAGATAACCGGAAGTGGGACTTTTTTCGCCGGTGCAACATGGATACCTTTGATGTTGGAGACATTATTTCAATTATTCTGCAAAAGTCTGTTCAAGTATTTTGTTTAAAATAATCCGAGGAACTTTTTTTCTCAGCGAAGGAATATGCCATAAAGGAGTTAGGAGGTTGTTTATTTTGGTTTACACGGCTATGGAAAACATGTATCACTACGCACGATCTATACGTAAGATTTCGACAAGTTGCTGATGTTAATGTTTAATGCAATTATTCCTTAATTGGGAAGCAAAAATGTGAAAATGATAAATAGAATTCATCACTCGTGGTTTTTTAATATGGGAAATATCAACCTCGTCCCGTTAATTGGTATTTTCCTCGCCAAAGGCTCGGCAAATACCGATTAACTAAGACTCGGTTGATATTTCCCATATTAAAAAACACTCGTGATGAATCCTCTATATATCAGCTGGCGTATGAAGCTACTAATGCTTTATTTCACCTGATATGTGACTTTCTCCAAAACAGTAGGGTCGGTGATGGAAACCAAACGTACACATTAACTTCCCTTCTTTTATAAACCTCTGTGTTGGCACTGCCATTGCACCAAACTATTCTCAGTAAGACCTGGGATAAAGTTCTACTTTTTCACTTTTTCCAAGTAAGACCTCATCCCTGCTGAGGTTTTGGACTTAAATGTTTCAAACGTGCAATGTTCTAACATCGAAGACAAGAATGGAAACACTTTCATAAAGGATGCCGGGAATCGAAACCACAACTTCCTGATCAGTCAATGAGTTCGATTAACGCCGCTTATAACAGTATTCAAATTATATCACGGCGTGTCAGCTTCATGTGGGTAGACAGCCCGAAGTGGTGCAGGTTTCAGACGTTTACCAACTTGGCGAAACCCACGAGCACTCCTGATCTGTTGTCAGGCACTCTAACCATTAGACCATGGAACTGGTTGAAAACCGGTGGTTCACGAGAAGGTACAATGTTCAGGTTATAAATCTTTACTGGCCAGATATATATTACGATCGTTTCTTTGGACTGCCGGAACACACACGTTTATACGTCATATTAACAAAATATTAATGAATGTTGTTTCGACGGCATAACAACAGTATAGGTAGGCTCGTCCATTCTAGGAAATGAGGATATCCCTCATATACACTTCTCACTATCCCCATCCATCCTTCTCACTATCCCCATCCATCCTTCTCACTATCCCCATTCATCCATCTGACTATCCCCCTCCATCCTTCTCACTTGCCCTTTTCGTCTTCTCACTATCCGTCAATCCTTCTCAATACCCCCCTCAATCCATCTGACTAACCCAATGCATCCTTCTCACTATTAGTGTCCATTTTTTCCATTACCCCCCTTCATCCTTCTTACCCACCCGGTTCATCCTTCTCACTTTCACTGTTCATCCTTCTCTCCGTTCCTGTTCATCCTTCTCACTATCTCTGTCCATCCTTCTCTCCGTCACTGTTCATCCTTCTCACTATCCCTGTTCATCCTTCTCTCCATCCAGGTTCATCCTTCTCATTATCCCTGTTCATCCTTCTCTCCATCCAGGTTCATCCTTCTCATTATCCCTGTCCATCCTTCTCACTATCCCTGTCCATCCTTCTCTCCATCCCGGTTCATCCTTCTCACTATCCCTGTCAATCCTTCTCTCCGTCCCTGTCCATCATTCTCACTATCCCTATCCATCCTTCTCTCCATCCCTGTTCATCTTCTCACTATCCCTGTCCATCCTCACTATCCCTGGTCATCTTCTATCCCTATCCATCCTTCTCAATATCCCTGTCCATCCTTCTCTCCATCCCGGTTCATCCTTCTCACTATCCCTGTCCATCCTTCTCTCCATCCCGGTTCATCCTTCTCACTATCACTGTTCATCCTTCTCTCCATCCCTGTTTATCCTTCTCACTATCCCTGTCCATCCTTCTCTACGTCCCTGTCCATCATTCTCACTATCCCTATCCATCCTTCTCACTATCCCTGCCCATCCCCACTATCCCTGTTAATCTTCTATCCCTATCCATCCTTCTCACTATTCCTGTACATCCTTCTCTCCGTGCCTGTTCATCCTTCTCACTATCCCTGTTCATCTTCTCACTATCCCTGTCCATCATTCTCACTATCCCTATCAATCCTTCTCACTATCCCTGCCCATCCCCCTATCCCTGTTCATCTTCTATCCCTATCCATCCTTCTCACTATTCCTGTACATCCTTCTCTCCGTGCCTGTTCATCCTTCTCACTATCCCTGTTCATCTTCTCGCTATCCCTGTCCATCCTTCTCACTATCCCTGTTCATCCTTCTCACTATCCCTGTTCATCTTCTCGCTATTCCGTTCCATCCTTCTCGCTAGTCCCTGTTCATCTTCTCACTATCCCTGTTGATCCTTCTCGCTAATCCCTGTTCATCTTCTCACTATCCCTGTTGATTCTTCTCACTATTCCCATCAATCCTTCTCGCTAATCCCTGTTCATCTTCTCACTATCCCTGTTGATCCTTCTCACTATCCCAGTTCATACTTTTCACTGTCACTGTTCATCCATCTCACTCCCAATATCAATATTTCTCACTATCCCCATACATCCCTGTTCTGTGTTCAACAGAGGATGCCTCATCCGCACCATCGACATCTCCAGTAGCGACAGACACCCTCGCTACCTCACAAGATTCAGGGGTGGTGGAGTCAAGTTAGTATTCCTGGTTGAGTATTGATTACGAACCGAGGCTACCTTACGAAGTTGATGGACTTGTATGAAAATACTTCAACCGCATCTTCTGAGATTGGGTCCTTCTTAAACTTTTTTTACATTAGAAATAAGCTGCATTAACAAAAAAATAATCTAGATGACTGGGCGTCTTTGTCAGTAAACTACCCCTTTAACTGTCCATTCTTCTCACTACTCCATCCATCTTCTCACTATCACTGTCTTATCCATCTCACAACCTCTGCCCATCCTCCTCACTATGCCAATATATAATCCCTGTTCTGTGTTAAACAGAAGATGCCTCATCCGTGACATCGACATCTCCAGTAGCGAAAGACACCCTCGCCAACTCACAAGATCCTGGGGTGGCCGAGACAAGTTAGTATTCCTGACGTAGATCATAGACATGTGAAATAATTCATCCGCATCTTCCTGGAGGGTGAGGTGAAATGGGGTTTAACGTCGCGTCCAAGATTATTGCACTTATATAGCGACGTGCATGTACGTGTGTGTGTCTGTGGCTGCTTGTACTAGTCCGGACTGATGCCGATTTATAGTGCTAGCTCACTGAGATACCATGCCGCAGCTTAACATGAATACCCCACTCAGACACAGTATACTGCCTCCGAGCCGACCAGTCCTTGTTTTAGCCCCTTAATGCCGAGCGCCAGACAGGGTAACAACAAGTACCATCTTTTAACGTCTTTTGGTATGACGAGGTCGGGGATCGAACCCTGGACCTTCCGCTCTTCGGGCGGACGCTATACCACTAGACCACGGAGGCGGTCCTTCCTGGAAGGGTTATTTAAGGAGAAAATAATAATTTGTTCTAGAGACACTGAAGTAATTTAGCCCAGGGATGGGTTTCTTTGACTCTACTGTTAACTGTTCCTTTATATTTTGTTCAGCTATGTCAAAGAGACTTATTACAGTGGTAGCGGGAACGGTTGGCGTCCTGATAGGCTGCGGCTTTGTGTGCATGGTGGTAGTTATGCTGTGGGGCAAGAAGTTGTCTTGGGGTAAGTTGAATCGTTGACCATTACTTATCATGATTGTTAACTTTATTGCGCATGTTTTTACCCTGCTTTTAGGAATATTTCAGCAATATCACAGGGGGGACAAGGTGAGGTGAAATGGGGTTTAACGTCGCGATCAAGATTATCGCACTTATATAGCTTGCATATGTATGTGTGTGTTTGTGTGCTTGTACTAGACGGACTGATGCTGATTTAGAGCGCTAGACGCAGTTGAACATGAATACCCCACTTAGACACAGTATGCTGACACCGAGCCGACCAGTCCTTGTTTTAGCCCTTAATGTCGAGCGCCAGACAGGATAACAAGTACCAACTTTTAACGTCTTTTGGTAGGACGCGGCCAAGGATTGGACGCAGGTCACCAGGAATGTGCTTCACATAATGTACCCATGTGGGGACTAGAACCCGGGTGTTCGGCATGATGAGCTAACGCTTTAACCACTAGGCTGCCCCACCGCCCCTACTTGTCATGATGACGTCGCTTCAATTCTAGATCCTGCTGTACTTGATAATGGTGTTGGAATCTACTTGTGATAGAGGTTGATGTGATATGAAATGGGGTGTAACATCGTGTTCATAGTTGGTTGGTTTGTTGTTTAACGCCGCACTCAGCAATATTCCAGCTATATGACGGCGGTCTGTAAATAATCGAGTCTGGACCAGACAATCCAGTGATTAATGTCATGAGCATCAATCCATGCAATTGGGATACGATGACATGCATCAACCAAGTCAGCGAGCCTGACCAACCGATCCCGTTAGTTGCCTTTTACGACAAGCATAGTCACCTTTTACGGCAAGCAGGGGTTGCTGAAGACCTATTCTACCCCGGAATCTTCCCGGGTCTATTGCATAGATATTGCATGCATGTGTTTGTGTGTGTGGCTGCTTGTTCTAGTCAAGATAAATGCCGGTTTTATAGTTCAATCCTACTGAGACACCAAACCTCAGTTTAACATGGATCCCCCACTCAGACACAGTATACCAACTGTGACTAGTCGCAAGAGGCGACAACAGGATCGGGTGGTCAGGCTTGCTGACTTGGTTTGATGCATGTCATCGTATCCCAATTACGTGGATCGATGCTCATGATGTCAATCACTGGATTGTCTGGTCCAGATTCAAATATTTACATACCGCCATCATATAGCTGTAATATTGCTGAGTGGGACGTTAAACAACAAATAAACAAAACATCACGGCATGTCAGCTTAATAAAGGCGACACTGACATTTACCACTTTGGCCAATCCCCCAAGCCACAGTATGGTGCTGACAAACCACAGAGCCCTGTGAATCCCTGTAAATTTGAAAAACAAGAACAACTGTAAATAAATATCCTGCTTTGCAAACTCAACCCGATTCTTTTTATTTTATTTCCAGCAACACAGCGTCTCATGTATAATAGCATCCCAACCCGTGACCGCGGCAATGGCACACACAGTCGACCTGGTATGAACAGTTTTAACATGTACTGGTTCCCAGTGTGCCAATCTCATTCAAATTAGATCTAAGTTCTCGCTGCCGCTAAACAAAGATCTGAGAACATCCCATTACGGGTCACGTCAGAACGACCTTTCCACGAACTTTCCACGAACTTTGACCGACCACTGAAATGAATAACAAGAAGTCGACATCAGCGTTTAGAAAGCAGCTTTCTCGAGCTTTACCGCACTCTTTTCAACCTGGCGACTTCCATTTCAGACTACGCTTAAAAATATGTTGACACAGTTCTCGATTAATAGTTTGAAAACTGAACAAACGAACATACCGAAATGTCTAATATATGGTTGTGATTGTATGGCAGTGCTTCCCACATACTGTGCAACGCCTCCTCTATTCAAATGTTTATCCCACGGAAGCGAGAGATAGACGATAATTTTGACGGAATCAGTCGTATGGGCCGTAACTGTCATTCGGAATACCCCGTGTTAACGTTTTCGAGTTTGCATGATTAGAAAACACACTGTCACTTTCAGGTTCTGGTAAGCGACGCTTTGATTGGTTGGATGAAAGGTCGTTCTGACGTGACCCATAATGGGATGTCTTCAGATTTGCTTAGCGAAAGCGAGAACTAAGATTTGATTTTAATGAGATTGCCAATGTGCAAAAGAAACGTATTATGATCTTTTTAGGGACAATGTATGTTTTCAGGCAGACCAAAAACATTTCAACAGAATCAAAATTTTCTTTATCAAGCATTTTCTGGGACAAAATAAGTTTATTCCATAAAATCCAGCCCCTGCCCCCTAAGAGTATCAAATGGTCAGACCATCTCTTTTCTAGTTAGACATTACATAATCTCCTCGCGTCTTCTTGAAAGAGTCAAGTGTACTGGTGATCAATATATAATGTCATATAGCCCACGTTGTCAAAATAATATAAATACTAGTGAAGATGCGAGTTAGAATAGATCTTCAGCAACCTATGCTTGCCGTAAAAGGCGACTATGCTGTCAAAAGAGACGACTAAAGGGTTCGGGTGGTCAGGCTGGCTGACTAGGTTGATGCATGTCACCGTATCCCAAAATCAGGCTCATGATGTCAATCACTGGATTGTCTGGTCCAGACTCCATTATTTACAGGCCACCGTCTTATAGCTGAAATATTGCTGAGTGTGGGGTTAAACAAACAAATAAACCAAAGATTGTGCCTGATGAAGATATTAATGTAACAGTGAGTGAGTATGGTTTTACGCCGCTTTTAGCAATATTCCAGCAATATCACAGCGGGTATTAATGTAACAGTATTATGATATCTCCAATGGGAATGAACACAAACTATTTATTTATTAGTTCAAGAATGTAAGGTCAACTCTTGTCTTATCTCATCTTGTCACTTCCATCTTGTACGGTTTCTGAATTTTTTTTGTGAAAGTGGCTTTGGGTTTACATTGACCATATCATTGCTTCAGCCAGGCAGGGGACGAAGATGACTCTGTGGTCAAAGAAATTTGAGATTCGAACCAAGGATCATTGCCGGTCCTGGACAACTGAAGGGCGCAAATCTGAATGCAAATAGAGATGCCTTAGACCACTGGGTCAACCGTTATCTATACAATGCTTTCTAACTGAATGTGTTTATGTTGCAGCTCTTTATGTGAGGAAGGTTTACTTGGTGTATGCGGAAGATCACAAGGACCACATGAATGCGATCACCAATCTGGCCAGCCATCTCAAGAACCAATGCTGCTGTGAGGTCTTCTTTCTTCGCTGGTTCCCACGAGCAGTCCAGACAATGGGAGTCTACCAATGGATTCTCACACACATTGATCAGGCTGACTTCGTGATCATCATCAACTCGGAGGCAGCGTTCAAACTTTTTGAAACTCGCAACACCAATGCATCTCTGAGAAGATTGGACGAGGGCCCAGAGGGCGACACCTTCTCTCCGGCCCTCACCCATGTCATGGCGAAGTCATCAGAGCCAGGGTTCTTCAAGAAGACAATCCTAGCCCATTTTGACTACACTGATGAGGACTTCATCTTGAAGGAGGTCAGTCCCGGTGTTCAGTACATGTTGCCGAAACACTTCAAGGAGTTCCTGTGTCACATCCATGAGATGAGTGGAGAGTCTGATCTTGATGAAATGGTTAACCTGGATGCAACTTCAAGCGGGCGACAGTTACTGGAGGCCATAAGAAAAGCCAAACATTTCCAAAAGTCGGACCCACAATGGTTTGATGAGAGGTTCTATCGTCAAGAGGATTCAGCCTATGACTCCCTCAGTGAGTCCAAATGTGACAGTCCAGTGGGAGTGGATGACTCTGTCTCCATAGCAACAAGACCTCTTAGAGGAATATACACACGTCCTTCTGAATCTGACAATGCTGATGCGGACTTCAAAAGCACTGTGACATACAACACTGATTATGCCAGGGCTCATGGGGACTATGTTTTTGATGTGATCCCCCCGAGTGAAGTCTCAGCTGGGGCTACAACAGAGTTCTTATACAGACAGTTGGACAGCATCAATAAGCAGAATGAAAATAACTCTATCGGCTTTAACCCTGTTCTTACAGTGCGAACAGATGTGGATGAAACTTCACTGTCTACTTACATGGTTGACCCTCCAGATGTTGCAGGCCAAGGAGACTCCCAGCCTGACAGTCCCGTCTCCGTCGAGGGCAGAGACGAGTAGATTTTCATAAATGTGGAAGATTGAGAAAGCAGGTAGAATGAACTCTGTATTGGACAGTGTTTAGTACATAATGATGTTTTCTACATTGGTGAAACTGACGAACAATGGAATTCATTTCTTAACATTCCATCTTTGAAATATATTTCAACACAATGACCTCTTTTTTTTAAATTTTAGGGATGTTTGCCTTTAGTTCCCTCAAACTATTTCATATGCAATATGCTTTCATAACACTTATAAGATCACAGATTGCCTCAAAACACATATCTGCACACTGTTACCTCCAAATCATCTTCCCGAGGCAAGGGAGTTAACTGACTAGAACAGTCCAGATTCCACCCTTGCTGAACTAGGCTGGAATTTTGTGGCTTGATCGTAGCGCTACCAATGGCTATTCTGTCTTTCTGTGTTCCTCCTATGGACCAATCAGATTCCACCTCTCATATCACTTGCATTTGCTTAAAACAAAATGGCAGCACGCAGTCAAGACTATCTGATTGATCATCAACATCTATTTTGTCATCTTTCCTCACGAAGTGCATCAAATCACTTGAGCGCCTTCATTAAAAACATGAAAAGATTTGGAAAATATCTGTTGTCACTTAGTTTACGTAATACATGCTTTGCAAATCCTGCAGTCGACCAAAAGCTGGATTGAAATCATTCAAATACACTGGTACCTCAAAATTTCTCAGAAAAATCCACTTATCAAAATCAAACTTTGCACTGCACCTCTCCTATTTGTATAGAAACTGTGCCCCCAATTGGTTGGATTATGTAAAAAAAATCTAATTGAAAAATGAAAAAAGCTTTATATTTTCAGGAAATCCAAATATTGAAATCAGACTTTGCACTGCACATCACTTATAGGTAAAATTCACCAAGTTTGAAAAGAATATATGTAGTAGTTTCCAAGTTATAGGTTGCACAAATGTTGATAAAAAACATCTACAGGAGTGAGATGGATTTAATGTCACATTGAACAGTATTCCAGGTATATCACATCATGTCAGCTTGATGTATGAGGAGACAACCGAAGTGATGCAGGTCTCGGACATTAAATCTACTAGAGTGAGTGAGTGAGGTTTTACGCCGCTTTTAGCAATATTCCAGCAAAATCACGACATGGGACGTAAGAAACAGGCTTCACACATTGTACCCATGTGAGGAATCAAACCCCGACCTTTGGCGTGAAGAGCGAACACTTTAACCACGAGGCTACCCCACTATCCCTGAATCTATTGAATCGACTTAAACTAACTATAAACATCAATGAATCCACCATCTTTAACACCACAAAACCAATGAAGAAGGCAGAGAATGAAATGATTTAATATGTTAATCGAAGACTGATTAGGAGATAAACATAATGTGTTCTCAATGTAGAGCTAGGTTACCTGTGGATTTAACCATGCTAAATTGAATTTGGAACTGAACACGCAGCATGAGGTTCAAATGTTAAATGTTTTACTCGAAGCTTTTCCATTTGTTTGGTTGGTTGTTTTATAACTTGACAACATGAGTGTTAATTGCTTTTGTTTGTTTGTTTGGTGTTCAACGCCGCACTCAGCAATATTCCAGCTCTATGACAGCGGTCTGTAAATAATCAAGTCTGGACCAGACAATCCAGTGATTGACATCATGAGCATCGATCCACGTAATTGGGATACGATGACATGCATCAAACCAAGTCAGCAAGCCTGACCACCCGATCCCGTTAGTAGCCTCTTACGACAAGCATAGTCGCCTTTTACGGGTTGTAAAGACCTATCCCACCCCGGATCTTCACAGGTCGAGTGTTAATGGCAAAGGTTATGCTGTCCTACACCATCCAGTCTGTCGTGTCACATTTCATCCATGTAAACTTCGTGCAGCATGCTCTGACTCACACATGTGAAACCTGTAGTAAAACGGCCAAAGTTATACAATCAAACTTGGCTGGCAGGTGTGTATAAACCTGGGTCAGATAGATGCAGAATTGAAAGTTTGACAAGCTATTCACAAATGTGATTACTGGAGGGCTCTGGAGTAATAAATAGTAATTCATTCACTCAGTCATGTATAAAATAAAAAAAGAAATTGATTTTGTTTTGATTTTATAGGCATAATATGTGAATTCATTTGCGTACACAACTACACATGCAATAGACAGCTGTGCAAATGAGACAGCAGGGCTTGATTTAAGGAACTTGATCTTACTTGCACCAGGTGCATGTTGACATGAAAACTAAGTTGCACCAAACAGAACCAGGTTGCAACCTGGTCTCGAAGTTAAAACATAGGTCGATCTATTGCTGGGGTCACAAAAACTACTGATGTATGGTGTGAAGTACCCACAGTGTGAGTGAGTGAATGGTGTTTTACGCCGCTTTTAGCAATATTCCAGCAAAATCACGACATGGGACGTAAGAAACAGGCTTCAAACATTGTACCCATGTGAGGAATCGAACCCCGACCTTTGGTGTGAAGAGCGAACACTTTAACCACGAGGCTACCCCACTATCCCTGAATCTATTGAATCGACTTAACCTAACTATAAACATCAATGAATCCACCATCTTTAACACCACAAAACCAAAGAAGAAGGCAGAGAATGAAATGATTTAATATGTTAATCGAAGACTCATTAGGAGATAAACATACTGTGTTCTCAATGTAGAGCTAGGTTACCTGTGGATTTAACCATGCTAAATTGAATTTGGAACTGAACACGCAGCATGAGGTTCAAATGTTAAATGTTCGACTCGAAGCTTTTCCATTTGTTTGGTTGGTTGTTTTATAACTTGACAACATGAGTGTTAATTGCTTTTGTTTGTTTGTTTGTTGTTCAACGCCGCACTCAGCAATATTCCAGCTCTATGACAGCGGTCTGTAAATAATCAAGTCTGGACCAGACAATCCAGTGATTGACATCATGAGCATCGATCCACGTAATTGGGATACGATGACATGCATCAAACCAAGTCAGCAAGCCTGACCACCCGATCCCGTTAGTAGCCTCTTACGACAAGCATAGTCGCCTTTTACGGGTTGTAAAGACCTATCCCACCCCGGATCTTCACAGGTCGAGTGTTAATGGCAAAGGTTATGCTGTCCTACACCATCCAGTCTGTCGTGTCACATTTCATCCATGTAAACTTCGTGCAGCATGCTCTGACTCACACATGTGAAACCTGTAGTAAAACGGCCAAAGTTATACAATCAAACTTGGCTGGCAGGTGTGTATAAACCTGGGTCAGATAGATGCAGAATTGAAAGTTTGACAAGCTATTCACAAATGTGATTACTGGAGGGCTCTGGAGTAATAAATAGTAATTCAATCACTCAGTCATGTATAAAATAAAAAACTAAATTAATTTTGTTTTGATTTTATAGGCATAATATGTGAATTCATTTGCGTACACAACTACACATGCAATAGACAGCTGTGCAAATGAGACAGCAGGGCTTGATTTAAGGAACTTGATCTTACTTGCACCAGGTGCATGTTGACATGAAAACTAAGTTGCACCAAACAGAACCAGGTTGCAACCTGGTCTCGAAGTTAAAACATAGGTCGATCTATTGCTGGGGTCACAAAAACTACTGATGTATGGTGTGAAGTACCCACAGTGTGAGTGAGTGAATGGTGTTTTACGATGCTTTTAGCAATATTCCAGCAATATCACTTGGGGGACACCAGAAATTGGCTTCACACATTGTACCCATGTGGGGACCTGAACCCAGGTCTTCGACGTTACAAGCGAATGCTTTAACCACTAGGCTACCCCACCGCCCTACTCACAGTGTGAAAACATCACGCCTAAGAAAGCATGACATGACAAGATGTTGTATGGTAAATAAACTTTAGAGGTATTGAGTGTGTTCAAAGAACAATTTTGTGTGGACAAAAGAAAAGGTAAGAAGGACACAATTGTTTTTGATAGGCACTAAGTGCATGTTGACATAAATATTAGGTTGCATTTTTCAATAATAAGTTGCACTTGTGCATGCTTTGTATAGCTAAAATAAAGCCCTGGATAGTGTACACAAGTTTCATATGACAGTACATGTACTTAGAACAGGGATTTTCAAACTAGGACCAGAGGTTGATTATAACTTAACTGATCGCTTGACTTGTGTATGATTGTCGGCCAGCTAGTTCCACTGCTCGGGAAATGTACATGGACATACTATAGATACAGGTTCAACATAGTTCCTAAGGTCATATACATTTCAAATAATAACCTAATTTAATATACTTTTATATACAGGGACTTGTTTTCTGTTGTATTGACTAAAACTTCCTCCTTGGTGCAACTCCACCACCCTGTGTAAGACTCCCACAACTGATGTTCGTCTGTCACACACTCGGCTAGTTGATGGAAGTGCATATCTGGAATTGTTTATCATGCGATTGTCTCGTGATTAATCCAAGTATCACATCCCTACATGTCCCCTTGTCACTCCCCTTGTCACTCCCCTTGTCACTCCTGGGGACCCTCCTCGGGTCGGATTTTCCTCTCCAGGGGCGTCTCATAGTATGTCCTCCTGTGGAGATAGAGTGAGTGAGGTTTTACGGCGCTTTTAGCAATACTCCAGCAATATCACAGAGGGGGACACCAGAAATGGGCTTCACATATTGTACCAATGTAGGGAATCAAACCTGGGTCTTCGGCAAGAACACCTTAACCACTAGGCTAACCGACCGACCCTGTGGAGATATAGAGAGAGCTAGTAGTTTGTAAAATGCCATGTTGATATTGCCGCACCATAAGTAATGCCCAACATGATTGTTGTTTAATGCCGCTATACCGCTATGCCTGCATGTCAGCTATATGACAGCAGCCTGTGTATAATCCAGTTTGGACCACACAAACCAATGATTGATATTATGAGCAACAATCCAGGCTGTCGGGTCACTCTTACTACCAGAATAGTTTGCTGGGGAACAATTCACACCCAGAATCCCGACAGGGAACCAAAGTTACACAGGACGGAAATAACCATTTCAGTTCGGTGCTGATGCTTAACCAATGCAACTTTTCAAATAAATTACAATGTTCTGCAACATCGACTTTGTAAGTAAGCAGTCTAGCTGTTGTTACAATGTATGGCAAGAATGTGGTATACCGGACACCTTCTAGCATTTTGGTCAGGGATTTGAACGAGCTTATCCCTCAGTAACAGTTTCTATGTTTTTCAGGCGCCATTTTTGTCGCCTCTTTAAAACAAGGGGTTTGGGTGGCTTGCCCCTTCCACTCAATGGCCTGAATTAAATGCTTTCGTAAGTAAACGAAATGTTTATTATCAAAGTAGATACAAAACACTTTATTAGTTGCATCAAACAAACATGGCGGATTGGTGTCCGGTATAATGCATGAGTACCCAATGTATTCAATGTGAGCAATTTGGGTTACAGATACATTAGGCTTATTTGCTTACACATTACAAAGCCATGCTTAACAGACTGGATTATGTGTGCTGCATTGCCTGAAGAGATGCAGATAAAACACTGCCAACAGTTTTTAAATTGGAGGAGGGGAGGTCCAGAGACTTTTGATGCACTAATCATTGTGAAGTTTTGTATGACCCTCCCCATGTCCTTGTAAACTAACTTCATGTCCCTCCCCAAATTGAAGTTTTCTTCTCTATGACCCTCCCATAATTGTTGTCATATTTTGGGGTAACCCTCCCCTGATTCCCTCTTGACCAACCCACCTCTATAATAAATAGGGCTGCAACGAATACAAAATTAGGCGAATACGATACGTATCACGAATATAGGGTAACGAATATTAATTCATGAATACAATAACAAGTCAGCAGTTGATGTATTATTTGTTATATTCAGTGAAACAATAACAACATAAATTATTTGACATAGTTTGTTAATTATTAATATATTATACATTTATATACTGCACTTACTAGGTATAAATATATGCTCAAATACGGCAATGACCAGTGACCACAATACTGTCAAATTAAATTTTATAAGATGATTGCGTATTCATAAATATTCGATTCTAGTGGCCACGAATAACTAATTTAATTCATGAATGGATATGGTTAGATTCACAGAATACGCGAGTGAATTGGAACAGCCCTAATAATACATGACCCCTAACAGTAACTAACTTACGTCAAAGAGTGAGTGAGTGAGTTGGGTTTAACGCTTTGAAAAGGATTTCAGTTGTATTACAGCTTATGGATGAGTGAGTGAGAATGGTTTTATGCCACTTTTAGCAATATTCCAGCAATATCACGACGGGGACACCAGAAATGGGATTTACAGCTCATGAGCTTGATGTGGAAGGAAAGTATGAAATGATGCAAGTCTTACACGTTTACATTGGCTTCATGTCCCATTGGTGAGGTGAAATTGGGTTTAACGTCGCGTCCAAGATTATTGCACTTATATAGCGACGTGCATGCACGTGTATGTGTGTGTGTGGCTGCTTGTACTAGTCCGGACTGATGCCGATTTATAGTGCTAGCTCACTGAGATACCATGCCGCAGTTTAACATGAATACCTCACTCAGACACAGTATACTGACTCCGAGCCGACCAGTCCTTGTTTTAGCCCCTTAATGCCGAGCGCCAGACAGGGTAACAACAAGTACAATCTTTTAACGTCTTTTTGTATGACGCGGCCCGGGATCGAACCCTGGACCTTCCGCTCTCCGGGCGGACGCTCTACCACAAGACCACGGAGGCGGTCCATGTCCCATTGGATTCTACCTATGTGTTCTCTGTCCATCGTGTTGTGACAGCATCATCCCTTTGTTGTCAACACCTACCTATGTTATCCCACTCATGTATGTAATTGTTGCTACTGTTAATCCTCCACATACTATATATATTCTGTACTATGTCCCTCATTCAGTCTTGCTTGACAACAGTATAAGGATCTATACCGAAACGTCGCTTTTTACAGTATTCAAGAAGTTGTTATCCATAAAATTGTGTCTACCTTGTTAATAGTGCCGGCTATGCTGCCTTGGGGGTGCCATTTGAACAGTTTGGAGTAGATATTCAAATACACAAATCTAATGTTAAACCTGTACTTGTCGGTGTTCCTCAAGGTTCAGTGTTAGGACCCTTATTATTTTTAGTATTCATTAATGATATCGTCTGTGACATCCAATTGTTTGCTGACAATACTTCACTATATGTCATTATTGATGATCCATTATCAACAAGTATTTCAATCAATCATGATTTGGAACATATTTCTCAATGGGCTAAAACTTGGAAATTAAAATTTAATCCCGATAAAACAGGAGCAACTCAATTTTCAAGAAACGTAATGTCACTGTCCTGCCTGATCTGTTCACGAATAATGTAAAAACAAAGAATGTTAATAGCCACAAACACCTCAGGCTAACTTTACAAAGTGATGGGCATTGGCATAGCCATACTGAAAATCCATTGATAAATTGCTTTCGTAGTCTGAAATATCGTTTGAACAGACACAGTCAACACACGCTCTATTGTTCATTCATATTACCCTTCATCGATTACTGTGACCATATATGGAATAATTGCACCAAGGCTCAAGAAATGTCCCTAGAAATGTTACATCTACATGGACTCGGGACAATATGTGGTGCCGTGAGTCATATAAAATTATATAACGAAACCGGTCTATCCTCCTTGGCTGAAAGACGACACTTTCACAAACTATGCATTTTTTTATAAAATGAAAAGTGGGACAACGCAAAAAAATTTATGTGATATGGTACCTGTAACAACCTTGGATTGTCCACATTATGAAACATGTATCACTAACAAATACTATGAGCCTAATTGCCAAACTGAATTATTTAAAATAAATTTACCTTCTTGTCTCCGCCTGGAATGAATCCTAGATCCTACTTTGAGAGAAGGCGGTTCATTATCTCAGTTTAAAAAAACGTATAATTGTACAGAGCTCCAGATAACTTTTTGAGCAATTGAGTTTTTACTCTAGGGTTTCTATTTTAATTGGGTTATTACATTTTTCATTGGGTAACCAATATTTTTTCACTCATCTATTCTTCACTCTATTGGTTATTTCACAAAACTACTGAGCATTTTAAGATTTTTAAAAATGAAATAATGTTTTAGATGTATATAACGGTTTTAACTGTAGGCTTGACTCTGAAAGTAACTTAGCTTGTAATTGTGTTTCAGAAATTAGCTCCTTTGTACCCATGCTGAAAAAGCTTCATTGGGTATTTACGCGAGCTGTTTTTATACATTAGAGTTTTTCATTTAATGCATGCATTTATGTACGCAAGTTAATTGAAAGTAATTGGGTTTTGAATATTTTTGGGGGAGTATTTTACGCAAATACGCTGCTTTATCTGTAGCTCTGACTGTAGTAAATCAGAAGTGCCTGACATATTTAAAAATATTAGTTCACGAGTAAATCAGATGATCCACTGTAAGTTAAGACAAGGACGTAGTGATCTGAACGGTCACAAACTTAAAAGATATATTAGTGATAATGATGAATGTGCATGTGTTTTTTTCAATGAAAGTCCTTTACACTACCTTTACTTGCCCAGATTATACTGAGATTAGATCTGAAAGCTATTAAGTATTATTATGTTAATGGATATGACCTTCAAACCGTCCTTTTTGGTAACGTCAGCCTAGACAAAGAAATACTGCTGAATATCTTTGACTCTGTACATCGTTTCTTTTCTATGAGCAAAAGATTTGTCTAAACATGTATTCTTGTATAAATCTCACTAACAACTGTTTACCTGGTTGATGCATGTCATCGATCCCATGATGTCAATTACTGGATTGTCTGGTCCAGACTTGATTATTTACAGACAGCCGTCATATAGCGGGAATAGTGCTGAGTGCGGCATTAAACAACAAACATAACAAAAATAATAATATCAAGTCAATACCACTGTATAATTATTTTACTTTGTTGGGGAGAGATATTTATATAGGTTCTGCCTGTTTATCAATCCCCTTTCACTGTACCAAGTGAAAATAAATATTGTTTGAAACAAAATATTCAAATATTGGCCAGATTTCACTGCTGCATATAATATCTACGTATGAACATAACATATTCTATCCATTTGCAAAGTTTCATTCTTTTAAGACAAAGTGCACAGTTGTTCACTGTTGTATTAAGTCACTGTCCCTTCCCAACAGTGAATACATTGTTTATGAAATAGACGACTCTCTTTCAAGTGCATGTATACACACATAGCTAAGAGCTGTTAAGAGGCAATACCTCCCCTCCCACCCCCGATCCTGCAACTCAAGGTAAGAATGTTTTGGTCACAAGCAATGTATGCTTGTCATAAGAGCGGACGATATGGATCAGGCGGTCCAGGTCCCTGACATTGTTGATTGCATGTTATCGATCCAAATTGCATGGAGCAATGCTCATCATCTGAGTCACTGGATTGTCTGGTCCAGACATTATTTTTTACAGAATGTTGTCATGTAGCTGACATACTGCAATGTGCGCCATCAAACAACAAACATAAACCCTCCATGAAGACTCTCGGCTACATCACATGGTATCATATTTGATACAAGATACAAAGTCCACCTGTCCCCACTGAATCATCGACCTTTCCATAACTCCCTGGTATCCAGAGAAAATAGCCCCAGGAGAAAATCGGCTCTGACAATCAGGAGAAAATGTCCCCAAATTATAGAGAAAATGGACCCGAATTTAACATAGTTATTTATACAGTTGTTGACCTTCAGAACTGGTTGTATTTTGTCTGGAGTTTAATGCTAACATTTTATACAAAATTGGACCTCGTACAAATGGTCTCCCATTTGACATTATTAATTGTGGCCAGTTTCTCCGGTGTCAGGTGCCATTTTCTCCTGACCCTGTGTCCAGTACCTGAGATACGTGTAGCACATAAATGACAGATGAAATCCGACTATTCCTCCAACGACGAGTTTCAAACCTCTCACGAGACCAAGATTTGGAGAATTTCGTTTCAACATCGCTTCCGCCTCCATTCGTCGGCGACAGGGCACACGTTCCAAGGTTAAACGTATCGCGGACGATCATTGGGTAAAGTACACCACAGTAGCCAATGAAAATTGTTGATGCAAAATAGTCAGCTGCATCCGATGTAAACAAATCCACGTGCTCCCGTGAAATGTGTGCATTGTCAACCGATACGTAACGTCTTATGCACGTTTTCATTCTAGAATTTCATTTAAATAGATTTATTTGAGATTTGTCGAGGCAGTGTTTTACGAAATGACCAGTCCCAAAATACTTTTCAAATTTATAAAAAAAATATTTGAAAAAATAGAACTGTCATTTCTTTTAAAAAAACACCCCCTAATAGTTGAGATAAATTTTGGCCAAACCCTCTTTTTGCTGTATCATTTTTTCATGAACACACACCTGACCTTAATCTTTTATGCCCCTCTCTGTCTCCTCCTTACTGAACAAATAACTCTATTAAACAAACTCAAATTGACCTGGCCTATAAATAAAACTGACAAAGACAACACTAATCAATTGAACTGGTGCACCTACAAGTATGAGTAGGGAAAACCAATTGGAATTGGTTACCATGGTTACTGAAAAGCAGGTTCTGTGCAATAATAAAACTCTTCCAGTGGTAATATAATATTATTGTAGAACATGTTGCTCAACACACTAAATTATAATATCATTAATTCTTTAAGTCAAAAAAAGTGCATTACAGGCAGGTGTCCTGGAATTTACATGATATGCAATTAATATGCAGTGTATCTACAAAGTTCATTCAATATTTATTCTGTGAAAGGAAAGACTCAACAAGCATTTGTCAAACTGGTGTTTCTTTATTTTGCCAGTCATTGACTCCATTTTGCAAAAGTCAAAACATCATATATCAAAGATGCCACTCACTTGCTGATTTCCATATTCAACTATTCATATTTTCATTTTTACAAATATTACTTCGCACACACTATCATGCACAATTGATCTCATCCCTGATACATTTGCTATATGATGTACAGATAATTAATACCGTTGGCAAACATCCAACAATAAAGAGTATGACTTTTATCATGCTTAAACACATCTAAGCTTTGCAATTATAGTTGTAAATTTGAATAGTATATCATGTGTAAAAAATATATCCAAAATCAATAATATATAGCTCGTTCTCTTGGCAATGCAAACCTTTTGAAAATCAAGGCCCAGAGACGTATATACGTCTTTGTCAAGGCCTAAACTTCCCCATGAAAGTTATTGCTGGTCAGAAAATAATATAACATACTCAGATTTACATGACACAAATTATGTCAGACAGCATAGACTTTTCAAAATGCATCACAAATGTAGCTAAAGCATGCATTTTTCTAAATGGTAAAAAGGGAGATACCGTAATTCTCAGCAGTCTTGTCCTCATTTCATGTTTTTCAGTCTACACCTTGTATTTAGAGCAATGTGGGAACTTGAGACATTATCTTGGTTTAATTTGTAACTACAATATGGATTTAATTAGCATCCTGATAAAGTAAGTGTTTAACAACTTGGTTCAAACTTGCTGCGGCTGCCATTAGACCCAGGTCTTGTCCCCCTTTAGTTGTTACTGAGGACCCTACCATGCTGACTGTCCAACTCCACCATGTTAGTGTTAAACTTACTTTATCATCCAAAACTGGCTCCCACAGGAGATATTGCTTGGGTGATATCAAGCGATATATCTACAATGTTGATAACGCTGCAATGAAATTGCATCACAATGCTTTGCAGACCATTGTGATGTCATTGGTTACCATGACATCACAATCAAATGACATCACTAATGGCTCTGCTACTGAAGCTGTTAGCAGTACTTTTTACACTGAAGACACTGCTTATTACTGTCTACAAACAGCAAGAGTTGGAAGAATGATGTTAGATGATAAATTAATCCCACCCTCGTGTCTTTTGACATCAAACATATCAACATCCAACACGGACAGCACGTGGTTACATTAAAAAGTATGAATTGGGTGCTGTTGAACCGGCAACGAAATGGCAGACAAAGGAAATTGCACCCCATGACATGTACACAGCATCGGCAATAGGCGAATAGCCTTACTATTCTTATTAATATTGAACAGCATTCATTCAATTACTTTATGACATTATTCATGAATGACAATTATTCAGGATGGAGACATTGGAAAATTGGACATTGATAGAGTGAAACAAAACCAGTCAAGCATTCTGATGAATCTGCAATTACATAGAGACCCATAGCTGTTCACATAATTAACAGGTATGAATTTACATTACATCCAGGTGTCAGGAACTGTAAAGCTTTTTCAGTCAAAACTTTGAATGAATTTTGCAAGATTGTCAAAACAGGTTTATCAAGTTGAATAATGGACGGATCTTCTGTCTGGAATACCTTCTTTAAACTATTATAAGACCAACACTCATAGTGAGTGAGTATGGTTTTACACCTTTAAGCATTTTCCAGCATTATCTTGTTTGGGAAACCCCGAAAATAGCTTCACACGTAGTACCCATGTTGGGAATCGAACATCCTTATAACAATCGAACACTTTATTCACAATTAGCTACCCCACGGATTAATAAAGTAAAAAGGCAACAGACTTGACATAACTGGCAAAATACATTTGTTGTAATCACAGTCATACTTCATGTGAGATTAAACTAGACATGTTCAGAGGTTGACTTTCAGCTCTAGTCTACAGCAAATGTCAACATTTCCCAGCTCATGTACATGCCATGCTTGTATTTCAACAGGACAAATAAAGGGTTAGAGGCCTTAATGATTATTTTTACTTTATTGCAATGAATGCAGTGTTAAAATACCACTGAATCTGAAAAAAAATCCAGTTTTGAACAGGACACTTAGATTGGAATCCTAAATTAAATCCCTGATCCATGACTTGATAATGTAACATTGTCTTTAATTATGTATGTACAATATCAACACTCCGGTCAAGCTGTTCAAAATCACACACAAAGAAGTTCAAGTCTTTGGCCCCGCCTTCTTCTCTACGTCTCGTATTGTCTTTTCCAATGCCTTTGCTGTTTCACTTAAATGGGTGTCCTCATAATTCTTTCTTCTTGCAGCCTCAACTCCATCAGCAAAATACCACTTCCTAAAAAAATACATAAGCCTTAATTTATACAGAACTCATACTTATTCAAGTCACCCGTGAAGAACGAGGTTAGAATAGGTCTTCAGCAACCAATGCTTGCCGCTAGGGTGGTCTGGCTTGCTGACTTGGTTGATGCATGTCATCGTATCCCAATTGCGTGGATCGATGCTCATGATGTCAATTACTGGATTGTCTGGTCCAGACTCGATTATTTACAGACCGCCGTCACATAGCGGAATTATTGCTGAGTGCGGCGTTAAACAACAAAACACCTTGGGACATACAAAAACGCAATCCACTTGTTTTTGTAGACTCTTCTATCACACTGCATATATTTTAATTAGATTGTCAATCGATCATAATTTGTGTTTTATTAGAATGATGTTTTGTGACATTTATTGGAAAACAATATTATATCTACGTGTGAGATGTTTTGGAGCTAAATGTGGGTTTTTCTTAAAAAAGGATTGCCATTAATTGGCTTCAATAACTTCTTAAAATTTATTACCTCATCGAGAAACCGAAATATAGTACACCAATTACTCCGCCAAATAGCATTGGGAATCTGTAATATCTGGAAGTCATTGTTCACGTCTATTCGATACTAGGGTGAAATTGCCAGATGATTGCTTCAACTTTTTGACAGCATGACCACCCTTAGATCGGAAAGCAGCATTGACCTTCACATTGACGGTGAAATTACACCGGAAACTACCAGATAAATATATCGCCACCCAAGACTACATGTACATTACAAGCTCGTATCAAATATATGGCTCATTTTTGAAAAATGGGGGCTAAAGAATGAACAAGTTGATGCATTAAATGTTTTTGTTTTTGTATATGTACTAAAACTCTAAAATAAATAGTCATTTGTCCGGATTATTATCAAACCAATCAAGTTTCTGTTCTGTGGAACTGTCAACCTTACGCCTATTGGATTAATGGTGCATCAAAGGGACCAATCAACAGTCGTTTTGATCAAAACAAACATGGCTGCGCCCATAAGCTATTTGTAAACGGGGCATGTCCTCATTCTTGAGGTCACAAGACCACAATCAGCTGTTCCTGAAGACAATTGAAACTAGCGTGTAAGTAGGACTACTGTTGCTAAACTTTAACTTGATACTTATTATTGACAAAAGCATGTTCAAACTTATGGCCCATGGCCAGTTGAATGACATCGTTACCGACTTATTTGTGTTGAGTTTGAGAGAAAAAAAAGAAACGTTTTACGTCTTTTACAGATCGGAATTTATGATCGATACTGAGACTTGTCAGCCATGTTATGTCGTATATCAAACACACAATCACTATGTACAAGTTGTTTTTCAAGTATTCCTTTCAACCACCATATGGAATTATTAAAACAAAGTTACTAGGAAAATGCACCCTTTTATATAGTTAATAATACTTGAGACTCAACAAGAGAGACTAAACTAAGCGATACATATACTCAGGTAATGTTAAAAAATATATGAAAAATTAATTAATAAAATTATTTCCTAACTTTCTTAATTAATACAAAAGGTGATTACAACTACGTGCACATCCTGGTTCGTTGGGTTTACACCAATTATCTTTTTGACTTTTGACTATGTGTCAACATGCTCTTGAAAATGTCATTTCAATGACACAGGAGCGGAGTAGGCCTATGTTATTGTGTACATGTTGAATAATTGTACATGCATCATGTATGTCTACTTTAAAATGTGTAACTATAATGCACCAGAGGAGAATAGTGATTGAACATGCTAAAACTAATAATTCCCATAAACTTACTTTAATTATTGAATGCCATCTTTTGGGTCTGTATTGTTTATTTGTAAACGTGGTTAACAACATTTTCTGTATATATGTGATCAAATGACACACAACATGTACCTCTTGTGAGAAAAGACTAAAATTATGAAATTAGTGATAAATGTGTTTATGCCCCTTTGCTGGGCAGACCCTCCTATCTATTTAAATGAAGAGAAGCATTATCGGAATTAATGTAAGCAATATCATGTGTATGGCTACCAAGTGCAAAGGAATAGTTTCCAATGCTATATAAATGCAGTAACTATCATCATAACAGCAGTTATCATTGGATACACCACAGAGCCACTAGTGGAACTGACAGCATCGGCAACCAAACATATATTGGTTAAATTCCGCCTTTTCACCAAACTACAAAACTGTTGCCACAGCACGCAAAACATGACTGACAGTAGCGGGGACAGGAAACAGAGGAGTGTTTTAACTAAAGCTTGTTTCCAGAGAATGTACCGTATTCGACGTAATAAGCGCCCCGCTCTAAAAAGCGCCCACGGTGATATTTGCTAATATATTGGCCAGTACACAATCCCAATTAGCACCCCTTCTGATTGGTCAATGTACACAAGAATTATTTATTCGTGTATAATACGCACTCGTGTGCTATATGTACCCTTAATTATGGGCAATTAAATTCTGGAAAAATATATCTGTCGTATATAAACATTTCAGGCTGTCAGCATAAACCATGATATGTATCTTTCAATTCTGTTTTTTTCCATCAAAATAATATTCTAATAAGAGCCCCCTATTTATTACGTCGAATACGGTAATTCTTATTAAGAAGTTAATGCACATTGAACATAAATTATGATTCCCCTTTGATACAGATTATTCAATTTCAGCAAAAATGTATTTTGTATTCATTATAGGTGTATTTTCATGGGTGTTGAATGGAACACTTATCATTTATAGAGCTAGATAAATTACTTCACCCATAATTTCATTCACTGTTTAGTGTTTACATCTTAGAGCTAGATCTAGTATTTGTCCAAAAATTGTTAATATAACAGGACTAATAAAAAGTCTGTCAGTCAATGTCAACAGTAAGGAATTCACCTGTTTTGTTTTTTGTTTAACGCCGCACTCAGCAATATTCCAGCTATATGACGGCGGTCTGTAAATAGTCGCGTCTGGACCAGACAATCCAGTGATTGATAATATGAGCATCGATCCACGCAATTGGGATTGATGACATGCATCAACCAAGTCAGCGAGCCTGACCACCAGATCCCGTTAGTCGCCTCGTACGACAACCATAGTCGGAATTCATCTGTGGCTGATTGGTACTGAAACAATAATATTAATTCTTATGTCTTTTATTTACATATTCCATTACCAGATCCTGATGTGTGTGTTTTGGCTACCACACAGTTGCCAAGTTGCTGGGGCGTGGTGGGAGAATGGGCGAGGCGTCTCCCCCATGTTCGGAGACCATACCTGACTACTAATACAAGAAAACATGTTTTCCACTTCAGATAACAAATTCTGATGCATATGGCCGACACTAGTTGCTCAATGCCATGGATTTTATGCTTTATAGCCAACACTTCGAGTCAGAATCCGGAAAAAGTGTTGTCAGTTAACTACGATCTGCTTTTGGTGGATACACTGCATTTGGCCAAGTTTCCATAGCAGCTGTGCGCGCATCCTCTGGCACGACCGATGTCAAATCCGAAAACCAATACGCCTTCATTTTAAACCCATTCAACACTTTTTATTCAAACAGATAGGAGGGCCTGCTGGGCATGTGTAGCATGTGTAGGAAGTTGATTGGAATTGAATTTAAGGGCAAAGTTTTACACTGTCACTGTTACACCCCCCCCCCCCCCCCCCCTTAAATGAAGATATTGTCAGGATGTGCTACGGTATATGCCTTTATATTTATTTTCAGCAGAATTGAGAAGTATGCCCTCCAAGTCTTCCCATGGGTTGCTGTATCAGTACAGGAACTGCAGACTTCTGAGGAACCACACCATTTACAAGGATGATTTGTGGGTCCGAGATGGGAAGATTGTGAACCCGGAGATTCTCTTCTTTGAGGAAAAATCCTATGCTGACGTTCAGATTGACTGTAATGGGGCTATCATCTGTGCAGGGTTCATCGAGACACAAATCAATGGTGTGTGTCAGGTTGTTTTTGTCTTCATTTCATTCATGAGAATCGTTTATTTATTGTTCTTTCAGTAATGTTCAGCTTGTACACTTTTCATTGTCTGTGTTGTCCAGTTGTCACGTGAGAAAAAAGATTGTTTTGTAGTGTCCATCCCCATCAAGTGACGTAATTCTGTTTTTATAAAAAAATGCTTACCATATTTCCTCTATTTGACATTCAAGTGTCTATCAATTTCCACAGCAAGTACCATCTTTTAACATCCTTTGCTATGACACGGCCAGGGATCAAACCTTCCACTCTCTGGGTAGACGCTAGACCAAGACAGTCACCGTGAAGATGGTATCAGAAATAACACCCTACTTTGATACCAGTCCCAGTGTATCATTATCACTTGTCTGTGTTATACAGGTGCATTTGGTGTTGACTTCTCTCAAGTCCCTGGTGAAGGAACCATAGAAGAAGGTGTACTCAAAGTAGCCAAAGGCCTTCTGGCTCACGGAGTGACTTCATTTTGCCCCACAGTGATTACCTCCCCTCCAAGTACATACCACAAGGTAGCTGTCACTGTTTTCTGAACTTCAGTTTTAGTGGGTTTTTTTTCTGCAAATAGTAAGAATAAAAGGAATTTACTATACATGCTACGGTAAAAGACATCCTGCAATGACTAGGGTTTTGGTTAGTTGGTTTGTTGTTTAACGCCGCACCCAGCAATATTCCAGCTATATGATGGCGGTCTGTAAATAATCGAGTCTGGACCAGACAATCCAGTGATTGATATCATGAGCATCGATCAACGCAATTGGGATCGATGACATGCATCAACCAAGTCAGCAAGCCTGACCACCCGATCCCTTTAGTCGCCTTTTACGACAACCATTGTCGCCTTTTATGGCAAGCATGGGTTGCTGAAGACCTATTCTACCGCGTAATCTTCACGGGTCAGGGTATTTTAGTGTTTGGTGGCGTGGATGTACCTGTTTACATTGTTAGTTTGAGAACCAGCTCCCTTTTGTTTGATTATGAACATTGTATCTTGACGATTTGACTGTAAGACTATGATTCTCAGTGACACAGTTTCATAGATTGATACCAGCTGACATCCTTACCTGAAGTGTACTGTTACCGTGGTTACAGAACTATCATTACACACTATGATACAGCGCAGTTGCCATGATGATATATTTCACATCCTCCTCGTGCGATTATTTTGGCTACTGAACATAGTTTTCTAATAAAAAAACACGGAAGATTTTGTCAAGATTGATAAAATGCTTTTGCACTTTTGTCAGGTCTATGGTAATCTATAGCTACATGATTCTGTTGCTGTCTACAGATTCTACCCCACATCAAGAAGTGCCCTGGCAGCAAAGCAGGAGCTGGGGTTTTAGGTGAGTTTACCAGCTGAAGCTTTTGGATGCAAAAAAACTATATTTTGATGCCTTATATTTGAACAGTAATATCTAATGTCTACCAGGGGTGGAATTAATGTGTATTGGCATGCACTCGAAGACCTTGGTAATATGTAACAGACAGGTTCCCGACAGTAATTATGTTGCATCATCTTTCTGATGTATAGACATGGACATTTTTGTTATGGATATATTTCTGGCCTCACTTTGATTTGATGCCATATGTTGATCTTTGTGGAGGGGTTGTGGTTGGCCCAGTGGCCCAAGATGCCTCAAGTAGCTGTTCAGGGTTGCATCCCTTAGCAGTGCCAGGATCTACCGGCTACAAATTCAAATCCTGGATTTACCATGATCTTTGGTTTGTCAACACATCTGTGAGTGAGTGAGTTGGGTTTAATGCCGCTTTTAACAGTATTCCAGTTATATCGCGGCGTGTCAGCTTAATGTGGGAGGAAAGCCCGAAGTGATGCAGGTCTAAGACGTTTACCACTTCGGTGAAACCCACGAGCACGGGTATGGTGCTGACAAACCTAGAAACATAATCGGGGCAAACCGGAAATCGAACCCACAATCACAGGTTTCTGGCATGCCTAAGGGACGCAACTCTGCACAGCGATTCACGGCGCCTTAGATGACTGGGCCACTCGTGCCCCCAAACACATCTGTGACTTCACACTCGGAAATGTCTCATGAGTCATGCTGTGCAATGCCCCAAATACTGCTGAAAGTGACATTAAATTAAAAACAACTCACTCTTCTGGGGAGGGACCTGTAGCTTACACTAATGGGTTCAATTTCATGGATGCCCTGGGCACCATAGAGATGAATCTCAGTGGGTTTGTCATTCTAACTCTTCCATGGTCTAGTTTATTATTTTACTTGTTTATTATCTTACTTGTTTATTATCTTACTTGTTAATTATCTTACTTGTTTATTATCTTACTTGTTTATTATCTTACTTGTCCATGTGTTGAGGTTCCCATGTGGAGGGGCCGTTCATCAGTCAAGAGAAGAAAGGAGCTCACCCTTCTGAACATATCCGCAACTTTGACGACGGATTCAAAGATGTCGTGGAAACATATGGCTCAATTAGTGATGTTGCCATAGTTACATTGGCGCCAGAGCTGAACAATTCTAAAACAGTGATAGAGGAGTTCATCAAAAGAGGTGTTGTAGTCAGCCTAGGTAAATATGCGCTATTGATTTTTATTAGCATGATTAGGGTGCTCGGTTGTATTTATGATTAGGTTATGATTCTAAGGGGAGGTGGGGGCACGGGTGGCCTAGTCGTCTAAGGCGCCGCGATTCGCTGTGCAGAGTTGCGTCCCTTGGGCACGCCAGAAGCCTATGATTGTGGGTTCAAATCCCGGTTCGCCCCGATTATGTTTCTAGGTTTGTCAGCAGCATACCCGTGCTTGTGGGTTTCACAGAAGTGAGACCTGCATCACTTCAGGCTTCCTCCCACATCAAGCTGACGCGCCGTGATATAAGTGGAATATTGTTAAAAGCGGCGTTAAACCCAACTCACTCACTCACTCACTCACTCACTCACTCACTCACTCACTCACTCTAAGGGGAGGTGAATTGGAAGTAAGTGAATATTGTTTTACGCTGCAGACTGCAATATTTCAGGACTTTGTAATGGCAGCCTGGCAACAATTAAGTCTAAGCCAGGTAAACCATGGTAGAAATACAAACAACAAGTTACAGTGCTACCATGGTTACCATGCAATCCCCATTTTTATCCACCCTTACAACAGTCTTGGGGTACTGAGGACATCCCCCTACTGAGGTTGCTATGGTTACAAGATTTGAGATTGAATATCCCCCGATAGATCTAAGTGCGGTCAGTACCAACTGTGTTTGACCAGTAGTATATAATTGTGACCAGAATATCTGATGCTGTTGGCTCCTGGAACCCCATAAAAAGTAAACAAGGGATATACATTTAGTTCTATGGATATACAACTTTATTACAATGACTGTGACGTTTGGTGTAGATACTAACACCATTATCATCACTTGCTTGATAACGGTGTTAGTAATTACAACCAAAGGTGGCAGTCATTGTAATAAGGAAGATGCAGATATAACCATGATAACCAACTTCTAAATGCCACTTAAAGTATTTTGTAACTAGTGTAAGGACAATACACTGATGCATCAGTGGATTGCGTTTTCTTTCCTCTTGAAACAAGTATCAATCACAGAGTACAAAATATCAATTTTTAACTTAAATGTTAGCTTTAATAACTCTTACACTAAACACTAATTAGAAGTTACCAGTGGAAATATAAATATTTTCATCTGTTGTGCCCAATCTCATTAAAATCAGATCTTAGTTCTCGCTACCGCTAAACAAAGATCTGAGGACATCCCATGACGGGTCACATCAGACTGACCTTGCGCGAATTTTGATCGACCAATGGAATGACCAATCAGAAGGCAGCTTTCTCGTGCTTTACGGCACTAATTTCAAATTGGCGACTATGCTTCGAAACATATTGTGACTAATTCTCAATTACAAATTTGAAACCTGAACAAGAGAACATTCTGGAATGGCTAATAGATCAAACCCGTAACTATCGTTCGGAATATCCCGTGTTAATGTTTTCGAGGTTGTATGATTAGAAATAACATTCCGACTGTCACTTTCATTATCTGGTAAGTGACGCTCTGATTGGTCGGATGAAAGGTTGTTCTGACGTGACCCCTAACGGGATGTCTTCAGATCTTTGTGTAGCGGTAGCGAGAACTAAGGTCTGATTTTAATGAGATTGCTGTTGTGCCATACTAAATGTAAATGTGCCAAATGTAAATCATCAGTGTGCCAGGTATTCTGCCATCCTGTATAAGAATATGATGGCTTATGGACCAAAGATAGAGCACATCAGGTATCTGCCCAGACACAACACCTCTTTGTATGAATGTCGGAGGTTACCTCCACAACAGGTCACGTCTGAACATTCTGATCAGCCAATCAGTGTCAATGCTTCTAAATTCTCGGTACAAGTTAGTGAAGCATTCAGACAGGCATGTCTGATTTCTGTATCTAGAAAATGGATACAATCAGGGTGATGCAAATTCAAAAATATACAGCTGTGCATTGCTGGCCGTAAAAGGCGACTATGCTTGTTGTAAGAGGCGACTAACAGGATCGGGTGGTCGGGGTCACTGACTGTTTTGCAATATCCTCATACACTGAAACGTCCCTTGTCATCAATTGAACCAACTGGATTCAGAGTATTTCACACATATGAAGCTGTCAACGCTCTCTTCTTTCTTCAGTTGAAAAAGCTCGGAAGCTGTGAGATATAATCATGGTAGTTAGAGAAAGGTTTAATGGTGTGTGTGTGTGTGTCTGTTAGTGTGTGTGTCTGTGTGTGTGTCTCTGTCTGTGTGTGTGTGTCTCTGTCTGTGTGTGTGTGTGTGGTTGGATGTGTGTCTGTGTGGGTGTAGGTGGGTGGGTCTGTGTGTGGATGGGTCTCTCTGTGTGTGTGTGTGTGTGTGTGTGTGTGTGTGTGTGTGTGTGTGTGTGTGTGTGTGTGTGTAGGTGTAGGTGTAGGTGTAGGTGTGGGGTGTGTGTGTGTGTGTGTAATGCTTTTTATTCAGCACTTAGCATGGTTAGGGTTTGGAATTAGGACAGCTCTTTTCACTGTAATCAGCGGGTCTGACCGGTGGTTTCAGCAACTGCCTAGAAACACCTGCCTATCTGTGTCAGTTCTTCTATATCATATGTTTGAGTTCGCTTCATGACTTGGGTTGTGTGGACCCTAACTTCCTCAAAATCCTTGATCCATCACTATGTTCTAACAGAATGTGAGTAGCTGGTGATGTGTCAGTGATTGCCCATCAGGATACTTGACCTGTGTCTGCAGGTCACTCACAGGGCAATCTGGTGCAGGGCGAGGAAGCTGTGAGGCAGGGAGCTGGTTACATCACCCATCTTTTCAATGCCATGCTGCCGGTAAGTTGCCATGGTTACATCACCCATCTCTTCAATGCCATGCTGCCAGTAAGTTGCCATGGTTACATCACCCATCTCTTCAATGCCATGTTGCCGGTAAGTTGCCATGGTTACATCACCCATCTCTTCAATGCCATGCTGCCGGTTAAGTTGCCATGGTTACATCACCCATCTCTTCAATGCCATGCTGCCGGTAAGTTGCCATGGTTACATCACCCATCTCTTCAATGCCATGCTGCCGGTAAGTTGCCATGGTTACATCATTCATCTCTTCCGCATCATGCTGCCAGTAAGTTACCATGGTTATGTCACTCATCTGTACCACATCATGCACCATGTTTTCTGTGTTTACATTTTCTGTCAGTTTTATTCAGTGTCCAACATGTAGCCAAATTGAACCATTAAAAACTGGATCAGAATTATATCCCTCAAATTCTTCTAATCAATTTGGAGTACCGTCATTGTATTTTTACTTGCCCTCAGCATAATTTGGTAGTCTTGGGCTAGTGGACGAGTGTTAGGTTGTAACACTATATGTCACTATCAACCAATGGGCCACTGTTTGATGGGTTATGTTTGATACACTGGTTGATATTACCCACAGTTCCACCACCGTGACCCTCACCTTGTGGGTCTCCTTGCCAGCGAGAGGCTACCCAAGGAGAGGACGATATATTACGGCCTCATCTCTGACGGCATCCATACTCATCCTGCGGCGCTCCGTATAGCGCACAGAGTACATCCTCAAGGTCAGTAGCTCCACCCTCAAGGTCAGTAGCTCCACTTTCAAGGTCAGTAGCCCTGCCCTCAAAGTCACTAGCTCCACCCTCAAAGTCACTAGCTCCACCCTCAAACTCAGTAGCTCCACCTTCAAAGTCAGTAGCTCCACCCTTAAGGTCAGTAGCTCCACCCTCAAAGTCAATAGCTCCACCTTTTAGGTCAGTAGCTCCACCTTCAAGGTCAGTAGCTCCACCCTCAAAGTCAGTAGCTCCACCTTCAAAGTCAGTTGCTCCACCCTCAAGGTCAGTAGCTCCACCTTCAAAGTCAGTTGCTCCACCTTCAAGGTCAGTAGCTCCACCCTCAAACTCAGTAGCTCCACCTTCAAAGTCAGTAGCTCCACCCTTAAGGTCAGTAGCTCCACCCTCAAAGTCAATAGCTCCACCTTTTAGGTCAGTAGCTCCACCTTCAAGGTCAGTAGCTCCACCCTCAAAGTCAGTAGCTCCACCTTCAAAGTCAGTTGCTCCACCCTCAAGGTCAGTAGCTCCACCTTCAAAGTCAGTAGATCCACCTTCAAAGTCAGTAGATATCCCTGTAGTACTTATGTTGTACAGGGTCATGTGATATACTTGTGTTGTACAGGGTCATGTGATATCCCTATTGTACTTGTGTTGTACAGGGTCATGTGATATCCCTGTTGTACTTGTGTTGTACAGGGTCATGTGATATCCCTATTGTACTTGTGTTGTACAGGGTCATGTGATAACCCTGTTGTACTTGTGTTGTACAGGGTCATGTGATAACCCTGTTGTACTTGTGTTTTCCAGGGTTAGTGCTGGTGACTGATGCAATCCAGGCGATGGGTCTTCCGGAGGGCTTCTACGTCTTCGGGGAGCAGGAGATTGAAATCAAGGGAAAGAGAGCAGTGTTGGCTGGGACTGATACACTGTGTGGAAGGTGAGGGAGGGAGGGAGGGAGGGAGCAAACAGTGCTACATCCATGTCCCGGGTCTCATCATATTGGGGGTAGGGGCTGTGCTGAGCATGCTGAGTGAACTTCTCTTAATACCATAGTCAGCAGTATTTCTGCTCTACGACTATGACTCTGCTCTAGTCAGCAGTACTTCTGCTCTACGATTATGACTCTGCTCTAGTCAGCAGTATTTCTGCTCTACAACTACGACTCTGCTCTAGTCAGCAGTATTTCTGCTCTACAACTACGACTCTGCTCTAGTCAGCAGTATTTCTTCTCTACGATTAAGACTCTGCTCTAGTCAGCAGTATTTCTGCTCTACGATTAAGACTCTGCTCTAGTCAGCAGTATTTCTGCTCTACGATTAAGACTCTGCTCTAGTTAGCATTCTGCTCTATGACTACGACTCTGCTCTAGTCAGTAGTACTTCTGCTCTACAACTCTGACTCTGCTCTAGTCAGCAGTATTTCTGCTCTACGACTACGACTCTACTCTAGTCAGCAGTATTTCTGCTCTACGACTACGACTCTACTCTAGTCAGTAGTATTTCTGCTCTACAACTCTGACTCTGCTCCAGTCAGCAGTATTTCTGCTCTACGACTACGACTCTACTCTAGTCAGCAGTATTTCTGCTCTACAACTCTGACTCTGCTCTAGTCAGCAGTATTTCTGCTCTACGACTACGACTCTGCTCTAGTCAGTAGTATTTCTGCTCTATGACTACGACTCTGCTCTAGTCAGTAGTATTTCTGCTCTACAACTACGACTCTGCTCAAGTCAGCAGTATTTCTGCTCTACGACTACGACTCTGCTCTAGTCAGCAGTACTTCTGCTCTACAACTCTGACTCTGCTCTAGTCAGCGGTATTTCTGCTCTACAACTACGACTCTGCTCTAGTCAGCAGTATTTCTGCTCTACGATTAAGACTCTGCTCTAGTCAGCAGTACTTCTGCTCTACGACTACGACTCTGCTCTAGTCAGCAGTACTTCTGCTCTATGTTTAAGTCTCTGCTCTAGTCAGCAGTACTTCTGCTGTACAACTCTGACTCTGCTCTAGTCAGTAGTATTTCTGCTCTACGACTACGACTCTACTCTAGTCAGTAGTATTTCTGCTCTACAACTCTGACTCTGCTCCAGTCAGCAGTATTTCTGCTCTACGACTACGACTCTACTCTAGTCAGCAGTATTTCTGCTCTACAACTCTGACTCTGCTCTAGTCAGCAGTATTTCTGCTCTACGACTACGACTCTGCTCTAGTCAGTAGTATTTCTGCTCTATGACTACGACTCTGCTCTAGTCAGTAGTATTTCTGCTCTACAACTACGACTCTGCTCAAGTCAGCAGTATTTCTGCTCTACGACTACGACTCTGCTCTAGTCAGCAGTACTTCTGCTCTACAACTCTGACTCTGCTCTAGTCAGCGGTATTTCTGCTCTACAACTACGACTCTGCTCTAGTCAGCAGTATTTCTGCTCTACGATTAAGACTCTGCTCTAGTCAGCAGTACTTCTGCTCTACGACTACGACTCTGCTCTAGTCAGCAGTACTTCTGCTCTATGTTTAAGTCTCTGCTCTAGTCAGCAGTACTTCTGCTGTACGTTTAAGACTCTGCTCTAGTCAGCAGTATTTCTGCTTGTATTATTGGGGCCTATAAAAAAAGGAGTATGAAACCAGGGGTTGATAGCATGAGCAACAATGCATGTCAGAGACTGACACACAACCAGTTAATCCAGGAAGATCCGGGTTAGAATTGGTCTTCAGCAACCCATGCTTGTCTTCAGAGGCGACTATGCTTGTAAGAGGCCACTAACGGGATCGGGTGGTCAGGCTTGTTGACGTGGTTGATTCATGTCATTGTATCCCATTTGCGTAGATCGATGCTCATGATGTCAATCTCTGGATTGTCTGGTCCAGACTTGATTATTTACAAACGCCGTCATGTAACTGGAATATTGCTGAGTGGGGCGTTAAACAACAAACAAACAAAATCAACTAGTCAGGTCACACAATGCAGCCATCCAATCCTCACTCTTACGACTAGCATGGGGTGCTAAGAGTAAGATGGTGTTCTCTGTTAAGACTTCCACGATGCCAGAGGGGCCCCATTGCTTTATGTGTTTCACCAGATTTCAGAGTTCAATGTTGGTTCGTGTTTTTCATTTCAGTATTTCCACCCTGGATAACTGTGTGAGACACTTCGCCAAATCTACAAGTAAGTCAGTGAAAGATCAAGTTAAATGTTTCACCTGATATTTTACAGTCATGGACTTTTATCATTTTTTAGTGATTTAATATAACTCACATCTTCACAGTGTGTGTCTTCGTATTTTGTTTAAATGACGGGCAGTCGGGTAGCCTAGTGGTTAAAGTGTTCGCTCGCCACGCCGAAGACCCGGGTTCAATTCCCCACATGGGTACAATGTGTAAAGCCAATTTCTGGTGTCCCCCGCAGTGATATTGCTGGAATATTGCTAACAGTGGCATAAACCATACTCACTCACTCATTTGTTCAAATGAGTGGTATTTTGACTAAAATTTCTTTTACTGAGTTATTTTTCCTGGGTAATTGAGATATGAGTAGAGGAATTGGTAACTAAAATGATAATGATGGGGATGATGATTGTGTCCCCAGATTGTGGCCAGGTCCTGGCTCTGGAAGCTGCCTCTCTCCACCCTGCGAAGATGATGGGGATTACAGCACAGAAAGGCACGCTTGAGTTCGACACGGACGCTGACTTTATTCTCATCAACGACAACCTTGAACCCTTGGCCACGTACGTTGCAGGAGAACTGGTGTGGGAGAGCCCTGCTGCACCGTCCCGGGTCGTCTGCAAAGTCAAGGAATGACCTTGTCAAGCCACTGGATTATAGCATTCATATTTCTCCACACTTGTATTTCGCAGAAATGTGTTGACATTTGAAAATTGGCCTCCATATCTTATCTCTGGTGATGTGAGACATCTTATGGCAAGGTTTTTTCCATTTTGGGGGCAAGATTGATGCAAGAAGGAACATTATTTTACATGTGTGAACACTGTGAAAAAAAGAGGAAGCAGGTAAATCTATGGTATTAGGTGCGTGTTCACTTGAAGTCTGTCAGATGTCTGTCTTTGTGTGACATGCTTGATGAAAGTTGTTTATATCTTTATATTGCCCTTTGTGTTTGGATGGTGTAATTCATATCATGTAGTCAATATATTGCAGAAAGTGCTTTTCAGTTCAATTACATGGTATACAGATTTGATGTCAAAACCCTTTTGTCATGTGGTTTTCTCAAGACCCTTTTGTCATGTTGTTTTCCAAAAACCCTTTTGTCATGTTGTTTTCTCAAAACCCTTTTGTCATGTTGTTTTCCAAAAATCCTTTTGTCATGTGGTTTTCCCAAAACCCTTTGTCATGTGGTTTTCCCAAAACCCTTTTGTCATGTGGTTTATCCAAAACCTTTTTGTCATGGGGTTTTCCCAAAACCCTTTAGTCATGGGGTTTTCCCAAAACCCTTTTGTCATGTGGTTTTCCCAAAACCCTTTTGTCATGTCGTTTTCCCAAAACCCTTTGTCATGTGGATTTCCCAAAACCTTTTTGTCATGGGGTTTTCCCAAAACCCTTTAGTCCTGGGGTTTTCCCAAAACCCTTTTGTCCTGGGGTTTTCCCAAAACCCTTTTGTCATGTGGTTTTCCCAAAACCCTTTTGTCATGTTGTTTTCCCAAAACCCTTTTGTCATGGGGTTTTCCCAAAACCCTTTGTCATATGGTTTTCTCAAAACCCTTTTGTCGTGTGGTATTCTCAAAACCCCTTTGTCATGTGGCTTTCCCAAAACCCTTTTGTCATGAGGTTTTCTCAAGACCCTTTTGTCATGTGGTTTTATGAATTGGATTGTGTGTCAGGACAATATTTTCACTGCAGGAAGAGAATAGTCTTCTCAAGATGCTACATTTATTCCACATTTATCAACATGTAAACAAGACATGCCTAAGTATGACACAGATGATATATGAGTGCCTATTGGCACCAGAAATACTCCACAGTTCTATATATCTTTTCATGCTCAATTACTTTTCAGATTTATACAATTTTATCTATAACATGTTCTTGATAATGTTTGTGCATCATTTCTAAGGTAAAATGTTGTACTTAACAGTAATCATAATCATAATAATCATAATTATTTGGTAAACCTTTGTGAACATAGTGCAAACTGACATATAACCATTAATTATTAGGGTGCAAAATTAATGTTAATGCAACAATTAAATTAATTACAACAAAAATATTAAATTAAAACTTTGTAGTAAAACAACCCAGCTTATGTCAATATCACAAATATTGTGTATGTCCCCAATGACTTTAAGGCAATGGATCCCTTTTGTATGAAGGTATGTAGTGTAGCATTTAAGCAAGCCGGAAGGTCGTATCTATGTACCCGGGTACCCATGCAGAGTAGTGATAGAGAATCGTAGGATCCTGGTGTCCAATCACAGAGGGGCAGTTGGGTAGCCTAGGGGTTAAAGCGTTCGCTCGTCAAGCCAAAGACCCGGGTTCGATTCCTGACATGGGTACAATGTGTGAAGCCCATTTCTGGTGTCCCCCGCCGTGATATTGCTGGAATATTGCTAAAAGTGGCGTAAAACCATACTCACTCACTCACTCACTCACTCACTCCCTCGCTCGATAACTCACTCACTCACTCACTCCATCACTCACTCACTCCATCACTCCAATCCAATCCCAGAAGCCCAAAAACTATGACCAACTTTACCGGCTCCACCCATGTGCTTATGGATTTCCCTGAAGTGGTAAACATCTGAGACCTGCATCACTTTCCTTCAACTTAAAGGCCTTTTCACTTAGCCATATTAAACAGAGTTATTATCAGTGTACAGATACTTGAAGGGCTCGACTTGTTTCTCTGGAACTTCCATGTTAGCTATTCTAGATATCATATGGTATAGGGATTGTGATGATGCGTTGAGGTGAGGTGAAATGGGTTTCAATACTGCATTAAAGTTTATTACACCTATGTAGCACGTGTGTGGTTACTAGTACTACTCCAGATCGATTTATACGCGTATCTAAATACATTATGTCCAGGGCTACAGTCAAACTATTCCCAATCGGACATTGGGTACCTGGGTAGGGTCGCGTAATAGGTGGGCGGGTACCCGGGTAGTAAATTTGGACTTGTCCCAGCCCTACTGAGATCCCATGCCACACTTTAACACTGATACAGTATACTGACTCCGAGGCTGCCAGTCCTTGTTTTAGCCCCTAATGCCGACTGTCAGGATGCATTGTTTGAAATAAGCTGTTATCTGTTTTATATATTTTAGTTCAATGCACACCACCAGCCAAACAATTAACATTCAATATGTGTGAATATGTTGTGCCAAAAGTCTAGATTTTGTTCTTTTTATTATTTATAAATACTATTTTCTCTTTGACTTGGGAATATTTTCCATCCAATTTGTACCAAATATAATTATGTTCAGTTTCTACACTGATCTGATTATAAATGTGGAAATGTTTATGATATTTCATCCAATCTCATTAAAATCAGATCTTAGTTCTTGCTACCGCTAAACAAAGATCTGAGGACATCCCATTACAGGTCACGTCAGACCAACCTTTCGCGATCTTTGACCGACCAATGGAATGACTAACAAGAAGTCGACAATAGCCAATCAGAAGGCAACTTAATCGACTTTTATGGCACGAGTTTCAAACCTCAGACTGTCAAAATAGATGGTCTATATTGTATGAATACAGTCATAAAGCCCATAATAGTCGTTCGGAATACACTGTGTTTTTGTTTTTTTGAGGTTGCACTATCAAAAGTCACATTCCAACTGTCACATTCATGATCTGATAAGCGATGCTCTGATTGGTCAGTTGAAAGGTCTTTCTGACATGACCTGCAGTGGGATGTCCTCAGATCTTTGTTTAGCGGTAGTGAAAACTAAGATCTGATTTTAATGAGATTGTATTTCATCTCAAGTTTCAAATTATGCGTTGTTATTTAGAATTATTTTCCTTAACAGGTCTGTCCTAAACAAACTGATGATCTTAATGCTATATAGATAAAGCATGTGTCCAGATTGCTACCTCAGACTGTCAAAATGTTTATTGTTTAACTTACTTCATTTGGTTCAGAAATCTGTGTATCAGAACATTGCTTAGACATTCTTGGCATAATAGTAACTTGATTCAATTCATATTTTAAGAATATGAATTATTTCTAATACTGGTTGTTTTGTGTTAAAATTATATTTGAAGGTGATGATTATTTTTTGCATCACTTTAAAGTTTGATTATATATAATTCTCTATTTGATAACTTATGTTGATTTATTTGATAAATTGCCAAAGGTTGTTACAAACAGATGTGACCCTTGAAGATCTGGGTCAGAATAGGTCTTCAGCAACCCATGCTTGCTGACTAACAGGATCGGGTGGTCAGGCTCGCTGACTTGGTTGATGCATGTCATCGATCCCAATTGCGTGGATCAATGCTTATGATGTCAATCACTGGATTGTCTGGTCCAGACTCAATTATTTACAGACCGCCATCATATAGCTGGAATATTGCTGAGTGCGGCATAAAACAACAATCAACTACAAACAGATGTATGTATTATCATCTTTTCAGAATTCAGATTTATATCATTCCTAAGTAACCTGTCGTCCCGATAAACAAGTATGCAAATTGTTTGAATAAGATATTATCAACATGAAAGTGAATTCCATCCCCCTCTCTATCACAGAATCTTGGTGGGTTCACTTACACCCTGGGTGCATTCCCCTGCACCCTGGGTGGATTCACTTGCATTCCAGGTGCATTCACCAACACTTATTTCATGTTCCCATGTGTGTTTAGCTTTAAGAAGTTCTGCAATATTAATTTATTCATTGATTTGAACATATTGATTTACATATGGTATTTTATATCTTTCATGCATATAATTGTTGTTGTAGTTTGACCATGTTCACATTCATCATGCTTCCGCCCTGTCAGCAACAAACTGTTTGTAGCCAGCTGCTTTTGTGCGCGTTCTTGCCATGCCTAGTTTTCAATGATATTGAAACATTAGTTTCGTTTCAAAGCACAAATATGTTCTGTACAATCTGTGGTGTTGGAAAACAATAATTAGACCAATTGTCGCTAATGCCTTTATTGAATGACCTTGAAACATGTGAACACTCTCCACACTTTGACCCGGGGGAACGGGTGGCCCAGTCGTCTAAGGTGCCCCGATTCGCGTCCCTTGGGCTTGCCAGAAACCTATGATTGTGGGTTCGAATCCCAGTTCGCCCCGATTGTGTTTCTGGGTTTGTCAGCACCATACCCGTGCTCGTGGGATTCGCCAATGTGGTACACGTCTGAGACTGTATCACTTCAGGCTTTCCTCCCACATACAGCTGATACGCCGCAATATAATTGTAATACTGTTAAAAGTGGCGTTAAACCCAACTCACTCACTCACTCACTTTGATCCACTTCAGTTCCAGGTCACTTTGTTTCCTGCTCATCACCCTTGTCCCATGAGGCTCGGTCTAAGGGACCACAATGTGTTGTGCAATTTGAGTTACATCCCTTAGCTGCGCCTGGATCATGGTCATGAATCCCAGGTTGGTCTGTCAGGACAAAATCAGTGCTTTCAGTTTAGAACAGTTTTTGGCAGAAGTGGTAAACATTGTTTACCTGTGTCACTAATGACATTCTTTGCACAGGAAACTGACACACTATGATAGAGCTTATATACGGTTCAAAATAGTGCTAGGCCCATGTCACAGGTGCTTCCTTGTTTTGTCCAAGCAATGGTCAAAACACAAACAGCCATGTTGATACGAGTTATGCCCCTCACCTGTCCTCCAGCAGTGTCTGTACAAAGAGGAGATATGATAAGGTCTCTGTAGCAAATAAGTACTTTTTAGGCAGTGTTTCAGTCATGAAAAAATAATTTAAAGTTTTGTTGATTTTGAGAATGCTGAATGTAGAATGTGTTATTTTTTCATGACAAAGAGTATATTTTCAAGTTATTCTGTCAATTATATATGGAATTTTAGAATGATATCTGTGTTGTTTTGTTTGAGTTTTGTTATTTTAGCAACTAAATGCAGACCATCTGACCAACTTCCTACTTGGTAGGATTGAAAATATATTTCTCATGATTATATAGGAGTTTGTTTTCTCCACCAAATAAAGTGTCATATGATCTGTTCATACTGTTTCCTGAATCCACAGCATATATTGTTAATTGTGAATCTCTAATGATTTTCATCATGGCATGTTTTCTATATTCTGGTCAGAGGATTAAAATCTGTATGGGGAAATGAGTTTTCTGTGTTCTTTCAAGGGAACAATGACCTGTTCTAAGAGTCTGAGATGCACCTCATTACTCATATATATATAGTTTTGTTTGTTGCTTAACGCGTACTCATCAATATTCCAGCTATATGATGGCGGTCTATAAATAATTAAATCTGGACGGGACAATCCGGTGATTGACATCTTGAGCATTGATCCACGCAATTGGGATCGATGACATTTCTCAACCAAGTCAGCGAGCCTGACCACGAGATCCCTTAGTCATCTCTTATGACAAGCATGGGTTGATGAAGACTAATTCCAACCTGGATCTTCACGGCAGTATATAGTTTTTGAGTTTCTAAGCCAACAAGTAGTATACATACTAAACATTTTTAGAATTACACAACCGCCTCCGTGGTCTAGAGGTAGAGCGTCCCCCCGGAGAGCGGAAGGTCCGGGGTTCGATCCCTGGCCGCATCTTACCAAAAGACGTTAAAATATGGTACTTGTTGTTACCCTGTCTGAGGCTCGGCATTAAGGGGCTAAAACAAGGACTGGTCGGCTCGGAGTCTGTGTCTGAGTTAGGTATTCATGTAAATTGGGCATGCATGGTATCTCAGTGGGCTAGCACTATAAATCGGCATCAGTCCGGACTAGTACAAGCAGCCACACACACACGTGCATGCACGTCGCTATATTACTGCAATAATAAGTGCAATAATCTTGGACGCGACGTTAAACCCAATTTCACCTCATCAGAATTACACATTCATATTAACGTGACAAATCACTGTTTAAATTGAATATAGGTTCGAATGAGGTAGAATTTGTGCCACAGCATGGGTCATTACTCATAACTTATTAACCCTTCAATGCTTCTTTGTCTCTGTATTCGCATCAGGCAACTGACGATACAAACTGATTTAATCAGATCTTGTGTAGCGGCAGTGAGCAGTAAGATCTGATTTTAATAAAATTGCAGCTGACATTTGTGTAACACTAAAGTAGAACATTGCAACCAACCACTGCTTGATGAAATGTACTGTTTATTGAAACGTTTTATTTCAATCCATTGGATTGGAAGGCATAGAAGCATTTAAAGAAAATATTACATAAGATTCACATTATAGATAGGACAAATCAGTTCTTATGAAACCGGAAGTCTCATTTCAGATTACTAAAGGATTTAAGTATACACAAAAAATGAAATAAAAAAATATACTGGTAAGTTATGACAAGGACACAGTGAAGAATATAACAACAGTGATATACAACGTATCTGTTCATCAATCATTCGAATTGCAATAGAAACAATGTTAATAATCACAGTATTAGGTGGCATTCATTGGTAAGCAATGTTGCTTGGTTAGGTATAACTTGTAAGGCACAACTAAAATCGCTTGGTATATAAGTGCTTTATCGTGGAGGTTCTAAAGACTGAACACATGTCTTACGATCCATTACTGATAAAATAGTAGTGATGAATAGATAGGTAACAAGACATAGGGCAACCTCTTCTTTTCACATATATAACAGAACATACGATGGTTTTATAGGGCAAGACGCTTGCTTCTTGCAGTTCTGTGAGATTTGATTCCAATTATTTTAAAAACTTTATTTATCTACTAACTCAATTTTACACGTCAATATACTAGTTAATCATTAATCCATGTACACAGGGCTAATGTCTCGGTTCACACATTGCAAAAACGACACGTATGGACCTGTCAATATGCACGTGGATCTAACAGTAATGTATGACTATATAAAGTAATACAACCAGTTTTTAACATTTCCGAGTTCTGTCGCCAGGATCTTCTGTCTCCTGTGTATTTAATGCGCGCTTCACCCTACTGTACTCGTATGAAGCACCCTGAAACTGACTTACACGTATACCTACTTGAAATGAACAATGAAAGTTTGAAATATGAGTGAGTGAGTGAGGGAGTATGGCTTTACGCCGCTCTTAGCAATATTCCAGCAATATCACGGCGGGGGACACCAGAAATGAGCTTCACACATTGTACCCATGTGGGGAATCGAACCCGGGTCTTCGAAGTGACGAGCCAGCGCGCTAACCACTAGGAGCCACTAAAGTTCTGGCGAGGAGGCGATTGGTGTAACTACACCCAGTCCGTTGTTAGTTGGTAAACAATTTAATACGTCTATGATTCAACTTTAACGTTATCCTGATGTTAATATAAGGCTGCCATGTTTGCCCGTCGAAGTTCAATCTCGGGGTGTGCGTGCGGTGGCTGGAGCACTCTCGGCGTCTTCCTTCACCACTCTGGGAGATGTCTCCACAACGTCTTCGTTGACCACTCCGGGAGGTGTCACTTCGGTGGGTTGCGGCGTCTCCCCTCCCTCGCTGGACATGGGGAGACTGGCCTCTGTCATCTGGTCATTGCTCACAGTCGTACCTTCAGAGACTATCATGATCTCGTCAGCTTGGATCTCCCCGTACTCATTTGTAATGCTCTCCCCTTCGCCTCCCGCCGTGCCGTCAGCGTCGTCGAAGCTGGTGCGGATGTGACGTTGTGAAATGATTTCGTTGTCGCGTTCAAGTGGGATCTTGTTAGTCGGCGTGAATAACGTCCTTGAGTTGATGTCGCCATGACCTTGAGGTATAATCTCTTCCTTGTCTTCCGCCTTGTCCGCCTTATCCACCTTGGATGACGTCTTCTTATTCTTTATCCACCACAAGACGCCGAGGAAGATGACGACGGCGGCAGCGATGATGATGAGAGTCCCGAGCGTTCCCCCGATTACAGAGGCAGAGGCGGTGTTGGTTTGTTCAACGGGGGCCGGCGTCACAGTCGTTGCGACAGCTAGAAAAGATATGACAGTCCACATGTACCGTATAACCCCGATTAAACGCCGGATATGGAATACATGTCATTGTCTCTATTAAACGCCGGACCTCGATTAAACGCCGTGTAGTTTTTTTACGCACGGATTTCTCCAAATTATTACCACTTCGATTAAACGCCGGTGATAAAGAGTCAGGTCACATCACACCTCGTGACATTCCACACACGAGTGTGCCCAAAGCGCTTCGCCGTTATTACCCCGACCAATGAATTTTAATACAATATATATTTCCAATACAGTATATTTACCATTCCAAAACACACTTGCGTGATCACATGGGCTTATAACACACAAAAAAGTCGCAGCTCCAACAGATATTGTCACAACCAGTGTGTCAGAAATATATTAAAGAATATTAAAGAAAAGAAAATAGTACTGGCACTGGTTTGCGTTACTAGGTGCGCGAAATAAAATAAGTCGGGAAGGATTTACTTACGACAGGAATCTGAAAAGACAAGAACAGAAATAGATTAATATATATACAAATATGAAAAGGCTTTGTAGTGTTTCAAGGTAAGGTTAATGCGAGTAGCCCTTCGCCTGGTGGAAGACTTGCGAAGGGGTGCCATGGTTAATCGATACTTCACTGGTGCGTGTACATTTCGTTTCACCCGTGAATACATAAGGCCAAAATGCGGTGTAGTGACGGTCTATTTCACGTCAGCTCAGGCCGGTTATAATTCATGGAACTCAAATTAAAGGGCAAGTTCACACGGAAATGAACCAATTTTTCTTGTACTTTTTCCACATTAAAAGTGTTAGCATAGAAGTGTCATAGACAAAAATATAAAAACATCATATTTAATTAACATATTTTTTGCATTAAAACAAGTTATATTTTTCACATTTACCAAGTGTTCTATTTCCATAACAAAAACACCATGGCTTATGCCCCTTGCAATATGACGTCATTGGTGCCAATTGATAAACATTATGACGTCATCATGCTTTGTTAGAGCCGCTTCACGTGGTGTAGGTACAGTTTTGTGATTCTAGCGTCTCAGATGCCAGCCAGAATTGTGTTATGCTGAGTCACCACTGCGCCGGAGTGTGTCGTAGACCATGTTGTTTTACCGCAAACTGGTCCTTGATATCTTTTGCGTTGAGAATAGACAGGGACCCAGTTGAATTGGCACCAATTACGTCATAATCTAAGGGGGATAACTCAGGCCTATTTCGCTCGTAAAACGAAGGCCTCATAACGGCAGATCATTTTAACACTATTGTGAGCTTCCTACTTTCACTGTGAAAAAAAAATGAGTGTATATTTTCAAAAACAGATACTAACTAATTCTAAAATTGCGTTTTGTTTGGAAAAAGAAAGAAAGTGATTTTTGCGTGTACACTTCCCCTTTAACAGTATTTTTTGTCCACGAACTTTGTGCAAACCCTGCCATTGCTACAACCCTTTAGGGGGGATACTACGATGGCACATACAGGAACATCTTCGCGAGGCAAGGGAGTTAACTGACTGTAAAAGTCCCCTTTCCATCCTTGCCATTGGCTGAAATTTCTGAGCTCGATCGTAGCGCCACCAGTAGCTAATACGAGTTATGTCCCTTCTGTATCCCTCCTACTGACCAATCAGATTCCACCGCTCATATCACGTATATTTGCCTCAAACATAATGGCACCCTCCCCCTGAAGACGACCTGGTCGATGATGAAAATGTATCTTGTAATAAAACTGGTCTTACTTCGCGAAGTGCATCAAATCACATGAGCACCTTGATTGAAAACAAGAAATGAGTTGGCGGTACGCATGCTTTGCAAATCCCGCAAGGGACCGAAATCTGTATGGCAGTTTACGAACCGTATATCGGTTTCGTTACGCGATTTTGATTGGCCTATGCATAGACTCGTTTATCCAGCCAAAATATAACACCAGCCTAGTTCGGCAAGGTGAGGTGAGGTGAAATTGGGTTTAACGTCCCGTCCAAGATTATTGCACTTATATAGCGACGTGCATGCACGTGTATGTGTGTGTGTGGCTGCTTGTACTAGTCTGGACTGATGCCGATTTATAGTGCTAGCTCACTGAGATACCATGCCGCAGTTTAACATGAATACCCCACTCAGACACAGTATACTGACTCCGAGCCGACCAGTCCTTGTTTTAGCCCCTTAATGCCGAGCGCCAGACAGGGTAACAACAAGTACAATCTTTTAACGTCTTTTTGTATGACGCGGCCCGGGATCGAACCCTGGACCTTCTGCTCTCCGGGCGGACGCTCTACCACAAGACCACGGAGGCGGTCCCTAGTTCGGCAAGGGTGGAAACTGGACTTGTATAGTCATTTAACGCCCTTGCCTCGGGAAGATGATACAGGAACATTGCCGCAGGTCTTAACGGGGAATTGCGGATCCTAGTGTATACAAACCCGTGGTGTCTTGACGATGAGGAATGCTGCTTTGTATATGTGCTCGCTAGGCTTTCCTGGTGACGTAGCATTCATGATGATAAGAGCATAATGAACTATGTAACGTAATTTCTACTGTGGAGGACGTTTACACGAATAGGAGAAAGTATTATACACCAATGGGATTCAGGCACTCCAACATCGTTGGCAGAAATGTGTTGACATCGGCGGGGAGTATGTTGAAAAATAATAAGCAACCAACTCCATCAACAAAGTCAGGTTCAGAACCTTTCACCCACCCCTCGCACAAGAATTATTTTACTTTCACTTTTACTTAGAAATGAAAAACTATGGACTAAAATTGAAAAAGAAAAGGAATTATTGTTATGAACACACACTAAAGTACAGATACATGAAAAATATACAACTGAATTACCATTGAGTGTAAAGATCAAACTGGCTCCAGGGGAGGCAACTGCTGTGGAGTTCATCACGGTGGTGTTCTGGCATTCTTTGGGATACTGGGTAGCGTAGCCTACACCACTGCTGTCCTTCTGTAGAACCTGTCAGGACGAACATGGTGTTGAATCATTGTGTTCAAATCCCTTTGACGTGTTTGAGTTAAAGTTTAGTACATCATCCATTCTTCGCGGATGTGTTTTCAATAAACTCCCTCACTACACGTGATTAATCATTGCGTTGAAGTCGCTATTTTTAAATTAACGAATCAAGCCACGGCCTGGATCAGACCAATGAACGCTAAAATCAATTGGCAATATTTCCATGCCATCGGTTGCGGCCTCTATTCAAAACATTGCTTAAATATCAGGCAGCGGTAAGTTTCGTACAGAGTGAGCTCAAATCATGTCTGTGAGTTTTTAAAGGCCTTATATATTTACTTGACTGAAAAGAGAGACCCGCCACTATGACACGACAGGTCAGATATTTATGGTACATATATCATATGTATGTATACATATATACACATATCTTTATGTATAATGAATGTAGCAAGCGGATTCCGTAGATCAATCGCATCCTTTTACCAATACAGTAAACTACGGTAATAACGAACTCAAAGGGACTACTAATTTTAGTTCGTTATAACCGCAATTCGTTATAAGCATATATACAGTATAACTACAGCATATAGTCGGGACTAAAAAGTTAGTTCGTTGTATCCGTTAGTTCGTTATAAGCGTGTTCGTTATAACCGTAGTTTACTGTACTTTTCTCTGTTATAAAAAAAACACCAAATTGAGTCAAATTAGAATTGAAAGCTGGCACGAATTTCTTTCTCTAGAAATAAGTAAATGTAATCTTATTCTTCTAACTGTCATGTAGATTGGTTATTGCTAAATGCGGCGTTAAACAGGAAACAAAACAAAAAAACAGACTTTCGTTTATCAGAGGGGTGTTGAAGGGGGTGGGGGAGGGGAGAACTCCTGTAGCAATCCATGCATGTCTGATAGCAGGAGCCAATCAGAGGTGAGAGACACCATCGAAAGACATGAGCTTATTTTAATTATTAGTTGTTGTAACACATTAAAATGTTTGCAAATTCCCACGTGGCGTAACCCACATAAAATGGGACTGCGTCATAAGAAATTAATACCTTAAGGAAAACTGGGTGTCTGATACCACTGGGCTGAAAAGTGAGTAAAATACGTTCTAAAATATGTACCAACGAAATTAGGACATAATCACAGTTACTTTTGCTTTTGCATACGATAAATATAATGGCAACCATCTATAAATATTTCGATCTTACCATGCAGACAGTCTGGTAGGTTGTGCTGTCGTCGACACTCGCGTCAGCGTTGTACAGAATCACGTAGTGTGTGGAGCTTGTGTTCTGACTGTAGAGACAGTACAACTGCCCGCCAGCTGCAACAGAGAACGCGAGTGAGTGAGTGAGATAGACGATAAACACATCGCGTTTTCAATGTAGTGATAGGTTACCTCTCAATTTAATTGGAAATCGAACACGCAGCATGCGGTTTGTAACCTATAACCGTTACGTAAATACCTATATTTCAAAATGCCTACCTACAAAGACTGAGAAAGCATCAGGGGTGGTTATTGTGATTTGAAACCTTTGACTGACCATTCAGAGTCGAGTTCCAAATTCATGGTATAAATTGGTTTAACGCTCTTTGAACAGTGCTTCAGTTATGTCACATGTTGTTAGAGATGTAAAGTGACATTTCTCGGTGAAATGACATACTAGGGATCATAATCGGGGCGAATCGTGGATTCGAACCAACAACCATAGGATCCTGTGTTCTAAGGGACGCAACTGAGTATTGCCTTCGACCTCTCGGTAGAAAACAGGGGAATGAAAAAAAGAAATATTTTACACCTAAAAGCTATTGTAAGTACGATGGCAAATCAAGCCTTTACTTTTTATTCGTTAATTAGACTACAGTTTCCTGATTGGCTGATAATAGAGTGGGCGGGGCTTGTGTTTCATTATTGCGCTTATTTCGTATGTGTTAATGATTAAATAAGCAGTCTGTGAAATTATTATTGTTCACTTATTTTTTTCTACGAATCGAGTTCAACATTACACGGATTTACATTGTGTACATACCGCCTTTATTACCCATAAGGTTAGCAATAACTGAGTTCATATATATCATGTTGCACCAGTGCAAGTATCACTTAAAGCGCGCCAGTGTCTTGTCTACGTCATGTGGACGGTAAGGTCGGAATGACGTCACACTTGAAACGACGTCATAGCTGAAGATTGTTGACGTCATTCGACAATTGTGGTTTTCTAAGACTGTAGTCGTGATCAGTGCATTTTTTTAAAGGGGAGCTAAAAAAGAAGAAATAATGGGTAATAAAGAAGCTATTATACTCGCATGTGTGTTACACTGATTTCACGAAACACGTATAAGAATTCATGTAGATTCTCGCTCCCGCTCGGGAAATACAAAAAATCTGACACTCCTTTCGTAAAATCACTATGACACACATGCGAGTATTATAATCTCTATTTTGGTCATTGTGTCCATTAACGCACAGCATACTGCTGTCTACAATGTGTGAAGCCCATTTCTGGTGTCCCCCGCCGTGATATTGCTGGAATATTGCTAAAAGCGGCGTAAAACCATATTCACTCACTCACTCACTCATACTGCTGTCAAGTTTTAAATAGCAAAAGCAAAACTCTCTCTTTGGAAGCATTACAACTGGTTTACACTTCCAAAATGACAAATTTTCAAACAGCAATTTGACCCGTGAAGATCCGGGGTAGAATAGGTCTTCAGCAACCCATTCTTGACGTGAAAGGCGACTAAGCTTGTCGTAATAGGCGATGTATGTCGTATCCCAATTACGTAGATCGATGCTCATGATGTCAATCACTGGCCTGTCTTTCCCAGACTCGATTATGTACATACCGCCGTCATATAGCTAGAATATTGCTGAGTGCGGCATTAAACAACAAACAAACAAACAAACAAACAGCAATTCTTTCCTTTCGCTTACCTGAATACAGCGCGTTGGTGGTGTTGCACTCGGTGTAGTTGAAAATAAGACGCTTCGTGTCGGTACACACGTCGAGGTAACTGTCGTTGTTGCAGTGTTTCGTTGTGCCGTCGTTGAGGGTGTAAAAATAGTTTCCTTGTAGGGCAGTGGGACAGGTGGTTGCCTCTGTCGATATGCTGGTGCCTGTGTTTGACATTTACTATAGATAGTCATAGTGTTGAAGCTTATTTCTATGATAGTCGACCGAGTTCATAATTTGTAAGGGACTAGCTCGAAAGTTAAATGTCGGATAAAAAAACAAACGGTTGAGATGCACCCTCACACAAAATGTAATTCTAAATAATTCCAAAAAGCAAGACTTGCACCTGACATCATCTTCCCGAGGCAAGATAGTTAACTGACTTTAAAAATGCAGTTCCCACCCTTGCCGAACTAGGCTGGAATTCCTGGGCTCGATCGTATCGCCACCAGTGGCTATTACGAGTTATATCCCTTCTAAGCCTCTCCTATGGACCATTCAAATTCCACCTCTCGTATCACTTGCATTTGCTTCAAACAAAATGGCAACGCCAAGTCAAGACGATCTGATCAAAACTCAAGATCTATATTGTGATAAAACGGGTCTTACATCGCGAAGTGCATCAAATCACTTGAGCACCTTGATTAAAAACATAAAAAGATTTGTAAAATATCTGTTTACAACGAGTTGGCGGTTCATATGCTTTGGAAATCCTGCAATCGACCGAAATCTGCACGACAGTTTACGAACCGGATTTCGATTTCGTTGCGCGATTTTGATTGGACTATGCACAGACTCGTTAGTCCAGCCAAAATGTAACTCCATAATTCCAGCAAGGGTGGAAACTGGACTTTGATAGTCAGTTAACTCGCTTGCCTCGTGAAGATGATCCGACATCGATTTTTTTAACTGCTCATTGCCCCCAAACTTACGGGATGTGACCCTATAAGCAATATTCCCCTTAAAACTTTAACAAATGTATATTTGCACCTTTAACAATATGATATGGGTAACCCAGAAGCAACAAATGCAATTTTGTTTGAGGATATGAATAATCGACCTGCATCAAACTTTGAAACAAAAACGAAACGAAATCCAAACGACCGCTTTGGGGATATCATGGTCGTTTAAAGTGCGTGGGTTGGATTTTACGCCGCGTTGGGTAGTATGTCGGTATATCAACATGTAACAGCTTGATGTGGGAGGAAAGTCTTAGACGCCAAACGCTTTGGTGAAACCACGAACACAGATATGGTGCTGACAAACCTAAAAACACATCAGACTGAATCTGGGATCCGAACCCAGACTTTTGTTTTTGACCTCTTTGAACCACAAAGCACCTCACCATTTCTGTAAAGGATGCTGAAGGTGCCGTCATCGTATGGCGTTGGTTCGTCACAGATGCTGGCGGCAGATGTGACGCTGGTGCTGGTTGGCAGGATCTTCACCCGGGCTCCATTAGCGCCACTCAGCTCAGCTGGGGAAGAAACACAACATGGCTGACCTTCACGGAATGATAAAATATTGTGGAATAAGACTACTTTGAACAATCTCAGTTAACTACACTCTTAAAAAAAAGAAACGCACAGGTAAATGTTTAGGAAATTTATTGTATGTAATAAAATCGATATATTTCATTTAATATCATAGATACAAATATGAAATTTTGGAGCTCGATGGTCACATGTTGTCGTTGTACAAAGGCATTGTAAACTGTTCATTGTTATGTCGCATAAGTCCACAAGGTTGCGCTGAACTCAGTATCTGGTGTGACCGCCCCGGGCAGCGAGCATAGCTCTGCATCTCCTCGGCACTGACTTGATAAGTGTACGAATTCTGTCCAACGGAATTCTGCGCCATTCTGCTTGTAACGCGTTGGCCAGTTGTGGGAGTGTCTGCGACGTGTTCTGACGTCGACGTACACGTCGACCGAGTTCATCCCATAGGGGTTCGATTGGGTTGAGATCTGGAGATCTCAACGGCCAGGGCAAGTGTGAAAACAATGCCGTTTAAGATATTGCAATTCGACAATGGCTGCGTTTTGACGCACCGTTTGTCGAATATCAGGCCACCAACCTTTTCCAATAACATATGTCCAATTCATATACCGGATTTTTTGTGTAGTCAGGTTTAATGAACTACGTACATGTACTACCCGTGCGTTTCTTTTTTTGAAGAGTGTACTAGTCTTGGATAATTCATTGCATATCATTTCTCACATTGTGTCCATTCGAAGATTAGCAGTATTCATGACTTGCTCCAAATTGGGTGGATCAATCCTCATGATGTCAATCACTGGATTGTCTGGTCTCGATTATATACAGACCGCCGTCATATAGCTGGAATATTGCTGAGTGCGGCGTTAAACAAAAAAACACCCTCACTCAATCATGAAGTGCTGGGCAAATGAAACAATACACCCATGTTTGATGGTGGCTTAAAATGAAACAAGAAAAGGTTATTCGTTGATGATGATGATGATGATGATGATGATGATGATGATGATGATAAGTACGACGATGATCATGATGATCATGATGTATTTGATACGGGTGTCATAGCTACGTTTTGGATCTTCGTTTGCAATGTTTCGGCGACTGTTTTCTGTTTGTAACGTGTATACTTTGGTTACAGTTGTATTTGACATTTAGATATTCATAATTCACAAATAATGATCACATATCGACGTGCAATGACAACAGTTATATTGAACATAAATACAAATATAATGAAAGAAATGTGAAGTCATAACTGGCAAAACACTTTTATATTATCGTCACCTCCCTGAGCTCAGGTTATGCCTGTCCTTGAATGCTGTCGAGAAGCGATTTGCAACCATTTCTTTCATTAACACAGAACCATGTCGTTTGACTTACTGGTGGCATAGTAGTAGTAGAAGAGGTTGTCGGACACCCTGTGCAGCTCCAGGCAGATGTAGGCGTAGAAGGGGCCGGTGTAAATCGTGAACGACGCCGACCTGGAAACCAATAGCATCATGATGGGTCCGTGTAGGGTAACAGTGAAAGACATGTGTGTCACCCTTGAGAGAGCAGGTCCCCAGTACCCGATGTATGTCTCCCTTGAGAGAGTAGGTCCCAAGTACCCGTGTATGTCACCCTTGAGAGAGCAGGTCCCAAGTACCCGTGTATGCCTCCCTTGAGAGAGTAGGTCCCCAGTACCCGTGTATGCCTCCCTTGAGAGAGTAGGTCCCAAGTACCCGATGTATGTCTCCCTTGAGAGAGTAGGTCCCAAGTATCCATGTATGTCTCCCTTGAGAGAGTAGGTCCCCAGTACCCGTGTATGCCTCCCTTGAGAGAGTAGGTCCCAAGTACCCGTGTATGCCTCCCTTGAGAGAGTAGGCCCCAGTACCCATGTATGTCTCCCTTGAGAGAGTAGGTCCCAAGTACCCGTGTATGCCTCCCTTGAGAGAGTAGGTCCCCAGTACCCATGTATGTCTCCCTTGAGAGAGTAGGTCCCCAGTACCCATGTATGTCACCCTTGAGAGAGCAGATCCCAGTACCCATGTATGTCTCCCTTGAGAGAGTAGGTCCCCAGTACCCAAGTATGTCTCCCTTGAGAGAGTAGGTACCCAGTACCCTTGTATGTCTCCCTTGAGAGAGTAGGTCCCCAGTACCCGATGTATGTCCCCCTTGAGAGAGTAGGTCACCAGTACCCATGTATGTCACCCTTGAGAGAGTAGGTCCCCAGTACCCGATGTATGTCCCCCTTGAGAGAGCAGGTCACCAGTACCCATGTATGTCACCCTTGAGAGAGTAGGTCACCAGTACCCGTGTATGTCCCCCTTGAGAGAGTAGGTCCCCAGTACCCATGTATGTCTCCCTTGAGAGAGTAGGTCACCAGTACCCGTGTATGTATCCCTTGAGAGAGCATGTCCCAAGTACCCATGTATGTCACCCTTGAGAGAGTAGGTCCCCAGTACCCGATGTATGTCACCCTCGAGAGAGTAGGTACCAAGTACCCTTGTATGTCTCCCTTGAGAAAGTAGGTCCCCAGTACCCGTGTATGTCCCCCTTGAGAGAGTAGGTCCCCAGTACCCATGTATGTCTCCCTTGAGAGAGTAGGTCCCCAGTACCCATGTATGTCACCCTTGAGAGAGCAGATCCCAGTACCCATGTATGTCTCCCTTGAGAGAGTAGGTCCCCAGTACCCAAGTATGTCTCCCTTGAGAGAGTAGGTACCCAGTACCCTTGTATGTCTCCCTTGAGAAAGAAGGTCCCCAGTACCCGTGTATGTCCCCCTTGAGAGAGTAGGTCCCCAGTACCCGATGTATGTCTCCCTTGAGAGAGTAGGTCACCAGTACCCTTGTATGTCACCCTTGAGAGAGTAGGTCCCCAGTTACCGATGTATGTCTCCCTTGAGAGAGTAGGTCACCAGTACCCTTGTATGTCACCCTTGAGAGAGTAGGTCCCCAATACCCGTGTATGTCCCCCTTGAGAGAGTAGGTCCCCTGTACCCGATGTATGTCTCCCTTGAGAGAGTAGGTCACCAGTACCCGTGTATGTCCCCCTTGAGAGAGTAGGTCACCAGTACCCGATGTATGTCACCCTTGAGAGAGTAGGTCACCAGTACCCGTGTATGTCACCCTTGAGAGAGCAGATCCAAAGGACCCATGTATGTCACTCTTGAGAGAGCAGGTCCCCAGTTACCCATGTATGTCTCCCTTGAGAGAGTAGGCCCCCAGTACCCATGTATGTCACCCTTGAGAGAGTAGGTCACCAGTACCCATGTATGTCTCCCTTGAGAGAGTAGGCCCCCAGTACCCATGTATGTCTCCCTTGAGAGAGTAGGTCACCAGTACCCGTGTATGTCTCCCTTGAGAGAGTAGGTCCCCAGTTACCGATGTATGTCTCCCTTGAGAGAGTAGGTCCCCAGTTACCCGTGTATGTCCCCTTGAGAGAGTAGGTCACCAGTACCCGTGTATGTCTCCCTTGAGAGAGTAGGTCACCAGTACCCGTGTATGTCACCCTTCAGAGAGCAGATCCAAAGGACCCATGTATGTCACTCTTGAGAGAGCAGGTCCCCAGTTACCGATTTATGTCTCCCTTGAGAGAGTAGGTCCCCAGTTACCCGTGTATGTCCCCTTGAGAGGGTAGGTCACAGTACCCTGTGTCTGTCTCCCTTGAGAGAGTAGGTCCCCAGTACCGATGTATGTCTCCGTGTATGCGAACATAGGATATAGGATACATTGGCCATTTACGCTCCCCACACACCACCACCACCACCCCACAACCTTTACGCAGAGCTCTCTGTTATATCGCGACAATAACGGGGGGTAATGAACGGATTGCTCTGACTGAGTGAGTGAGTGAGTGAGTGAATTGGGTTTAGTGACGTTATGGATAATACTTCAGGCACGTCACGACATGTAACCTTTTTGTGGAGTAAACCCCAAAGTGACGCTGTCGTTGACGTTTGCCACGTTGATGAAACCCCTGGCACGGTTTGGTGTCCCACAAAGCGCAACCATGATCCGTGGCCTCGTCAACATTTACCCATAATTCAACACACACCTTCCGATATAGTAATTGCCGTCGTTAAGGTGACACTCGTACTCGAGGTTAGCAAAGGTCTGGCTGAAGGTTGTGACTGTATACTGGCCGAATGTCGTGGTGTTCCACGTGATGTAGCCGTCATGGGAGCTGTAGAAAACGCCGTCGAGAGCACTTGGGTAGGTGCACGTGCCGTCACAGTCTGCGTTAATAAGAATAGCAAAATAACAAACCCTATTTTCTAATGGTGGTAAGAGATATTTGACATTTCTCGAGAATTAACACAGTATATTTACAAAATTATTAACACAAATTATAATAATTACAATAAAAGATAGTGAATACATTTGAAGTTAAACAAATAGAAACATGACAATATGAACATAAATTCTGAGACGGTTGTGTTGGAATTAAAAGATATTGCCGTAAGCTGCGGACTATCGGCCATAGACTGCAGTATGTTGTGTGCAGAAGCCCTGTTATAACAACGTCGTTATAAACGTCACTCATCCTCGGACATCTTTAGCTGAGAACGTTATTATCCCAAATGAGTTGAAATTAACAACTCCGGGGACAAAATCTTTCAAAACTGACATAAATACTTTTAAACAGGTGATACAAGGTTTGTTTAATTGACGGACAAAAGAAAGTACACTCTTGAAAATTCAATATGACCAAAAGGTTACAGACGTCATCAAAACGTTACGTGGCTGACAACAGTCGCCGGAACACTGCAAACTTAAGGTTCAAAACGCAACTATGATATCCGTATCAAATAATCGGCATCGAATAAACTTTTCTTGTTTGTTTCACTTTAGCCACCATCAAACATTGGTGTATACTTTCTTTTGCCGGGCAGTTTATCGTATACCTAACTTAGAGGACTCCGTGAATGTTCCCTACTGTCTTCTCAAATTTGGTACAGTAAACTACGGTTATAACGAACACGCTTATAACGAACTAACGGATATAACGAACTTACTTTTTAGTCCCGACTATATGCTGTAGTTATGCTGTATATATGCTTATAACGAATTACGGTTATAACGAACTAAAATTACTAGTCCCTTTGAGTTCGTTATAACCGTAGTTTACTGTATGTCTCTTATAAAAAAGATGTCAACATTTTCTATACACAAACACAAAATATGAACACAACTAAATGTGTAACTTACCTCGAGGAGCAGCTATAATAATAATCACAATAACAGCAAGTACATTATTTCTCCGCAATGTCCACATGGTGTTTGAGATCTTACAACCAGACACCCTCTTGAGCTAACGTGAAGGTCTTTTTTCACGTTTTACTCCATTTTCTAGGCGTCGAAACTAAGTAACAAATTCACAAAGTCTGCGGTTTTCTTGTCAAATTTCAGACTGCGTTGATAAAAGTTCTAAATGGTCCAACTTCTCACTTTCCCTGACTTGCGAACACTTTCTGTTGTTTACTTTGAACCCGAGAAACGAAAATGGCGTCGTTTACAGTGCGCGTTGACGCAAGCCAGTGCCGGCCAATCCCAGGGTAATCCTTGGTTCCATAGTCTTTCTTCGTAATCGCTTTTACGGCCTACGTTAATGGCTGGCTGGTTCCAACCAGGGTGTATACAGCCCCAGTCATTGTTTCTGATTCCCTAAGCCGTGATTTGCTTACACAACTTCTGGTTGTCAGGGAGGTAAGCGGTTCAACACGAGTTGTCATGTTGCGTCATTCAAAACAACCGATAGTTACGAATAGATTCATTGTAATATTCATATTTTTGTGATATCAGTTATGATATTCATATTTATTTCCTTTTTGAGTCAAAACAAATAAAAGATTTCTTTGGATTGGACTTCAAATATTACACCATCATTATCTCCTCACTCCGTCTGTCTCGAAATACGGATAACTCGATGCAGTATCGACGACCTCCGAAACTTCGAGTTAGCAAATTTTCAAAGTATAATTTGTCCACTGATAACATATATCAACTTTTATTACAAGCACGGACATTTTGGTACACAGTGAAAAAGAATCGTTTTATAAATAATTGATATCATTGAAAATACGTAAGGATATAAACTACGGGGCCAAAGATGGGCCAAAGATGTTTGATGGTGGCTAAAAATGAAACAAACATGAAATGGATTTTCGATACTAATTATTTGATAGGGGTATCACAGTTGTGTTTTGGACCATACGTTTGCAGTTTTTCGGCAACTGTTTTCAGCCAAGTGACGTTTTCAAAATATTTGTAAGTTGTTTGTCAAATCCAGTTCTCAAGTGTATACTTCCTTTTTGTCCGGCAGTGTATGTAAGTTCATTCATAAGGTTTATCAACAATATTCATTACAAAAAACAAATCCACAGGTGACAGTCCCAACGTTAAAATCCAACCAATAAGTAGTCTTCAGTTATGGTGGTCATAAAATCTTGCGCAGAATTATGCAACCTTTCCGAATAATAACTCAATCGGTTTCTGACTAGTTGAATTGTACTATGGTATAAGTGTTGCAAATCTGCCATTTTCCCAGTCCTAATACAATCACCTTAACAATATAGCGCTACGTATGAACCCAATCAGATTACGTTAAAACCAGTGCTAGAGAAGATTAGGCTGAGTTGGGAGTTCATTCTAGGGAGCAAAGCGACCAGGTCTATAATCACATACCTGTCGGCTTGGAGAGGGTGGCGGATTGGGAGGAGAGCCTTAGAAACAAGTTGTTTGCCTCCCGGGGAAGTGACATGGGCAACGACTGACCACGGAGATGACCAGTGTGATATGGACAGTATCAACAACAGTGTGATATAGACAATATCACACCGTCAAGAAATACTTTCGATACCCCGGAAGAATTGGAATTTTATGTGGTGGAAGTTCACGGATAGGTTTTATTTGACTTTTAATAGAAATTGAACTTGGTGGTGTACATTAAAGACTTGTCAGAAAGACTAGTTAAAATTGTACAAGGAGCTAGTGATGGACAACGTTTAACCTGAGACACGTATGCGAATATAGAACATGGCGCTCAAGGTCGTGCTGCTGACGTGCGCTATATTTGGTGTGATTATTCCTGGACGAGGTAAGATTCTGACTGTATACTGATGGTAAAAAATAAAGCATAATATATTCAGGGAAGTATGTATTTGAAATTTTACTTCGAATGTACCGGGTATGACAGGGTCTAGATAACTTGACAATGTCTTAGCAAGCCGAATAATATTTCTTCTCGTTATTGTTGTTGTTGCTAGGAACTTTTGAATTCAAATCAGGCGCAGTTTCTGTCTTCTACTGCAGTGAATATTGCATCTTTACTAATTTCAACTAGTATATATCATTTTAAATATGAGGGCGGTCGGGTAGCCGAAGTTGAATGTATTTTAACTCTAATGTGTTATTTCTAGTCAAGAGCAATGTATTTGATATAGTTACCCAACCACTAAGGCTGCATAACAAATATACTTATGGGTGCACATCTTTCTCAAGATTGGAGGGGCAGTAGGGTAGCCTAGTGGTTATAGCGTTCGCTCGTCACGCCGAAGACCCATGTTCGATTCCCGACATGGGTACAATGTGTGAAGCCCGTTTCTGGTGTCCCCCGCCGTGATATTGCTGGAATATTGCTAAACGCGGCGTAAACCATTACTCACTCACTCACTCATTTTAAATATGAAATGAATGTTGATTTTTTTAATTTGGTGAGTCGGGAAATCCGATCTACCGGGCGACTTCTGTGAGGTCGTCTATACAGGATTAAATGGATATTAGCAAATAGTGTATCCGGACAGCTTTTGATATTGACTGTTCAATTTGCCGTGCTGATTAACGGACTTCCGCTGTGTGGAGTGTCCTTTTTTGATAATATTGTTTAACGCCGCAGTTAGCAATAAACCAGCAACATGAAAATTAAATATTAGATAATAAAGAATATCAGCGCTGTTTTCGAAATGCTAGAGGAAATTTGACTGTCAGCAACGTTTCATAATATGCTGTACTGTTTTACGTACATAGAATACATGCGTACAAGAAGATGAGCTTGGGTTAAAGACTTTCCCATGTTCAAATAATGTAAACTGGCGGACCGAAGACAGTATACACCCATGTTTTATGGCGGCTAAAAGGAATCAAACAAGAAATGGTTATTCGATGCTGATATATTTGATACGGGTGTCATAGTTGCGTTTTGAACCTAAAGCTTGCCGTGTTCAGCAGAGTAACGTTTCGAAAACGTTCGTAATTCTTTGGTCAAATTCAATTTTCAAGTGAATACATTCTTTTGCCCCGCAGTTAAGGCGAAAAACACTACACTGAAAATATCTAAAGTCTTCCTTTTCAGGGTTGTAATAAGTACCGAAAGTTTTTAATTCATATTAACACATCTGATGACGTTCATACCAATTTCTGACCCGTGAAGATCCGGGGTAGAATAGGTCTTCAGCAACCCATGCTTGCCATAATAGTCGACTAACGGGATCGGATGGTCAGGCTCGCTGATTTGATTCATGCATGTCATCGTCTCCCAATTACGTGGATCGATGCTCATGATGTCAATCACTGGATTGTCTGGTCCAGACTCGATTATATACAGACCGCCGTCATATAGCTGGAATATTGCGGAGTGCGGCGTTAAACAACAAACACAAAATCATACCAATTCCTAAATGTTTTCTTCATTTGCAGTTCTGGTGGACAAGAGAGTGTTGTAGCACTACTTCGCGCTTATATTGACCACCCGCTGTCTTATAGCTAACACGAAGACCCGCTTTAACATCATGGTGTTTCCAGGCATCACATTTCGAAGCAAACAAATACAAGACGTATTTAACAATTTTCAGATGGGGCTTGTTCGTTTCCGAGCCACCTATCCGGGACTTTCGACGAGAGTGTTAAAGGGGTACTGTCGTTCACCTCCAGCCAACTGATGTCATACGTCCTGCACACGTTCGGTACTCTCAACTTCAACTGCGACCACCAATACTCCTCAACACAGTATGTTCTGAAGTAAGTGAACATCGGCATTGACTGAAACTACACTCTAGCTACTTATAGCTCTATGTGCAGAGTTGCGTCCCTTAGTCGTGCCAGGGTCAGATGTTATTAGGCTGCTACTCTATATGCAGAGTTGCGTCCCTTAGTCGTGCCAGGGTCAGATGTTATTAGGCTGCTACTCTATATGCAGAGTTGCGTCCCTTAGTCGTGCCAGGGTCAGATGTTATTAGACTGATACTCTATGTGCAGAATTGCGTCCCTTAGTCGTGCCAGGGTCAGATGTTATTAGACTGCTACTCTATATGCAGAGTTGCGTCCCTTAGTCGTGCCAGGGTCAGATGTTATTAGACTGCTACTCTATATGCAGAGCTGTGTCCCTTAGTCGTGCCAGGGTCAGATGTTATTAGACTGCTACTCTATATGCAGAGTTGCCTCCCTTAGTCGTGCTAGGATCAGAAGTTATTAGGCTGCTACTCTATATGCAGAGTTGCGTCCCTTAGTCGTGTCAGGGTCAGAAGTTGTTAGGCTGCTACTCTATATGCAGAGTTGCGTCCCTTAGTCGTGCCAGGGTCAGATGTTATTAGGCTGCTACTCTATATGCAGAGTTGCCTCCCTTAGTCGTACTAGGGTCAACTGTTGAAAAGTGACATTACGAGTGATGCAGAGTTAATCGTGCCAGGATCCGAAGAATGTTGGCGAAGTAAGTCGACTCGAGAATGATCCTTGTCAACACATTTATATCTATGCGTGTTAAAGTCATAAAAATATTATTTATTATTAACCTGTGACTGTATGCCGACACGTTGCTATATATCCAGTATATCTGTGACTGTATGCCGACACGTTGCTATATATCCAGTATATCTGTGACAGTATGCCGACACGTTGCTATATATCAAGTATATCTGTGACTGTATGCCGACACGTTGCTATATATCCAGTATATCTGTGACTGTATGCCGACACGTTGCTATATATCCAGTATATCTGTGACTGTATGCCGACACGTTGCTATATATCCAGTACATCTGACTGTATGCCGACACGTTGCTATATATCCAGTATATCTGTGACTGTATGCCGACACGTTGCTATATTTATCCAGTATATCTGTGACTGTATGCCGACACGTTGCTATATATCCAGTATATCTGTGACTGTATGCCGACACGTTGCTATATATCCAGTATATCTGTGACAGTATGCCGACACGTTGCTATATATCAAGTATATCTGTGACTGTATGCCGACACGTTGCTATATATCCAGTATATCCGTGACTGTATGCCGACATGTTGCTATATATCCAGTATATCTGTGACTGTATGCCGACACGTTGCTATATATCCAGTATATCTGTGATGTATGCCGACACGTTGCTATATATCCAGTACATCTGACTGTATGCCGACACGTTGCTATATATCCAATATATCTGTGACTGTATGCCGACACGTTGCTATATTTATCCAGTATATCTGTGACTGTATGCCGACACGTTGCTATATATTTAGCATATTTGTGACTGTATGCCGACACGTTGCTATATATCCAGTATATCTGTGACTGTATGCCGACACGTTGCTATATATCCAGTATATCTGTGACTGTATGCCGACACGTTGCTATATATATATCAAGTATATATGTGACTGTATGCCGACACGTTGCTATATATCCAGTATATCTGTGACTGTATGCCGACACGTTGCTATATATCCAGTATATATGTGACTGTATGCCGACACGTTGCTATATATCCAGTATATCTGTGACTGTATGCCAACACGTTGCTATATATCCAGTATATCTGTGACTGTATGCCGACACGTTGCTATATATCCAGTATATCTGACTGTATGTCGACACGTTGCTGTATATCCAGTATATCTGTGACTGTATGCCGACACGTTGCTATATATCCAGTATATATGTGACTGTATATCCGTCCCCAGGTCGGCCACTAGTTTCTCCTACTTCAGCCTCAACTGGGACGCCTACATGTGTTGGGACTTGACGGAGATCTCCACAGACAAGTTCTACTTCTACGAATCCACAGGTCTGACTCGCTCATGTTCAACAAATATGTATAAACCTGTTCGGGTTTTTATTCCCACTAGACATTAGTTGTGAGAACATTGAAAAACGATATTCACATTGTGTAATACAGTAAGGCTAAAGGGACCTGTTTCTCTTGCATTGGCGCGGCACTTTGTATCATACTGCTCAGTCAATTTTATCGCCCTAAAATAAAGCTTTCAAATTTCCCGCGTCGTACGAAGCAGAAACTGTTATCCATGCTTGACAACTGAGTATTAAAAGGCCGAATCCAATGTGCGTCCAGTTGTATCTGTTGGTTTGGATAATAATAAGTTATACTGCGCTGGATCCACACTAAGGTATGCTCCAAGCGCCTACAGTACGGCATAGTTCAGGGAATATCATATCGGCAAAACAGGTGGGTGTTGAGTTATGATTAAAAGCACAAGAAACTTTTTACAGTACTCAGTGTTAGTAGCATATTCCATTCAGGTAAAAAATGGGGCAATCTCCCATCACTTTTGCTTTCACAAAAAAAATATATCGAAGTCCTGTGCCCCCCTTGGGGGTGAGTGATTGAGTGAGTGTGGTTTTACGCCGCTGTTAGCAATATTCCAGCAATATCATGGCGGGGAACACCAGAAATGGGCTTCGCACATTGTACCAATATCGGGAATCGAACACGGGTTTTCGGCGTGACGAGCGAACGCTTTAACCAACGGCTACCGGACCGCCCCTGCAATGAGAAAGATGTGCACAAATATCTATATTTGTTATGCAGCCTCAGTGGTTGGGTAACTATATCAAATACATTGCTCTTGACTAGACATAACACATCAGTGAAAATACATTCAACTTCGCATACGGCGAACTCGATTGACCCTTTAGAATTTATTGGATATATCGGGAATTCTCTTCACACAATAAGTGTCCGCCGTACAGCACATTTATGCCCCCCCCCCCCCCCCCCCCCCCCCTTCCCCACCACACACACAACAGTGAAATTTCTCTCACAGTCTCGCGGAAGTGTCTAGTTGTCCTTGGTGTTTGTCCGACATAAGATAGTATTTCGATATCGCCATTCACGTTAATCGACAATCATATGTTCTCACCGAGAACGTCACCGACCTTACCGTAGTGAATACGTTAAAGGGTGTTTATTTAATCATATATAAGTTACAATGGTACCGCCTCTTCATCTTGATTTAAATTTGCTCTTTCCTGTAATTCGAAAATATTTCATATTGTGATTTCGAGAATAATCATTTATCTGTTTCCACAGACGCGCTGTCGGATGCTGGAGGAGAGAACGTAAAGATGTACATTAGCGGCGCCTCCCCCGTCTACAGCGACGTCTGTTCTACCTCCTCCTACACCGCGGGGACGTACAGGTTCCTCATGAGGAATGGTGAGATTCTCGGCCGTTTATTAAACAACACAGATCCATTTCATGTAATGTGGCGCCGTGAAATTAACGTTATGAACATCTTGTGATACACGGAATCGCATTGATACACACGCGTTTTCCGTACCAGACGAAAACTACGTTAACTGAATGCGTGAACCAAACAAGTTACTCCTTGAAATGTCATCTTCCCGGGGCAAGCGTGTCCACTAGCCCATATCAAAGTCTAGTTTCAACCCTTGCCACAGCAAGGCCGCTTTTCTTAACTCGACCCTAGCGCAACCTAGGGTAGATCACGAATTGTGCCCCTTGGGTGTTGATTTTGTGAAACGTTCTCTGATTGGCCTATCGATATGTGCGATAGTTCATTCATATTTAGCACAGGAAAGTGGGCTTGATGTGGCAAAGTTGGAAATAAGACTTTGATATAAACGCTGGTGGACGCGCTTGCCTCGGGAAGATGTAAAATGTATGTTAGATCAAAATTTGAAATCATGATAATAAATTAATATAATTTACCCTGATTATTAAATAACTGTCAATTGTCATAACGCTCTTCATGATGACCAGGTGACCACTTTGGTGAAAGTGCTGGTATGTTGCAGACAAACCAAGGGTAAAAACAGGCACTGGCGAATCAAGGATTCGAACCAAGCGTGTCGTGCGGATTAACCCACTCATCTGGTGTCTCATATTGCACCGCCACTGCCTCGCCTGTATCATTGCAAGTGGTGGTCACAGCCGGCATTGTTAATTGAGTAGTTACACCACCCCTGTTTCAGGGCGCGTCGGTCTGTCTCCTGTTACCAAGTGTGGGTTCGGTCAGTGAATTTATTATAATAATGCATTGATCAGACGAATGATCAAATATTATGTAGAGCGTCTGCCCAGAGAGCGGAAGGTCGGGGGTTCGATCCCCGGCCGCGTCATACCAAAAGGACTTTAAACGATGGTACTTGTTGTTACCATGCCTGGCGCTCAGCATTCAGGGGATAAAACAAGGACTGGTCGGCTGGGAGTCAGTATACTGTATCTGCCTGAGTGGGCCTGACTGCGGCATGATATCTCAGTGGGCTGGCACTGTAAAATCGGCATGAGTCGGGACTAGTACAGTCGTGCCTCGTTTATACGGACACTTGTGTCATTTCACAATTCGTCCATATAAACGAATTTCCGTAAACTGAAACCAGCTTCTTACTGGAAGAGTTACTTCCCTTCAATTATGCAACTCATGATATATCCACTCAATCTTTATTCATACACGTTTCCAAAAGTCTGTCATGGAAGTTGGAACTGTCACATATTGTCGATTTTCCTATGGTATGTCCAAATTCAGTGCCATAATGCTTACTGATGGTTTCTAAACTTGCTGACGGGTGTTTTTCTTTAAACAGACAAATTTCCCTTTTTTCGCGTGCTGTAACTGCGTGTCGCTTACGTTTCGCTGGTTGACAGGCCATACTTACACAACTTTGACCTCTGACCTCCACAGACGCCATATTTATCGAAGGGGATTACATGTACAATAAACAAGCTCGTCTCAAACGTAATTCAGTGGAACCGAGGTTTCCGGATATCTGAAGTCCGTATAAGCGGGGCATGACTGTACAAGCAGCCACACTCACACACACAACGCGACGTTCAACCCCATGTCATCTCACCTCACCTCATATGAAGCACAATTACTTTTTTCATTTGGTATAGTTATTCAGCAATATATATATTTTATGACAACTACTGCGACATTTTTATTGAATATGCAATATTCTATTTTTGCTTACCATTCTAGTCTCTAGTTTGTCCATATACTTTATGTTGCCCGTTGTAATGTATTAGGAATCTATGCTAAGGTAAGAGAATATAGTCTATTGTCTCCTTAATCCACTGGTGCCCTCATGTCTATACTGTACTTACGACACACAGCACGCTTTATCTGGTGTATACAGACCATCTCCTTGGTCTAGTGGAAAGAGTGTCTGCCCGAAGAACGGAAGGTCAGTGGTTCGATCCCCGGCCGCGTCACACCAAAAGACGTTATAATTGGGTATTTACTGTAACCCAACCTGACCCTCGGCATTAAGTAGATGAAAAAATGCACGTTGCTATATAAAGCCCATAATTTTGATGTTAAACCCCCTAGATACCCCTTTATGTACATCTGTTCTGCTTGCAGACACTATTTCGAGCTCCAAAGTGGCCTGTCCCTACCAGTTTGAGAACTACTGGACCTACAGCATCAGCAACGGCAGCGTGGACACGTGTTCTTCCAATGAGACGCAGCTGAACGGCTGCCTCGACACGACGGCCTTCACCTTCAACTACACCCTCTGCAGTTCTTACCTCCTGTATTCAAGTAAGCAATCACATACAGTTTCATACCGAAATCATTCATTTTGTAATACTGTAATACATGTATAATAAAAAAAATATTATGTTTATTATCCCGATGAAGTGAAGCTCAAATTCAAAATTAAGGATTATGTCCTTTTGAAATGATAACAAAGGGCTGCTCCCTGTACTTTAAATAAATTGGAGTGAGTGAGTGAGTTGGGTTTAACGCCGCTTTTAACAGTATTCCAGTTATATCGCGGCGTGTCAGCTTGATGTGGGAAGAAAGCCTGAAGTGATGCAGGTCTCAGACGTTTACCACTTCGGTGAAACCCACAAGCACGGGTATGGTGCTGACAAACCTAGAAACATAATCTGGGCGAACCGGGATTCGAACCCACAATCGTAGGTTTCTGGCGTGCCAGTGTGACGCAACTCTGCACAGCGAATCGCGACGACTGGGCCATCCGTGCCTCCTAAAATAAATTGGAAGAAAGGCTCTCTACAAAGAAAAATGGTTATAGTTAACATTTTCTGATGAAACCAGGGGAGACATTATTATTTTTTATTTATCAAAAATAATATTCGGAATGTGTGGATTGTTGAAACTTGGGGACGTCGTACGTGTCCGTGTCAGTTGTCTTTGACGACTTCGCCTGAACTCGACTGACCATACGATGATGACAGATGATCTGATAATAACTGATAGTCATTTACGTTACGGTGTGACCCGTGAAGATCCGGTTTAGAATAGGTCTTCAGCAACCCATGCTTGCCGTAAAAGGCGACTGTGCTTGTAAGAGGCAACAAACGGGATCGGGTTGTCAGGCTCGCTGACTTGTATGATGCATGTCATCGATCCCAATTGCGTGGATCGATGCTCATGATGTAAATCACTGGATTATCTGGTCCACATTGCTGAGTGCGGCGTTAAACAACAAATACTGATGGCTATGGTCATCCAATGAGTGTGGCATGGTGCTTTACTGGACGTCACTGGATTGTCTGGTTCTGACTCGATTATTTACAGACCGCCGTCATATAGCTGGAATGTTGCGGAGTGCGGCATTAAACAACAAACCAGCGTTACGGTGAAATATTTGCAGTGGGTCGTTCTTTCCTACAGTTTAGACTTATACTAAGTTTAATTGATATTAAGGTCGGTGAATGGTATCACAGCATACGCACCTCTAGCTATGAAAAGTAACTGTAGCGCTGGATGTTGAGTGTTGATGAAGAGGCACATGTGCTCTGAGGTCTATGACGCCACATTTTGCTGTGTAGAGTTGCGTCCTTAAGCTGTGCCAGGATCCGCGATTCGCTCCAATCTGGATCCTTGTTTCAGAACGATACCCCTATCCTCGTGGGTTTCATGACATCAACTCTGATAACACATAAATTTGGCATATTGAGATAAAACGCAGATAATGTTTGAAGCGGGGTTAAACCTAAATCACTCACTCACTGTTGCAGGTGGCGGTTCCGTCAATTGCCTGTACAATTATACATCCGGGTCAACGACCTACTTGACGACGTACAACGCCGACTACAGCGTGGACGATACCAGCACCTACAGATTCACGTGTCTGGTAAGTGAGAGATAGAACTTGACATAACGGGAGATACAATTTGGGCTTTACACATTGAAACCATAAGGGGAATCGAACCCGGACACCGGGTTCCATGTCGCCAGTGTATAACCACCACCATTGCTGTATTAGAACAGGGATCAGTGCACGTGAACACTGCAACTTATATATGTATAGACTGTGGGATCGATCATTAGTTTAGATCGCCTCCGTGGCCCAGTGGTAGAGCGTCCGCCCGGAGAGCGGAAGGTCCGGAGTTCGATCCCCGGCCGCGTCATACTAAAAGACGTTAAAAGATGGTACTTGTTGTTACCCTGTCTGGCCCCCGGCAATAAGGGGTTAAAACAAGGACTGGTCGGCCTGGAGTCAGTATACTGTGTCTGAGTGGGGTATTCATGTTAAACTGCGGCATGGTATCTCAGTGAGCTAGCCCTATAAATCGGCATCAGTCCGGACTAGTACAAGCAGCCACACACACACACACACACACACACACGTGCATGCACGTCGCTATATAAGTTCAATAATTTTGGACGCGACGTTAAACCCCATTTCACCTCACCTCATCACCGATCATTAGTTTACAATCAACTCCAGGAACAGACGAATGAGCTCATGTGGGATTCGAGCCGCAATCCAGTGCATGGTGTTCCTTGCTCTGATACTTTGTTCTATTCAGGGACCGACTATTTCATATACCAGCTACAGCTGCAAAACCAGATATATGTTTTTAATTCAAGCTATATGGGCCTAAATTATTTTTATCGAGCATTTACCAAGGGAAAATCTATTTTTTAGATAGAATCCCAGCCTAGTATGTCAATTTGTAAACAAATCCAAATGTGTTTACTCATAGAATTAATACAGGATACGTTTTCAGAAAGACGCTGTTTCGTATGGAAATACATAGTAAGGGGTGCCTAACGTTTTTCCGGGTGCATAGTTTACCTTTTTAACCAGTATAGTTTAAATACACAAATGAAATTCCCACTATATCTACAGTACAAAAAATGTTGCCACTTTCGGGTATAATTAAGCTATGAGTAATAGATTGACAACTGAACAATACCTCAATGGTTTTACTTGTGTATTTTTTTCGATGCGGAGAATGGGCATACAGTGCCTACACTACCTCATGATTAAAGATCGGTTGATTAATTTGCCTGTCTAAATGTATGTTTGACATCCGATAGCGCTGTTAATCACGCCATATTTGCCAGGTCCTGGATCTAAGCAGCTCTACGTCTATCTCCGCCAGCCAGTACCCCCGGTCGTGTCAAGTCAACCAGAGCGCAACCTCCGTCCCGTCCCCAGGAAACAGCCTCGTCTTCACATTCAACGGTGAGTCTCCCTTTCATTCCTGACCAGCTCGGATCATTCCGAGACAAGTCGAATGTCTTCGTGGTTACGGAGAAATGCGAGTGGCGCCGAATGCCCCACGCTTACAGAATTATATATGTATTTGTATATCCTATGTACAGTAAATGGTGTTCGAGATGTCACCTTCCTGTCTAGCAAGGTCGGTGATAGGGTCAACCTTTTATACACCCGAGTCTTGTTTGGATTCAACATTTTTCGAGTTTGGTTTAACGACACTCTTCCACCTTCCTGGATCCATAAAGCTAGCATATAGCATATAAGAACATGCGTGTAAACAGCAACTAATGTAACTTTCTTTTTACATTTCAGCAAGCTGCTGTAAGTATACTTGCTGTGGTTCATTGTGAGGGGAGATAACTCATTCACCAGAACATTTACTCCTTGTCAACGTTCACATCTAAACCAATCAAGCTTTTTAAAATATATTTTTCAAAGACATTTGAGCCAACTGTGCAAAGAGAAATCAGCCCTATAAATCCGGTTTTCTAGTCCAGAGGACTAGTGTAAACTTTATTTCACTCGTCCTCAGATTTAGTAGCTAGTCCTGCTTGAACCAGAAAAAAATGTTCACTATGTTTATATTTTTTGTCAGTTTTATTCAGTTCCAATTTGTAGCAAAATTAAATCCCTCAGAACTGGTTCAGAATATTATGCTATTAGTCAATGAGGCTACCACCATTAGATTTGTTTGTTTTTTATTTTATTTATTTATTTTTATTTTTTAAGGGGGGGGGGGGGGCTAATCCAGAGCCGACATATAAAACAGTGTGTGTGTTTGGTTTTTAAGGTGGGGAGGAGGGGAGGAGGGTAATGCTTAGTATAGCTCTTATGACCTATCCATTTCCGGCTTGTGGCAATGCATCACACTGTCGTCCGTAGATGTGCCCACCACAACCACCATCACCACAACCACAACAACAACAACAACTACTGCATCGGTGGCGGCAGCCGCTGCGTCATTAGACTGGGTTGCCGCCGTTGTCATCGCCATCCTCGTCGTCCTCGGCCTCTTCATCGCCGCTTATGTCTACTGCTGCTACAACTACAGAAAAGAAATGGACGCCCATCAGCGGAAGATCATCGACTGCCGCGCAGCAGACGACGAACATCGGGCAACGGATGAGAAGTATGAAGAGAGAGGTCAAGCGCCACCTAGCGTCAAGTTCACGTTCCCAGACTACACTCGACGCGTGCTTTCCAACTTTCGGAAGAAGCAGAAGGGAGACCGAACCAGACTTGTCAAGGATGATGATGATAGACCACTATCACCTTCGGGTATTTCCGTCAGGGAGACGGAATCACCCGACAGTGCTCTTGGGATGGATGTAAGTAATCTGACATACTCTTTTAAAGCGTTAATGAGTCAAAGTGGAATGCATATCTTTAATGACCATTCTGGGCATCGTCCTAAACAAACTTAGGTCTATGTATAAGTATGGGAGTTACGGCAGCCGAGTCGCTAGAATTGCTTTGTGAAGCAAGGAGCTAGAGATTTCAGTTACGTTCTTAGAAGTCATTGGTTTACGTTCTTTAGTATGAATACAGACAACAAGTCAAAACAGAAAGTATAGTTGTATATGTATACAGGATAACAGATTCTACACCATCGTCAATACTTCACGGTTTTATATACTACGTTCTTCCATCTCCCAGTTATGGAGGAACGTAATGTATATAAACCCGTGATGTATTGACGATGTGTCCACTTTGTATTGTATATATTTGGTCTCTGTGGGGACAAGGTCGCAAAGGGTTCCTAGATATCTACTGCTTGCCGAAAGAGGTGAGATGAAATGGGGTTTCACACCGCATTCAAAATGATTGCACTCATGTGAGTGTGTCTGTCTGTGTGTGTGTGGCTGGGTGTACTAGTCCGGACTAATGCCGATTTATAATGCTAGCCCATTGAGATACCATGCCGTGGTTTTACATAAATACCCGACTCGGACACAGAATACTGACCCCGAATCTACCAGTCCTTGTTTTGGGGCGGTCGGGTAGCCTAGATAAAGCGTTCGCTCGTCACGCCGAAGACTCGGGTTCGATTCCCGACATGGGTACAATGTGTGAAGCCCATTTCTGGTGTCCCCCGCCGTGATATTGCTGGAATATTGCTTAAAGCGGCGTAAAACCATACTCACTCACCCAGTCCTTGTTTTAGCCCCTTAATGCTGAGCGCCAGGTAGGGTAACAACAAGTACCATCATTTCAAGTCCTTTTGGTACGACGCGGCCGGGGATCGAACCCCCGATCTTCCGCTCTATCCACTAGACCATGGAGGCGGCCGCTTGTCGAAAGAGGAGACATATTTGGCAGATGGTCGAGTAGGCTCTCAGTGTCTTGGTCCATTGTGTGTTATCAAATCTCGGCGGCGTGGAACGTTGCATATATCAACCAACGGTGTGTCTGTCCCAGACTCAAACATATACATGCCGCGTGATATAGCAGGAATATTGCGGCGTTACATAATACTCACTCGCTCACTTCCACTTGCATAAGTTCAGCAGTTTATTCAGTGAGGACACTCAAACGACATTGCAAACATCCAAAGGAGAATCTCCTGTGCCAGAATTATCATACATATCGCGTATCAACACCTAAATTGTTTATTTTCTTTTTTTTTAAGGAAGATGACGGTTATCCTATGCTGAGGTCACAAAGGTCAAGGCCGGTAAGTATAATAGCTGCAGTACAGACACCAGTCCATGTGGCTGATATTAATAGATATTGACCTGTCAGACTCAGTGTAAAAACCCTGTCAATAAGTTCATCGAAGATCAATCACCATGTATCATTATCATAGAAGCTTATTGAGATATACACGCCATTATAGTGCTAACATTACCGGGGACGGGTGACCCGGTCATCTAAGGCGCCGCAGAGTCGCTGTATAGAGTCGCGTCCTTTAGGCGTGACAAACCTATGATCGTGGGTTCGAATCCCAGTAAGGCCCGTTTATGCTACCAGTGCTAGGTAGTTTCAGCACAGGAGCAAACGGCAAAGATCACGTTTGGCTTTCCTCCACATCACGCCGTCATAAAACCGAAATTCATTTATAATGTACCAAACTCACTCACTAGCACTAATGTTAAAATAATCAATTAATCAACAAAATATTCAACCTATTCCTCGTCCTTTGAACCCTGTATCTGGTGGGATGTACGTGTCGATTGGTCCAGCACAACCATACCCCATACCTGGCCTGAGGTTGTGGATATACTAGAAATTAGACTATTTTAGAAATATCAGTGGAAGTTGACGGGTGTCCTGCTTGTCTGTTGCTTCAGGTGAGCGACTTCATGAAGAGGTTGATCACTCTCCACGATGAACAACGCGAGAAGGAGAAAGAGCGAGCTAAAATTGTGAGTAGACATAAATTCAAAAATAAAACACCAAATAATCATACCTGAATCAAACTATTGACAAAGATAATTGTTCTTCTCAAATTTCTAGATAGAATTCGTTTCAACAAAGTATCACGGAATATTATGTCGGACTTTATAAGATAAATATCCCTTTCTGAACGTACTAGAAACAGACGTAGTTCTGTCAAATGTTTCAAAATTCTAAATGTAACAGTATCTCATGAACTCTTTGCGGTGCACAATTTTGCGGTGAATCAAATTATTGACAAAGATAATTGTTCTTCTCAAATTTCTAGGTTGAATTCGTTTCAACAAACTATCACGGAATATTATGTCGGACTTTATAAGATAAATATCCCTTTCTGAACGTACTAGAAACAGACGTAGTTCTGTCAAATGTTTCAAAACTCTAAATGTAACAGTATCTCATGAACTCTTTGCGGTGCACAATTTTGTGAATGATTGATATTAAATATTGATAACGACTAATAACAATAAATATTTTTTTTATTTTAGCCTTGTAGAGTTTAGAAATGCAAATCGTAGTCAACACCATGAACATCTTGATGAATAAAGGTCCTTGATTAAACTCTTTAAAATGAAAAGTTTGACAATTTCAGTTAATAATGTATTTGTTCAGCCGGAGGAGAAAAGATTCATGAAAATTCATGGACGAAAGGGATTCCAGGATGAAAAATCCCTGACCAGCTCGGCTGGAGTAAACCTAGTCAGCAAGATCAAGAAGATGGCGCGAAAACGCCGGAAGACGTCTGCCGCCATTCAGAGCAGCGCCACGGACGCTAGGAAAGCAAATGAAGTGCACGAGAACGAGGCTAATGAGTTAGTGGAGAGGGACGACGAGGCGGGATCACAATCAAGCGATGACGTGGTCCCAATCCAGCTCGACGTGTCACAGCTGCTCGCCTACACAGCCCTACCCCCTTTCGCCACGGAGACACCCCGGGGAGATGATCGGAGACCCAAGGTAAAACTACACACAAACACACACGCATTCACGCGTCCACACACACACACACACACACACACACACACACACACACACACACCTGTTAGGTATTTCATTACAGAAGTGGTCCATCATCGATGTGATAGGTGACAGTACATGTATACTGTGACTGAATGTTGTTTTTAAGCCGCAGTCGGCAGTATTCCAGTTATATTTACAGTTTCGATTAGCTATAAATCATAAACTATTTCTGAAATATACTAGACTCTACCTTAAACACTTACCTCCAAGTGCGCATGTTTTACTTCATCGAAAGAGAGCTGTAATAAGGATGACATGTAGAAAAAAGGATGGTGTTTTCGAGGGGACCGCCATCTTGTTTTACAAAATCCGTTCCATATTCTGTGTATAATATCGCATGTATCTTGACTGAGATTCAGTGACAATCAGCGAAACCTGCATTCCTACCTTGCTGTGTTTCAGCGGCACGTTTTGATAACACATGTTCATATCTACCAATCCGTCGAGACAGCATCGAGACAAACAATGCCTTTGGCGTCTTATGTTGACCCTGTGTTTACAATGGGATCTATTTAATCACAGTGTATCATTGTTACTTTGGAGTGCAGTTAATATTGCAGAAGTTATTCAGAATAGACGATGATGTACTTCTTTTTAAAGAACGACCCCCAGTTCTAATCCTCAGAGAAAGAATACATTTGTCAACCGTGGTACAGTGGTACATAGACGTCAAACAGTATCTTTTTGTCTGTGTTTCGGTTATTTCGTTTATTGAACTGACAGACCTCAGACCGACTGACAGATACAAATGTGAGTGAAATGATTTCTTCTGAACAGACTGTTGTGAATATACTGTGTATAACGTTTGATTATATATGCACGTGCCAAGGTAGCACGATTCGATTTAGATGTGAGGGGAGGAAAGTCTTGATGCACGATATTTTACAGTAACGTGTACAGTGCATCGTGTTCCCCACCCATCTTGGTGTAAGTACGTCAGCAGTCAGGTTCCTAGTTCTTCATACAGAATCTGGAACATATATCCAATACAGCCCGTGCAAGTCTATAATATTTAGTTAGTCTAGATTACTTCAGTATCAGTGTCTGTACAAATCTGCTGAATTGAGAAGGTCTCGCTAAGCCGCGCCAGCGCAGCAAACCCAGAAAACCAGACTGGTACGTCAGCGCTCCCCTCCGCCGAGTGGGATTCAACGCTCGAGGCTAACCCACAGAGAGGGCGCTAACGTACACACACTTCGGAGTTATCTAACATGCTTCCCCTCCTCCCTCATTCCAGTATCCTTATAGGTTTTTGTTCTATTTGCCCGAGGGTCAATTAATTTGACCCCCCTGTATTTCTCACGCTTTTGCTATTCCAGGCAGTGACTATCGCCGATGGTGGGAAGATCATCAACGACGTGATCGTGGAGGACCTCGACAACACTCCCGCCATGGGGAGTCCTGAAAGGGCCGAGGTAGGGTCATCTGCAACTATAACATTCGTTCCAAGTCGTGATATATCCATGATGGTAAGAAATAAACGCAAAGAAATCTTTCCATAATCAAAAGAAATCCTCACCTGGACAAACACGGGAGCGTACTTAAAATAAGGAAATACATCATTTGGGTCACTGTTGAGTCAAGTTTGGAAATGTCCTCCACGTATCTAGGTTATTAAGGCTTTCTTTAGCTTTGCTAAGGCTTTGAATGATGTACCCCCTTATCAAACAAATTATGAGCATGTTGTAAAACATCTTCCTCCACAGTGGGTTCGTAGGGTTTAACGCCGATGTTGGCAATATTCCAGCAATATATTACCACAAGTGGGCTTCACACATTGTACCCGGGCATTAGGCTTGAACGCTTTAACTACACGGCTACCCCACCGCCGCTCAGGCGTGTATGGGCATGGTATCCTGTTCGGCAGGTTTACAATCCTGCCGATTCTTTAAAGATTGTTGCCAGTCAAATCTATGCTATCAACATACCCCTGTACTTCACCAAGAACGTGATAGCCAACCGAACATTCGTGACGTGAGTGAAAGATGCTTTAAGGCGCAGTCAGAAGTGTTCCAGTTAAATAATCCAGCTGAAGGTGTGGCGATCGAATGGCTGTCTGGATGGGCACCGATCCATGCTGTCAGGGCGCAATGACTCACATTCACACTCACAGATCACATTGTATTAGATCACCACGTACTCCCTGAAAGAAAGCCACGTGTTAGGTTAAATAAAATCATTGAACAAAGGGGGTATGTGTAGGCTGCTAGAGCTGGGAAGGGTGTGTGTGTAGGCTGCTAGAGCTGAGAAGGGGTTGAGTGCAGGCTGCTAGAGCTGATCTTGGGATGAGTATAGGCTTCTAGAACTGAGAAGGGGATGGGTACAGGCTGCTAGGGCTGAGAAGGGGGTGAGTATAGGCTGCTAGAGCTGAGATGGGGATGAGTATAGGCTGCTAGAGCTGAGCTTGGGATGAGTATAGGCTGCTAGAACTGAGGTGGGGATGAGTGTAGGCTGCTAGAGCTGAGATGGGGATGGGTATAGGCTGCAAGAGCTGAGCTTGGGATGTGTATAGGCTGCTAGAGCTGAGCTTTGGATGGGTATAGGCTGCTAGAGCTGGGAAGGGGATGTGTGTAGGCTGCTAAAGCTTGGAAGGGGATGTGTGTAGGCTGCTAGAGCTGGGAAGCGGATGTGTGTAGGCTGCTAGAGCTGAGAAGGGGATGAGTATAGGCTGCTAGAGCTGAGATGGGGATGAGTATAGGCTGCTAGAGCTGAGATGGGGATGACTATAGGCTGCCAGAACTGGGGAGCGGATGTGTGTAGGCTGCTAGAGCTGGGAGGCGGATGAGTGTAGGCAGCTAGAACTGAGAAGAGGATGAGTTTAGGCTGCTAGAGCTGAGCTTGGGATGAGTATACTCTGCTAGAGCTGAGCTTGGGATGAGTATAGGCTGCTAGAGCTGGTAAGAGGGTATGAGAAAGGAATGGGGATGAACGTTGCATTAAATATATGCTCTTGGGTCTTTGAGAGGGGCTAACACCGTATATCAGTTTTAAACGACAGCGAGGATCGATTCGGGAGGAAATTTGTCGATACTAGAGATGCATACATAGACCAGGATGGTATGTTAAATGTCTTGGAAAAAGGGAATTGAGAATAAGTTGTTTTTTTCTGACAACATTTACACGTGTCCTGAAATGCCTTACGTCTTTATCCTAAAGGTGAATTTTCAAGTATTTATTCGATTCTGTGGTGTATCTTATCACAGCCTTACTGAAACCAATTAAACCGATTCATTCCAACATCTTGTCATTTAGGATGCATCCAAGGTGTACACAGTGAGTGGAAGGGAGGTGACTCCAAACATGAAGTTCCGTCGAGAGCCCGTGAGCACCAAGGTCCGGCAAAACAACAGCTATCTTGGCCGCATACACCGGAAGCCCCCGGCCAGCCTCGCTATGCCGGACATCGAGACAGCGAGAGTGACCAGTGGGGGTCTGAGACGCAGTGCGGCGGATGCAGACTGGGGGAAGTACCTGGATGAGATATATCCTGACAAACTCTACATGGACTATGCAAAAGGTATGTGTCATTACAATCTCATTTAAATCAGATCTTAGTTCTCGCTACCTCTAAACAAAGATCTGAGGACATCCCATTACGGGTCACGTCAGACCGACCTTGCGCGGACTTTGACCGACCAATGGAATGACCAATCAGAAGGCAGCTTTCTCGTGCTTTACGGCACTAATTTCAAATTGGCGACTTCGCTTCGAAACGTATTTTGACAAATTCTTGATTACAAATTTGAAACCTGAACAAAAGAACATTCTGGAATGACTAATAGATGGTCTAGATTGTATGGATTCAGTCGTTAAACCCTTAACTATCGTTCGGAGTTAAAGTTTTCGAGGCTGCATGATGAGAAATCACGTTCCGACTGTCACTTTCATAATCTGGTAAGCGATGCTCTGATTAGTCGGATGAAAGGTCGTTCTGACGTGACCCGTAATGGGATGCCCTCAGATCTTTGTTTAGCGGTAGCGAGAACTGAGGTCTGATTTTAATGAGATTGGTGTCATTAGAACTGATTTAGTAGGTGAATCTATTGCGTCATGTAAGCATAAAGTATAAGAATTGACGCACATAATATCAAATATGCGAGGCAAGGGAGCGAGCCGACTGTAAAAGTGGTTATTACGAGTTATGTCCCTTCTATGTACCGCCTATTGACCAATCAGATTCCATGAACTTGTATTTGCTTCAAACAAAATGGCGGCGCCCAGTGAAGACGATTTGAGCGATAATCAAAATCTACATTGTCATAAAACGGGTCTTACTTCGCGAAGTGCATCAAGTCACGTGAGCACCTTGATTAAAACCATGAAAAGATTTGGAAAATATCTGTTGATGCCGTGTTGGTGGTACACATGCTATGCAAATCATGTAATCGACCGAAATCTGAACGTTGATTTCGTTACGTGATTTTGATTGGACTATGCATGGACTCGTTTGTCCAATCAAAACATAATTCCATAACACATAGCGTTTGCTCGTCACGCCGGAGACCCGGGTTCGATTCCTGACATGGGTACAATGTGTGAAGCCCATTTCTGGTGTCCCCCGTCGTGTTATTGCTGTTATATTGTTAAAAGCGGCGTAAAACCATACTCACTCACTCATGCCAATGACCCCCTAAATATATTACCAAGAGTCCCAGGACTCGTAGAGATAAAGACCAAGGAAAATACCTGAGTACAGTCACTACATTGTTGTTAGAACGACATTTATGCGTATAAGTCAAAAGCAGCGTGACACGTGAAGATCCGGGCTAGAATTGGACTTCTGCACCTACATTTGTCGTAAGAGGCGACTAACGGGATCGGGTGGTCAGGTGGTCGCTGACTTGGTTGATCTGTCATCAGACATGGTGTCCCAATTGCGTGGATCAATGCTCATGATGTCAATCACTGGAGTGTCTGGTCGGTTATTGACGTCATGTAGCTGGAATATTGCTGAGTGCGACGTTAAACAACAAACAAACTAAGATTGGTGATCTCAAAGACAGAATAAAAGCAAAACTTTCCACAATAAGTGCCTTTATGTCTAGCTGTAAAAAATATTATTTTTTAGGAGTTATGACATCCAATGAACCGTTTCTTATTTGGTGTATGTTTTCATCAGCCACCAGCACGAGATCCGAGAGCATGCTACGTCATAAAGCAGACGACGGGCTGGACTATCTGTATGACCGCGCCCTCTACTGGAAGAAGTCGGAACCAGTTGTCAGACCCAGCTCACGTGCCAAGAGCACGCGCTCAATTCGGAAGAAGGGTCGAAGTGCAAACAGCGCCACAGTGTCAAGGTCAAGAAGTTTGCACAGCCCCGCCTTGTATAGAGATACAACTTTGTGAAATGACTGCTGCAGATTTTTGTATTGAACTGTTATAATGTGCCAACTGGTGCCACGCTGGTCCCCTAGATATAGGATATTAAACATTTATAAGGACAGGTGTTACTAAGATCGAGATGGTTGGAAGGGCTAGTGGACAATATGAAATACAAGGCTACATATATAGTCACCGACGGAAGAAACGCGAATACCATACACGTTGGTGAATATATGAAGAATTACTCATATTCAAGAGATATCAGATTGGTTTTATGCACAAACGGACACACTGGTATGTTGTGTGAACCGACGCTCATGAACTTATCACATGTGACGTCATAGATCCATGACTTAGATGCACCATTTGACTCGTGCAGGATTAACTGTAAAGTTTGGAAATCACGTGCAGCTTATCGTGATAAGAGTAACGACACCGTGGTAACACTTGACTGATTGATAGTTTTGTCATTAGGTGGCACACATCGGAAACATCTCTTCTTAACGTGCATATTTCTCTCTCTGTTTCCATGTTTCGCGTTTCTTTTGGCGGTGAGTATGTGGATCCCAGTGTCCCTGTCGATTCATGGACATAAGGACCATGAAGGGTAAATACATCACCTCGTTACCTTCACATTGATATTGTGGTAAATAATAATATGAATATCCTTCGTTTGAAGTTTGGAAATGGAGTTGTTTGTATGTTGTTTTGTTGTTTTAGAATGTTTGGCAAGGTGTCGATGTAACGACGAAAGTCCGCTGAACCAAACGAAGCATTTGTTTTAAAAAAACAATTCTTTTGAAAGATTTAAACATTTTGCCTACGTCTAACCGGATTGCATTATTTATTTGAAATAGTTCTTTTCCATGGCAACAGAAATAGTGCAAAATCTATTTTAGGTGATTTTTCAATATTGTATAAAAATGTGTATTGTTCTCTGTCAGTATCATGTATATACACTGTCAATACTAATCTGTTTAAATCTTATTTAATTATTTTGTACAGTATTAATCTGCGGGTTCCCACGATGTATATATGTGACAATGTTATGAACATGCATTTAACCTTACTTCTTGCTGTTGTTTGTACATAATTAATAATGTGTATGCGTGCTGTGCCGAGGTCGATTAAACATGAATATAAAGAAAAAGATGTCTGTATTTCAAGTGCATGTGAGTGAATGTTGTGTAATTCCACAGTTAGCACTATTCGAACTACACCATGACAGCCTGTTTATAATCGAGTCACGACCAAGCAGGCGAGTGGTTGATAGCCTGAGCAACGTTTCGCACCGTTGAGTCACGATGACACATTGCAACCACCCTATTATGGCTCTCACAACCATGAGATACTGAGGTATATCGTGTCCCCGTGAACAGGATGAAATCTACGGACGATGTGACTACAGATCAACTTTGACCTTGACCTTGACCTTGACCTTGACCTAAACTACTTACTAAAGCATGTATCTAAAGTATGTGTTACCCGGATTCTGCACCAATATATCACTAGGAGAACTTGAAACAGTACGGATACATTTAGATTGACATTTGGTGGGTATACGACATTTCATTCTGAGACGTCAAAATGTTCGTTCCAAAACTGTCTTGCCAGGCCTACCAAAGACAACCAACAGAAGCTCCTAACCTATGGAATATGCACATACAGTAAACTACGGTTATAACAAACGAAAGGGAATACTAATTTTAGTTCGTTATAACCGTAATTCGTTATAAGCATATATACAGCATAACTACTGCAAATAGTCGGGACTAAAAAGTTAGTTCGTTATATCCGTCAGTTCGTTATAAACGTGTTCGTTTTAACCGTGGTTTACTGTACTTTAAATAGAAATAGCCACATTAATTACGAAGACACAATCCCCGTAAAGTTTGCATCGTAATGATAAGGAACCCGTCATATGTCGGAATGTGTTTTCTAATCATGCAACCTCGAAAAGGTTAACACGGGGTATTCCGAACGACAGTTACGGTCTGTACGACTGATTCCGTCGTCTATCGCTCGCTTCAATGCATTCGTGACCAACTCGTGTTGCGAGTGGTGACGAATGGCTTCAATGGGATAAATATCTGAACGGAAGAGACTTTCGATAGCCCGTTGGAAATAGGCCTACTGCCATACAATCTCAGCCATCTATTAGACATTCCAGAATGTTCTTTTGTTCAGTTTTCAATTTTTGAATCTACAACTTTGTCAAAATATTTGTTCGATGATTCCTGGTTCGCATGATCTTCGTGAAACAAGAGTGTCCACTAAACTATATCAAAGCCCAGTTTCCGCCCTTGCCATTTTAAGCCTACTCAACATGGCTGGATCATGGTGTTACCCGTGTAGAACCCGTGCTGTGCCCGAATATGCTTATCATAAGAGGCGAGGCTAGCTATCTTGGTTGATGCATGTCATCGTCTCCCAGTTGCGTGGATCGATGCTCATGATGTCAATCACTGGATTGTCTGCTGTGTGCTGCGTTAAACAACAAACAAATCTTATTTCGAATGGCTTCACAAAGATAACTGTAATATCAGCATGCATCCCAAACAGACAAACAAGATGACAGATTACCACAGTAAAGACAACTGACGTATTTGGCTTTTACGGTAATAGAGGAATACAGACATGGGAACTCGTTATTGGTCAGTAAATATAAATATATACCCCCTATATGTAAGTAGAGAATATAGGGGGTATATATTTTTATTAACTGACCAATAACGAGTTCCTGTGAATACAGACTACTCAGTATCAAGTAACACTGCACATTGCGATAACAGGGGTCGTCTGTAAATAGCACCGAATCACTGCGACAAGCGTGTAGTTGTTCAAGTTAAAAAGGAAGGAAGTTTAAACTCAAATAGAAACTTAGTACTTGGGCAAGTTGAACCACTTCGAAAATATTTATCTTAGCTTAATTTTAGAATGACCACAGTGCAAATTCAACTGGCAGTAGCTGTTGATTTTGTAAAAAGTTCTCTGATTGGACGACTATCGATATGTGCAAAGGTCCACTCACATATTAACACTGTTATCTGTCGTTTACCAAATTGAAATAATATGATAACAACTGGTCAAGGCTGAACTCGAGGCAAAAGACGATTACTCAAAATCTTGGATTCCCGAGGTTTGACTTAAATATAAATTCACTTTAGTTAAATGTCCCAGATTGAAAACTTGTAATGTCGACATCAGTACTGACGTATTTACGGACGGGCTAGGAGTTGTTCGTTAATTGTTTAACGCCGCACAATATTCCAGCTATATAACGGCGGTCTGTAAATAATCGAGTCTGGACCAGACAATCCAGTAATTGATATCATGAGCATCGATCTACACAATTGGGATACGATGACATGCATCAACCAAATCAGCGAGCCTGACCACCCGATCCCGTTAGTTGCCTCTTACGGCAAGCTTAGTCGCCTCTTACAGTTAGCATTGTTTGCTGAAGACCTATTCTAACCCGGATCTTCACAGAGGTACAAGAAAGGGTTGCCGAAGATCTATTCTAACCCGGATCTTCACAGAAGTACAAGAAAGGGTTGCTGTAGACCTATTCTAACCCGGATCTTCACAGAGGTACAAGAAAGGGTTGCGGAAAATCTATTCTAACCCGGATCTTCACAGGGGTACAAGAAAGGGTTGCCGAAGATCTATTCTAACCCGGATCTTCACAGAGGTACAAGAAAGGGTTGCTGTAGATCTATTCTAACCCGGATCTTCTCAGAGGTACAAGAAAGGGTTGCTGGAGATCTATTCTAACCCGGATCTTCTCAGAGGTACAAGAAAGGGTTGCCGAAGATCTATTCTAACCCGGATCTTCACAGAGGTACAAGAAGGGGTTGCTGAAGACCTATTCTAACCCAGATCTTCACAGAGGTACAAGAAAGGGTTGTTGAAGATCTATTCTAACCCGTATCTGGATAATATCCAAATGGAACGTCTAGACTTGAGACCGACTAGTCTGGCCCAGGTTTATTAATGTGCTTGCCGTCGTTATACAGCTGCAACACTGCTGACTGCGGCGTAAAACAACAGTGTTAACCACTCACTACTGCCTCATAGTAGTCTTAATAACGTGTTTCCTCCAGGAGTTATCAGTTCGGCTCAGTGTAGAGAACGCGGGGGTGGTCATCACTATTTGATAATGATTCATCATCACATGATATGATATGGTCGATCTCAATAAAATCAGATGATGGTCGGAAGAAAGGTCGTTCTGACTTGACCTGTAATGGAATATCCTAAGACAACTGTGTAGCGGCAGCAAGCACTAAAATCTGATTTTAATGAGATTGATGATATGGTCACAATCGTAAAATGGACTGATTTTAGAAGAACGATAAATGATGATGGGAAGGTTTTAGTAGCTTTTATTTAGCCTACTGTATTTGTATGTCATGGGACCTTGGAGAGTGGATCGATTCTGAATCAATGACGGGAACACTATTAGTAACAACTCATGCATTTTTTAGATATATCGGTTGTGGCTTTCGTTCGAAAAAAATGACCGTCTCTACATCCTTTTACTCTTGGAGATTAGACCCGTGAAGATCCGGGTTAGAATAGGTCTTCAGCAACCCATGCTTGCCGTAAAAGGCGACTAGGTTTGCCGTAGGGGGCGACTAACGGGATCGGCAGGTCAGGTTCGCTGACTTGGTTGATGCATGTCATCGATCCCTATTGCGTGGCTCGATGCTCATGATATCAATCACTGGATTGTCTGGTCCAGACTCGATTATTTACAGACCGCCGTCATAAAGCTGGAATATTGCTGAGTGCGGCGTAAGACAACAAATCAATCTTTGACATTTGCTAGCCAAAGTGTTACTTGAATGCTACCGACAAAAGGGGAACTAATGACTTGAATGTATAGCTATCGTCAAGAGCCCAAGTTGCCCGAAAGTTTGGGAAATCTAACTGTAATTTGTTGACTGCCAGTTAAGTGCCGTCAAACGGTTGGGGTTGAAATGACACCTTGACGTGGAGCCCGTCTGAAAGCAAGACGTCCTGTGAAGGATGTGACCGTAACGGCTTACCATAAGCGGCACAAAACAGGGACTGGTTGAGCGCCCATGTTTACAGAGGAATCAAGGTTTTGCTTCCGATTCACAGTTGGGCAGAAAACGTTGTTGATGACGTAGCGGCGAGCGGTATGCCAGGGCAACAATTTTTGACCATGATTGTAATTGGGGCGGTAGTGTCATGGTGTGGGGAGGTATCACGCATGACAGCTGAACTGATCTGGTTTTTGTGAATGGCCATTTGACTGGCCACCGATATGTTGACGAAATTTTGCGTCCTTTCGTTGTCTCGTTTCGAGTCATCGGTAGAAACTGGGAACTACAAGATGACAATACCAGACCAATTCGTGCCTAGGTCGTCACCGATTATCTCCGACGAGAAGGCATAAGGACATTGCATTGGCCCGCGAAATCCCCTGACATTACCCTAATAGGGCATCTGTGGGATGTCCATGAAAGGAGAGTGTCAATCTCATTAAAATCAGATCTTAGTTCTCGCTTTCGCTAAGCAAATACGTGATGACATCCAATGACGGGTCACGTCAGAACGACCTTCCATGCGACCAATCAAAGCGTCGCTTACCAGCAAGAACTTAGATCTGATTTTAATGAAACTGGGAGAGTGTACGCCGGAGATCCAGCACCAGCCAACGTGCCCATTCTTGGGGTAGCTCTTCAGGCGGATGGGCGGGCAATACCAATGGCAACCTTTCGCAAGTTTATCATCAGTATGCCATCAAGGTGCCAGATACTGACCGAAGAAACACGTTACTCTTCTTAAATCAGCTGTTTGTTATTTACAAAAGATAACTTTGAATTTAAATCCCGATCAATTTTATTGCAAACATCACCTGTGAAAAGACTCATACAAACATTAAATGCTTGGTCTTGGAAACCTAGGTCCACGTGCACATTTTTACATGGACCTGGGCCTGCTTGCACAAAGCGATCTTAGCGCTAAGATGATCGTAACTCCCATGCTTTAACATAGGCTTACAATAGTCGTAGCGCTAAGATTGCTTTGTGCAAGTGGACCCTGGGTTTCGAGTGCTCGCAGTGCTCAAAATACAAAACAAACGGCCGCATCCCTGCACTGACTTATACTTAATTAACGTGTGTGACTGGACAATACTGGACAATGCTTTCAACATCCATTCTATTCGACACATTCAGAAAACTATTAAAACATACAATAAATAAATAATAAATAAGGTATTCAAAATTCTTACAAAAATATAATATACCGAAAATAAAATCTGACATGATTTTATTAATCAAGTTGAATAAATAGTACACAAGCAAACCTTTTCACAGATTTTTACATTTATTTACAAATATTTCACGAAAGTGGGGTTGAAGGTGTCCTACCTTCCTTGCAACTTAACATTAGTTACACAATGGCTGGGGTTGTCAAGGACAGACTCGGGGCATCAGACACGGCTAGTGACTAATCCTTTACTTGTACTGATCCACGAGTGACCGTCTGACGCAAATCCTAATCTTCACCCAACACGAATCCCCAGAAGATTAGGTGTTGTTATGTAGTTCAATGTATAATACAGGCATTAGCCCGTACTCTAGACTAACATTTAGTCTCTGAAATCTTATATTACATAATATCCTTCTTGACCCTAAAAATATAAAAAATTCCCTATGCTGATTTCTAGACTTGCTTTTGTATGCATTTCTAAATTATTTTTTTTCATAAAATAAATATATTCCACGGTCATGGTGCAGGACTACCCGTACTCCAGAGACGAATGAAAATTGGAATTTTGATTATACTGGTAATTTTTAGTTCGAAAGTCGAGAAACAAGTGAAAATCTGGAAGGACTACTTTTCTCAGTGAATGAGTGTTTGGTTTTATGCCGCGTTTAGCGCTGTCTCACCAAAATCACACGGGGGACACTATACAGGGCTTCACACACTGTACCCATTTGGGGAATCGAACTCGTAACTTCGGCATGACGAGTTTGAACGCTTTAACCAGCAGCCCCGTCCCTCCCTACTTTTCTCAGTAAACCATGATCACATGTTGATTCCGGAAGTAGAATCAACGAGTCCCGAAGGCTTCCGGAAATCGAGTGATATCTCAGACCATGTTATGGATGTATAATTTCTCTATAATTTGCATAATGACCGATAGATGCATGAGTTTTACACGTTCAGAATTGCCACTGAATTCCTGGCTGAGAGTCAACAACAACAACAGTGTGACGTCATCATAATGGTGTAAGGCTATGTTACTTAAACCGTGAGTCGACGACAGCTCAACCGTGTGCGACATACGCTTGCAGCCGGAAAGCGCACGTAAAACCTCAAAAAAAGTAAGACAGCTCAACACGAACATCAACTAGCTGTTGTCACTAACATAGTCTTCTCGAAAAAGAGTTAATCTCTACGTTACCAAATGGGCAACACTGTAAATATGGCCAATATAACTACTAACATCAACCATCTCGGACTTCCAGTTATTGCAACATAAACAACACAACTAGTTTACTTATGCTAAACCGGATACGACAAAATACATATAACCAACGACATGCGATCATATTCGACGTAGCGTAGCATGCATTCAACGAAAGGTTACGAAAGTCCGACATCGGATGACTTCTGCCTCACGTGTGACCTCAGTTGGCCTTTGCCTCACGTGTGACCTGTGATGACCTCTGTCTCACGTTTGACCTGGTGGCCTCTTCCTTACGTGTGACCCCAGGTGACCTCTGCCTCACGTGTGACCTCAATGGCCTCTGCCTCACATGTGTACCTTGTCTGACCACACCTGACCCAGCTTCCAGAGGGTTGACACCTTGCCCCACACCTCTACTTGGTCGTCTGGGACTGCTTCTTGAAGCCAGGAGCGCTTGCGAGGGGACGTGAACGGATAGTCGGGATTCTCTTCTAGTGTAGCGCCCGGGAGAACCTACAAGGAAATTGGCAAACGTTACTAGGGATATTCCAATTAAAAACTTTTTTTTCAAATTTACAATTAGTCTGGTTTGAATTTTGAAATATATTTCCTTGTAGACTCCGTGGGCGGATATACAAACACGGTGGTACTTAAATACGGGAACGACTGTACCGTTACAAACTGCACTTCAAACCAGAGCAAACCACAGCAAACCAAATAGAAATTGTAAATTAGACCCAAAGGTTATGACAATGGTTCCATGCACAAATAATATAATTCAATCGTTAGCTAAAGTCTCTGATTCGGGACACATCCGCAGTACCGAACTCGATTTTGACTGGGTTCCTTCTTAGTTGCGATGACACAGTTGACACGCGTCTGGGAGAACGGGGGCTCCTCAGACTCCAGTCTTCGACCACTGTGTTGTCTGCTATAGCCTCCTCTCGTCTGCGCATGAAGCCGCTGGGCCGGAACTGCCGGGTTAGAAGGATGATGGGTTTGGAGAAAAACACCCAGAACCTCAATGTGTTGTCCACGGCGGAGGTGGTTGCTCTGCTTAATGCAGTCTTTGCCCTTGGCCTGGATTTAGGTCTCACATCCCTACCCCGTTTTGTGCCGTTCTTTTCCACAGGATGGCCATTTTGGTCGACATTAATCTGTTCCATATCTATAGCGAGCGACCTCGCTGCCAACACCTTCTCGTCAGAATTGCCATCCTGTGGTAGTTCCTCAACATCTAGCATAATGGAACGGGGAGCGTAAGCAGGCGCCGAAGATGGTCTTATTTCGCTTTGAGACCTCACCAAACCTTTACCTCTCTTCTTCCTACCCCTCGACCTTGATCTGCTCCTCGCACGAACGTTGTGGTCAGGAGAAACGCAAGTCATTGACGAAACAGGCCTAAAAGACCCGTCTCGATTGACTTCCCCACCATACATGTCTTCCCTGAAGGAAGCCGACCTGTTCCTTGCAGACTGAGCCCTGTATCTTGGTGACCTCGTGCCGCCCACACGATCATCCAATAAAGGTCGAGGTCTCTCTGTGGAGGACATAGGCCTGTCTCTCAACATGCTTCTGCCTCTATCAGGGCCCACTTCCATCCCAATGGGAGCAGCGTGAACAATGCTATGTATGTCTGGGGGGGACCCCCTAAGGTACAAGGATGAAGGGTTGTAAGACGACTCAGGAGACATTCCTCTCATGTCATCCTTACTTACATTCTTTTCACCTTCATCATCCATGTCGACGACCTTCATGTCAGATTTGTTGCTCCTTGTCCTCTTGAAGTCCTCCTTGGCCAGACTGGGGATGTCCACTCTGGTTATTTTGATCGGCGTGGATGGCGGGACGTAGTCGTCGTCGTCAACAGACTGAGGGAAAGATTGTGAATGTGTGAGTGAGTTTCATTGTATCACTAGTGCAATCATAATGTGGGAGCAAGCCCAAAGTAAACATTTATCCACATGGTCAAACCCACAAGGACGGGAACGGCGTTTTTAAGGATTATAATCAGACCGAATCTGTAACTCGAACCCATAATCATAGGATCCTGGCATGCCAAAGGGACGCAACACTGCACGGCGAATTAGAGCGCCTTAGAGGATTGTGCCCCCTGGTGGACAGAGTGACAGGGGCGAAAACTTTCTTTAACTCGATATGGTGAAGGCGTTGAAATTCGTTGACATTTCGAACAACGTTAAATTGGGCGTTTTTTATGTGATCCGCAAGACTTTGACTTACAGAGCTCACAATGCATCAAATATTTCATTTCATTATTGATTTTCAAATATAGAATACATTATTTCTAATGCATGAACAGCATCGAGGGACAGAGTTACAGTAAAGTTGATAACGACCCAGGTAGCTTTGCAATGTGTCCCACGCCAATAAAAGTCCAATATAGACACAAGGGTTTGAAAACTTAATTCTAGTTAATTCCATTTAAAACAATCGCAACGTTAAATGTCTCTGCATTCTCAAAAAAATATACTTTTAAGAAAATCGCATTTTTTACCAAATATATTTTTCTCTAATTTGCCTGCCAATGGCACTTTGTTTGAAATCCTAGGTAAAAATCCAACATTTCACATCCCATTATAGATATATACCTCGTAAAGAGATCATTAACTGCCTTTCATTGTATGGTTAATTCTTTCACAAGACCATAACGCAAATATCTCAAGTCAAGTTTCAGTAGATTCAATTAACCTCAATTCAAAATACAATTCAATATGAATTCAATGCTTACGGAATCTTTAGCGTCCCTGTAGCTCCGGGTTCGAACCTTCTTCTCTGGTTTCTCTGGGACAGGCTTCTTTCCTCCGCGCTGCATCTTGACCGGCCTGAGTTTGACCACCCCCCGGGTCTGAGGCTGACCAGGCAGCTCTTCCTGCAGACAGATGCTCCTTGTTTATATCACACTTAACAGACACATACATATAAGCGTCGTGAACTGTCTTACTCACTTAACCCCACGCGGCTAGTGTTTCCTGTGCCAGGTTGAATCATGCCTGGTCCCATCACGATATATTGCGTGATGACACTCACATGGATTGAACACTCTGGTATCTTATCTCTTTGATCTGATCAGTAGGCGGTGGTATTCGACACATCTCAATAGTCCCATTCGACAACCGCTTACAATTCTGTACACGTAACGTCCAGGTAACTTACACTCAATCTCATTGAAATCAGATTGATTACTGTCAGAGTAAAAGGTCTGATTATGATTAGAACGTTTTAGGTCGGAGTAAGATATTGAAACGATCGATTTTTCGAACCTCAAGAGAACATTTATGTCGGATTTCGTGACCCAAAATGAATTTTTGACCACATCAGGCACATGGTTTCCTGTTTTTATCTACATGTCATAAGAAACTAACCTTGGGCAAAGAACCCGCTCATGTTCACATATTGGGAAAACGCTTCCGCTAAAATCAGCATCCCCGACACATAGTAACCGTACCTTTACATTTAGCGAGGTTATACGTTAAAACAGTATTTGTTTGTTTGTTGTTTAACGCCGCATTTTCCAGCTATATGAACGCGGGCTGTAAATAATCGAGTCTGGGCCAGACAATCCAGTTATTGATATCATGAGCATCGATCCTCGCAATTGGGTTACGATGACATGCATCAACCAAGTCATCGAGCCTGACCACCCGATCCCGTTAGTCGCCTATTACAAGACATGGGTTGCTGAAGACCTATTCTAATCTGGATCTTCACTGGTACATTAAACCATTAAAAAAACATGCTGTTGAAAAGAACAGTTCATTCCTAAAAGTATCTGATCCTATGGATCCGAAAGGTTCCTTAGCATACCTCGTCATATATCAATGATGACGTGACCAAAACCTGGAAATACCATAGCCTAGCCCAGTGGTGAGTGTATTTGCTCACGAAGACCTTCCGCTATCAGCAATGGAGGAGACTTAATTTCACGCACTCTCAATCAGTCAAACCAAAAGACGTTAAAATATGGTACTTGTTGTTACCCTGCCTGGCGCTCGACATTAAGGGGCTAAAACAAGGACTGGTCGGCTCGGTGTCAGTATACTGTGTCTGAGTGGGGTATTCATGTTAAACTGCGGCATGGTATCTCAGTGAGCTAGCAAAACAAATCGGCATCAGCCCGGACTACACACACACGCACGTACGCACGCATGCGCGTGCGTCGCTACATAAGTGCAATTATCTTGGACGCGACGTTAAACCCAATTTCATCTCACCTCACTTCAACCAGTCTTACCCCACTTTCCGTACTGGTCTCCTCTACTCCGACAATGCCCTTCTGGCCGAATTTCCTCCGTAGACTGGTCTGACTGCCCCTACGGCCACTCACTCCCCTGGGGGTGATGTCCTCTTTGATGGGGGGTAACGGCTTCCCTTCGACTGGGGGAAGCTTCGTTCGCTTCCCAACCTTCGGCCGTGGCTTGGTTCCATTGCTCAAAGAAACGGCTCCTTTCGGAACAACGCCTCTCTGTGGAGCAAATGTCTTGACTGGCGTAGGTTCCAACACGGTTACTTCGTCCTCTAGACCTGGATGGACGCCCACCACGTTGTACCCTGTCGGGGGAGAAATATGCTCCTCGACGCTGAGATCAGACAGTTTACTATCCCGCTCGCTCTCGTCGGCAGAACCCATGGTCACGTGGATTGATCCGCTAGTTGTCGGGCGGAGAGTTTCCCCGGACGGACTCTGGGGTTTGTCCGGAATGGTCGGGAGAACATCCGGGGGTACTGCTCCGTCCGGCTTGTCCAATTCCTTCCCCCCTTCTTGCGTTCCCCCCTCAACATCTTTATCCCCCCTTATTTTTGCATTCTCTTTGTTCTGTTTCCACAAGCACCAGATAACGACGACAGCAACCAAAATGATAAACAGCAGACCGAAAGTGACCCCCAGGCCGGTGGCCAGAGCAGACGACACAGGGGCCGTCGTAGTAGCAGTAGCAGCGGTAGTAGTTGGTGCCGTAGTGGTAGCTGTGGGCCATAAATACAAATCTAAATACAAGATTCTGTTTGTTTGTTTGTTTGTTGTTTAACGCCGCACTCAGCAATATTACAGCTATATGACGGCTGTCTGTAATAATCGAGTCTGGACGAGACAATCCAGTGATTGACACCATGACCATCGATCCACCCAAATGGGATACGATGACATGCATCAACTAAGTCAGCGAGCCTGACCACCCGATCCCGTTAGCCGCCTCTTATACTTACGACAAGCATAGTCGCCTTTTACGGCAAGCATTGGTTGCTGAAGACCTATTCTCGCCCGTATCTTCACGGGTCACGAGATTCTGAATATTTACCCAAGGCCTCACGATAACTCGTTATTATAAAAACATGCTATTACCAGCTGGAGTGTCTACGTGTGAACCAAGTCATTGCCAATTAAGTTGGAGACCAACGGCTTTAGAAGCCAATATACACTACGGATTTAATACTCGTGTTATATAATTCTTTCAAGCGTAAAAAAAACATAAATGTTATTTCGATTACCCGCCACTTTTTTGTTTGTTTGTCGCTTAACGCCGCACTTTGCAATATTCCATCTATACTACTAAAAATAACTTAAGGACCATCCGATTCTTTCATATTAATATACTTAATATTAGTTAATCTGGCATGCAAGTCCTTATAGTCTTTTTAGTAGTATGCGTGACGGCGGCCTGTAAATAATCTGGACGAGAACCTTTTTAATCCTGTGATTGATATTGTGAACAATGATTCCCACTATTGACCAAGTCACCAAGCCTGAGCACCCGACCCATTTACATCCTTAAGTGATGTATGTTAATACAAACAGAGGTCACATTAACACTATCTAGCGAATGTTTTGTGAGAGGTTTCTGAATAACTAATTCACACAGAAAATATCTTGGAATATGTCACGTGATCGTACTGAATACTTACGGTTGCAAGAAGCTGAAACAAGACAATAAGATATATCAGTATTAGTGTTGAACATTCACATATCAGTTGTTTTTATATCTAATCGCACAGTAAGCATATCAAGTGTGGGATTATTTTGTCATATTGAAATGGTTCAAATTGGACAGCTGATTAAATGCACATTTAAAGAGAACACATTGTTATGGCATCGTTTTGCTCCGGTGTAGTCACTGGCGGCTCCAGAGAGTGGGTGCATGTGCGTCCTCGATGATCCAGTGATTATATAGATCTCCTTTCTTTTAGATAAAACACCCTGGATCCAATCGCCACAATAGATTCGTTTCGATAATATCTCATCTTCCCGAGGCATGGGAGTTAACTGACTGTAAAAGTCCAGTTTCCACCCTTGACGAACTAGACTGGAAATTTTGGGCTCGATCGTAGCGTCGATTTATGTCCCTGCTAAGTCCTTCCAGTTGACCAATCAGATTCAACCTCTGATATTACTTATATTTGCTTCAACAAAATGGCGGCGCCAAGTGAAGACAATCTTATTGATAATGAAGATCTTTTTAGGAATAAAACGGGTCTTACTTTGCGAAGCGCATCTTATTACGTGAGCACCTTGATTAAAAACATGTAAAGATTTAGAAAATTTCTGTTGACTGCATGTTGACAGTACACATGCTTTGCAAATCCTGAAATCGACCGAAATCTGCTCGGGAGTTTACGAAACGGGTGTCTAGTTTATTACGCGATTTTCATTTGACTTTGCATGAATTCGTTAGTCCAGCAACAATATAACATCAATAATACCAGCCTAGTTCGGCAAGGGTGGAAACTGGACTTATATAGTCTTACCTCGGGAGGACTGAACTATCACAATCCGTCTTAATAGAGATTTCTCTCTCGAAATCGGCCCATGGTATTTATCATAACAGAATGGATATATAAACACACTTGATCATCCAGGATAGCACAAGAGGTGCGCACCTGCATCGGACAAGCACACAGTGTGTCAAACTATATCAGCCAAATACACATAACACAAACCTCATATTTAAGCCACTTGCATAAAAGTTGTGACTATTTTATACCTTTCCTTCTTGTATCCGTGTACATGTATGCTTACTTGAATTCTGAAGAACAAGTGTGGCGCCAGGGGAGACAACTGATGTAGAGGTCTGGTTGGACAAGCATTGTTGTGGGTACTGTGTCATGTACACCTGGCTGCCTGAAGCACTCAGCACCTGAAACATGTACCACCACGCAGCTGTAGGTTTCCTGCATACACGATGTTAGACATGCACTGAACATTGATATGATTCGTGAGAGCTCCTTGCTATGTATGCTGCTACCATATAACCTCTCGGAGTATGGGGCGATGTGGTAGCCGAGCGGTTAAAGCCTTCGCTCATCTCGTCGAAGGCCCATTTCTGATGTCGCGCGCCAAGGTATAGCTGGAAGATTGCAAAAAGCGGCGTAAAACCACATTCACACACTCACTCAATTATCCATATATCTGATCAACTCTACATGCTGGTAAACTGTTTAAAGCTGACATTACAAGAATATTGCAAAACCGACGTAAGAACGTGTACCAAGTACCAAATAGCCCCATCAAGATGGCGGCTGCACGGAGAGCAACATTTTCGGAATAGCTACATGAATTCAAGCCACTATTAAAATCAGGACAAACAACATTACATTATATTTTTAGCCGAGATCACTTTTATTTCTCACAACACGTGGGACGAAAAACAAATGGTCATTGAATGGTGGCCAGGATTCACTTGAACGAGCGAGTGTTTGGTTTAAGGCCGCTTAGAACAGTATTTCAGTTATATCACGGCGTATGAATCAGTGTGTGAGTGAGTTGGGTTTAAGGCCGCTTTTAACAATATTCCACTTATATCACGGCATGTCAGCTTAATGTGGGAGGAAAGTCCGAAGTGATGCAGGTCTCAGACGTTTACCACTTCGGTGAAACCCACGAGCACGGGTATGGTGCTGACAAACCTCGAAACATAATCGGGGCGAACCGGGATTCGAACCCACAATCATAGGTTTCTGGCGTGCCCAAGGGACGCAACTCTGCACAGCGAATCGCGGCGCCTTAGACGACTTGGACCCGTGCCCCCGCGTATGAATGAATTGTCTGAAGAGAGCTCAACGTCTAAACGAAGATGACGTCATTATACATATTTCACAGCATTGCAGTACACAAAAACACAAGAAACCTGTCAGGATCCGGTTATGTTTTGAAACTGGTCAAACTGCATGGTACAAATCATTTTAAATAAAGGTTGGTTTTCATGGCCGTCATCATCAACTACTGGTGTTGTTATCGTGATGTATACTCCATCCTACCATGCATGTAAATCTGTACGTCGATGCCTCATCCGTCGTTATGTCGTTGTTGTAGAGGGTGAGGTAGGTGTTGGCCCCGCTGGTGGTGTTGTATATGCAATAAAGACTGCCTCCCGCTGTAACCAGACAACACTGCTGTTATAACGGAAGTTAGTCCAATGTCTACAATTATCCATTATGCCGAGCGACAACGGGTGGGTTAAAAAACAACTATTCCAGAAGATAATAAATATTTCGTCCTCAAGTTTAACCCCAAAAGATAAATTGTTCGCTGGAAATGATGAATTCCTAAACATTTAATGCCTTGTGAAGAAAATTGAAATTTTAGGGATGTCTGATGTTATGTAATGCATTCAAATGAACATCAACGATTTATCGCACATATTACATACTTACTGTTAATCTTTACAAACTGAATGACGTTTATTAAATGTCGCTGTTATAAGTCAGATATATTTGACAAGTCACACTGCACTGACCCGAGTAAGCGACGTTCGAGTTACAGGAAGTGTAGTTGAAGTTCATCGCTGTGGTGTCAGTGCACACTTCTAGGTAGGACCCGGATGAGCACGTGTCACCACTTCCGGCATCTAAAGAGTACATCCACTTGGCCTGCACGTCTGTCGGGCAACTACTGGCGGCGCTGGCGGCTGCTCCTGCAAACAGGTTACCACGTCGTTGTGATGCATTTTGTTAAGAGACATGCACAGTGAAACGGTTGGCCACAATACCCGTACAGAATGTTTATTTGTTTGCTTTCAATACTACTCCAGCGATATGACGACGGTCTGGAAATAAATGAATCTGGACCAGACAATATGAGTATCGATCTATGCATCTGGGATACGAAGACATGCTTCAACAAAGACAAGCAAGCATCTAACCCGGATATTCTTTGGGAAGGGGTGGAGGGACCCACTATGGAACCTTTAAATTTTTTCCTTCATCCGCCTCTGCATATGACAGACAAGAAGTGGCCCGTGAAGATCCGGGTTAGAATAGGTCTTCAGCAATCCATGCTTGCCGTAAAAGGCGACTATGCTTGTCGTGAGAGGCAACCAATGGGATCGGGTGGACAGACTCGCTGACTTGGTTAATGCATGTCATCGATCCCAATTGCGTGGATCGATGCTCATGTTGGCAATCACTGGATTGTCTGGTCAAGACTCGATTACTTACTTACTCGATGCAGTAACCCCTCCTCTCCCCAACACACACACACACACACACACACACACACACACACACACACCTCTGTTGCTATACTCAGATATTACGGCCTACAAGCTATATCATATGGCTATTTATATGTCATGTAAATATGAAACAGAATAATAGGATCAGTTTTCATTAGCACGTCATAACCTCGTTATACATACGTACCGCTTTTGACCATGACGTCGTGTGTGCCGATGGTGTAACTGACGTCATCACAGATGAGGGCCTGTGTGATAGTTGTTCCATCTGCGAAGATCTTCACCTTGTCATTGCCGGCACCTGCCTCCCTACCTGCATCACAGTAACATTCATAGTTCATAAGCACTGGGACTTATTTTCATCACCCTATTTGCAGATTTTATTCTTAACCGTAGTGTATAGGTTGTTGAAATTAAAATAACAAAAAAACATTCAAAGGCTTGTTTTACCAGAATTTTGTGGTCGTGTGATTTAAAGATAAAAGTTTTTTATTTGAATTTTGGTAATAGCTTCTCATCCCATACTGGCATACTTTCATTACTAATTATCCCGATATTAGGTTCTGGCGTGACCAAAGGACGCAACTCTGCACAGCAAATTGCGGCGCCTTAGACGACTGGGCCACCAGTGCCCCGTATTTATAAGAAAAATGGGGATAAAATACATTGGATTATCGTAAGACTAGGATAAGTTCTGGGTGTCTAGACATCAGCTTAAGTAAAATGGTGTCGTGAAGAGCATGGATGGATAATAGGATGACGTGATAATATAAACAATATCAAGTTTAGTTGGTCGCGCTGGTTCGGGAAGGACTTGCTTGAGATTTGCTTAAATATTTGAACAAAATAAATTATCAAGAATGAGACAGAACTTGTTTAGGCAAGAGGACTTTGGCATCAGACATGCACGTGTCTAGGTTTTGTGTTGATTTCTCCATATTGCCTCTGAACACATTAATGTGAACACAAAGTTATCGTGTTTAGAACTAAACAATATGTCTTACTTGACCCCAGGTTGTAGTAGAAGGCGTTGGAGTTGATGGCGTTGAGGTCCATGCAGAGATAGGCGTACCAGGTGAGGCCGACATAGGAGAAACTATTCGATCTGGAGACAAAAGAAACGATAACGCTGCAACATACACATAAGTGAGGAAGTTAGGTTTGATCTGTCGTAATCAAGATTATCGCGGCGGCCTGTAAATAAGTCTGGATCAAACAAACCAGTGACAGAAAACATGAGCAACGACCACGCCATCGGGACACGATGACATTCTTCACTCAGCCACAGATCCTATTTTTTGTCAGTTCTTTCAAGAGTTATGTACAAGGGTCCTTTTCTGACCAAGAGTCCTCACAGGGCAATGTGCGGGTAAGACAATGATGAATAAAATAGCAACGACCAACGCCATCCGGATACGATGACACGCATTCAAGAATTCGATTAACGTCACAGTACAGTCCATCCAATACCCAGTTAAGTTGGCTTGTGCTACAAGCTTAAGATACTGGGTACCTGAAGTCATATTCCCAAGATGTGATGCGGCTGGAATATCGTTAAATGTAGAGTAAAAACTTGATGCAATAATGGGGGAAATATTAGGCTCTTGCGACATGCATAGTCGCCTCTTATGGCAAGCATAGGTTGCTGGAGACGTATTCTTCCCCGGATCTTCACGGGTGACATATAGGAAGTGATCGTGATGGTGTAACACCATACAGCAATATTACCGCATTATTACGGCAGGGACAACAAAAATACCGTATACTTATGAGGAACTGAAGCATTGTCTTAGGTGTGACCAGCGAACGCTTTAGCCATACATCTGTCCCATCGCGCTCAAAACATGAAGCAATCTCATTAAAATCAGATCTAAGTTCTCGCTGCCGTTAAACAAAGATCTGAGGACATCCCATTACGGGTCACGTCAGAACGACCTTTCGCGAACTTTGACCGACCACTGAAATGACTAACAAGAAGTCGACATCAGCCAATTAGAAAGCAGCTCTCTCGAGCTTTACCGCACTCGTTTCAACCTGGCGACTTCCATTTCAGACTACCCTTGAAAAATATGTTGACACAGTTCTCGATTAAAATTTTGAAAACTGAACAAACGAACATTTCGGAATATCTAATATATGGTTGCGATTGTATGACAGAGCTTCTCGTGTACTGTGTAACGCCTCCTCCGTTCAAATGTTTATCCCGCGGAAGCGAGAGATAGACGATAATTTTGACGGAATCAGTCGTATGGGCCGTAACTGTCGTTCGGAATACCCCGTGTTAACTTTTTCGAGGTTGCATGATTAGAAAATACATGCCGACTGTCACTTTTATGATCTGGTAAGCGACGCTTTGATTGGTCGGATGAAAGGTCGTTCTGACGTGACCCGTAATGGGATGTCCTCACATCTTTGTTTAGCGATAGCGAGAACGGTTAAATGGAGCTGGATGAAAAATATATCGGCATGCACTGTTCATGGCAGAATCATGTCCTTCCGGTTCAGCGTACTTGCTAATGTAGAATGAACCATTATTCTGCAGACATGTGAAGGTGAAGGTCCCCTGCGAGGTCACGGTCCACGGGGTGAAGGTCGTTGAGGTAAAGGTCAAAGTACTCCGGCTACTTGTGACCCAGTCGCCGGTGAGGTCAGAGGGGAAAGTGCAGCCATCTGAAGGAAAAGTGTATGACATGGTTAATCCTGTTCAACGTAATCATGTTATTTCTTGTCTGGTCGAGACTCAATTGTATACAGATCGCCCCAATATAGCTTAAACTTTGCTGGCTTCAGCGTTAAACAACACTGAACTCACTCGCTGACATAATCATGTTACACAAGCAGCATATTTCAAATGTTAAAAGGAACATCACTATGAAGAGGCTCTATGGAGCTGGAAGCGCTCGCCAATATAAGTTTGTATTATTACCATGCGTTGGTGAACTCCTTGAAGGACCGGAAGTACTCCGCATATTAGGATGATTATTTTTGACATCATATTACTTTGTTTTTTCAAATTATTACCTACGCACCAAGCTAGTCTGAACATTTGTTTTATTTCTATCTGCCAATCTGTCTATCTAGCTAGTTGTTGGTTGGTTGGTTGTTTAACGCCGCACTCAGCAATATTCAACCTATATGACGGCGGTCTGTCAATAATCGAGTGTGGACCAGACAATCCAGTGATTAATATCATGAGCATCGATACACGCAATTGGGATCGATGACATGCATCAACCAAGTCAGCGAGCCTGACCACCCGATCCCGTTATTCGCCTCTTACAACAAGCATATAGTAACCTTTATCTCCTGAATTACCTTTTACTCCTTAAGAGGGTGATTATGTTATTGAGTCAGGCAGGCTGTTTTCTTCATGTTACTAACTTTCATAACTACCCTCCATTTTATCCAGGGGCGGTCGGGTAGCCTAGTGGTTAAAGCGTTCGCTCGTCACGCCGAAGACCCGGGTTCGATTCCCGACATGGGTACAATGTGTGAAGCCCATTTCTGGTGTCCCCCGCCGTGATATTGCTGGAATATTGCTAAAAGCGGCGTAAAACCATACACACTCACACTCACTCCATTTTATCCAGAGTCACATGTCGACTTTATCGAAAAGATAACTTATAAAATATCCTACAAGTTAGTATAGCGTCTTATAAACTACTCCCTGATCTATATCAAGAAGTTAACAACAATCACTGCATATCTCAGTGACGGCAGTAGATATTTACCATTAGGTAAACACATATTTAATGTATATTCTTTGGGGTTATCTTTATTTACAATTCTTTCTGTCGTGTCGCTATGAGAAACCTCTTGTTCAAGTACATATGAATAGATAGTGTTTTAAAGTATACTGCTCAAAGGGAGTTACGGATCATCCGATTCTTTCGTATTACTATTACAACCGGGTGATCCTTAGCGTCTTTTGAGTAGTATATAGTACATAAACGATCGGTACGTGAAAATGTAGCTTTAGAATTTAAGCCTGGCTTTTATTTTGTTTCATATTTGTTTCTCTGAATCATTTTTGAATACGACATATCAAATGAATGTTAGCAGAGATTCTGATATTCGAAATGTACTCACCAATACGGCAAGTAGTTTTCTCAAGTTATCGCTTCGTGTGGCTAACATCGTGAATTGTATTTTAAGATTGTCCATCGTGAATAGCACATGTACCAATAACATAGCTATAAAAGTTATTACGAGATAGCGTCTAACGGTATATGATAGCACATAAAATGAAAAGTCTTACCTGATTTGTTGAGGAAAACCAGTAGCACCGAAACACAGAGAAATATTTTCATTGATATAGATGACATTTTTTCCGAGACGTCTGTATCATGACATCAAACAACGTAGTTTATATCTGCCTCTTGTATGTCATCACTTTTTACACAGAAATACTCAGTTGTAGCAGCTTTTTCCCTGTTACTACTATTGCCGTCTGCTCCGTACCTCGCCGGCAGCCATGTTGATTTTTGGGTACACCTCGCTCTGAGACTGAAACTGGTCTCTAGGATATTAATCCTAATCCGTTGATACCTTGTTGGTTACTGGATGGCATTGGGGACTCCATAGCGTTAAGTGGGCACATGAATTACGGGTATTGTTACAAGTGAAGTAGTAATGCGTCTAATCAGATTTATTATTGTTATAGAAAAGGAGTCATGAAGTTGCACCAATCATTTGGGCTTAGCAAATGTCTCATACTCGCTTAATGCAGTGTATAATAATTTCTAAGTAACAACGCTTGGTGTCAATAAAGCAATTTCATGCATGTGTATTATGCTAAATGTCCATTTATAAATATATGTAAATATAACTATATAACTTTGTATTGTTCACGATTGTCTTACGATACGTGTCAGTGATTTTATGATAAATAGTTGTGTTTATCCTATATGTTCGTGATCTTGTCATATGTTTGTCCAAGGTGATAATGAAGTTAAATGAACATACGCAGCGAGGTACACAACAATATGACAAGTCGTTTGCTCAAATTACCGTTTGATCAGGAAAGCACTACGGAACAGAGCATTACCTATCCTTTCTTACATACATATACATTGTGTACTTTATTAATCAACAAACTGTGTTTGAGGGAGTGGCAATCATCTTGCATCCAGGGGGGCCACGGGTGGCCCAGTCGTCTAAAGCGCCGCGATTCTATGTGCAGAGTTGCGTCCCTTGGGCACGCCAGAAACCTATGATTGTGGGTTCGAATCCCGGTTCGCCCCGATTATGTTTCTAGGTTTGTCAGCACCATACCCGTGCTCGTGGGTTTCACCGAAGTGGTAAACGTCTGAGACCTGCATCACTTCGGGCTTTCCTCCCACATTAAGCTGACACGCCGTGATATAAGTGGAATATTGTTAAAAGCGGCGTAAAACCCAACTCACTCACACACTCTTGCATCCAGTGTCTGACACCTCCAGTTTATTTCTTGTTGTAATAGAATGGAGACATATACTGGACAAAAATGTTAGGGATCATGAATATTTTGGGGGATATTTTTTATTAAATTGTGTGCAAAAATATTCATGATCCTATCTTTCTTTTGTCCAGTATAATACACTGGATCCAGGGTGGGGAGGGGCAAGTGGTTATTATTTTTTTTACTTTGCATTAATTTGACTAAGTCACACCGACTGCACACTATTAAAGATATTTACTCTGATTTAAATCGTCTATCTACCAGGTTAACAAGACCAAAACGCGGATCCAGGGCGTTGATGGTGGTTGTTTGTGGTGGCGTGTGCATTGTGTGCGTGTGTGCGTGTGTGCGTGACTGCGTGCGTGGTGCATGTGTGTGCATGTCCCTCACCGCCAATCCCCCTCGTATAGTATAGTATGGATGCTGGATTATGGCCAAGTTTGTTCCTTTATTAGTCGTGTTGTCTTTTTTCTCAAGGTATGTTTCTGTCTTTTGTTTTAACACGTGGTGTGTAAATGAGTCTATCCATGACAAATATGATGTATATTTTCGAAGACACTGAATTCCAGCTTTTCTATAAGAAATATAGCGACAATAATAAGGCGGAGCCGTACAGTCATTTCTCACTAAAAAAAAAGGGGGCGGTCGGGTAGCCTAGTGGTTAAAGCGTTCGCTCGTCACGCCGAAGACCCATTTCTGTTGTTGCTTATTGTGATACTGCTGGAATATTGCTAAAAGCGGCGTAAAACCATACTCACTCACTCACTCTCACGGGAAAAACCTCCTGAATATATTTTACGTCCGCTTCAGTGACTATTGATTGGGGTATGTGTGAATGACTTTACGGCACTTGGATTAATATTACAGCAGTATCACGAGAAGCGACACCAGAAATGGGTTTCTCGCATTATACCCATGTGGGACATCGGACCGGAGTCTTCGGCATGTCGAGCGAGGTTTCCGTGGTGTCCTAAAACTAGCGTACAATGATCCGTCGTCTATCCGAGACAGGAGTTGTTACATCTTCCCGAGGCAAGAGAGTTGACTGACTATAAAGGCAAGTTTCCACCCTTGCCGAGCTTGGCTGGTATTATGGAGTTACATTTTGGCTGGACTAACGAGTCTATGCATAGTCCAATCAAATTCGCGCAATGAAGCGAAATCCTGTCGTGCCAGTTTCGGTCGATTGCAGGATTTGCAAAGCATGTGCACTGCCAACTCGTTGTCAACAGATATTTTCCAATTTTTTTCATGTTTTTAATCAAGTAGCTCATGTGATTTGATGCATTTCGCGATGTAAGACCCGTTTTATCACTATATAGACTTTGTTTTCGATCAGATCGTCCTGAGAGGGCGTCGCCATTTTGTTTGAAGCAAATGCAAGTGATACGAGAGGTGGAATCTGATTGGTCCATAGGAGAGGCTTAGAAGGGACATAACTGGTAATAGCCACTGGTGGCGCATCTTCCCGAGGCAAGAGCGTTAACTGACTTTAAAAGTCCAGTTTCCACCCTTGCCGAACTAGGCTGGGATTATGGAGTTAGATTTTGGCTGGACTAACGAGTCTATGCATAGTCCAATCAAAATCGCTAACCGAAATCGAAATCTGGTTCGTAAACTGTCATGCAGAGTTCGGTCGATTGCAGGATTTGCAAAGCAAGTGCATCGCCAACTCGTTGTCAACATATATTTTTCAAATCTTTTCATGTTTTTAATCAAGGTGCTCACGTGATTTGATGTACTTCGCGAAGTAAGAACCGTTTTATCACAAAATAGATCTTGGTGGTCGTTCAAATCGTCTTGACTGGGCGCCACCATTTTGTTTGAAGCAAATGCATGTGATCCGAGAGGTGGAATCTGATTGGTCCATATGGGAGAGGCATAGAATGGACATAACTCGTATTAGCCACTGGTGGCGCTACGATCGAGCCCAGGAATTCCAGCCTAGTTCGGCAAGGGCGGAAACTGGACTTTTATAGTCAGTTAACCCCTTTGCCTCGGGAAGATGGAGTTGTGATAATCAAAGTTGTTGTTTCCATTATTGCTTCAAATGTCTCTCGTTGCGTCGGGTGACCAGGCGTTTGCTCTAAGACTTACGGTAAGACAAAAAAACAGGTTTCGCTGAAACCTTGTAAACGCACATGTGCTGAGCGTGCCTTTTGATGTTCAGGAGTATGTAAGTTTTCAAGGCAGCAAGTCGGACTTTTTTGGAAATATCGGTTGGATTCATTGCCAGAGAATACCTCATGGGTGGTTCAATAGTCATCTTCCCGAGGCAAGTGAGTTAACTGACTATAAAAGTCCAGTTTCCACCCTTGTCGAAGTAGGCTGGTATTATGGAGTTATAGTTTGGCTGGACTAACGAGTCTATGCATAGTCCAATCACACTCGCATAACGAAATGGAAATCCGGTTTGTAAACTGTCATGCAGATTTCGGTCGATTGCAGGATTTGCAGCAAAGGATGTGCACCGCCACCTCGGTGCCAGCAGATATTTTCCAAATGTTTCCATATTTTTAATCAAGGTGGCCACGTGATTTGATGCACTTTGCCATGTAAGACCCGTTTTGTCACAATATATAGATCTTGATTATCGATCAGATTGTATTTACTTGGCGCCACCATTTTGTTTGAAGCAAATGCAAGTGATATGAGAGGTGGAATCTGATTGGCCAATAGGAGAGGCAAAGAAGGGACACAACTCGTAAAAAACACTGGTGGCGCTACGATCGAGCCCAGAAATTCCAGTCTAGTTCGACGTTCATAGTCAGTTAACTCCTTTGCCTCGGGAAGATGTTCAATAGTTAAATGTGTCTAACTCTGTACAGACATTACGCAAGAGCTAAACTCTTACCCTGTGTTATTCGTGACATCTTTAAATTTGAGATTTGACGTTTTCAGGACAAAAATAACTTCGTTCAAATGTAGGTAGGGAACAGCGGAACTGGTTCCTTTTCCCTATTCTGGAATTTAACATTCCTGGGAGACTTTTGAGGGTGGGCCGGTTTATGCCCAATGCCAAACTTTTCAGCATTTGTGTAAGATATGTTAGACCAGTTTGTTTATACCATCACATTTTGAGAAGTAAAGATGAGTACGTTTGGTTTCAAGAGTATCGCACTCAAAGTTTTCAGTACTGCTTTGGGAAGATTTGTACAATTCTTCACGATTTGAGAACTGGGCTCGTGTTTGAACGTGAGTTGTCTTTGTTACAAGATTACAACTCTCAAACCGTTCTGTATTGTGTGAATGCAAGTAGCAAGCTTTGGTTGTGCCGTTTGGGTGTTATACATGAAACTAGTAAGGTGCCGTTACAGTTTGGTGAATGTTGTCCTATTCGCTTCACCTTCACTTTCCACCGAGTTAGACCCCCTCTTAGATGAAGGTCGAGTTTTATTATCCAACTGAAGTTGGTTGGTTGGTTGGTTGTGCATGGTTGCTTGGTTGGTTGTTTTACACCGAACTCATATTCCAGCTACCGCATTCGACGTAATAAGCGCCCAAGGGGGCCCTTATTAGAATGTTATTTTGGTGAAAAAACAGAGTTGAAAGATACATTTCGTGGTTTATGCTGACAGCCTGAAATGTTTATGTACGACAGATATATTGTTCCAGAATTAAATGCCCATAATTAAGGGTGCATATAACACACGAGTGCGTATTATACGCGAATAAATAATTTTAAGTGTTGTGTACATTGATCAATCGGAAGGGGTGATAATTGGGATTGTTCACAAACCAATATCTTAGCAAATGTCGCCGTGGGCGCTTATTAGAGCGGGGCGCTTATTACGTCGAATACGGTATATGACGGCGGTCTGTAAATAATCGAGTCTGGGTCAGACAATCCAGTGATTGATATCATGAGCATCGATCCACGCAACTTGGGATCCATGACATGCATCAAACAAGTCAGCGAGCCTGACCGCCCGATCCCGTTAGTCGCCATTTACGACAACCATGGGTTGCTGAAGACCGATTCCAGCCCGGAATCTTCACGGGTCACCAACTAAAGTGTACAGTTGAGTCCACAATGAAGTGGCTGTTTCGGTATGTTTGCAGCGTTCTGATTTCCATTTGCGGAAAGATAGTGATGAACTGAATCACCATTTTCTTTGGAAGCAATGTGGTGGCGTACGTCAAAACAAATTTCAAGTTGATTTTGTAGTGGGCTTTAATAAAAGACTATGGTTTAGAGTTACCCCCCTTAGATAGTTTGTCAATAACCTCAATATGACACGAATGCTTATCGTTTCTAAGTTGCCTGCAAGAAACGGCTTTGACATTGTTTTAGATCACGTGTCTGTCTAGTGTAAGAATCCTCCACGATTTCATCAGCACTGGTTGAAACATATACCCCATCAATAGAAACGTCAACATATATTCTCGCTGCCATTGTCAACAAAAAAGTTTTGTTTTGTCCTTTTGTCTCACTTGAGAGTTAGAAACGACGACCTTCTGTGTCCGTGTTGCTGTGAATCTTTTACACAAAAGAGCGATAGTTGTGACAGAGAGGCAAAGTTCTTCACTTCGAAACATGCCAATGGCAATGGCGTTGATAATGGAAAATGAAGACCCATGCAGTGTAGATTTAAAGGTAGGAATTTAAGCTTCCTGCTCAACGATAGTGAAATGTACTTTTCGTTTCATACTTCTCAAACATACATATAACTTCACATTTAGTTCCGTTTTATTCATGTTCTTCTTTTGCACTAGCTCACAATCACTGGGGGCGTGGCTGTTGGTTCTAATCACACATTCTACATGTTTTCACTCTTTCAGTTAGAACATGTAGATCTAGAATGTGTGATTGGAAACTAATCGTCAGTCATTTTGTATCATCTTTTGCTGAGATTAAAATTGAAAAGTGTTTATTTATCCATGTTTACTTTGTTAAAGGTCCAGTATGTTAATGGCTCCTGGTGTTTTTAAAACATGCATGGAAATATTTTCCGTGTGTGACCTTACACCTTTAGTTCATGAATGCACAATACAATTTCCAAACCAAGACAATAGAGTGAAGCCGACAACCCAAACGCTGCGCAGAATAACTGGCTTAGGTCATGTTTTTGTTTGAGGCAAATTGAAGAGAAAGCTCATATGTTTTTCTTACACATGAGTTACCAGATACTAATTGCCAGCTTGATTTGGTTAGAAGCCAGTGTTTATCAAAGGCTAGATTACAATATACATGCCTGGATTGTATGGAGACATTCATGCTGCATAACACTCTCCTAGCCAGAGTTCCTTGCTCCAGCCTTGTTTGAGAAAAATCTGGTCACGGGACAAGCCTACACCCACAGTGTGTTCATTGGAGCAGAAACTCGCAGAATAAGGCGAGCAGAGCCGAGTAAGCTCAGGGATTATCAGCTGTTGTTTCCAAACAAAGCTTCACGCTACATAGGCCTATATGTTCTTGTATCTGTTTTTGTTTATCTTATATTGTATATGTTTATCTGATATCATCTTTCAGAAAAGTGCAGGGTTTTACGCGTTGCACAGATGTGTGTCCAGTACGCACAAATGTAGAGAATGGACGCAGAGAAAACATATTAGTAATCTGTACCATGGGATGCACAGTAATATTCATTGTACCTACAGCACATCAAGGGCAGTTATGGGCGTCTATCATTTAATCCATCAATCATGACCACTGTCCACATTATCACTGATTCATTCCAGGCTCTAAAGTATTTATCAAAATGTACAGTATACTACACCATTTCATAACTTTACAGGACCCTCGTACTGGCTGCAAGGACCCTTAAAATGTATTATTGGGGTCCCTGGACCTGGAATGTTTCATCCAGCTGTAGATATATATGGTTATAAATGTAATATGATTTGAGATCTCTCTTTGAGAATATAATGTGTGTGTGTGTATGAGAGTGCTTGTGGCGTCCCTGTGTGAAAGCGTGTAAATGGTGTTTGTATGAGAAGTGTGAATGGCTGTTGTTTTTATGATAAAAAAAGGGGATTCCATCATGTGATACATATATATTATGTATTAAATCATTTATTATCACTAGTAATATCAATCTCACATTACAAATGATGTGCAAACAGTTAATGTATTAATATGCACTATATCGTGTACAATGTATCCTGAACCCTGAATAAAAAAAGTATTACCAAAACAAAACAAAATAAATAAATGTAATATGACTAGAGCATGGTAAAACTTATTTCTGACTTATTTTCAAAATGTCATGATCATGTGTTGATAAAGTTTGGGATGTCTTATCTCATTTTTTAAAGAGGGACAATGCTGAATGACCTGTTGTCAATTTTCATAAAAGTCCCAGGTGTAATAATTAGAGTGTGACGGGAAACTGTGACATTGACATATGTTAAAGGGTAACCATTAACTTTTAGATTCATAGTATACACAATACAACCTGAGTTAGTAGATAAAAATACTGGTCATGAAAAAAGGAATTTCTAAGGCATAAAAAAAATTAAGAATTGGTTCTCAGGCAATTGCTTTTGAAAACATAGTGCGGTTGGTGTTTTTTGTTGGTGTTTTTTGTTGTTATTCAAGCTAGTATGTAACCAAATTTTGTTCACAATAATTCCGGCGGAATTATGTTTTTCTTAAGTACCCGGTATTGTAGCATTTCACTGACAGGGTCATGTGTTCGAGACAAGGAATATTTAAAGATTGTTTATATTTTTTGAAAATGGAAATAAAACCAAAATGTGCAGCGGACTTTATGATGATGCAGGCAGTGCCTGAGAACCAAGACTATTGTTCTCTAAAGCATAAAGCTGAGACTGTGTGTTGTTGTTGTCAGGAGACGCTGGAGCTGCAGCTGTCGGAGGTGGAGATGCTGCAGAGCATGTTCCCTAACCAAGGAGAGTTCAAGATGGAGGACGGACCCGAGTCCCTGGAGGAAATACAGGCTTTCCTTGACAACAAGATCAGGGCGGAGTTTCTGGAGAGCCGCATTGGATTCATCGTCAAGATCACAACAAATGTTAGTAGTGCATTAGTTTCAGTTTAAGCTGAGCTTATCTGATCCAAAGGTTATAATGTACCGTATTCCCCATATTAAGTGCCCTGCCCCAATAAGCCACCCTAACTTCTAGACCAATCTGTAACTATAATCTTGTAATGCCCCCTACAAAGACTGAAAATTTACATACATGTTCGTATTTACTTGTGTTTAATACAGATTGTTTAAGAGCAATGCAGAAGGAGTAAACAGCAGTGCAAAAGGTGCAAAAACAAAAATTATTAAAAAGATTAATTTTCATCAATTTTTTAACCAAGTTGATCTACAACCACTCGATCTCTGTGTATTGTTCTAATATTGTCATTTGTCAAGTCCCCAGCATGCTTTTTACTATGATTACAGTAGTAAGGTGATATCATTGCACATGACATGGCAAGATCATTTGACATTAATGACATTATGATTGAGGATTGGTTGTGAATCTGTTGCCGTGGTAACTCACTAGATATGATATAAAATATTTATAACAATCCTGATTAAAGATTCAAAATGTCCACCATCGCTGCCATTTTCCAGCAACTGGTATGTCACTGCGTTTCTGTAAAAAATAACACCTGAGACAGACAACAAGTCCTTGGATGGGTGACTGTTTCGGCAGCTTGGCTCCAGAGAGTTTCTGGGGCTTCGGTCCTGCCCCACACTGAAGCACATGGTAACACATGTGGTGCCTCCATGGGCAAGTGACCGCCTCTGTGGTCTAGAGGTAGAGCGTCCGCCCGGAGAGCGGAAGGTCCGGGTTTGATCCCTGGCCGCGTCATACCAAAAGACGTTAAAATATGGTACTTGTTGTTACCATGTCTGGCGCTCAGCATTAAGGGGCTAAAACAAGGACTGGTCGGCTCGGAGTCAGTATACTGTGTCTGAGTAGGGTATTCATGTTAAACTGCGGCATGGTATCTCAGTGTGCTAGCGCTATAAATCGGCAACAGTCCGGACTAGTACAAGCAGCCACACACACACACACGTGCATGTACGTCGCTATATAAGTGCAATAATCCTGGAAGCGACGTTAAACCCAATTTCACCTCACCTCACCTCACCTCACCTCACCTCACCTTGGGCAAGTGACATGTTCGAAATGTGCTTCTGTTCAGTGAATGGGTACCCAGTAGGATAAGATGGCAATGTGGTTGTTAACCTTCTACACCCAACAGGCAGCTTTGGTTGTATACTCCCCAAGGAGCGGAGAATGATTGTTAAGTGCACACTGATCCACTGACAGTGTTAATAGTGTCAGCACTTACAACATGCTTATGCATGAAGTACAGCGCCGTATAAATGGAGTCCTTGACTATTATTATGATTAATCACACCAAATTATCTTCAGTCAATTTGTACAAGTGGTTACAAGGGACTTATTTATCTGAGTATAATCTGACCCAGCATCTCATGAACTTGAGCTATGCATAGTAGTAGATTTATACACAGTTACACATTTTGTTTTCTATTCCAGAAGAAAACAGCCGAGCTGGTATGTCACCTCCCCCACGATTACCCCAACGCATCCCCCGAGGTCTTCATCCGAGCTCACCACCTCAACCGAGAGTCCCACGCACAACTAAACGAGGACCTCAACGAGTTTCTCACAACGCTCGACCGAGGAGAAATATGTATAGGTTCTGTGATCGAGTGGCTGCAGGAGAACCTCCCTCACTATGTCCAAACACAAGACACCCAGGTCCAGCAAGAGAAGAAAGCTCCATCTAAAGTAGACACAGTGTTCACCCGACTCTGGATCTACAGTCACCATATATTTAGTAAATTCAAACGTCGAGACATCCTGGCCTGGGCAGGTGAGCTGAAGGTATCAGGGTTTTGTATGCCTGGTAAACCAGGAGTTATTTGTATTGAAGGATATAGTAGTGAGGTGGACGAGTTTTGGTATCGACTCAGACGATTAAATTGGAAGAAAATTGCAATTAAGGAAAAAGAAGTTGAAGAGATGGGGAAGAAAGATATTAAATATTTTAGAAAATTTTCAACTTTTGAAGAGGTTGGGTTTGATGTTCGGAGTGGAAAAGGGAGAGAATATCACATGGATTTAGGCAAGTTTTTTGAGTTTCTTGAAGAGCACAAATGTGGAAAAATCTTCAGTTTGTATTTTGGTGTGGAGGGCAAAGCTGGTCCTGCTGAATAAGCTATGTCATCTTTAATTTCTTTGTCTTTATTACATTTGTACGGTGGCCCATAAGGGACTTTCACTTACTTTTATCGTATCCTTTAGCAAATTAACACAATTTTTCATACAAATATGTTATAAATCATGTATAAAAACAACAGAAACATGGAAAATGTACTTTCAAGTAGTTATTGAGTCGCTGAAATGTGAAGCGAAAATGTCAAAAACTAAAATGGAAATGTCAAAAACCAAAACGAAAAGGTCAAAAACTAAAATGAAAATGTCAAAAACACAAAACGAAAATGTCAAAAACTAAAATGAATACACAGAAAACAATTTCCACCGCGGTGAAAACTATTTCCACCGCAGTGATAATATTCCCACCATGGTGAAAATATTTACATCGCAGTGAAAACTATTTCCACAGCGGTGATAATATTCCCACTGCGGTGATAATATATCCACCGAGGTGAAAACTATTTCCACCGCGGTGATAATATTAACACTTTCGTTTCGTTTTTCAGCGATTCAATATCTTCTTTACACATGATTTATCACATATTTGTAAGACAAATCGTGTTAATTTGCAAAAGGTTACGATAACAGTAAGTGAAATATCAAAATATTGAAAAACAGACTCCGTGTCCCTTATGGGCCACCGTACATTTGGAACGTACTTATGCAAATATTTGTACTATTTGGTAGAATCAGAAATTGTTTTGACGAATTTCTGTCGTTAACAGTGATGGCCTGTACTTATCAGTAACTACCTTTTGCCTTGTTGTTGATAGGTTTTGCAAGCCCGTATAGCAGTCATGTCACCATTCATCACTTTCCTCACACATTAAGCTGACACGCCACAATATAACTGGAATACTGTTGAAAGCTGTGTTAAAACCTCTCTCACTCACTCACTCGCATTCTCACTCACTCACTCACTCACTCACTCACTCGCATTCTCACTCTCTCACTCACTCACTCGCATTCTCACTCGCATTTTCACTCTCTCACTCACTCACTCACTCTCATTCTAACTCACTCACTCACTCGCTTTCATGACTGCGGAGTGTAGATTTATGTATTGTCTTTAAGATATCAAAGCTATGTGATCATGGTGTAAATTGTTATGCACATGTATACCATTTGAAGACAGCACTGTACATAATGGTCAAGTAATGCCTTGTGAATAAACTATGTAATATTTTTAACCTTTTCATTGTTTTGATTTCAAGTGATCAAGTGATACATTAGTACATGTACTTGACACACAGGTCAGCATGTGACTTAAGGTGATGTGATTCTCTGCAGAGTTGCATCCCTTACCCATGCAAGGATCCAGTGATACATTAGTACACATACTAGACACACAGGTCAGCATGTGACCAAAGTGATGTGATTCTCTGCAGAGTTGCATCCCTTACCCATGCCAGGATCCAGTGATACATCAGTACTCTTAGACACACAGGTCAGCATGTGACCAAAGTGATGTGATTCTCTGCAGAGTTGCATCCCTTACCCATGCCAGGATCCTGCGATACATAAGTACTCTTAGACACACAGGTCAGCATGTGACCAAAGTGATGTGATTCTCTGCAGAGTTGCATCCCTTACCCATGCCAGGATCCAGCGATACATTAGTACTCTTAGACGCACAGGTCAGCATGTGACTTAAGGTGATGTGATTCTTTGCAGAGTTGCATCCCTTACCCATGCCAGGATCCTAAGTACATTAGTACATATACTCGAGAATCGAACCCAGGCCTTCAACATGATGAGCTAACGCTTTAACCACTAGGCTATGTTGAGTTGAATATAGGTGATGGAGTACAAGATTGATATGGAGTAGTGAGTACTTTGGAATCCAAGTTGAGAGAGACCGGTAACAAATAATACCATTTATGAAGCCCCAGATTTCATTTTTTTCACCAAGTGAAGGCTCTTGGCACCACATTATTACCCGGTCAATGGATGAGTGTGCACTCAAATGTTGGCGTTACAGTACTGGCGCAGCGTTATTTGATCAGTTGTTTGGTGACAAACACAACAAACAAGTCTTTTGCACATTATTATCTTTATACAATCAACAGTATGCAAGCATATACATATATATTTGTTCACTGGCCATGAAATAAAAACATTGGAAGTGTGAAATAGACAATGAAATGGGGAGTTTCCTAATGCCACTGTAATCAGTACTGAAGTCATGGCCCATCAGTGTGGGAGGTAGCCAGTGAGGCCGGCTGAAGACATTTACCTCTGTACTCAACAAGCCTGGTTGTGGTGCAGACAAACCAAGAACCGTCATCCAGTCAAATCTGGGACTAGAACTCACAACCACCCTCAATTATCACATACAGTTATGTCTCAGTCAAGACGTGTAACATTCGAAATACATGTATAGTCAGGCTGCAGGCATTAATTTCAACATTAGATTACTGTCTGGTCACATAAATACGAAATCAATTGTAAATTTGATCATAACCTTCAATAAGTATATCTTTGTGATTTATTATAATAGGGCCCCATTCCACATAACGATCTTAGAGCAACGACTTCCGAAACTCCCATATGTGAAAACAGACTTACAATAATTTTAGCATTAAAATTGCTTTGTGGAATGGGCTCCTGCATTTAATATACTCACTGTCAAAAGAAACATGAACCATAGAAACATATAGAGAAGTATGTACATTAAGAAGAGATGTTTCCAATGTGTACCACTTAATGACAAAAATAACAATTAGTCAAGTGTTATCACAGAGTGTATTTATCCTCATCACGATATGATGCACGTGATTTCCAAACTTTACACGCTAATCCTGCACAAGACAAATGGTGCATCTCGAGTCATGGGACTATGACGTCATATGTAATGCGTTCATGAGCATCGATTCACATAACATATCAGTATATTCGTTTTTGAGTCAAACCAATCTAATGTCTCTTGAACATGAGTAATTCTTCACATATTAACCAACATGTATGGTATTCATGTTTCTTTTGTCAGCAAAAATATATATATGATAGGTACAACTAATAAACTCATGCCTGTATGCAGTGCTGTAGTGGATGTTATCACACTGGTATCGTGTGTAACAAGGAACTTCTATTAGGTCACATGTTAATATAGGTCTTCGAGCCTTTGGGTATCGGTCAATGACTTCCTTTAACAGGTAACGAGTTGTGAAGTTCCACAGAACAAAGTTTCATATAATATTTATCATTTATGCCCAATCAGTGGATAATTGGATACCAGTTTTTCTCAGACATTGACGTTCTATATTCACAGACTCGCAACAATTTATCATTTTTATACTATGGACATAAAGGTAATAGGAAATATCCCAGTCCAGTCTTGTGCCTAACAACTCTATATACAACGTATCACATGGCCTGTTATGCATTAGGCAGTGGAGCATGAAGCTTTACTTAATTCGTAAACATATTATGTACAAGAAAACAAAACATTCAATAAAATGAAAAGATATAATGATTAACTTTACATGATGTTTTGATCCACTGCAGCCTCAAGATGACATGTTTTTCATTGATTGGTTGGTTTTATATGAGTCTTTCACGAGTCTACTCATTTGTGTTCACAGAAACTTATTGTAGCTTAATATACTTAATGTTTGAAATATTTATACAACATGTAGATAGAGCCTTTTTCTTTAGTAAAATATCATAATTTCATATTTGTGATAAAACCTCAATTACTAACAAGCAGCATCCAGGTTACAAAATAGCTGCTCACACATACATGTTTGATATACACAATAAGGGACCAGTTGTAATCTTTGATGACTAGACTTAAAGTCTATTCCAGGGTAATAATCGGCTTCATATTGTTGAAAGAATGACAAACTACTTCGTTCAAGCACCCCACATACACAACAGCTAACAGTGAACACAAAAACACTTTAAGCCACATTTCAGCAGTCACAACAGTTGTGACGGGGTCGTGATGTCATTACACTTGATATCTTGCCACAGACACATAATTCCTACTTGATGGAGGAAAAGAGCAAAGGATAAAATCAATGGACAGTTTTAGAAGCAGTCTCTAAGCATGCTAAGATCAACTACATTTTTAAGCTAAAGCAAATTCCAAAAAGGTCAGAGTAGACAGGAGGTGGCTGATATCTCGTATGTTGTGATTGGATCACCCATAGCTCAGCATTCATGGGCCTCAGTATCGAATGCTCAAACAGCGAACTATACTTGAAGTTTGTTTGTGAAGTAAAATCTGTCTATCAAAATCAAACATCAGCAGGGCGATTTTAGCGCTAAGATGATCGTAACTCCCATACTTTAACACAGGCTTACGGTAGAAGGGCTAAGATCGCTTTGTGGAACAGGGCCCAGAGCAGTATGTTGTTTTTATCACCCAAAACCAACTCAATGTGTCGACATGTCATTTACTTTCGTATTTAAGGAGGCAATGCATGCTCATCTATAACTGGACACGGTACAGGTTTAAACCACATTTCTGGCCACTACCTGCTTGCTAAGAGCGCTAAGCTAGCTGCACAAAGCAACAGTGGAACCAGTATAAATGTGGCCTCTCCATGTTGAGTATTTGACTGGAGGCTACAGCAGGGGTAGTGCCTTGTGATGCTCTAGTACAATAACATCCACACATCACCACTTTATCAATGACAAAATCAACAATCTTTTTCTACAAATTATTGACAAGTAACATGGTCCTTGGAAGCACAAGCCTGGATCCTGACATTTGTGACTGGGAGTCATCATACCTGCTCTCCACTACATCAGTATGTTTGAGAGCAAATGTTTCTTGGTGCATCTCGTCTTGTATACAATCCCTGCTGCAATCTGTTCGGAAAATCTGGATAATAGGATTTGAAACCCAGAATCTTTCTGGAAAAATGACACTGTATGATTCATTTCCTTGTCAAAACAGTCTTGGTTGTGAATATTATATGCATAGCATGGAATTTCTACTACCGAAACCTCTTGCTGTTTTTTTTACTTGGCATCAATACCAAAAAAAACCTATTTTTATGTGTGGGCGGCCATTTGGTGTATCCCGAGGTGCACAATATATTACATCATTTTCATAACATCTGAAAAGTGAACGTTGTGCGAGAATTGTGCTCATGCGGTACTGTGTCAACCTCGGACTATAAAATTACGCAGAGATGTAAAATGTTCACTTTCCTGTCTGATGATGTGGTGTAAATGTAACTGCAAATATTAAACTGATTTGATAAAGAGACACTGCTAAGTGTTGTCTGTGATTTTGTTATGGGTAAAAAAACAACAAATGTGGCTACTTATTATCATCACTTACATTTGCCTCAAACAAAATGGTGGCGCCCAGTGAAGACATTCTGATTGATAATCAAGACTTTTGTTTTTAATAAAACGGGTCTTACTTTGCGAAGTGTATAAAATCATGTGAGCACCTTAATTATTTAACTCCTTGTTGAGTGTGCCTTAGACATTGTAGATGAAATCCCAGTCACAAACTCAGGCTACACAGGTAGATAGATCATCTTTGGTGAACATGACCAGCTTATTGGGGAGTATTGTTAATGAGTCCTACATAAGGCAATCAAAAGGTCGTCTCAAACCCAAACTAGCCGACATATTCTTCAAGGTCATCATCAAGCTGTTCAATTAACATTTTCTGTAACATTTGATCATGAAAAATGTGTGATTCTCCTCCTAGAAGGAGCAACAGCTATGTTTAGATAATTATTATGACAAATATTTGCAAGGATTAAATTATGACTGTTGCTTAATTCTTGCAATCATGGTTGAATTCTCCTTCTTCATTTGCTGGAAGTCTTCTGTGATCTTCTCCAAGTTAGCTAGCACCTTATTCTTACTCTCATTTTCAATCTGAAAAACAAAACATGTCGTGATAAAAATCAAAGGGATAGTCAGTGACATGATGATGACTTTAGCAAAGCGTCAGCTACCTTCCAACTGCCCTTCCTTCCCTTCAACCGATACTACACACTCAGACTTGTCCCATCATGACATCCACGCACTCTATTGGAGGACTGGTGATTGTATAATAATAACAACAACAACAACAACAACAATGATAGACCTATTTATATGGCGCTACATCCACACCACAGGCATGCACAAAGCACTACACTATTATTGCCCCAGTCAATGGATCAGTGTGCACTCAAACATCATTCTCAGCTCCCTAGGGAGTATACAACCCAAGCTGCCTGTGAGGCACTAGGTTAACAACCACATTGCCACCTCATCCTACTGGGTACCCATTCACTGCTGGGTGAACATTTCGAACAAAGTCACTTGCCCAAGGAGACACCACACGTGTTGCATTGCTTCAGTGTGGAGCAGGACCAAGCCCTAGAAACACTCAGGAGTCAAGCTGCCGAACACGGTCACCCATCCAAAGACTCTCCGTGACCGATGTTGCTAAACTTCACATGATTTGTGTGTGTTTGGGAGGAGAGTGAGTGAATGCTGTGATACGCAGCAGTTAGCAGTGTTCCAGCTGTATGCTAGAGGTATGTAAATAACTGAGAGAGAGCCAGGCAAACCAGTGGCTCTCTGCATGGTAACTATCCCCATCGTCTGATCATGGTGACACACAGTCTGCCAGGACAGTCCCTGATCTCAACTCTTACAACAAGCATGGTCAACTATCCCCATCGTCTGATCAAGGTGACACACAGTCTGCCAGGACTGTCCCTGATCTCAGCTCTTACAACAAGCATGGTCAACTATCCCCATCGTCTGATCAAGGTGACACACAGTCTGCCAGGACTGTCCCTGATCTCAGCTCTTACAACAGGCATGGTCAACTATCCCCATCGTCTGATCAAGGTGACACACAGTCTGCCAGGACAGTCCCTGATCTCAGCTCTTGCAACAAGTATGGTCAACTATCCCCATCGTCTGATCAAGGTGACACACAGTCTGCCAGGACTGTCCCTGATCTCAGCTCTTACAACCAGCATGGTCAACTATCCCCATCGTCTGATCATGGTGACACACAGTCTGCCAGGACAGTCCCTGATCACTGGATCCTCACGAGTGAGCTCTTACAACAAGCAGGGCTTCAAGAACCTGTGATTGCCTGGAAGCCATGAGGAACTTCTTGGTATGGGTTGTGACCTAGGTTCCTAGTTATTGGTGGAGTGTTTTCCCTCAACTCACCTGGTCCTCCAGATCCCGGATCTCCCTCATGATGACTCCAGTCTCCTCCACAGTCTTAATCAGGTGGTCACAGTTCTGAAATAACATATCATACACACTCGTACAATCCTACACATACCTGCACAAACTGGTACAAACCAGTACAAACCTGCACATACTAGTACATACCTGTACATACCAGTACATACCTGTATAATTATACACACACCTGTACATACCAGTATAAACCTGAATATACCAGTACATATGAGTACAAATCTGGACATACCAGTACAGTCCAGTACATACCAGTACACACCTGTACATACCAGTACATACCTGTATCAACCAATACATCCCTAACAGATTAAGATAATCACTAGGTGTAGCACAAGGGCTACTTACCTCATGTAAAGCAGCGAGAAACCTGTAGGCCTTCTTCACAGCCTCATCCTTTTTGGCATCCTGAAACAGTGGAAGTCAGTGAGTGAGCTGGGCTTAACACAGACAGGAACAGTGGAAGTCAGTGAGCGAGCTGGGCTTAACACAGACAGGAACAGTGGAAGTCAGTGAGTGAGCTGGGCTTAACACAGACAGGAACAGTGGAAGTCAGTGAGCGAGCTGGGCTTAACACAGACAGGAACAATGGAAGTCAGTGAGCGAGCTGGGCTTAACACAGACAGGAACAGTGGAAGTCAGTGAGCGAGCTGGGCTTAACACAGACAGGAACAGTGGAAGTCAGTGAGTGAGCTGGGCTTAACACAGACAGGAACAATGGAAGTCAGTGAGTGAGCTGGGCTTAACACAGACAGGAACAATGGAAGTCAGTGAGCGAGCTGGGCTTAACACAGACAGGAACAGTGGAAGTCAGTGAGTGACCTGGGCTTAACACAGACAGGAACAGTGGAAGTCAGTGAGTGAGCTGGGCTTAACACAGACAGGAACAGTGGAAGTCAGTGAGTGAGCTGGGCTTAACACATACTGGAACAGTGTTTCTGCTATATCATGGCATGTCACCTTCATATGGTGAGTGAGTAAGTATGGTTTTATGCCGCTTTTAGCAATATTCCAGCAATATCATTGCAGGGGCCACCAGAAATAGGCTTCACACATTGTACCCATGTGGGGAATTGAACACGGGTCTTCGGCGTGACAAACGAACGCTTTAACCACTAGGCTACCCAACAGCCCACCTTCATATGAGTGGAAGTCCCGAAGTGATGCAGGTCCTAGACGTTTACCACGTTGGTGTAATCCAGCGAGTACAGAGCAGACAAACCCAGAATATCAATTACAGTCAATATGGATTACACAAGATTGAAAGAGAGTGAGAGTGAATAGCAGGTTACAACTGATGAAATGTAAAGCAACATAAATTAAATCTTCTCAGCTTACAACATGCAATATGAAAAGAAGTATCTTGCTAACTTTTGGAATAGTTTGAAGACAGCATAAATGTTGAGGTTTTACTTACCTTAAATATTAACTCATCGGTGACAATAAATGTTCTATCAATTTTTCCTGATAAAGAATTAATTTCCTTTTGGATTTCTCTTGTATCCACTAATACCTGTAAATAAAATAAGAAAGATTACTCAAACATTTAACTATATTTTATTTCATAAACACTGGATGAAATATTTACTCCTACTGACACATAAATAGAATGAAAACCTCTCAGATACCAACTGACCGCCTCCATGGTCAAGTGGATAGAGCATCTGCCCGGACATCTGAAGGTTTGTGGTTCAATCCCTTGGCCGCGTCATAACAAAAGACATTAAAATATGGTATTTGTTGTTACCCTACCTGTTCCACATTAAGAGGATAAAACAAGGACTGGCCGGCTCAGTCAGAATAATGTGTGGCTGAGGTATTCATGTTAACTAGCACTTTAAAACTGGCATTAGTCTGGACTAGTACACACACAAACATCGCTATAAAGTGAAATAATCTTCAATACGACAATAAACCGTCTGACAACAAACCTTGTCTATCTCTTGTTTTTGTTTCTTTATATTGCCTACTATTTCCATAATTTTCCGTGTATATGCTGATCTGTTTACATCTTTGGTCATCCTTTCATACTCCGATTGCTGAAACAAAAACACCCATGAAAATATAAACATCATATTCACGCCTTTTCTCATACACACATTTTCTGATGGATAAAGGTAAGACTTCTGACAAACAATCTCATAACTTTGGGTCGCTGGTCTAAAACAATATGAGAAAATATTTAGACCCTGGCTGATATTTGGTGGACTGACCAAACCCTGGTTGATATATGGTGGACTGACCACACCCTGGCTGATATATGGTAGAATGACTACACCCCGGCTGATATATGGTGGACTGACCACACCCTGGTTGATATATGGTGGACTGACCACACCCTGGCTGATATATGGTGGACTGACCACACCCTGGCTGATATATGGTAGAATGACTACACCCCGGCTGATATATGGTAGAATGACTACACCCCGGCTGATATATGGTAGAATGACCACACCCTGGCTGATATATGGTAGAATGACTACACCCTGGCTGATATATGGTAGAATGACTACACCCCGGCTTATATAGTGTGGACTGACCACACCCTGGCTGATATATGGTAGAATGACTACACCCCGGCTGATATATGGTAGAATGACTACACCCCGGCTGATATATGGTGGACTGACCACACCCTGGCTGATATATGGTGGACTGACCACACCCTGGCTGATATATGGTGGACTGACCACACCCTGGCTGATATATGGTAGAATGACCACACCCTGGTTGATATATGGTGGACTGACCACACCCTGGCTGATATATGGTGGACTGACCACACCCTGGCTGATATATGGTAGAATGACTACACCCCGGCTGATATATGGTGGACTGACCATACCCTGGCTGATATATGGTGGACTGACCTCACCCTGGCTGATATATGGTGGACTGACCACACCCTGGCTGATATATGGTGGATATATGGTAGAATGACTATACCCTGGCTGATATATGGTGGATATATGCTGGACTGACCACACCCTGGCTGATATTTGGTGGACTGACCACACCCTGGCTGATATATGGTGGATATATGGTAGAATGACTATACCCTGGCTGATATATGGTGGATATATGCTGGACTGACCACACCCTGGCTGATATTTGGTGGACTGACCACACCCTGGCTGATATATGGTGGACTGACCTCACCCTGGCTGATATATGGTGGACTGACCTCACCCTGGCTGATATATGGTGGATATATGCTGGACTGACCACACCCTGGCTGATATTTGGTGGACTGACCACACCCTGGCTGATATATGGTGGACTGACCTCACCCTGGCTGATATATGGTGGACTGACCACACCCTGGCTGATATATGGTGGATATATGGTAGAATGACTACACCCTGGCTGATATACGGGTGGACTGACCACACCCTGGCTGATATATGGTGGACTGACCACACCCTGGTTGATATATGGTGGATATATGGTAGAATGACTACACCCTGGCTGATATATGGTGGACTGACTACACCCTGGCTGATATATGGTGGACTGACCACACCCTGGCTGATATATGGTGGACTGACCACACCCTGGCTGATATATGGTGGATATATGTTGGACTGACCAAACCCTGGCTGATATATGGTGGACTGACCACACCCTGGCTGATATATGGTGGACTGACCACACCCTGGTTGATATATGGTGGATATATGGTAGAATGACTACACCCTGGCTGATATACGGGTGGACTGACCACACCCTGGCTGATATATGGTGGACTGACCACACCCTGGTTGATATATGGTGGATATATGGTAGAATGACTACACCCTGGCTGATATATGGTGGACTGACCACACCCTGGTTGATATTTGGTGGACTGACCACATCCTGGTTGATATATGGTGGATATATGGTAGAATGACTTCACCCTGGTTGATATACGAGTGGACTGACCACACCCTGGTTGATATATGGTGGACTGACCACACCCTGGTTGATATATGGTGGATATATGGTAGAATGACTACACCCTGGCTGATATACGGGTGGACTGACCACACCCTGGCTGATATACGGGTGGACTGACCACACCCTGGCTGATATATGGTGGATATATGGTAGAATGACTACACCCTGGCTGATATATGGTGGACTGACCACACCCTGGTTGATATATGGTGGATATATGGTAGAATGACTACACCCTGGCTGATATATGGTGGACTGACCACACCCTGGTTGATATATGGTGGACTGACCACACCCTGGTTGATATATGGTGGATATATGGTAGAATGACTCCACCCTGGCTGATATATGAGTGGACTGACCACACCCTGGTTGATATATGGTAGAATGACCACACCCTGGTTGATATACGAGTGGACTGACCAGTTGTTTGTGTAGCTCCTCCTTGTGCCGAGTGTCATCTGCGAACTCCTTCATCCGAGCCCGGAACGCCTTGATCTCCTCCAGCTTCTTCTGGGCCTCGGACTGCAAAACACAACACATAGACATACAGCATGGGCCATAATCAGACTGTAAACATAGGGAGTACACACACCAGAACCTTTTTCACAATCAGCTTGCTCGCCATCCTCAAATGAGTGAGTGAATGACTATGGTTTTGTGCCACTTTTAGCAATATTCCAGCAATATCACGGCGGGGGACGCCAGAAATGGGCTTCACACATTGTACCTATGTCAGGGATGAAACCCGGGTCTTCAGTCGCCAGTAAGTCTGTGGTACAAATCACAATAGAATGGATAAAGGATACACAAGATAATCATTGGCTCTTAATAATGTCTAAAATTCAAAATATAACAGTGAATCTTTTTTTTTTTAAATACTCCATTCATTTAGAAATAACATACCATAATCATGATAATCCTCACCAAAGCATAAGCAACAAAAATCATTTTGTTGATAAGAATCCCTAAGCATGATCAATTCAAGCAACAACTCTTAAGTGTGCCAAAAAAAGTCATGCACCCAAATACTCCAAAGTGGCAGAAAACTTCCCTGTGCAACAAAAGGTTGAGAAGCTCCCAAATGCAGCTACTCTTAGAAACATGTGAAATGTGGTTAGCTAGCTCAACAAAATCTCTATCCCACCTCTTTCTTTGAGTTGAGGTCGCGGAGCTCTCTGTACTGGTCAATGAGCGGGGCCCTGTGTTGCTCCCACTTGCTGGCCAGCAGGATCAGCTTCTTACCACTGTTGTCCACCAGTTCCTGCAACAGTGTTCAGTGTTTAATACCCACATCAGCAACACATCACTGCTGCCAGTGTATAACCAAGGCTGGGTCAGACAAATGATTGATATTATGAGCAACGATGACTTTGGGGTACAATGGCACGTAATCAACTAAGTCACCGAGCCTGACCACCTGATCTGTTTGGACGCCTCTTACGACCAGCACTGGGTGCTGGGGATCTCTACTATCCCGGAATCCCCATGGGGACACATCACCTTGTGGCAGACACTACTGTCATGTGATACACAAACAGATACCAATAGCAAAATTCACATTCCAACTTTTCTGAAAATGAAGACCATAATATACCACTTTAAGAATATTAAGGCGATACTTTTTAAAATTTGGTTATGGATCCGACCCTAAGAAATATAATTGGGTTCAACTGCAAATTTACATGTTTAACAAAAAACCACTGTACATACCTGCAAGACTTAACGAAACATAGTATGCATATCAACATGTTCAGATAACATTAAACAAAAAAGAACCTGAAATGTTTTTTCTTATTGTTTCAGTTATTTTAAGCATCAGGTAGCAACGGGTACTTTATATTCACCTGCAATTTGGCTATGTTATTTTCAGCATCTGGTAGCAGATCTAGTGTCCTCTTCTTGACCCTGTAGGCCTGTTCCTTGTCATCCATCGTGCGAGTCTCCGTGCTGATGGTGTCCTGCATCTGCTGGTGGCTGGCAGCAAACTTGCGGTTCTCAGTGTCTAGCTGCTCCAGTCGTGACGCCAGCTCCCCCAACTCCCCCCGCAGAGACTCAATCTCCTCCTCCCGCTTCTGTTTCTGCTCCTGGAAACACGAAACAATCAGGTAGGTCACACCTGTTACAATCAGGTCACAAGTGTTACAATCATGTAGGTCACACCTGTTACAAGCTGATGAGTCACAGGTGTTACAATCAGGTTGGTCACAGCTGTTACAATCAGGTAGGTCACACCTGTTACAAGCTGATGGGTCACAGGTGTTACAATCAGGTTGGTCACAGCTGTTACAATCAGGTAGGACACACCTGTTACAATCAGGTAGGTGACAGGTGTTACAAGTAGGTCACACCTGTTACAAGCTGATGGGTCACAGGTGTTACAATCAGGTTGGTCACAGCTGTTACAATCAGGTAGGACACACCTGTTACAAGCTGATGGGTCACAGGTGTTACAATCAGGTAGGACACACCTGTTACAATCAGGTAGGTCACACGTGTTACAAGTAGGTCACACCTGTTACAATCAGGTAGGACACACCTGTTGCAATCAGATAGGTGACAGGTGTTACAATCAGGTAGGTCACAGGTGTTTCAATCAGTTAGGACACACCTGTTACAATCAGGTAGGACACACCTGTTACAATCAGATAGGTGACAGGTGTTACAATCAGGTAGGTCACAGGTGTTTCAATCAGTTAGGACACACCTGTTACAATCAGGTTGGTCACAGCTGTTACAATCAGGTACGACACACTTGTTACAATCAGATAGGTGACAGGTGTTACAAGTAGGTCACACGTGTTACAATCAGGTAGGTCACACATGTTACAATCAGGTAGGTTACACACATGTTACAATCAGGTAGGTCACACATGTTACAATCAGGTAGTCACACATGTTACAATCAGGTAGGTCACACGTGTTACAAGTAGGTCACACCTGTTACAATCAGGTAGGACACACCTGTTACAATCAGGTAGGTCACACGTGTTACAATCAGGTAGGTCACACCTGTTACAATCTGGTAGGACACACCTGTTACATGTAATATGTGTGCATATGTGAGCATGGATGCACTGACTCTCAACCTACCAGTCCTTGATTTATCCCATTGATGCTGAGTGCCAGGAAGAGTATAAACAGGTAGCACTGATGCAAACAGTATCACAAACAATTACTTCTGTACCGTTTTAGATAAACTCACCTCTTCTGTATCTTTGGTGGGCACTTCTCCGCCGATCTGGGCCATGGTCTTCTCCTCATCCTGATCCAAACATAAACTAAGTGTCACAATTGGTTGCAAAATGAATTCTATTGGTAGAGCGTGATATGACCAATACAGAGTTATGTCAATTCAAATTACCGGGTAATTATAACATATTTTGCATAATTTACACAAATATGCATCTTATTCCGAGCTCTGGGTGATGGAATGACAGGACATGTACACTGAATATCTCCCAACTAGGGGTGACTATTGGTCTCGAAGTCACTATTGCAATAATTATTGATATTGAAAGAAACTATTGCGATAACTATTGATATTGCAAGCAACTATTACCAATAGCAGTATATTGATATTTGATGACACCCCTTCTCCTAGCCAGCATGTTTACCTTTCCAAACATAAGTTTTTCTGTATGAGCAAACCGTGACCCTTTCGTCTTGGCCCCCGACTTGGCTCGGTTGCTGATGGAGGAAATGACCTGCTGGAGGTCACGAAGCATGTCTGTTTCCCGGGCTCCTTCTCGCCGCTGTGCGTCCTGACGCAAGCGGTCTGATATCATTCGCTGGATCTTCTGTTTCTTCTTCGCTCGGAATTCCTGAGAAGGAAATACATACATATATATGTGTGTGTGCACTTTCAAATACAATTTCTGATAATCTCATTCCGTAATGAATGTATATAGATGTACAAAGAGCCATAACTGAAATTGGTTATTCATTTTATTTGACATCAAACAAAATCTGTGAGCCAAATAATGATAAAAGCCCAAGTGTTGATATGAAGATTAGCCTTGTTTAACACCTACAATGAATTGATGAATGTTGCTATTACCATGATTACAACAAGCGCCTACCGCTTGGGGCAGCCTGGATGAATGTTGTTGCTATGACAATGAGTGCCTCTTGTTCGGACAGCCTGGATGAATGTTGCTATGACAACAACTGGCACCTACCTGCTGGGACAGCCTGGATGCAAGACCTGACTGGTTCCATTCAGTCTCCCACTCCTGGTGTGCCACGACCTCGGACGAGTTCTGTTCAATCACAGAGGGCGCAGTGTCAAAATGGCGCAACGTTTGCTTTGTCACAAATGGCAGACTCTGGTTGTAGTAGGCTCTCAGCTCTGGAAAATAGTTTACTTCAGAAATGACGATAATATTAACACAGAATTAATCTGAGCTACAAATCAGTGTGCATATAAAACTCACATTCTCAACTCCATTGGGATCCTACAACCTCAGCTGCCAAAAGATTTAGCTTTCACATTTCCATCTTATCGTACCAAGAGGCATATTTCAACCAAAGCCAATTGTTTAGCGGACATCACACATTATGTAACCTATATGAAACCAACAATATTCTCACAAGTCATTTAATGAATTTGATAGTGTAAATGCACCACAGTATTTTTTCATAAATTGCAATCCTTTCATAAAATGATATTTCTATATTCCTATACAGACACAAGAAATTCATAAAAGTAATGAAATTCTCCATGGCACATATTCCATATCCTACCTTTGGGTATTTTCTTGTTGAGATCCGCTACCCCCTCCGGTGACGTCAGGTGTACTCCATGAAAGTTATGCATGTTACATGCACCCTGGGGGGACAAGTCAGAGTTACCATGGTTACATGTACATTGATGAAGATAAAGATAAAGTAAATGGTTGTCACCGTACAGCACAGGGTTTGAAATTCTCTGTAATAAAGTGCCCATGCATGTTAAAATCGTAATGACACTGTCAAAAGATGTTTCTGGTGCCTAAAGGGTACATTTAGGGATCATATTTAATTCAAGAATTCCATATACAATGCCAGTGATAATTGTCTTTCACAAATTGGACATATGCAAGATTTGTAAATTTTACATTAAATTGTATATTTTATCACACTATACATTTCTTTCTTCTTCTTTCAATCCTTATGTGGAAACATGCTTGAATAAACTTTCCAGCTTCTAAAAACATTTCGCCCAAACTCATCCCCGCATCACCATGGTCACCACCTAAACAAATGGGTGTCACGCACTGTATCTTCGACCACCTGTCCAGAAGGAGTAGCTGTGTACATTGGTGGACTTGTAACCACGATGCCCTTGATGACCACATCCTCTGCCATGAAGAGAACTATAGATCCAATCACTTCAGATCCTGCTGTGAAGGGACGAATTGCGGTTGAAAGTTGGTCCTCAAAGTGCTTTTTCTTAAGTTTCAGCAGGTCCATGGACGCCTGGAGATGAGTATCTCCAGTAACATCCTGGGCGACGTTCAGGATCCTGTTGGCAAACAGGCATTGAGTAGTCCAGGGCAGTTGATATAACAGTGCCTTAAAGTGTTTGTCCCACTAACAGGACCCGTGAAGATTCCGGGGTAGAATGGGTCTTCAGCAACCGTTAAAGGCGACTATGCTTGTCGTAAAAGTCGACTAACGGGATCGGGTGGTCAGGATCGCTAACTTGGTTGATTCATGTCATCGATCCCTATTGCGTGGATCGATGCTCATGATGTCAATCACTGGATTGTCTGGTCCAGACGCGATTATTTACAAACCGCCATCATAAAGCTGGAATATTTTTACAAACCTGTAGAGGTTATGAATTCTCTGATGAAATCCTCCTTGGGGCACTTATTGCATTTTCCTTGCTCAAGAAAATCTACATGACATAGTTGTAACCATTTTCCTTAATAAAAAATGTTACCACACAAAAAACTTCGTTTTTGTATGATATACGACCACCCTTATGGGGCCTCACCCCCAACGGCGCCTCACGCCAGGGGGAGCAACTCTCACCCAAATCACTTTCCATATGTCAAATGCTGACGGAATGTGGGGAGGTGGGTGGCCGTGCCCCAAGGAGGATTTCATCAGAGAATTCATAACCTCTACAGGTTTGTAAAATTCTCTTTCTGATTAAATCCTCCTTGGGGCACTTATTGCATCAAGACAGACTCCCAAAGATAATCTAGGAAGTGGCATCCGTCAGCAACAGGCGTAAATAAATACATCGTATTTGATTATTCAACAGAATAAAATATTGAGTTCAATAAATGGAACCAACCTTATCGTGAGGCACCACCGTCGAAAGGCGGGGGCTAGAGACAGGGCGTGGTCGACCATATATTATGATAAAGCCTGTTTTTGCGGCTTGTCATAAGTTGAAAACTCGAAACACCTCCCACCCCCCCCACTTTTTTTTTAACAAGTGATATAAGGGCGTAGATCACGAGAGACCATAACCAGCGCTGAGCTAGGCCAGAGGGTCCCCGAGGATCGAAGGAGTGCGTGCGCAAAATACGAGTATTATCGAGTAGTAAGGACTGATATTTATCGACCGCAGAAGATAAAATCCGGACCATTACTGAGCAGTATAACCGGAAGACTGTCTAAAATCTCGAATGCTCAATCAGCTAGAGATTAGAACTTTGCCCAGTTCGGAGAACTGACTGACCAAACCGAGTACGCTCGCTTGAGTGTTTGTCGAGTTGGTAAGGTTTGATGAATCGGCTGGCTCCAAATAGCCGCGGAGCAGATCTGCTCAATGGGCAGAGCCGCGGCTACGCTTGTGTCGTAGCCACTGCTCTAACCTAATGAGCCTTCAACCTGGTAGGGGGGTCCCTGCCTGTAAGCGTATACGCTGTACAAATGGTTGAAACTATCCACCTCGAGATAGATTGTTTACTCGCAGGTGAGCCAACCTTCCTACCGCAGTAACAGCAAAATAGTTGGTTATCCTTACGGACACCCATATTTCTGCTGATATAGGCCTTGAGAGTCGTGCGGACATCCAAGACATGAGCATGTCTTGCAGTGGTCCCCGACGAGGAAGGCTGTGAAAGAGCAGGTAGCTCAATAGGAGCCGTCACGTGGAATCGTGTGCGACCCTAGGACGGTAATAGTCCGGTAGACGAAAACTGACTGTCCCGGTGATATTTATCGACCCCATGGAAGACAGTTATTTTGGGATCGGCTGACATAACACGAATGTCGCCTACCCGTCTGCCGGACGTTACCACCACAAGGAACGCCGTCTCCCAGCTCAACAGCTGAAGAGAGAGAGACGACAGATCCCGAAAGGAAGGACCGGACAGCCAATCGAGAATGATTGACAAGTCCCAAGGGGGACTGATCCGCCGGACTGGCGGTCGGATCCTGTCCACACCTGCTAAAAAGCGCTGCACTAATGGGTGTGCACCCAGAAGTGCCCCGTCGACAGGGACGTGAAAAGCTGCGATAGCTGTAGAGTACCCTCGGACTGTTGATGCGGCCAGGCCGTCACCTAGTCGCGACTGGAGAAACTCAAGCACGGATACGAGATCTGCAGAAAAAAGATCTGCAATCCCTCTATCGACACACCAGGGCGCATAGCAGGCCTATCTATCGTACTGAACGTTTGTCGAATCCCTCCGTACAATATGGACGCCATTACGGCCATTTGAATTCAAAGGTACCGTGCACGTGGCGTATTATTACAACTCTATAACTTCACAATGCGAGGTATTACGCCTTTGCAATGAAAGAAATGTACCATACATACAGTTTGGTCAGCCATGGTTCTTGTCGAACGATAGATTTCTCTTATTTTTGTCTTGTGTGAAAAATCAACACGTCTTTCTCTTACAGATGATATAAGGAAAGTGATTTGGGTGAGAGTTGCTCCCCCTGGCGTGAGGCGCCGTTGGGGGTGAGGCCCCATAAGGGTGGTCGTATATCATACAAAAACGAAGTTTTTTGTGTGGTAACATTTTTTATTAAGGAAAATGGTTACAACTATGTCATGTAGATTTTCTTGAGCAAGGAAAATGCAATAAGTGCCCCAAGGAGGATTTAATCAGAAAGAGAATGCTGAGTGCGGCGTTAAACAACAAACCAACCAACCAACCAACCAACCCACTAACAGGCCTGGAGGACATCCCGGCGGCATAGAGCTGTGCCGGAATTAATATGGTTCAAGACAAGATCAATAATACCCGAAAACTTCTCATGAATCACTGCAATTGTACCCCTAACATAGTCATCTTCCCAAGGACATTGCGTGTGACACAGATGCAACAATGGCTTCTGCTGCTGACAGGATGGTTGAAATGAGTGGTAGCGTCTGTTGACTGATATCATCTAAGTGGGCAAGATCTCTATTATCCCCCATAGAAGTAGTGGAGAAGCGCTTGAGGCAGAGTGTAGCGACATCCTAATCCAACTCTGGTGCAACAGCGATTGACGACAGACCAGTATCATCGAGGTTGAAACAAGGAGATTGCAGTCGATCTCAAAAACGCTGAAAAGAAGCAAAGATCTTATCCATATGACTAGAGACATCAGACAGGATGGGCCTGTGAGGCAGCGTGATGGAAGAGAATGAGATGATGGGTACGATGAAACACAATAGGTGGTCATCTTCTGACCAGCTACGTTTGAACTCAAGTCTATCCGCAATCCGCAATCCAGGGAAGGATAAGAGCCAGATCAACGATTTCAAAGCTCCTGGTTGATGAAGTGGGGGATTTCTGATGATCCAAGACAACATCTGGTGACGCAGAAGAAACATCAGGTTGAACAGGAGCAACAGATCCGGGAGGAACGACCTGTGCAGGAATCAACGAGGGAGTCAAAGTGTCTTGAGGAGGTGCTAACAGTTGACCAGTCGATGATGTAGAGCAGAGGTCACAGCCTGCAGGAGGGACTCTGAGTCAGGCAACATAACACTAGTCTTCGGACAAATTATCACAGGCCGGGCGTTTATCCTGGTCTGTTCCCATCCTCTTCTTGATGTTAATTTGTAGATGTTAACACGAAGGAGGATGCAGCTCACGCAAAAGAAAAAGAAAAGTATTCTCTCGTACATCCTCTCGTACTCACGGTACGGTGATGTGAAAAAGAATGATTTGGCATGGATAGTCAGGTGATTAGTTTGTTTTAGGTCACAACACACAGGTTTATAGTCCGTGACCCATTTGTTTTGGTGGTGACCATGGTGATGCTAGGATGTGTTCGAGCCAAAATAATTTAAGAGTTTCCACATAAGCATTAAAAGAAGAAATGTATAGTATGAGATAGGATAAGTTCAGAATTTCACAGTATGATTGTATTCTTCTTATTGTCACACTTATATTCCACAGGGCACATGTGAACATCTTTGTGTGTGCCCAGTGGCACATTTGAAATCTCTGCTTGCATCACATCGGCAATATTACAACCATGGAGCTATGGATAGAGATTGCACTGTACAATGTCTACAAATAGTAAAGCACTCCCCCTCAATTACCCAGTGTATTATATCTCTATGTATTACATAATTACCCTGGACCCATCGCCACCACAGCTTTGTTTTGAGTCCGGTTGGACTGACACGAAGCTAAAAATAGCCATCCAATCAAATACCACTGTTCTTTCATGACTGAAACAATTTGTGACATCACCAGAGCTCAACTCGCTTGTTGTGTGTTATTTCAAATGCAACTCTGAACATCTTCTCACATGACTTATCTCCCCTGTCTTCAAACTCATGAAAACAGTTATTTTTCCAGCAAAACATTCTTTTGTAACAGTCTGCAGATTTGATTAAATACATATACAATGTGCGAGAGAAATTCTGTGCTATGTCACTGGTAGGAAAGATGGTGGTGAGGTGAAATGGGGTTTAACGTTATGTCCAAGATTATTGCACTTATATAAGAGCATGCATGTATGTGTGTGTGTGGCTGCTTGTACCAGTCTGGACTGATGCCACTTTACAGTGCGAGCCCACTGAGATACCATGCCGCAATTTAACATGAATACCCCACTGAGACACAGTATACTGACTCGGAGCAGACCAGCCCTTGTTTTAGCCCTTAAATGCCAGGTGCCAGGCAGGGTAACAAGAAGTACCATCTTTTAACGTCTTTTGGTATGACGACACCAGGGGTCGAACCCCGGACGGACGCTCTCCGGATGGACGCTCTCCGGAAGGACGCTCTACCACTAGGCCACGCAGGAAAGACGGAGTAATTGTCATTTCATTCATGAATGAAGCTCCTAATAGAATTGATACATAATACACTGGGTAATCCAGGAATCCTAGTTCTCGGAACTATCAAGCAAGGTTTCATTTTCATTTGTTTGTAGTTTTATGCCGCACTCAGCAACATTCCAGCTATATGGCGGCGGTCTGTATATAATCAAGTCTGGACCAGACAATCCAGTGATTGATATCATGAACATCGAACCACACAACTGGGATACAATGACATGCATCAACCAAGTCAGCGAGCCTGACCACCCGATACCGTTGATCGCCTCTTATGACAAGCATTGGTTGCTGAAGACCAATTCTAACCCGGATCTTCACTGGTATATCAAGCAAGGCCAGCTACATGACCTAGTCATAAGATTTTCATACACATGTTTATACATCTTTTCTTGAAATTGACCATGTTATTCCAGAAGAACTCATCTTACAGGAATGTGGTAATTGAATGAGGTGAGAGGCGACAAACAGCCACTATTTGAGCTTGACTGGATTTCATATCAGTTTCAAATTGATAAAGTAGTATCATGCTAATGAAACACTAGTTATACTGTCAGATTGATTCAACAGGAAATTTTCAGAGAAAAAACAAAAATATATGTACTGGGGTACACATGTTTACATATTTACCTGAAACTGAACACAACAGTGTACATGGCTAGAAAGACAAGTTATTCGGTCATAAATATTACAGCATCAATTTCACTCATAACTTGGTCTTGTTGGCCCTACCTCTCTCTGCCAAGTAGGAGGTTTCCCACGCCATGTGACGCCTTTATTTTTCAAATATGGTGGTGTCCATGGCGACTGCATCTGCCGCGAAATTACCGCTGAAATTGCTCTCTGCAGCAGCACTGAGGATCCTTGATAAAACACAAGAACATTTGTCACTTGTTTTAACTAACTCATCCCATGTTTTCTCAGTTTTTAAAACTATAATGTTCATTAAACAACATCAGAATTTGAAACTGTCTGCTGGTGAGGTTTGGTGACATTGCTTGTTGGCGAACTCACTGTGACTACCTGATCCACATTCAGCTCTTCTGAAATGCATGAGTGAGTGAGTTGGGTTTAATGCCGCTTTTAACAGTATTTCATTTATATCACAGCTTATCAGCTTAATGTGGGAGGAAAGCCCAAAGTGATGCAGGTCTCAGACATTAACCAATTCGGTGAAACCCATGAGCACGAGTATGGTGCTGACAAACCTAGAAACATAATCCTGGCATGCCCAAGGGACACAACTCTGCATAGCAAATCGCGGCATCTTAGACGACTGGGCCACCCTTGCCCCCTTCTGAAATGCATGAACTATGATGGATCTATTCTGCCACAGAGTCTTACAGATGCTGACTGTTGCATTTTGGAGAAATCATTACAATACTGTCAACCAAATTCTGCCAATTCAAGGGGAATCTATTACAAAATTTGTAAAAAACATCGCCAAATATTTAGACTAGTTATTGACTTCACTACCACCATTGTCACACATACAACCAACTAATAATAATCACTTAATTATCACTTGGTTTAGTATGTGATGGGAAGGTTTATACATTAACATTCTAAGCAAATCATAAAAGTCAATCATGCTAATGGTGATTACAAATTAGTTCCCAATTGCTCAATGGTGGGCAGCTATAATAATGTTGCAGTGATTGCAAGATTTGACAAACCACAGAATCTCTTACCTAGTGGTTCCTCAGCTGTCTGGGATGAATCTTTAGGTAGCTTCTCAACCAGGAACATAAATATCTTCCTGATCTCACTCTCATTGGAGTACAGGAATGTCTGGTAACCTAGGTCACCGCGGTACCCAATATCCTGAAAAATACAGCCAACCATACAAAGGATTGTGAGCAGAATAGGTTACGCCATGTAAATCAAATACAACATTTTCATTCCCGCCTGTCTCAGTACTAACACCCAGCCATACATTTATCCTTTTGTCCTCAAGTGCTACATCTGTGATCACTTCTTTCGGTATTTGACGAAATACACCAGAAACAGTCATACCAAACATTCATATTTCATGTGAAACACATCTACTGACAATTTCTGTAGGCAGATGCCTTGAACAGTTTCTTTTAAAACAAAAAAATAACAAAAAACATAAAATTCAAGAGGATCAAATCTGTCATATCCATTGCTATATATCACTATCATCTTATGGATCACAAAGAAGACATACCATATCATCAGTGAAAGCTCTATGGGTAACATGGATTAATACACAGTACCATTTACCATGTTTACTAGCCCTGATCATATACTGCTGAAGAACATGAATCAGCTTTTACTTTATCTGTTTGATTGATTGCAACAGACCTGTATACAGTTGGCCAGGCTGGCTCCCATCCTGAAGCGAGCAGACATGCCTGGCGGCAGCGTGTTTGGCAAATCAATCTCATTGTTGATGAACTTGATGCAACTCACGATGGTTGAGACAATCAGTTCTGTATTAAACTGTTTCAGACACACAATATCATCATCAATGTCACTGAAACCAGAAATGTATAATGACAGATTTATGTATAAGAAAATACAAATTCCAAATTGAGATTATTGTAAATATTATATCTAATGCTTCACTATATCATATCACTGATAACTAAACACCACCACCCCAATCACAATTGTGGACAAATGTCAATTTACATGACAGCAACATTATTTCTTAGGAATTATAGACAGTTAACTCACTTCAAAAATATCCCTCCATAAAATTATTATCATGATTAATGTAAGTAAAATAATTTAGTAAGCAATACATAATGGACTTTGGGTGTTAAATGAACGATTTATTTATTGCATACAGTACAGTACAGTTTATTTCTAAAAAAAACACCAATGGCAGAACAAGAGTATATACGCACAACATACAACAAAGACAATTAATATATCAGTTAAGAAATTAAGATCAAGACGACAACAATCTTATGTGATTTTGACACTTTAAGCTAATAATGTATTCAAATGTATAATGAACATGATGAATCTGGACAGATTGTTCAAAGTGGATATATTTGAAGGTGATAATGTTTCATGTAATTCACACATGACAATGACAGCAATGACAATGGTTGGGTGAGGATCCATATCCCCTCTCTTGTCAAAGGTTATATTCCGTTATATTGCAGTTTCAGTACAGACCCCCTCTCTTGTCAAAGGTTATATTTCATTCATATTCATACAAGGGGTTACATGCTGATATGATTATAATGACAATAATACCATGAACTGATAATTAGCTGGTGTCATATTCATAACATGGATCAAATTATCCTACAGCTGATTAGTAGATTACTGACATTGTTTTCTTGTGAAAGTTTATGACATTGCTATTCCAGATCCTCAAGCGGTTGAAAATACTCAATCATTTAACACTGACAATTGTTGAAGGGAATTAAAAGTTTGATTTTTATCAAATATGCACGAAAACATAGTGACAATAATTACCAGTCAATAGATTTCAAGGAATGGATAATAATGTGATCCACCTCCTCCATCTTGGCCAATCATGTGACTTTTTATAGTTCGGAGTCAGAATAGGAGTGCATTATAATTGGATAAAAACTTAGGTCATTACAATGATCGAACGAAGAAATATATCATAATGTCATCAGTCGATATAATCAAAGGAATGTAAATAATCTGAGAACATTTTGCATTTACTGATAATTTTTTATTCGTTTACCTTGAAATTCGAAGTGCGGTCTTACATGTAAACAAATATGGCGGCGAAATACAACCGTCGTGTAAATGTCATGTGAATTTTTCACATCTACGTTTCATGCGATTATCTTTGATTTCTCTAATGCATTTTCACTTATGAATCGCATCAAGTACTTTCAAATGTAACCAAAATGGCAACTCAAGACCTCGTGTTTTTGAATGATCAAGGCAAGTTCTTGTCAAACCGGCATTTTCTCTCATGTTTCAACATGCACATAGCCGAGTTAAAACGCATTTCTGTTTGTCTACGTTTTTTTCACAATCGAAATGATGACTGAAAAATGTTTCACTCCAGGCTCAAAGGCAGTTAGATATGTATCTATTCTAAATCGCTACAAATTATAAAACAAATTATTTTAAGAATGTAGATGAAATACCAAAAAAGAACTGTCATTATTATCAAGAGCAGAATTTCTTATTTGGTTAACTAGGGCTACGTTTTGTCAAATCATGTACATGCACTCACCACTTTTATGGTTAATTTTGTTGTCACTTCAAAAGCACTAACTCCATATTCAAAGTTCATCCCCAAATTGCAATCACGAAAATGAGGAACAAGGTATAAAGCATTTTCATCCATTCCTGCATGTCCAGTGCTGATGACCATAATGAGCCAGGGGATTCCACAATTATTCATTATTTTATTTTTTTAATTATTATTTTATTATTTATCATTATATTATTATATAATTATTTTGTATACCCCACTTATCCAGGTACTGATATCTGCTCAAATGAGGTTTATTTGTTCCCCAACCAGTGGATTCGTATGCATTCAAATTATCTTTCTCGAAACTCCTTGGGGAGTATTCAATAGGGCTGGGATGGGTAAATCGGGTACTCGGGTCGGGTGGGTACTGAGAAGGACCCAGGTACCAACAGGATTACCCGGACCTGTGTTTAGTCATGTGACATATTGTTTAAAGACAAAAATGATCTAGAACTATATGGTTACACTACAATTTTTAAGTCACGAATTTTCACATTTCTTTCTGACTATGCACCCATTCCTTCTGACTTTTTTATTTGAATGATACAACTTCAGTGTATGTATGATCAGATTATTTTATGCGTGTATCTAAGTACATTTTGTCCAGGGCTACATCTCAAACAATTCTCAATGAGACATTTTGTACCTATCTCTTTGAGACCTACAGCAGGTACCCGGGAAGGGTCGGGTAATAGGGTGGTGGGTACCCAGGTAGTAAATTTGGACTATTCGTCCCAGCCCTAGTATTCAACCCAAGCTGCCTATGGGCACTAGAGGGTTTTTACACTCACCTCATATATCAGGTACCCATTTCCTGCTGGGTGAACAGAGGGATATATGAAATAAGTCATGTGCCCACTATGACACTACATTAGTAGTGGTCCATGGATGGCACTGCACTCAATCAGTAGTTGTGAAGCTGTCATCAGCCAGCCAAGTACTGTTCCCACAAATGGAGCAGCTATCCATTTCTGTCAGAGCTGTGAATGCATGATGACAACTTTCCTTCTTCTACCATCAGCATCTGTGTTGAAAATTGCTTTACCTCCTTGTGTTATTCCGGGGTGTATATGGAGGCCCAGCTGCTGTTCATTTACAGTGTTGTTAAAACTGTGATGTAAGCACTGGGAGTAGGATATTAGTTTCTACTGATCTGCACAATGGAGAGATCTGTTACAACCCATAAGTAATAGTAATAAAAATAGTATGTTAAGGTAAGCTTGTCCTTGTATTAATATGGTTATGTACAATGATGTAGAAAGTTGTTTAGTTTCCGATGTTGAGGGACCTGCTTTAAACTTGATATATGCATCAAAGATTCTTATAATATCAACATTCACTGATATGCAAGCAAGTTGATACACAACCTAATCTGGATGTTTATTGAATTAACATTAAAACAATGTCTCTTTATTTTCAAATTCTTAAATAATTAATTCTTTGACAATTAGACATGATATTAAGTTGATAATCAATCTGTCTGTTCAGATGGAATTGACTTAATAATCAATCATTGACTCCAACACTATTCAATGGAGTGGATCATTTATATGTATTAAGCTCTCCTTGTTTATGCTTATTGTCATTTTTCCTTTTACCTTACAGTTGTGCGACTAAATGCTCTGTTGGCCAGCTATCAGAGGAAGTACCCTTCACACACACCAGAGGTGAGGTATCTCCTAGACATGAACATGCATGCAATCTCATTAAAATCCGATCTTAGTGCTCACCATGCTCACTATTGCTAAACAAAGATCTGAGGACATATCATAACAAGTCACGTCAGGACGACCTTTCACCTGATCAGTCAGAGCATCACCAGATCGGGAAAGTGACAGTCAGAATGTGTTTTGTAATCATGCAACCCTCAAGAAGGTTAACAAGGGGTATTCTGTACTGAAGTTGAGGGCTGTATGACTGATTACGTCAAAATCGTCTTAATTTTCGCTTGAAAGCGATAAACATTTCTGTTTACAAATTTGAAGCAGTGATGTCACTTATTTGTTCTGTTTTATGAGGTGAATCTGATATATATGTAATTGACCTTAGGATTGTAGTCATGTAATTATTTTAATTACAGCATACCCTGATAATGAGTTATCTCCCCTGCCTTGCCATATTAAAGTGAAGTTCCTGATAGTGTCAGCCCGTTCCTGGAACTCTATATCCTATCACTGCAACTGGACACCACTCCCCTCTGTGCAACCTCAACCATGTCTGACTTATCATCTACTTAAAGTCACAAACAATCCATGACTGCTGTGACGCTGATTGTCCACTGGAAATAGCATGTTATTATCTCTATCCATTAACCAGTCTAATGAGTATGTATTGGAGAAGTTGGAGGCTTTTCCGATTGTCTGCAATCTCAAACCAATGTTTTTACACAGACATTCATCTAAGAAAAGTAAATAGGTCATTTTCTAAGTTTACTAAAATTATTAACTCCTCCCATAAATCATACATATAGACACACAAAATATATAATTATGTCACAGGATGACAAAGATGTCATACACTGGACGGAGTTAAGCAATAAATCAACAAAGGTCAGTGTCAACAATGGCTTTGAAAGAAGGAAACAGTTGACTAGGTTTTGGTCAGACGATGCTTGTTATGCTAATCAGAACACTTCTTTTTTAAAAACAGCTTCTGGAGCCCGTTCCACAAAGTGATCTTGGCCCTAAGGCTGTCATAACTCCCATACATTAACATTGACTTACATCAGTTGTAGAGCTAAGGTGGCTTTGTGGAATGGGACTTGGGTCTCAGAAACAATCTAACTGTAGATCTACTGTTTGTTGTCAGCCATATTTATGCTCTAACTGACTATCTGTCCTTCTATCAACAGGCTCAAAGCAGGTCTCTTGTACCAAGTACCACAGACAGAAGGTAATCTACAGTAAAGTGTTAATGTATAGTGTATATGTAGGGCTTGGATCTATGACAGGCCTCTACAACCCTAGTCATCCCCAAGAGGATAGGGGCAGTCGGGTAGCCTAGTGGTTAAAGCATTCGCTCGCCACGTCGAAGACCAGGGTTCGAATATTGCTAAAAGCGGCGTAAAGCCATATTCACTCACTCACTCCCCAAGAGGATGTCATAGACATATGTTGTCATTCGGTCTTGACATCATGATCATGTGGGGGCGGTCAGGTAGCCCAGTGGTTAAAGTGTTCGTTCTTCACGCCGAATGCCCGGGTTCAATTCAATTGGGTACAATGTGTGAAGCCCATTTCTGGTGTCCCCGCCGTGATATTGCTGGAATATTGCTAAAAGCGGCGTAAAATCAAACTCACTCACTCATCTCATGTTCACATGATGTCATCAAGGGATGCTGGCTGCTTTGTTCTTGTGGTGTCTTGTTGATTCTTCCTTAACTCTTTGCTCTGGGAACCTTTAATACTTAGAGTATGTTTTAACATGATTTTTCCAAACAACAGTTTGTATTATTGATTATGTTTGGGGACATGCCATTGCAGGATCTGAGTCTTATTTAGTTTGCTTGTTTGGCTACCTGGATCTTGGAAGTGCAGAATTATACTGATATGTTACAATTAACATGATAAGAAGTTTGCATTTATCTGAATTTTATTATGTTGGTCAGGGGTGGCCTGTTGTCTAAGGCACTGCAGTTTTCTGCACAAAGTTGACTCTGCCATGTGTGCTAGAAAGCTATGATCATGGGTTCGAAGTCTGTACTCACCCTAATGATATTTGTAGGTTTGTCAGCACCATTACCATGCTTGTGGGTTTTACCACAGTGGTAAATATCTAAGACCATCATCACAGCAAGGTTTTCTCCTGCATCAAGCTGACACACTGATATTACTGAAGTACTGTTCAAAGCAGCATTAAGCGCGACTCACTGTTATGTGAGTTATCTGATCTTGACTATGAAGGGGAAACGCTGTTGACATCTGGTTTGTTTCAGTGGTTTGACTCCGCTGCTGATCGAGTATGATGGCATCATTCATGCACAAGAAGCTGAAATAAGTCATCAAAAGGTATGAAAAATACATTCATCTCACACTGACACACAGTTACATGATACATTTGTGTGTTTATTTTTCCTTGTTAAAGTTAGTTTGTGATTTTGACCTTTTTGGGAAATTTATTCCATATCATATTTGTGAATGTCCAATAATTTGAGAAAGAGGACATTTCTTTTTCCTTGTCCCTATCCGTGATCCATGTAGGAGACAGTCAATGCTGAAGGTATTTTATTTCTCTTTCAGGTTGAGCTGAGTAAACTAAGACAAGCCATTGATGAACTGCTTTCAGAAAATGAGAGGTGAGAATGAGTTTTACATTTCTTTTCTGCCAACCCAGTGATTTTGTTTAAAAAATGCTTAACTCACCTGGGGCCACGTGCACAAATCTATGTATCTGGTGTATGTCTATGTTCGGTTATGGGAGGTACGATAATCTTGGCACAAAGATCGCTTGCAAACTATGAACCCAGGGCAATAACCCAGTGTCAACATGGTCAAGTCACTTTTTCTTTTTCAGAGCAATAAATGACATTATGATAAACAATAAGTTTTCTCCACAAATTCCAAAGCCTTCAAGTTGTGTCACAGTGTTTTGATTTAAGGTTTTTGTGTATCATGAATACACGCTAGTAGTTGATGAGCACCCTATGGACAAATACCATTGTGACTAATTCTGGTGTGTCATATGCATGTTACTGTTTAGTGAGACGAAAAAGGTTGTTGGTGCAAAGGATAAAAATTGTCATCTGATTGATACAATCAGCCAGACAGTAATCTTGTATGGTACCAGTTAGTGGCAGTGTTTTGCATCATGCACTATTCTTTCACTGCTTAACATGTTCAAGTCATGATTTAGAGATATTTTTGCCCTTTTAATTGTACAGGTGTGCCCTCCCCCCCTCCACCCCAAAGTGACCAAATTCTCTGCTTTTACACATTTTTGTTTTAACATTTATATTTCTAGAGTATCCCTTTAGGAATTAAATACTGCTGACAACATTTGTTTTCTTTTCTTTTGCCTCCTATATGTCAACATGCTGTCTGTGAAAACCTGTAACAAGGAAAAGGGAGTGTCCGTAAACATGTTAAATCCTTATTACTAGCCACCATTCACTCCTTGGTATGTTTGTTTGTTGTGGTCTGATACGTTTAATGGACGGTTTCAGACTGGGTGGTGAACTCCGTGAGAATGTGGAAGCTCAGCTCTCAGCGGGGATGGGGATGGTGGGACTCTCCGGGATGGATGAAGGAGCACCTGCACAAGATGACGACCAGATGCTGTACAACTTCCAGGAACAGCTGAAGATGGCTGCAGAGGTAGGGGAGGGTGGAAGATGACTGCATAGCGATGGGAAAAAGTTAGTCATTTACCAATACCTGTCGACAGAGGACAATAAAGCAGAAACATAAATGTTACAGATTTTACCCAATCTCATTAAAATCAGATCTTAGTTCTCGCTGCCGCTAAACAAAGATCTGAGGACATCCCATTAAGGGTCACGTCAGACCGACCTTGCGCAAACTTTGACCGACCAATGGAATGACCAATCAGAAGGCAGCTTTCTCGTGCTTTACGGCACTAATTTCAAATTGGCGACTACGCTTCAAAACATATTTTGACAAATTCTCGTTCACAAATTTGAAACCTGAACAAAAGAACATTCTGGAATGGCTAATATATGGTCTAGATTGTATAGATTCAGTCGTTAAACCCGTAACTATTGTTCGGGATTTTCGAGGTTGCATGATTATAAATCACATTCCGACTGTCACTCTCATAATCTGGTAAGCCACGTTCTGATTGGTCGGATGAAAGGTCGTTCTGACGTGACCCCTAATGGGATGTCCTCAGATCTTTGTTTAGCGATAGCGAGAACTAAGGTCTTATTTTAATGAGATTGAGATTTTACCTTACCCTGACTCCTACTTTTGCTTATCTCAAATCATTTCCGAAAGGTGTGGAAACTTCCTGAACTGTGTTCTGGGAGAACAGACAAAACAGCTTACCCGAATGCACCCCTGGTCTGTGCATGCACACTGGAAACATGTGACCAAGCTGGTATTACTCATTAATCTCACAATATCGCGCCAACTGTGCGGATGGGGGAAACTTTCCTGAGCTTTGTAATCCTAGCCATCCTATCAAAATTAATCTGTCCAGATGATGAACTCTGTGTATAAATAGTCAATGCAGAGGAGGCAGTTCAAAGAGCAAATTTTCTGGTATCCAGAAAGCTAAGGACAAGCGACAAGTCTTCTACCTTTCATAGGCCACAAGACAGGTCATGTGACCAGTCCAGCCATGGGCGAGGGTCCAGAGAATGCCATGCCTACCGATGAAGCTAAGCTGATGAACAACTGAGAACTTCCACCTCCAGCAGCTCATGTACAGCCCGCAGCAGTAGGTGGAAGGCTGGCAAGATATTGGAGGAATTGGGACAACACCAACATACTCAAGAAGGGCTACAAGTTAACTGTAAGCGAGTAACCACCTCTCTCACTCAACCTGCCGCTCATCAGATATTTAGGAAGTACTGCAAGCCAAGCTAACACAAGCTATCAACACTCTTCTCATCAAGGCAGCAGTTGAGATGGACCCCTAACTCCAGGCTTTTATTCACTGATCTTGGAACTCAAATGAAAAGTTTCGTTTAATCTACAAAATGAAGGAATTCAACAAGAAGTATCTTCAAAAACCAGACAATTTCGGAATGCTACATCTTCCTCTGCTAAAGCAGTTGATGAAGCAGCAGGATCATCTCATAAGCGTCAATCTACCAGACACCTACCTGCACATGCCCATCCATCCTCCGCAAAATACCTGCGATTCCTGTTTTAAGGGCAACACGTCCAATGGGCAGTCCTGCCCTTTGGAATTTCTATGGCCTTGTGGTTGTTTTCACATATAACTAAACCAGTTGTAGCTTTCCTGCACAACAAGGGGATCTGATGTACCTTCTGATGTACCTGATGATGGAATTAAGCATATCAAGCAGTAGAACTAGTCAGACATCAATTGAATTTCACCCTGAAATTGTTAACCCAACTTGGTTGATCAATTATCAGAAATCGGGACCTCAAGTTTGTAGGAATCAGATTTTCTCACAAAGCAGAATCTTATTCAAGGGCCAGAAGATCGGTGGATAACGATTCAAAGCTATCTTCCAACAGCTGTTCATGGACAGACTTCAGTCAACCAGTTGCAAGGTCTACTCACATCCTCTCAAGCACTGATGGTAAGAGGCAGACTGCAGCTACGTCCCATTCAGAGATTCTTAAGACCATTCCTAGATCAACCAGACCTGAAACTTCTACATCCACAAAGATTGAAGAAAAACCTGCATTCTTGGACAATCAATGTCTGCGGAGGAACCTTTTTGAACGAAATGGCCTTCAGCATCTGTTCAGTGACACCTGCCTGCAAGGGTGGGTGCTTCCTTCAGTGAAGAGTAACTTCCAGGGTTTATTCAGCGGAAGGAAAACTCCTCCACATCAACGATCTAGAGTTCGATACAGTCATCAGAGCTGTCACTCATTGGGCTCAACAGCTGAAGAACAAGTTGTTGATGATAAGAACAGGCAACTCAACTGTGGCATTCTCCATAAATCTCAAACGACAAGCTCTGTGGCCCTTCAATCTCATTAAAATCAGATCTAAGTTCTCGCTGCCGCTAAACAAAGATCTGAGGACATCCCATTATGGATCACGTCAGAACGACCTTTACCATACACCGTATACTAGTATACTGTCTTGGTCATGTGTTTCGGTACTCATGCGCAGACCAGGAGTGCATTCAGATGAGCTGTTTTGTCTGTTCTCCCGGAACACAGTTCAGGAAGTTTCCACTATGTTTCGGAAATGAGTTTAGATAAGCAATAGTATGAGTCAGAATAAGTATAAAAGATTGACTCTAAGATAATTATGTTGTTGCAACTGAGATTCTCTTGTCTACAGGAGAAGGAATCAGCTGAGCAGAAATGGAGAGCGGCTTCTCAGGAGATTGACCGTCTGGAGAAAGAGCTAGAGGTCAGTCAGGGTCACTTCAGTTATTGAATAAACACTTTGTATAATGTAAGAAATAAATGACGAGTGGGAGTTCTTTATCATACAGTAAAACACTGCATGGAGAATGAACCACTCGGGACTGCACTCATTCTCCCTACAATGTTTATCGTACGATAATTAACGGCTAAAGTCGATTATTTTTTTCATGAAATATCAACATTATGAACAACCTCTTTAAGGATGTTAATAAAATGTACAAGCTATGTCGAACAAGTTCATTTTATGAACAGGTTGGTTAAGTTTGGTATTTCCCGCATGTTCTCACAATCCTCACGTCGATTACCTGTACCTTTTCTCCCAATACCGATCGTCATATCCCTCCCACGTTTGGATGCGGTTGCTCAGCCACTATGTTTATCTGTGTAGCCCTGCTACATCTCTGGGGAACAACTCACTAGGTTTTGTATGCACATGTTGCTATGTTTCGTTAAATAATGAAAGAGGCTGTATATATCTCATGGAAGTCAAATGAGCCTTGCTCTGTACATGAAGTTTGTGTGAATGCAACCGTTGCCAGATGTTGAAGCAGTGTTATGGCTGCAAGGCTATAGCACATGTTCTGTGACAAATATTGCCGTTTTCGCGATGTATATGAGAGGGCTTGTTGGTTTTTCTCCTGCTTGAACCAAGTCATGTCGTCAGTTAAACATTACAAGTACACCACAACGTGGTACATTAATAGGGAACATGACTTCTACTTTTGACAGCAAGTTGTAAAATACTGTGTTCCAGGCTGAGAAGGAGTCTCATCAATGGAGGGTGGTGGAGCAGCAGGCACATCAGGTACAGGGATGCAATCACCTCCTCCGTTTTCAATTTTAATGTTTTCTTGGAGCTTTCATTAGACTGAGATTCTAATGGCTATAGAAACTCCATGTACTGCATTCTCGGTGAGCTTCAAAGACACTGCTCTTGCAAAAACATTACTCTCACATGTCAGCATATTATTTTACTTCACGAAAAACAAATGCGTAAATTCTGTGACCTGTGTAGCATTTGGTTTTTTTAATATTAAACTGTTAGTTTTGAAAATTATTGCCTCATAACCTGTTGTTGTTGTTGAGATTTAAGGATATTATTTCATATTTGACTTTGAACTATGAGGATAACGCCAGTAGAGTGTTGTGAGCTGTATATTGCTACAAGACCGTGTACTGTGTTTCCCAGGTGAAGGAGCAGTACATGGAGAGTATGGCCTCTGTCACAGCCCAGGTGGAGACCCTGCAGAAAGAGCTCAGGTGAGAGGGAATTAACAATAGTCCACTGCCTGATGCTGGGAGTGACAGGTTGAACCCCCTGTAGGGACTCCAGGGCTCTGGAGCCTGCTCCAGCATGGGTCGGGGTAAGACAACGCAAGTACATGACCAAGGGAGGTAACTCACAATATGTGTTGCAGACATGGAAGTGAAACAGTACAGTATCTTAACACATAGATAAGTGTTGAGAAAAAAGTCAAAGTGTCAACTGTGTGTCATATTACCATTGAAATCTAGGAATTGGGTCTTGGGTTTTGAGGCACAGATACTATCACTTTTGTATCCATCACAGTCCTAAAGGCCAAAGACTCGTGAAGATCCGGGGTAGAATAGGTCTTCAGCAACCCATGCTTGCCGTAAAAGGCGACTATGCTTGTCGTAAAAGGCGACTAATGGGATCGGGTGGTCAGGCTCGCTGACTTGGTTGATGCATGTCATCGATTCCAATTGTGTGGATCGATGTTCATGATGTAAATCACTGGATTGTCTGGTCCAGACTCGATTATTTACAGACCGCCGTCATATAGCTGGAATATTGCTGGGTGCGGCGTTAAACAACAAACAAACAAACCTAAAGGCCAAGAGTGGGACAGGACTCCATTCAACAAAGCAATCTTATAACTCTATGTCAAGGTATGGAAGTTACAATAGCCCTAATATTCGCTTTGTTGAATTAGAGCCAGGTTCCCAGGATCCCATACAAAGTGAGTGAGTGAGTGAGTATGGACTACGCCGCTTTTAGCAATATTCCAGCAATATCACGGTGGGGGACACCAGAAATGGGCTTCACACATTGTACCCATGTCGGGAATCGAACCCGGGTCTTCCGCGTGACAAGCGAACGCTCTAACCACTAGGCTACCCGACCGCCCCTCCCATACAAAGAGCTGACTATGGAGGATTCATTGGTCAGACTCCGTGGCAGGGCTGGTTGTGTCCTCGCACTATGCTGGGGTGGGTCAGGCTTTTGATCTTGGTTGATTATCTCCAGGATCCTGTGCACTACCTGGAATATTGCTGACTGTTGCATTAAACAACATTCACTCACTCAAACGCAAAAAATGGCATGAATCATTGCTTATGATATCAACCACTCAGATGGTACTTGTTGTTTTCCTGCCTGGCCGCTCAGAACAAGTGACCCTTGTTTCCTGTCCCAGGGATCATGACTAGTATGAGAGGCCCATTTTGGTGTTATCATATAGGCTATCATCTTCCTGAGGCAAGCGCATCCACTAGCCTTTTATTAGTCTTGTTTCCATCCTTGCCACATCAAACCCACTTTCCTGTGCTAAATATCGATAGTCCAATCAGAGAACGTTTCACAAAATCAACATCCACGACTGTACACCTTCGTATGAAGGTGATTTACCGCTGCCTGTCTTTGTTGACACGAATATGTCTTCTTCATCTTTTACACCCCCAACGATTTTTGTGTCAGGGATGAAATTGCGATTGTTTTCGTTATCTGATCGACGAGGTTGTCACCATCTTTGTGAAGCTATACGAGATAAGAGCAGTGATCTGATTGGGTCTTGTGTTTTCATTACAATGGGCACAATTCGTGATCTACGACCTTGATGTGGCAAGGATAGAAACTAGCTTTGATATAGGCTAGTGGAAACGCTTGCCTCGGGAAGATGATAGACTATCATTGGCTGGGCTTACTAGTTCAAACAGAATTCTCAGAACCTGGACTCTGGACTTGTGGCTAACATTATAGACTTGTAATATATGTTCACTAAGAATGGTTGGCACTTCAGAACACATTAGAAGACCGTACAATACACTGTTCCAGGCAAGCCAGGATGGAGTTAGTGACCTCAGAACAGGTGATGAAGGACCAGAAGAGGACAATATCTGACCTGCAGTCGCAGCTCTCTTGGAAGGTGAGATCATGTACACCAGGGACATGCACACACACATACTGAATATAACAGACTTTCCTTGAGACTTTCCAGACGTGAAAGCAACATGTTGTAGTTACAGTAAACTACGGTTATAACAAACGCAAAGGGACCACTAAATTTAGTTCGTAATAACCGTAGTTCGTTGTAAGCATATATACAGCATATATACATCAACTGGCCGGGACTAAAAAATAAGTTTGTTATATCCGTCAGTTCGTTATCATGGTTATAAGTGTGTTCGTTATTAACGTAGTTTACTGTATATGAAAAGCAAACAATGTTGATCAGTTTGCTTGCTTTTTTGTTATTTTTTCTGACCCACCAGATTCTTTGTATGGTACACATTTCAACGATATGCTGAGATGTAATGATATGCTTGCTTCGCTTACGAGATCTCGATACAGTACTTCTATTTCAAAAGTAGCTAGTGGGTCAGGGACATATAGGCTATAGGTCACTGTGAATGTTTATTGCTGGGAAATACAAGAGAATCTGCATTAGCTGCTTATTACTCACGTTCTTACACCAATATAACTTGCAATGTAATGTAGCATATGTATCGTGATACACGGGTTGTAAATCGATGTATTGTATCCTGATACGAGGCCCAAAATGTATTACCGTATCGTTACACAAATATTCAACAGACCTGTATACCTGTCCAGAATTAACACTGTTGTTAGTTTGTTGACCACCCTTGACCTGGGCCCACTTGCACAAAGCGATCTTAGCACTACAACTATTGTAAGCCTATGTTAAAGAATGGGAGTTACGATCATCTTAGCGCTAAGATGGCTTTGTGCATGGGGGCCCTGATCACGCGAGTGAATTGTTTGTGTTGTCAGGATCAAGAGAAAGCAGATGTAATATTCAAGGAAGGCATCACAGACACAAAGATGATTGAACTGAAAAAAATCATGGATGATCTCAAACACCAGTAAGTAGATGCATCTCCAAGCTTCACATTTGATAAGGACCGCCTCCGTGGTCTTGTGGTAGAGCGTCTGCCCGGAGAGTGGAAGGTCCAGGGTTCGATCCCGGGCCGCGTCATACAAAAAGACGTTAAAAGATTGTACTTGTTGTTACCCTGTCTGGCGCTCGGCATTAAGGGGCTAAAACAAGGACTGGTCGGCTCGGAGTCAGTATACTGTGTCTGAGTGGGGTATTCATGTTAAACTGCGGCATGGTATCTCAGTGAGCTAGCACTATAAATCGGCATCAGTCCGGACTAGTACAAGCAGCCACACACACACATACACGTGCATGCACGTCGCTATATAAGTGCAATAATCTTGGACGCGACGTTAAACCCAATTTCACCTCACCTCACCTCACATTTGATAAATACACAAGACTGGGAGGGTTGCTCAGAGCTCAAACAATTCACAGTCATGGGGTCTGAAGAGGGTCATCAGCACGTTTTATCTAATGCTTTGAAGATTTTGCTTAACTACGATTCAATCTTAGACTGGATCATGAAATGACCTTAGCAACATCAACACTAAGTCTAAGCCTGAGACCGTCATCATGGGACACACACACATGTTAACATACTACCGTAATCACAGAACTCTTCAACCAAGGGAGATTTGAAAGTTGCCTTGTGTATATATATGTATGGATGTAAGTTATTTACATAATGCAGGGGCCAGGAAACAAATGTCACACACTATTTGATGGATGGATATCAATTTCAGACTGTCACTGGCCAGTAGAGAAAGTGGAGAGCTGAAGCGAGAAAAGTTCGCCATGGAGACTAGGGTCTCGGAGCTTCAGAGGAGGAAGTGAGTTTCAGCTCATGTTGTTTTCAGGATAGATTTTACTGTTGCTACATCAAATGTTCTTCAAACACATATGGTCAAAATCACCATTTACCACCTGGATCCTTGGTCAGAATGGTCACATCAGGTCTATTTCTTGTTGTCATATTTGTTTGGCAGGGCCCCATTTTATAAAGCAATAACAATGACTCATATACCTTAACACAGACTGAAGGAAGTCAGAGAGTCATGCTCACTAATTGTAATGGTCCCCTGCCAAAAAAAGCCCAAACTGTATGGCACCCAGCTGAGTGTGGTGTGTGTGGTTACAGTTTTGAGCTGGAGGAGAAGGAAACGGATGCCATCATGAGAGTGCGGGATGCGGTACAGATGGTGGAGAACGCCGTGCTGGAGAAGGATCAGGTCAGTCTATGGTCAACACTTGGAGTTTACTCTGGAAAAAGAATGGAAACAATTTGAGGCCTGTTATTTCACACCTCTGGTGCTTTCTAAATCCATTTAAAATTCTAAAAACAAACTTTATAACATTTTGGAATTCTTTGAGGAGCATTAGTTTGTTTCATTGTTTGTTATCACCTTTTCACTTTATTGTTTGTCATAAAAATTGCAGAATATTTGCACTCATAATAAAATGTGGGGAAAAGACAAAAACACTATCCTGCGTCAGTGCCTTGATGTTCATGATATAGCATACAAGGTGCAATCTTGCACTAAAACTATCCTGCGTCAGTGCCCTGATGTTCATGATATAGCATACAAGGTGCAATCTTGCACTAAAACTATCCTGTGTTAGTGCCTTGATGTTCATGATATAGCATACAAGGTGCAATCTTGCACTAAAATTATCCTGCGTCAGTGCCCTGATGTTCATGATATAGCATACAAGGCGCAATCTTGCACTAAAACTATCCTGTGTCAGTGCCCTGATGTTCATGATATAGCATACAAGGCGCAATCTTGCACTAAAACTATCCTGCGTCAGTGCCCTGATGTTCATGATATAGCATACAAGGTGCAATCTTGCACTAAAACTATCCTGTGTCAGTGCCCTGATGTTCATGATATAGCATACAAGGTGCAATCTTGCACTAAAACTATCCTGTGTTAGTGCCATGATGTTCATGATAGAGCATACAAGGTGCAATCCTGCACTAAAACTATCCTGCGTCAGTGCCCTGATGTTCATGATATAGCATACAAGGTGCAATCTTGCACTAAAACTATCCTGCATTAGTGCCATGGTGTTTATGATATAGCATAAGAGGTGCAATCTTGCACTAAAACTATCATATGGGAGTAAGGAGACAGGACAGGCGTAGTGCTACCAGAGATTTGTGGAAAGTGCCTAGATCACACTCTAGGGGTCCTGCAAGATGTGAGTAAGATCTTCCACAAATTGTGTTTCAGGCGGAGGTGCAGAGTCGCCAGAAAGACGACGAGATTGAACAGATGCAGGATGTTGTCAGTAAACTCATCAATGAGGCAGGAGTTAGGACACGCCAAGAGGTAGGAAGCGTTGTATTCCTTGGCCTGGCCTTGACCAGGTGGTAGAGTGTGTGAGGGAGTGGGGTTTAATGCAGTTCAACAGTGTTTCAGTAATGGCCAGAATGCATGCATGTAACATGGCATGTTAACAAGGGGAACTGCATAAAGGAATGCAGGTCGTAGATGTTAATCTTGGATTCAAAGAAGCAGATCCTGGTATGGCTAAGGATGCAACTCCTTACGTGGCTGCCAACATCAATAGGTAGACCTGGACGTGGGCCCAGTTCCCTGAATCAATGCTATTTTAGTCCATGTCAGATTAGGTGTTGGATGATTATCTTATCAATACAAATTTGGTAAATCTATGTTAAAATGGGTATTTTGTGATGTTAGCACTCTGAATAGGGCCATGTCTAACTGATGCCTATACTTTGTCCCTGTAGGTTGACGCAGTGAGGAAACAGTGCAATGAGAGAATCGTGAAACTCACCGATGAAGTCCATTCCCTGGAGATGGTGAGCCTGAGTTACTGTCACCACCGTGTCTTGTCTCCAGTTTATGTTACCACTTTTGCTGTTGCAAAGTTGACACAATGTATGGATAACAACTTCTTTAATTACTGTTAATGCAACGTGTCAGTAAAGATCCTTATACTGTTGTCAAGCAAGTCAGTCTTGCCACACAACGATATAAGGACCTATACCAAAATGTCGCCTTTACAATAATTAAAGAAGTTATCATCCAAAAATTGTGTCTGCTTTGTCATCCATCAACTTCTAAGTAATGCCTATCAAACAATTCACTTTTGCTGTTGCTTTCTTCTTTTTGGAAAGATCTATTCATGGCAATGTTTTTGTACAAAATGTAACGAATTTTGGTATTTGTATAGTTAGTGGTAGGATTGGCATAATATTTCATAAGAACAAGAATTCCGCAAACTATTAAATCTTTGCGTGAACATTCTAAGAATTTATCACTTGTAGTTCATTATTTTTATATATGCTGATTAGCAGTAAATGTGGATAGTCTGAAGTTTGATGCTAATGTTCGTAGTTTAGAAATGAGTAAACAACATGATGACATTCCAGGAAGGGGCGGAGAGGGAGGCCCAGATTGAGAGACTGGTGAGGGAGAAGAGATCCGTGGAGTCCGAGTTGGAAAAGGTCAGTGATATATCTCAAAACAATTCCAACAATATCTATATCTAATTCTTTTAGCAGCCTGATTCAAGACAAGCCTTGAATGAGCATCCAAAGCTGAGTGGCCAACAAGAACCTAACTCACTCGACCACATGTGTAAAATGTCTGGTCCGGATTATTTACAGTCTGCCGTCATATTGCTGGAATATTGCTAACTGCAGCGTTAAACCCCCTACAAACAAACTTGTGTGAAATCCACAAGCAGATCAAGGGTTCTAATATGGGCAGATTGAATTCGGACGACAATTAACACATCCTGCCAGAGTAAAGGAAACAACTCTACCTGGCCCCTATCCCTACACCTACCTGGCCCCTATCCCAACACCTACCTGACCCCCATCCCAACACCTACCTGGCCCCTATCTCGACACCTACCTGGCCCCTATCCAAACACCTACCAAACACCTACTTGGCCCCTATCCCGACACCTAACTGACCTCTATCCCGACACCTACCTAACCCCTATCCCAACACCTACCTGACCCCTATCCCAACACCTACCTGACCCCCATCCAAACACCTACCTGGTCCCTATCCCGACACCTACCTTGCCCCTATCCTGACACCTACCTGGCCCCTGGCCCAACACCTACCTGGCCCCTGGCCCAACACCTTCCTGGCTCCATCCCAACACCTACCTGACCCCTATCCCAACACCTACCTGACCCCTATCCCGACACCTACCTGACCCCTATCCTGACACCTACCTGGCCCCCATCCCAAAACCTACCTGGCTCCATCCCAACACCTACCTGGCCCCTATCCTGGCCCCAATCCCAACACCTACCTGACCCCTATCCCGACACCTACCTGACCCCCATCCCAACACCTTCCTGGCCCCTATCACAACACCTACCTGGGCCCTATCCCAACACCTACCTGGTCCCTATCCCAACACCTACCTGGTCCCTATCCCGACACCTACCTGACCCCCATCCCAACACCTACTTGGCTCCATCCCAACACCTACCTGGTCCCTATCCTGACCCCCATCCCAACACCTACCTGTCCCCTATCCCAACACCTACCTGGCCCCTATCCCAACACCTACCTTGCCCCTATCCCAACACCTACCTTGCCCCTATCCCAACACCTACCTGGCCCCTATCCCAACACCTACCTTGCCCCTATCCCAACACCTACCTTGCCCCTATCCCAACACCTACCTGGCCCCTATCACAACACCTACCTCGCCCCTATCCCAACACCTACCTGGCCCCTATCACAACACCTACCTGGCCCCTATCCCAACACCTACCTGGGTCCTATCCCAACACCTACCTGGCCCCTATCCCAACACCTACCTGGGTCCTATCACAACACCTACCTTGCCCCTATCCCAACACCTACCTGTCCCCTATCCCAACACCTACCTTGCCCCTATCCCAACACCTACCTGGGCCCTATCCCAACACCTACCTGGTCCCTATCCTGGCCCCTATCCCAACACCTACCTGACCCCCATCCCAACACCTACCTGGCCCCTATCCCAACACCTACCTGGCCCCTATCCCAACACCTACCTTGCCCCTATCCCAACACCTACCTTGCCCCTATCCCAACACCTACCTTGCCCCTATCCCAACACCTACCTTGCCCCTATCCCAACACCTACCTGGCCCCTATCACAACACCTACCTCGCCCCTATCCCAACACCTACCTGGGTCCTATCCCAACACCTACCTGGCCCCTATCACAACACCTACCTGTCCCCTATCCCAACACCTACCTTGCCCCTATCCCAACACCTACCTGGGCCCTATCCCAACACCTACCTGGCCCCTATCACAACACCTACCTCGCCCCTATCCCAACACCTACCTCGCCCCTATCCCAACACCTACCTGGGTCCTATCACAACACCTACCTCGCCCCTATCCCAACACCTACCTGGGTCCTATCCCAACACCTACCTTGCCCCTATCCCAACACCTACCTGGCCCCTATCACAACACCTACCTCGCCCCTATCCCAACACCTACCTGGGTCCTATCCCAACACCTACCTTGCCCCTATCCCAACACCTACCTGACCCCTATCCCAACACCTACCTTGCCCCTATCCCAACACCTACCTGGGCCCTATCCCAACACCTACCTGGCCCCTATCACAACACCTACCTCGCCCCTATCCCAACACCTACCTCGCCCCTATCCCAACACCTACCTGGGTCCTATCCCAACACCTACCTTGCCCCTATCCCAACACCTACCTGGGCCCTATCCCAACACCTACCTGGCCCCTATCACAACACCTACCTCGCCCCTATCCCAACACCTACCTCGCCCCTATCCCAACACCTACCTGGGTCCTATCCCAACACCTACCTGGCCCCTATCACAACACCTACCTGGCCCCTATCCCGACACCTACCTTGCCCCTATCCTGACACCTATGAGGGGCGTTCAATAAGTTTTGTAACTTGGGCATTTGTGTTTACACAAACAATGTCAACTTGTGGCAGGTGTGACACTAGTCATAACATCAGGTTGACAAGTTCCAGACACAACAATAAGTTAGATGTGATGGCTTCATTCACCTAAGGGTGGTCACAATCATGGATTCTCTCAAACATGAACAATGCGCAGTAATAAAGTTCCTTACATGCTCCGGTTCACAAGTCAAGATTTGCACAGGCCGCCATATGTGAATGTGGATTCGAACAGTTAAATAACCCTCCCTACAGCCCAGACTTAGCCCCCAGTGACTATTTCCTGTTGAATGCAAATGAAATCTGCCCTATGTGGAAGACGCTTTCAGGATGACGAGGACATAAAGGCTGCCACAGAGGCGTGGTTGGAGGGCCGATTGCAGATTTCTATAAAAGTGGTATTAAAAGCTTGAAGGACAAATGGAATAAGTGTATTGAGGTGAATGGAGATTATATTGAAAAATAAAAGAACAAAAAATATTCTGCGACTTGGTCTTATATTGAAGTTGCAAAACTTATTGAACGCCCCTCATACCTGGGCCCTATCCCGACACCTACCTGGGCCCTATCCCAACACCTATGTGGCCCTGGACCCTAAAGTGACCCCTGCCCTGATCCTACCTGGCATGATGTGATAGTCTTTGAGGAGGCATCTTATTCCAGGAATATAATGTGTCCCCATCACGTGTTACAGATCTACAAGGATGGCATCGTGCAGGGCTCCAAACAACACAATGCATACGAGGATCTGAACCGGCGAGCTATTGATGCGGAGAGACGTCGCGATGAGGCGGAACTTAAGGTGGACACGCTGGAGTCTACACTGAAGCGGGAAGCAATGAAGTGAGATTTGTCATAAGGTCAAAGTGACCTACCATATTTCATCAAATAGTAAATCTGCACCTATATTTCTCAATTACTACCATACTCTCATTTGCATTGAATAGACATTTGTGTCTTGACAGGGGTTTTTTCAAATCCCAAACTTTATGAAGATGCTTTCACCTACAAAGATGCACTGTATTATACTTTTGGTATCACTTCCTTCCTCCCTTTGACATGGTCTTTTTGCACAGTGTCACTTGTTAATCTGCCTGGTTCCGTTGGTCATGGCTTCACCCTGATGATAAGTTGGTCAGCACCATAATCATGACCCTTATCACATTATGCTTTCCTCCTATATGAAGCTGCAGCATGGTTCAAAGTGGTGTTACCTTCTCTCTGACATCTCTCCCCTACAGCTCTGAGCAGCTGAAGGGCCAGCTTGAGTCCCAGCTGAGCGGGACGCGGGAGCGCCTCATGATGATGGAGCTGGAGTTTGAGAACCTGAACGACGACCGTGTCCGCTACCTCGATGAGATCGACAAGCTGAAGCGGCAGCTTCAGTCTGCCCAGCAAGACAAGGAGGCTGCGCAAAGGAAGTACAACAAGCAGGTGAGCGGTCAGGACATGATAAGTGTTTTTGTTTTATGATGGTCGTTGTTTAGTTTTTGTATGTTAAAAGTATCTTGTCTTTTATGTCAGCCTATTAGATTCTGACCTACTTGTTACAAATTATAGACAGCACAGGTTACCTAGTTGCTAGTGCCATGATTTGCTGTAAAGAGTTATGTCCCCTAGCCATGCAGGATCCACTGATCATGGGTTTGAATCCATAGACAGCCTTGTTTATGATCCTTACCAGCACCTTGCATGTGCTTGTGGGTTTCACAAAAGTGGTAAACATCTCCCACCTTCAACACATTTTGCTTCACTCCAACATTAAGCTGACACGACATGATTTAAGAAATGCCCAACAATGTGACGATGAATGTAGTAGCTGTTTTGTCCTCTGCAGTCGGTGATGATGGAGCAGGGGCAGCAGCTGAAGATGCGGGACTACGAGGTGAAACTGCAGTCAACGGAGGATGCCAACAGACAGACAATGCTGGAGCTCCGCAAACTCCTCAACGCCCAGCAGAGGATGAGTGCAAGGTAACAGCTCACTTTGGGCAGGGGCATCGGTCAGGGAGAGGGGACATTAAAATAAATACTACACACCCATTATTCATTAATACAGAAACAATTTATCAGGTTTTCATTTTCATACAAATCTGTGTCCGAGTAGAGAGACATGTCATAATGTCATGCCCACAATAAAGGCATGTCTACATCAGTCATATCCCTTACTGTATGTTTATTAGTTGAAAAAAGATCTTCACATATTAACTTCAGGTGGAAAGAGGAATGCAATACCATTACACAGAAATTTGAGGTCAAGGTGACAGATCTGAGGTCAGAGGTCAGCATGTTGAAGCGGAGAAATGAAGAGTTAACATCACTATTGAAGGAGAGTCAGGAGAAGACCATTGAGGTCAGTCAGGTTGTTTTGTGAACCGAATATGAGTGTTTGCTGCAGTCTGATAGGTGGAAAATGTTAAGTGTGAATTCAAAGGATATGAATAGTTTCTTGGTAAATATGGTTGTATTTCTCGGTACAAAAATTGGGTGAAACAAATGCTAACATTTTGAAAATATCTTAACACCCAATACCCCTACCCCAATCACCCACCTTACCCCTGTCCCTACACCCACCCAATCACCCACCCCACCCCTGTCCTCACTCCTATCCCAATCACCCACCCCACCCCTACCCTAATCAGCCACCTCAACCACCTCACCCCTGTCCTTACACCCAACCAATCACCCACCTCACCCCTGTCCTTACACCCACCCAATCACCCACCACCTCACCCCTGTCCTCACTCCTATCCCAATCACCCACCCCACCCCTACCCTAATCAGCCACCTCAACCACCTCACCCCTGTCCTTACACCCAACCAATCACCCACCTCACCCCTGTCCTTACACCCACCCAATCACCCACCACCTCACCCCTGTCCTCACTCCTATCCCAATCATCCACACCACCCCTGTCCTCACTCCTATCCCAATCATCCACCCCACCCCTGTCCTCACTCCTATCCCAATCATCCACCCAACCCCTGTCCTCACTCCTATCCCAATCATCCACCCCACCCCTGTCCTCACTCCTATCCCAATCATCCGCACCACCCCTACCCCAATCACCCACCTAACCCCTGTCCTTACACCCACCCAATCGCCCACCTCACCCCATCAACTGCAACAGGAAGAAAATAAATCCACTAAGGATTCTGAAAACATCTATCAGAGAAAAAGTTTGACACCTATTGCAGACATTGAAATTTCTAATAATGGAAACTCAAAGTGACTGCTCACAAGACAACACTGAACATGCTACTAAAGGTGGTAGTTGTGTGTTTGTGCAGGCGGAGCGTGTGATCAGCGAGTACACAAAGAACGTGAGGAGGATGGAGGACCGTGTTCGGGAGTCGGAGCAGAGGGCAGCCGAGTCGACCAGGAAGGTGAGTCTGTGTGTGGAGGGGATGGGGAGGATGGAGGACCGTGTGCGGGAGTCAGAGCAGAGGGCAGCCGAGTCCACCAGGAAGGTGAGTCTGTGTGTGGAGGGGATGGGGAGGATGGAGGACCGTGTGCGGGAGTCAGAGCAGAGGGCAGCCGAGTCCACCAGGAAGGTGAGTCTGTGTGTGGAGGGGGTGGGGAGGATGGAGGACCGTGTTCGGGAGTCGGAGCAGAGGGCAGCCGAGTCCACCAGGAAGGTGAGTCTGTGTGTGTGGAGGGGGTGGGGAGGATGGAGGGCTGTGCTCGGGAGTCAGAGCAGAGGACAGCCGAGTCCACCAGGAAGGTGAGTCTGTGTGTGGAGGGGATGGGGAGGTTGGAGGACTGTGTGAAATTTGTATAATATGTGTTTTATTCAAAACTAATTGCAACTATTTATACAATCGATTGTTTTGAATACTACTGGCATTTCAAAAGTCATACCGACATTGTATTATTGTAGAGCAAACAATTGCGATAGTTCAATATATCGTTTCACTCCTAATGTTTCGCCATGTCAACCACAAGCAGGTCACATGAGCAGCCTTGTGAAAGAAATAGAAACACTTTACGTGTTGGATATGGATATATTTATGTCATGAAATTGTGTATGTTTTTGCAGTTATCTCGGCATGTGGTACGGGAGAGACAGATGACGAGTGAGAGAGAGAGCTTATTGCAAGAACTCACTCGCAGTCACAGAGAGACAAACAGATCTCCCAGGTAGCGCATTACAACTAACACGTAGAGCTAATGACACAACATCAAGTAGTTTAGTAGCACTGAGGGCTCATGTTGGTACTACAGAAATCTACCCTAGACAAAATCCAAACACAGAAAAGTACCCAAGATAGTGATAGTGAAGTGTTGTTTCCCAGTCTAGGGCAGATAATCAAGTGGTTACAATGTAAGACCTTGCTAACCATATGTCATTATACCACAAAAACATTGATCTTTGTTTATTCTGTCAACCATTGGTTGTTTGTTGCAGACTTGATTATTGAACACTGCCATAGCACGGGTAAAATATTGCTTACTGTGGCATAAAACAACATTCATCAATCATTTGTTATATTTTATTTGAATTTTATTCGTTTTCCAGGGGCCAAAATATTTCCAACCTGAGTCACAGTGGCAGATTAGCAGAAAGTCTCCGAATGGCTGACATTTCTAACGGTCAAACAAACGGATCTCCAAGACAACATAGGCGTGATATTGATGACATGTTGTCCGAGAGATGATGTGACGTGACAAGACAGCATAGATCTCCCAGGCAACATAGCGGTGATATTGATGACATGTTGTCCGAGAGATGATGTGACGTGACAAGACAGCATAGATCTCCCAGGCAACATAGGCGTGATATTGATGACATGTTGTCCGAGAGATGATGTGACGTGACAAGACAGCATAGATCTCCAAGACAACATAGGGGTGATATTGACAACATATATAGATGCTATGCAAGCACTGTGTCTATAACCCAGTAGAGGAACTCAATGTTCTGTGTTGGTGTATGTCGTGCAGGGACAGAAATTAGCACTGGCCCACTAGCCCAGTTTCACTTCTGCCAAAGGTATCCTAAGGGCTAAAGTACTGCCGGAAATGCTAGAAAACTGCTCTTTGCCTGTTAAAAAAGGATATAATTTTTCACAGACTGTTGTTATTGAAATGTCGAGTACGTGAACTATCGCCCTACCTGTGGCTTCAAGTATTTCAGTCACAAGGAGTCCCTATCGACAAGTTTACGGGAGACAAATTCAAACGAAAACAGGAAGTTTATATTTAAAGTCCAATGATAGCAGTCTGAAACAGACTATAGAAATATGGGCATGTGACACCGTTATAATAATGTAGTCTTCATAAAACATCTAATCCACACACAAAAATCATTTTGAGAAAATTCTAGATTTGCATCTTCTAAAATGACAATATGACGCTGTGTTTGTTTTGTTAACATCTTTACATTTCAGAGAGACAGAGGGAAAACATTTATCAATTTAGATTGGGTGAACCGAACTGCCCAAGCTATATGGTTTTCAAATCATTCCATCAAGTCTATGGTATGATAATTAAAACAAAACAGGTATAGGGGTGGTCTCAAACACAAAACTGGGACGAAAAAGGATATTAGACAGCTTTGATACAGGGTGATTAGGCGTATAGTGTACAAGCTTTATGAGCAGAAGGTAACCCTGACTTGTAGTAGAATTTAGGAGGAATAAAAAATACAGTTAATGTTAACTGCACTAACTATTGCCCTCCAAGACATGGGATTTCGATACACTGCGCGTGGTGATGACCGAGCACTTTTCAGGGGAAAATATTCCATCCTATCTATGAGATCACATTATCTCCGCAACATTCATAACTATCACAGCCAGGGCGTCCAGATAATTCACCTTGATGAATCATTCCACTGACTACATGTGGCTGTCGGCAGATGGACAAAAAACATCCATGGTACCATCAGGTAAAGGTAATCGTGTCATTGTTTTGCACGCTGCAACCCACGCATTGGGGCTTATTGATGGATGTGTCCTAGTTTTCGAGGCGAAAAAGAAAACTGGTGATTATCATAAGGAAATTATAGGAGGTGATGTGTTGATAAACTGGTTGGAACTTAAGCTATTATCCATTTTAAACAATATCAGTGTCATTGTCATAGATAACGCCAGAATCAGATACTGTCGCCCAAACCATGAGTAGTCTGAAGGCGATCATACAGGAATATATGACATTGTCGACTTCAGACCATATGAAACGAAAGTAACTCATGGAGAAAATTCATCTAAATAAGAACTCTGTAAAGTACAGGACATATGTGCTGGCAGCACAACATGGTCACGTTGTCTTATGTACGCCAGTCAGACATTGTGAGTTAACCCTGTTGTGCCCATCTTGGCTAAGTGTAACGGGTTCATAGCAAGACATAACACAGCATTCAAAAGTACAGATTCATTTACGTCATCAACGGAGATAAATGCTACCTCAAGTAATCATCTGTAGAACAACAAATACTTCTGGATTCCAAAACTGCCATCTTCCAATACTCATCCCGTTTCATCGCTCTTAATTATTCCATCATGTTTCCAAGCAAGTTTAGTGCAGTACATATGCTTAATTTCTACCCAATCAACGCACATGTCAATTAAGTACAATAACAGCAATATTTGGAGACCACCCCCAACTCGGTGACATTTGCACCTGTGAGAATGCACGGGATGGTGTGAGGTCATCACCTCGGGACAGGTGTTAGGTAATTACGTCAGGTTATAGGCCATTTCATACATGCATGTCAACACACGAATATTTTCTAAGTTGATATCATTTTACCTGTAAAAGTACATTTTAGGGGTTATCACAGTGTCGGTTAGGACAGGCTAGATTAGGGCAATTTGCGTTATTTTGATTATATGCTCTATTTATAGTCCTATGACTCATATTAAGTAAATGAAGCCAGAAAAGCAGTCTTCAAGCATTTCAGACAGTACTTTAGTAGAATTTCGAACATTTTGGGGATGTTCCTGTATTTTATTATTCGGGCAAGTAGACTTTCAGGGTTAAATTCTGTCCTTGTCTTGTGTCACGGGCCAGGATCTACGTGGTTCCTTCAGAATCTAACAAAGAGGTGCTAGGGTCCACTAATAGTGCAGTCTTAGCAGTTTCCAGTACGATTATTCAAGCTACACCTTGTTTGTATGCTTTGGCTTAAAAAATAAAAGAATTGGTTCTCAGGCAATCAACCTGGGAAAGGGCCACCCTACATAAATGTTTTCCTTGATGAGTAAAATACTGGAATACAGTATTTGACTACCGTTGGACTTGGAATATTTAAGGATTTTTGGTTTTGTTTTTTTTCATAATGGAAATGAAAACGAAACATGCAGCGAACTTTATGATGATGTTGATGGTGCCTGAGAACCAAGACTATTATTTTTTTTCGCCTTATCAGTCTAGGTTATCACAACTGAAGACTCTGAACAGAGAGACGTCTTATTTTGACACTTAACACTGCCTTGACATCTGTTTTGAAGATGGGAAATAGAATAGTGGCAAATGTCTTAGCAGATTTTCTTTTATTTATTGCCTTCCTTTAAAGCTCTTTCATAATTGCAATTGTACCAAGAAATCAGTATTGAAAATTGAAAGTCGTATGATGAAACCAAAAAAGGAAGTTGCTCTTTTACCATGTTTTTTATATACTTAACCTGGGGCAACTTGACAACATTTAGGAAGCAGTGTTCTACATAACAACACTTAAGTGATCTGATTTTGTATATAATTATCTTGTAGAGGTCTCTATCTGGATGTAGGGTACTGTATTTTTACTGGAAGACATGAAAGATCACAACGATGTTAGTTACAAAGAACCATAACCCAACTCTGGATAATGTGATAAGATGGATACTTCTCATCAATTAGAAATGTGAATTTAAATCGAAGATGTTCATAAGAATGCTCCTTTGTTAAATCTATTAATAAACTGAAGCCATGGTGTAGAGAAAGGTGTGTTGATTGTTAAATGTGTGAAAGAAATGTGTGAAAGATGTTTGAAACATATGTACCGTATTCGACGTAATAAGCGCCAAGGGCGCTCTCAAAATTAGAATATTATTTTGGTGAAAAAAAAGGTTTGAAAGATAAATTTTGAGGTTTATGCTGACAGCCTGAAATGTTTATGTACGACAGATATATTTTTCCAGAATTTAATTGCCCATAATTAAGGGTGCATATAACGCACGAGTGTGTATTATACGCGAATAAATAAGTCTTGTGTACTTTAATCAATCGGAAGGGGTGCTAATTGGGATTGTTCACTAGCCAATATATTAGCAAATATCGCCGTGAACGCTTATTAGAGCAGGGCGCTAATTACGTCAAATACGGTAAGTTCTAAGTATGAGGCCTAACACACTAGTGTGGGTAACAGACAGCTAGGGCCTCAGCACTCTGAATGGACCGTGGCCGAAGAAGGATGCATCAAGGATTGTTCATCTGCCATATTTGGTCCCTGGTTCTCTAAGCTGAATCTCTATCAGTCATATATATTTTCCACTGTACTAACTGATGGCATGTGTTGGTCGTATCTGTGTGTAGATGCAATGTATGACACTGCCGTCTGCTATGTATCTACATATTTACTGGTGTAAGTGTGATACTGTACTCCGTCCAAACCAAAGTGTATTCCATGACATTAATATGCAAAATTCTCTGGTGTCTTGTACCGTATATCTACCTGCATCTTCCCGAGGCAAGAGAGTTAACTGACTATAAAAGTCCAGTTTCCACCCTTGCCGAAATAGGCTAGTATTATGGAGTTAGAGTTTGGCTGGATTAACGAGTCTATGAATAGTCCAATCAAAATCGTGCACCGAAATCAAAATCCGGTTCGTAAACTGTTGTTCAGATTTCGATCGATTGCAGGATTTGCAAAACATGTGCACCGCCAACTCGTCAGCAGATATTTTCCAAATCATTTCATGTTTTTAATCAAGGTGCTCACGTGATTTGATGCATTTCGCGATGTAAGACCCGTTTTATCACAATGTAGATCTTGGTTATAGATCAGATCATCCTGACTGGGCGCCACCATTGGTGGGACATAACTGGTAATAGCCACTGGTGGCACAACGATCGAGCCCAGTAATTCCAGTCTAGTTCGGCAAGGGTGGAAACTGGACTTTTAAAGTCAGTTAACACCCTTGCCTCAGGAAGATGATCTACCTGATGTTATATGTACATTCTCACATTTCCATGTTATCATATTCTGTTATCATATCAACTGGTGTATATAGGAAATAACAGCATGTATGGGATGTATTCTTAAATGGAAATAATACTCATATATATTGTTACATATATTTTGTGCCTTTAATTCTAAATGTACTAATAATATGAATAAAAAGAAAGCAATTACCTGATGTTTTGTTGTTTCTTACTAAATATCATTCTCTTGTCAGAAAAATGGAGATAGAACCAGATTCTTCCATTGTCAGACAGAAAGACTTTCCCACCAGTGACTTTTCTTGCAAGATAATTGGTCATTTATAGGGACTATGCACCTGACAGTCTATATTTGCTGTTTCAGTTCAGACTGACTGTCAAGCCATCAATAGGTTGTTCATACGGATTGTCAAGCCATGAATAGGTTGTTCATACGGATTGTCAATCTATGAATAGGTTGTTCATACGGATTGTCAATCTATGAATTGTTGAACTCTGCTGACTGCCGTGTAATGAATTGGTTGAGCCTGTTTACTGCCAAGCTATTGATTGGCCATGCATGTGGACTGTCAGTTCATGAATTTGCATACATTCTGACTGTCAATTTTTGAATTGGTCGAGCATGTTGACCTTCAAACCATGAACTTGTCATGCATCCTGACCCTTGAGTCAAATTGGACATGCAGGATGATTGTCAAGACTCAAATTGGACATGCAGGATGACTGTCAAGACACAAATTGGACATGCAGGATGATTGTCAAGACACAAATTGGACATGCAGGATGATTGTCAAGACACAAATTGGGCATGCAAGATGACTCAAGCCTTTAATTGGGAACGCATGATAACTTTTGCATACAAGATGACTGTCGAGCCTTAACTAGGCATACAAGATGACTGTCAAGCTTATAATTAAGAAATAAACGGCTCATCATTTATCGTACAATAAAACACTGCACGGAGACTAACGACTCGTGGTCAGATATCATTCAATGAAACACTGTAGGAGAATAAACCTATCAGAGCATGCTTGATGACTGTCAAGTGATGAGTTTGGCATGCTTGATGACTGTCAAGTGATGAACTGGGCATGCTTGATGACTGTCAAGTGATGAATTGGACATGCTTGATGACTGTCAAGTGATGAATTGGGCATGCATGATGACTGTCAAGTGATGAATTGGGCATGCTTGGTGACTGTCAAGTGATGAATTGGGCATGCATGATGACTGTCAAGTGATGAACTGGGCATGCTTAATGACTGTCAAGTGATGAATTGGGCATGCTTGATGACTGTCAAGTGATGAATTGGGCATGCATGATGACTGTCAAGTGATGAATTGGGCATGCTTGATGACTGTCAAGTGATGAGTTGGGCATGCATGATGACTGTCAAGTGATGAATTTGGGCATGCTTGATGACTGTCAAGTGATGAATTGGGCATGCTTGATGACTGTCAAGTGATGAATTGGGCATGCATGATGACTGTCAAGTGATGAATTGGGCATGCTTGATGACTGTCAAGTGATGAATTGGGCATGCTTGATGAGCATGTCTTGTGATGAATTGGGCATGCTTGATGACTGTCAATTAATGAATTGGGCATGCTTGATGACTGTCAAGTGATGAATTGGGCATGCTTGATGACTGTCAAGTTATGAGTTTGGCATGCGTGATGACTGTCAAGTGATGAATTGGGCATGCTTGATGACTGTCAAGTGATGGGTTGGGCATGCATGATGACTGTCAAGTGATGAATTGGGCATGCATGATGACTGTCAAGTGATGAATTAACATTTCTGCCATGTGCAGCACATACTAGGAACTATACCAGAAAGCTCAAGTTTACTGAATTTCTTTCTTCATGTGACCCTGAAACTAAAGTATTTATTATTTTAGCGGTATTTTCACATAGTTTCCTGGAGTTATCTCCCTTGAAATTACATGTGCGAGCAGTAACTGAAAAATGACATGGCTTTCATCATTAAGTCAGCGAAAACTATTCGGACCCACTGGAAGAAATCAACATTTGGTGCATGTCTGTGTGTGTATGGAATTCAATTTGCTAAAGAAAAAAGGGCGTAAGTAATGCAATGAACACGAAATATTACGTTGTATTTTGTTCGGTTTTCGATCATGCTAGTTCGCGCTATTCGTAACCTTTAGATGTCATACCGATTTCAAACGTTGCGTGTTTGTAACTAGCTGTAAATGGTGTGTCATTGGTGCGTCTCCTTTACATCACCTGTTCTGTATTATTCACGTACTGTAAACTGAACTGTGCCAATATCTGTATTTGACGAGTAGCTGGTTGGACAAGCACTAAACAGCTAAAGCCGTGGCAGTGCAGCAAATTGTAGCTGCAAATATGAAGCTCCACAACCTTCACTACGTTCAGTTGATAGCATGATACGCCAGTCTCACTCTCTCTGGACCTGTACATTAGACATGCGTTCTAAGGTTAAAATTTATATCATTATCGTCTGTGGATTTTTTTCTTCAGAGAGGAGTTGATCAGGAGGGCATTCTGTGCAGAGGCAGTGGTAATATATATACTTTGAACTATTACCAATCTTAATTATGTAAACAGTAATAATTGATTATTAAAATGAGACATCAACATTAATATCATTATAATATTGTTATGCCAAATATATGTTTTTAGAACTCTGTATCACAAAATGTTTAAATGGGATGCAGGCTAAAACGGCACCTCAGCAAAACGTCACCGATTTCTCAGGCAAAACGGCATCTTATCTGCTGGCAGAAATGGGAGATATATATGAAATATCCATAAAATTACTATTTGTTTCCTACTTACTCAAATAAATATTAAATATATAGTATACCTGTAGTCTAATTTCTTGACATTTCCGCCAGACTCAGTATCACCTTGACATGGAGTTAATTTGAGTAAAGGTAATCAAAGCATGTGATGTTTTCACAATAAGTTTAGTTGCGTCTCCCAATCAGAGTCAGCAAGTATTTCAGTACCAAGGTTAAAAAAAAATAAGGTGCCATTTTCGCCAGGCAATTGTAGCCTTTTTTGCTTTAGATGAGGTGAGGTTTTCGCCAATCGGTGCTGTTTTCGTTCGGTGAAGTTTTGCTGAGGTGACGTTTCAGCTATAACCCGTGCAAATGCATGACTATAGCCATGGTAGCCAGTGACCTCGTGCATCATAGAATTTGCTTATCTGAGGCACTGTCTTCATCAGCTGATGTTGAATGGCAACAAATACAACTTCAATCCTTAAGTATCATGAAACCTTGCTAAATTTGCTTAACTTGACAAATTAATGATTGTAGTTTTATATCATTTGTGAGATATCGCAAGTCGGCAGGGGTGGAGTTGATAGATGAGATATTGAATGCGGATGAAATGCTGTGTTGCTAAGGGTGATGCTGTGTTGCTATAGGTGATGCTGTGTTGCTATGGGCTCCCTTATTTTTAGTATTTTATCCAGTCATGATTAGTGTAAAAAGTTAAATACACTACATGTAACCATAGTGACCATGATTACAGAATATCCCCAAAGTGGGGATTCCAGGGCAGAAATGGTTCCCTCCACCAAACAGTTGGTGAAAGAGCTGGCTAATGAAGGTGTGTTTGTGTGTGTTTATGTAGTGAGTTAGCCTAGCGGTTTAAGTGTTGACTTGTTGCCACAGACGAGGTTCAATTTCTCATATGAACAATTTGCGAAGCCCATTTCTGGTGCCCCCTGCCGTATTGTGAGTGGAAAGTAGTTAAGAGTGGTGATCTCATGCTTATGCTTAGGAGAAATAATAACATGATAAAAAATCAATAAAACAACTGATTCTTTTTGTCTAGGAATATGGCAGTAAAATCCTAGGATTTAACGAGAAACCACGTCGAGTGACTGTCTTCCTCAACCCTGCAGTGAAAGGAGGGTACGTAGACACACAGGAAACTGTAACAAATGTTATATTTGGGATAACACTTTCTTAGTAAAGTACAGATTCTAGTACTTTTTGGGGGGTTGAGTCCCATACGGAATTCGAACCCACACTGCCTGAGTGAGACACCTAATCGCCAGCACTCAAAGTCAGCGATCTAACCCACTCAGCCACCGAGGCTTCCACAAAAATGAAAGTCCGCCAAGTGGTAGTCTAGATCACATACTTTGTGTACCCCTCTGACAAGTGTAAATTGGCACAGCTCCCATGGCCGATTAGGTGCCTCACTCTTGCAGTGTGGGTTTGAATCCCAGATGGGACTCAACCCAAAAGTGTTATCCCAAATATAACATTTGTTACACTTGACCACTTTCTAAATTGCATTGTGTGTTCACCCAGGAAACTGTTTATGAGGGCCAGGCTGTCATTCTGTTGAATGATGGCCTAGTGGTCTGAGGTGCAACATATTGGATCCCTTAGTTAAGTCAGGATCTCCTGGTTGTAGGTTCAGATCATTGCTGCAGTTATGATGTGGTTGGTCTGCCACAACCGCACCAATGTTCATGGATTGCAGGGGGCACGGGTGGCCCAGTCGTCCAAAGCGCTGCGATTCGCTGTGCAGAGTTGGGCACGCCAGAAACCTATGATTGTGGGTTGGAATCCCGGTTCGCCCCGATTATGTTTCTAGGTTTGTCAGCACCATACCCATGCTCGTGGGTTTCACCGAAGTGGTAAACGTCAGAGACCTGCATCACTTTGGGCTTTCCTCCCACATTAAGCTGACACGCTGCGATATAACTGGAATACTGTTAAAGGCGGCGTTAAAACTACTCACTCACTCACTCACTCACTCACTCACTCACTCACTCACTCACTCACTCACTCATGGATTGCACCAAGCTAAAACTACTCACTCACTCACTCACTCACTCACTCACTCACTCACTCACTCACTCACTCACTCATGGATTGCACCAAGCTGGGTATTATCTGTGAATGGGTTTGGGGCGTTCCTCTCTCAAATTAGCTGACACCCTGTGATACAACTGAAAAACTGTTCAGGAAGTGTAAACCCAAGTTTCTCAGTTACTGTGATGTTAACATGTCTGTCTGGCATATTTCCTTCTGCGTATCTCCTTTTCTCAATGTGTTTTCATACAGAAAGGGGACCAAACTATTCACCAAGACTGCTGCCCCCATCTTGTATCTGGCTGGGATGGAGGTGAACGTTGTCAAGGTATTGTGATTCATCCATCGGCTGTCACGTCTTCTGCATCTTCAAGGGTTCACATTAAACAGGAGGCTGCTAAATCAGTAAATGTGTTTGTTCAAATGAGAACTCTGCCCCTGCCCTAATTGGTTTTCTAATCACACACTTATTAGAGATGCATGTATATGATTTGTTTGTTTGTTTAATGCCGCACTCAGCAATATTCCAGCTATACGACGGCGGTCTGTAAATAATCAAGTATGGATCAGACGATCCAGTGATTGACATCATGATCATCGATCTACGTAATTGTGATAAGATGGCTGACAGCGAGCCTGATCACCCGATCCCGTTAGTCGCCTCTTCCGACAAGCATAGTCCCATTTATGGCAAGCGTGGGTTGCTGAAGACCTATTCTACCCCGGATCTTCAATGGTCGTATGTATATGAATATACCTGATATAATTCCTGTTTACTCCTGGGGAATACTCCTGACATATGATTGGATGACAGTGAAGGTCAAGGTATGAAAAGCTTGTGTACACGATAACATCAGTATTTATGAACGGAATTCGATGAAACTTAGTATGCATGATCTCTGAGGTGGGGTCTCAGTCACATCAACTTTCCAGTGACTTCCGTATAAGGTCAAGGTTACTAAGTGTCAAATTATGAAACAAGGTTCAAATTTCAAGAAACTTTGGATTAATTCCAGTGTGTTCATTAAACCAGAATTCTTATAATTTTGTTATTAAGGTAGCTAGAGGCATGGGACTGTCTGTCTCACAGTTGTACGGCACTGGGCATGTGTGAGGTCAACTGTCCGTATTGTCACGTGAGGTGTTAAAGTTAAACTGGTTCATGAGTGAGTGAGTGAGTTTGGTTTTACGCCGCTTTTAGCAATATTTCAGCAATATCACGACAGGGGACACCAGAAATGGGCTTCACACATTGTACCCATGTCGGGAATTGAACCCGGGTCTTTGGCGTGAGGAGCGAACGCTTTAACCACTAGGCTACCCGACCGCCTCTCTGGTTCATGATACATGTTTCTGGGGTAATCAGGAAAAGTGGGTATGTGGATGCTTCTGTTCGTGCTTGTAAATGCCTTTGCGGTTTTCTTTTTAATATTAAGTTCAGTAAGATTGGAGATCATTTGCAATTTGATGTGAACTGCTCCTTCAGAAAGTGGCGTAAGGATGGGTACCACAGGAGTATGGTTCAATAGATGTTTTATGATCTGGTGGCAAATTATTGTTGCTTTGTGACAGGTTAATCTTTCCATTTGTCCTACATGGCTGACATCATGTGTTTCTAGACGGAGTATGAAGGTCAAGTAAAGGAGTTTATCAAGGTCTTGGAGTCCCAGGACACCGACGCCATCATCATTGCCGGAGGTGACGGCACTCTGCTGGAGGTACGTGCATCTGTGTTGGTTGTACATCCATTATTTTCTTTGATCTCAACAGATTTATTGTTTGACCTTTTAAATCTCTGTATCCTCAATAATAAATGAACTTAATAACATAGGAGCAAAATGAATAAACAACATGTGGTCATTCATAGATCGCAGTTCATGATTGTTTGCTTTGAACCGCATGCCAATGTCAGAGCGGTACCTTTTGTTTTATTTTTGCTGTTGAACTAGTGATCTAGCCAATTCAACCAATCATTGTTCAAAGTTTCCGAAAGGTGGAAGGTAGCAAAATTGAAACTAGATTGACAATTGTTATCAACTTCGTTTTGACAAGGCCTTTTGGGATATATGTTTTGGATGTAAGTTATGGCAAAGGTTAAGTTATTTGTAGAGAATGGAATAAGGACTTAAACAGACATTCTGTTCCTGTTCCTGTTCCTGCTCCATCTCCCTGACTTGTTCTTCCTGTTGGCAGGCTGTCACAGGCTTGATGAGGAAAGAAGACAAGGTGAGTGGCATCAGTAGAACTTATCTGCTTGTGTAACTCTGTTTTCAGCTGACCCACACCTAAGTGGCATCTTGGCCTCACTGTGCCGACAGTGTCACACCTAAGTGGCACCTTGGCCTCGCTGTGCCGGCAGTGTCACACCTAAGTGGCATCTTGGCCTCGCTGTGCCGGCAGTGTCACACCTAAGTGGCACCTTGGCCTCGCTGTGCCGGCAGTGTCACACCTAAGTGGTATCTTGGCCTCGCTGTGCCGACAGTGTCACACCTAAGTGGCACCTTGGCCTCGCTGTTCCGGCAGTGTCACACCTAAGTGGCACCTTGGCCTCGCTGTGCCGACAGTGTCACACCTAAGTGGCACCTTGGCCTCGCTGTGCCGACAGTGTCACACCTAAGTGGCACCTTGGCCTCGCTGTGCTGACAGTGTCACACCTAAGTGGCACCTTGGCCTCGCTGTGCCGACAGTGTCACACCTAAGTGGCACCTTGGCCTCGCTGTGCCGACAGTGTCACACCTAAGTGGCACCTTGGCCTCGCTGTTCCGGCAGTGTCACACCTAAGTGGCATCTTGGCCTCGCTGTGCCGACAGTGTCACACCTAAGTGGCATCTTGGCCTCGCTGTGCCGGCAGTGTCACACCTAAGTGGCACCTTGGCCTCGCTGTGTCAACAGTGTCACACCTAAGTGGCATCTTGGCCTCGCTATGCCAGCAGTGTCACGCCTCAGTGGCACCTTGGCCTCGCTGTGCCGGCAGTGTCACACCTAAGTGGCATCTTGGCCTAACTGTGCCGGCAGTGTCATGCCTAAGTTGGCATCTTGGCCTCGCTGTGCCAGCAGTGTCATGCCTAAGTGGCACCTTGGCCTCGCTGTGCCAACAGTGTCACACCTAAGTGGCATCTTGATGGAATTATTGTGAGAGCCTTTATGTCCGCCTCTAATAAAGATTAAACTTCTTTTCGTGAATTCAGTTTTTAAATCTTTAAAAGTAAAAATGCTGGAATTGCATTGCTATGTGGTTGAAACAGCTGATGTGACATTACATTTTTATCAAATCACTCAAATTACTTCCATTTCCTTTCGCAGCACTTCCGGAACAATATACCTGTTGGAGTTATCCCCCTTGGCAAGACAAATCGGTTTGCCAAGTTGCTGTTTGGAACCGATCTGAATCAAGTCAGGTTAGCAGCTTGTCCTGTTTATTCCAGCTTGTAGGACTCACATGTACAAAAGCGTTCAAGTTATTCTTGAACAGGGATAACACAAATCTGTTGGAAGAAATGAAGATTGTTTATTCATCATAAGGCAAACAAATACTGTAAATCCTTATATTTATGCGAGCGTGAATTAAATGCGAAAAATGTGAGTGGTCTTCGCTCGCATTATTAAAGATCACATTTATATCAACAATAAGACATTTTGGATAGGAGAAATACCAACTTAGACATACGCTGAAAACAAACAACTATGTATTCCACATCACTGTTTATTGAGCAGCACTTGTTACAAGTATATAAACAATGTCATTCAAACACTAATCACATCCTGTGAATCGTCACTGCTGGGGTCAAGACAAGCGTTCTACTCACTCATGTCATCACTGATCACACCTGCAAGTCCAGACAGACGCCACCCAACACAGTGTCTTTGCTCTTTGCGACTGCATCAAAGGCCGACACGAGCCAGCCGCACGTATTGTTTTAGCTGAAGTACTCTACTCAGCGCTAATAAGCGGTGCTATTTGGTGTGTGATTGGATTAATGTAAGGTTGGATAAAGGTGAGGATTCTCCTGTAAACCTGACAGAGGACGTTTTGTTTTGATATAAATCCACTGATGCTTGAGAGGAGGTGTTGCATTCATATTGAGTCGCATTTTTGGCTAGGGGCCAGCGGTCGCATTCTTTTGGAGACACATTCATTTCACGTTTTACAGTATTTGGTCCATTCACCGACCTGTTGCCTATTTTAGAGTAAAGAAGTTGTTTCAGTGTCGAGTATGCAACTGCTATGTCCACTATTTCATGACCAAGCTTCTCACAATTAGACTATATCCCCTGCTCTCGATGCTCGGAGGGTAATGAAGGTGTCATGCATTGGGGATTAGTTTTTTTATTATGGGGAGGGAACTGGGCTTAGGCAGCTCCTGAGGAGGCCGACCCCACCCCGTTTTCTGAATTTAATCTGTCGTGAAATACATGACACAGAACTTCTGTTTTTGAACAGCTGCATCAGAGGTTATGTGGTACTAATAGTTTTATGTAGATCACGACTTGGATGGTATTGATTAAAATTCAGTGTGTGTTTGTTTGTTTGTTTGTTGTTTAATGCTGCACTCAGCAATATTACAGCTACATGATAGTGGCATGTAAATAATTGAGTCTGGACCAGACAATCCAGTGATCAGTATGTGAGCAATGATTCACACTGTGAGGGTACAAGAACAAGCCTTGACACATGAATCAATGAATGAAGGCAGTCAGTAGTATATTTATGTCCTTTATATCTCATGAGTGAGTGAGTGTTGTTTTATGTGACAGTTTGCAATATTTCTGGTTTATCGTTGGCATCTGGAGGTAGTCAAGTCTGGTGAGGGGTCACAGCAGGAGGAAACAAGGCTCTAGCCTCATCACTCATTTTAACCCCCAAATCCCCATTGCTGGAGGAGGTTATTGTTATGCCCAAAAATGTTTGACAAATTTGTTTTAATTTATAACTTTGTATGCATTACTCAATTGTATACTCACTCACTCACTCACTCACTCACTCCATTTCACCTCACCTGTTCCTTGTATTTTTTAAGTTAAGAAAAGTGAACTTATCTTTACTTCTATTTCCAGACTAATTGCCGAGTCTGCCATGGCGATCATCAAGGGAGAGACGAGCCAGTTTGACGTGATGAAGATAGAGGTGGGCATACAAGGCCACATCGTAATCTGACCCGCTGTGTCACACGGTGCATGGGTTGGTCCTGTGGGCTAAGGTCCTGCTATTTGGTGCACACAGTGTCTTCCCTTAGTTTGAATCCTAGACAAGCCCAGGTTATGACCCTTCGTTGTCAGCACCATACCTGTCCTCATTTATTTCATGAAAGTAGGACACATCTTAAGGCTTTCCAATCACAGATGGCTGAGAGACCGTGATATAATGCGAATACTGTTCAAAGCTGGATCAGACCCAACTCACTCACTCACTCACTCAATGTTTCAGTGTTTCACTCACTAACCCCAGGCTGTGAGATATCTTATCTGTTAAATCTCGGCTGATGTTAAGTTGATGTCATCACTCTGCTGTATCAATGATGCCACTTTGAAATGCAAACGGTGAAAATGAGTGATGCTGATGCATAAAATATTCTTACTTTCTTTTCAAATATTGTGCAACAACCGTATTCGACGTAGTAAGCGCCCCACTCCAATAAGCGCCCACGGCGATATTTGCTAATATATTGGCAAGTGAACAATCCCGATTAGCATCCCTTCCATCTGATCAATGTACACAAGACTATTCGCGTATAATACACAATCGTGTGTCATATGCACCCTTAATTATGGACAATTTAATTCTGGAAAAAATTATCTGTTGTACATAAACATTTCAGGCTGTCAGCATAAACCACGACATTTATCTTTCAACTCTGTTTTTTTTTCACCAAAATAATAATTCTAATTTTGAGAGCCCCCTGGGTAGATCCGGGGTAGAAATAGGTCTTCAGCAACCCATGCTTGCCGTAAAAGGCGACTATGCTTGTCATAAGAGGTGACTAAGGGGATCGGGTGGTCAGGCTCGCTGACTTGGTTTATGCGTGTCATCGATACCAATTGCGTGGATCGATGCTCATGATGCCAATCACTGGATTGTCTGGTCCAGACTCGATAATTTACAGACTGCCGTCATATAGCTGGAATATTGCCGAGTGTGGCGTTGAATATCAAGCTAACAAGTTGTGGTAAGATCCACTTATGTTTAGTGTAATATGATGCAGATATTTTGTCCTATGACTGTTGTAAACCAGTGACGCAGTATGGTGGCAGTGCAGTGGTTGTGTGTGGTGTACAAAGTCTTGTTGTTTGTGGCCGCAGGGGGAGGAGGGCAAGACCACGTATGCTGTGTCCGGCCTGGAGGTGGGGCTCTACCGAGATGCTGAGCAGAGGAAGCTGAAGTAGGTTACTGTGCATCTTCCCGAGGCAAGAGAGTTAACTGACTATAAAAGTCCAGTTTCCACCCTTGCCAAACTAGGCTGGTATTATGGAGTTACATTTTGGCTGGACTAATGAGTCTATGCAAAGTCCAATTGAAATCGCGCACCGAAATCGAAATCCGGTTCGTAAACGTCGTGCAGATTTCGATCGTTTGAAGGATTTGCAAAGCATGTGCACCGCCAACTCGTTGTCAGCAGATATTTTCCACATCTTTTCATGTTTTTAATCAAGGTGCTCACGTGATTTGATGCATTTCGCGATGTAAGACCTGTCTTATCACAATAGAGATCTTGATTATCAATCAGATCGTCCTGACTCGGCGCCACCATTTTGTGTGAAGGTAACGCAAGTGATGCGAGAGGTGGAATCTAATTGGTCTATAGGAGAGGCTTAGAAGGGACATAACTGGTAATAGCCACTGGTGGCGCTACGATCGAGCCCAGTAATTCCAGCCTAGTTCGGCAAGGGTGGAAACTGGACTTTATAGTCAGTTAACTCTCTTGCCTCGGGAAGATGGTTACTGTGTGGTGGTGGTATAGGCAAGCAGGTAGTGTGTTAGCTCACCTGATCTTTGGGGGATGTGTGCCCAGTGGTCTAAAGTGCCACTTCACAGTGCAGAGAAACATTGATAAGTGTCTACAGCAATTGTTCCATTTCTTCACAAAGGTACACTCCTATTGTATAGGGCTGTTGTTTAAAAGTGACTTCTCATAGTCGAGTAGTTTAAGAGGCCATCAAGTTCCTCAGTTGTGGTAAACCTGTGATGATCCGGGGTATGATAGGTCTTCAGGAACCCTTGCTTGCCATGAGAGGCGACTATGCATGTCGTAAGAAGCGACTAACAGGATCGGTTTTGGCCAGGCTTGCTGACTTAGTTGATGCATGTCATCTCCCAGTTGTGTGGATCGATGCTCTTGATTATTTACAGACTGCCATCATACATCTGGAATATTGCTGAGTGTGTTGTTAAACAAACATACAAACACACAAACAAACAAACAAGTCATGGGAAGTTCCAGTTATGGTCAGCTGTGATCTCAGATTGACCCTGATTATGATTCTTGGTTGCCAGCCTGACACTTGTCCTTGTGGATCACACCAAATGGTGTATGTCAGTGACCATTGTAGCCAATGGCTTGCCAAGACTATAAATAAAATATTGTTCAAAGCAGCTGTAAACTTACTCAATCAACTTTTAATAGTACTGCTGCTTTAGCCTGAGCTTTAATCATTATCATCTGTCATCCATCATCAGTAGACATTGCATGGTGATTATTTTGCAAAGTTTTAGGCCTTCTGAAAAGATGACATCATTGACACGTAGTATAGCATCATTGGCGTATCAACATGTATTATCATGGTGATGATTTTAGAGAATAGCCAAGGAACTATGAAGAATGACAGATTATTTTCCCGGGTCGTTCATACACAAGGAGGGGTCGGGTAGCCTAGTGGTTAAAGCGTTTGCTTGTCACGCTGAAGACCCGGGTTCGATTCCCGACATGGGTACAATGTGTGAAGCCCATTTCTTATGTCCCCCGCCGTGATATTGCTGGAATAGTGCTAAAAGCGGCGTAAAACCATGCTCACTCACTCACTCATTCACAAGGGACACATAATCCATAACTCCAAGTTTCTAATTGCATCTTCTATATATACTCACCGACAAAAGAAACGCGAACACCTCGCTTGTTGGTTAATATATGAAGAGTTCGTATTCCAGAGATATTAGATTGGTTCGATGCACTAACGAACATTATGTAATGTTGTGTTAACCAACCCTCATGAACAACTCACATGTGAACTCATAGACCCACGACTCGATGCACCATTTGTCTCGTGCAGGATTAGGGGGGGTCGGGTAGCCTAGTGGTTAAAGCGTTCGCACGCCACATCGAAGACCCAGGTTCGATTCCCGACATGGGTACAATGTGTGAAGCCCATTTCTGGTGTCCCCCGTCGTGATATTGCTGGAATATTGCTAAAAGCGGCGTAAAACCATACTCACTCACTCACTCGTGCAGGATTAGTTTGGAAATCACGTGCAGCATATCGTGATAAGAATAAAAACACTCTGTGGTACCTCTTGTGGTTAGTTTTTTCATTAAAAAGTACACATTGGAAACATCTCTTCTTAACGTACATACTTCTCTATGTGTTTCTTATGGTTGCGTTTCTTTTGGCAGTGAGTATACTACTCATGTCTACCCTACACAGCAACATCTTCTATATATTACTTATTGGCATTTCAAGAAAGAAACTGAAAAAACGTATATAAAAGTCTTCCCTACACAGAAACATCACTAAAGTCATCTGATTGATTAGATGATGTTGTGTTATCAATATTGTTGATTTCATGAACAATGACATCACATGTTATTATTCTCAACAGTGAAGCAGTGTGACATCCCATTGTTTCGAATGTCCAATCAACTTGTGATTTGTGTAAATGCACATAGAAACTGGTAGGTTACTACAGACGATCTTTCTACCCTTTCAAATGGGTATTATGCCATGTTTACTTGAAGTAGAGCACCATCAACTCTGGGTTCCAGGAACTGGTATTTCGGTCCACTGAAGCACTACTGGACATACATCCGGACCACTCTGAGGAACGACTGGCCGGCCACCTTCAATGGGAAGATGACATACGTGGAGGCCACACCAGAGAACACCAAACTCGTGGCTCCCAAAGTGGAAGCGCCGCCGAAGTCCCGGACGTGGAGCTGGCTGGGTTTGCTGTACAACCAGTCCCCTAAACCTCCTGGTAACAATGGTTATTTTGGCTGATTGGTCCAATAAATCTGACAAATTTGAAATTTGTAGAAGACTTAAAGAATTGTCCTTAAATTCATTGATCGAAAGTCATATCAAGTGAATAATTGTCCTTGTAATAATTTTTAGTTGCATTAATAACATCAATTCCAGATAAGAAAAAATGTTTGGAAAATGTATTTTTTATTAGAAAATTGCAAGATGTCGGTCCTATTGTATGGGAACCTGCTTTTATTGTCATTATGTTGATGTAGATGAGACAGCGTGGTTGTAAATAGAGACCAAACATTGGATTAGTCGGCTATGTCTGCCTAGGAAGGACAGCATCAGTATTTACATTGACGTTCACAACACGAGTTTCTGGTTCAGCTGTACCAGGCCTACCTAATCTTATAATGCTGTCTTGAGACTGTATAGTAACTACAATGTCCATTCTCTCTCTTTCTAGTGGCAACAAGTGACTTTGTCATGGACAGCTCTGCAGATGCTGAACAGGAGAGAGATATCTCTGCAGTCGAGCTTACCATCATGTCTTCCAATTACAAGAAAGAGGTAATCCCTTCCAAATAAATTAACATTTTTTATTTTTTTAATTTGGAAGAAAGATTTCTTGTTTAAGAGTTTGTTGTTTAATGCCGCAATATTCCAGCTATATGACAGCACTCTGTCTGGTCCAGACACATTTATTTACAATCCAATGATTGACATCATGATCCACGCAATTGGAATATGTTGCCATGCATCAACCAACTCAGCGAGCCAGACCACCCAATCCCATTAGTCGCCTCTTACGACAAGCATAGTCGCCTTTAAAAGCAAACATGGGTTGCTGAAGACCTATTCTGACCCAGATCTTCATGGGTCTTATTCTTAGAAATGTACTTCCTTTTCTTAGGTTTAGAAGCCCAACAAGATGGCGAAGGCCTGGGATTATATACTACTATGTCTCTATAAGAGCTGCCATCAGTTGATATTTCAACAGATGCTGTATGTTGCTTGCAGGAAAAGTGATGTGTTACCAAAGACTGTTCTAATAAATTGTGGGCGGCTGGGTAGCCTTGTGGCGTTCGCTCGTCACACAGAAGATCCGGGTTCAATTACCCATATGGGTACAATGTGTGTAGCCCAGCCTGAAATGGCATGAATATTGATAGCGTAAACCCACACTCACTCATTCTATTATATGTACCATGAGATGAGTAAAGGACATCACGCCACAATGGGAATAAGGGGAAATAACTCCACACATTCTGGGTCAGGTGGACTACGAAGTAGAGCCCTGCTGTAGATCGGAGTAGATATATGTCACTGGTTTGTTGAAAAGGCTCTTTTATACACAAGATTGATGTTTCAGAATGCAGTCCCATCATTAGCGGTTGGCATTGGACCTAAAGAACCTGGCCGACAGGAGTTAATATCGGAAGGGTATGTCTTTTGAAATACTTGCATAAATGTTTTGATGCAGCAGTACAAAAATTACAGCCATGTTCCGGTGTTCTGTAAATAATAGAGAAAACAACCATAACAAGACGGAGCCCAGTCACATTCACAGCCACGTCACAGCAACCTCCATTTTGGTTGACTGTGACTTCAATTTTGTAAGAGTTTATTATTTTTACAGTATTTGAATTCTTAAGTAAAAATAGATCGAGGAAATTGGTATAATTGAAAGTATTTTGTTTGATTAAAAGCTCTACATCCTAATGATATTCTGTGTTTCTCATCAGATGGAGGAGAGTGAAGGAAAGGGACACAACTCTTCCCCTGGGAACAGACTCCAATGAACAGATACATGTGAAATCTCTGCATCTTGTGCCTGATGAAGAAACTGTAAGTTGTATATTATCTGGGTCTTAAATGACATTTATTAGAAGTCCATATTGGACAATAATATGGAAAGAAGTTGATCGCAAATGATATTTTTGTGTTTTAATTGTTTCTTAGGTTTCATTCTATTATATATCATGATATGACCTTTTGAAGAAATAACGCCTCCATGGTCCAGTGGTAGAGCGTCCGCCTGGAGAGCAGAAGGGCCGGGGTTCGATCCGGGCCGGGGTTCGATACCAAAAGATGTTAAAAGATGGTACTTGTTGTCTGACATTTGCCATTAAGGGGCTAAAAGGAGGACTGTGTCTGAGTGGGGTATTCATACCAATGCTCTTGTATTGAACTCTAATTTAGTGAAAATCTCACATATGCCTTTGACAAATCTTTGATGCTGATCAGTGATTTTTTCAAATGTAACAGGTAAAATATTATGACGCATGCAATCATTAGGGGCATGTATGGTTGAAGACACCATAATCTGCTTTGCAGAGTTGCAGCCCTTAGCTGTTCCAGGATCCACTGATGCCACATTTGCATTGATTACGAAACTAGGTATAATGCATCAGTTTCACAAGTGGTAAACATATACAATCTGTCACTTTGGCCTTTGCTACCACTGAAGCTGAAATAAGCCGTGTTAAACCCATCGTGTTCCCTCACCTTGACCTCTCCTTTTCAGTGCGAAGGTCAGTGGTTCAACATCGACGGGGAGGCCTTTGAGGCAATGCCAATCACAATCAGCCTGCTGCGCAACAAGCTGCGCGTCTACTCCCAACCCGTCTCGGTCACATGATGTTCATCTTGTCCTAGTTCTCTAACTTACGGAATGACACGGAACAGGTGCACCTTGAAATGTGAACAACTGATGTCCAATATAGCCTCAGGGGGATGTCAGAGGTCACCAGGAAGACCTGTGTGCATATCTTGTGTTGATATGTGATTGTACAGAATATCTCATGAAGGATTGTTGTGGAAGGCAGAGAGATTATCATACATTATCTATACTGGTGTGTGTAGGTACAAGCTGTTGGCCTACAGCAGTCTCTATACTGGTGTGTGTAGGTACAAGCTGTTTGCCTACAGCAGTCACGATACTGGTGTGTGTAGGTACAAGCTGTTTGCCTACAGCAGTCTCGATACTGGTGTGTGTAGGTACAAGCTGTTTGCCTACAGCAGTCTCTATACTGGTGTGTGTAGGTACAAGCTGTTTGCCTACAGCAGTCTCGATACTGGTGTGTGTAGGTACAAGCTGTTTGCATACAGCAGTCTCGATACTGGTGTGTGTAGGTACAAGATACTTGTGTGTCTATATGTGTGTTGTAGCCCTGCAAAAATATGCATAGATAATTTAGTGTGATTACTGTGAAAAAATACAAAACTCAACGTTTCTTTTTCAGTAATGATTTACTTTAAAACTGTGTATGTATACAATATCAACCATTAAATATGAGTATGATTTGAAGCATTGCACAAATTGGTATGGAAGTCGGCGTCATGGTAAGAGTACAACAGGCACCATTTGTACATAGTATACAAAATACATCTCAGTAAAATAATACACAAGGTCATGCTACTCTGTCATGTTTGGGACGTCAAGTGAAGACTATACTCTTGGTGTCTACTTCTCAAAACAAGTTCAAGGACACTATATTAACGGTATTATGGTAAATCTGTCATTGCATGATAGATTAACCATAGTAATATGAAAGAGTGAGTGAGTATGGTTTTACACCGCTTTTAGCAATATTCCAGCAATATCACGGTGGGGGACACCAGAAATGGGCTTCACACATTGTACCCATGTCGGGAATCGAACCCGGATCTTCGGCGTGACGAGCGAACGCTTTAACCACTAGGCTACCTGACCGCCCCGCAATATGAAAGAATTGAGTGTTCCTTAACTTCATTTGAGTAGTATATATGTGCAGATCTATCATCATCCATCGCATAAAAAATGGACTCGTCTGAATCCATTATTAATTAAACCAAGATTTGAAAATTCTGTTTAAAATTAGGTAAAAATATTGGATAAGACTATTAGTAACTTTAGCAGGCATATATAGCCTCCATCTCTATGAATACACAATTTTGTATTTATCAAGAAATAAGCACGATTAATTGTTGGATTAAAATTATTATGTTGTGAAGTATTTACATTTTCTATGGGTGACAGTTGATGGTTTGCAAATTGAGGTATCGAATCGGTCATATCATGATACGCATTTACTGTAGATTCTCTATCATCACTTCAGCGAGTTATTCTGTAATCAGCAACATTTAAGGCAGTAAAAAAATAATCAAGTCGGGGCCAAAGCTGACAATCGTTGACTGTACAAACAGATATTTGTTTTGTCTCAACCAGATCACAATGTAAACAATAAATACAGCATCAGACTAAATAGTCTTGCCTTCAAGTTATCTAAGTGATGTTGCTGGTTGTGGCGGACACAAATATTTTGATCAGTGCATTTGGTAAGTTTGTTTGATCTAAACTGCTTCATTTGTGTCTAGGTAACCATGGTAACCATGGTAACCCATTTCCTGTGTGACTATTCTATATCCTGGAAGGAGGACATTTGAAGATATGTTTTGTGAGAGACCCACCATTGATAGGACTCTCAGGGACCCACCATTGATAGGACTCTCAGGGACCCACCATTGATCGGACTCTCAGAGACCCACCATTGATCGGACTCTCAGGGACCCACCATTGATCAGACTCTCAGAGACCACTGTTGATCGGACTCTCAGGGACCCACCATTGATCAGACTCTCAGGGAGACCCACCATTAATCGGACTCTCAGAGACCCACCATTGATCGGACTCTCAGAGACCCACCATTGATCGGACTCTCAGGGAGACCCACCATTGATCAGACTCTCAGAGACCCACCATTGATCGGACTCTCAGAGACCCACCATTGATCGGACTCTCAGAGACCCACCGTTGATCGGATTCTCAGGGACCCACCGTTGATCTGACTCTCAGGGACCCACCATTGATCAGACTCTCAGGGACCCACCATTGATCGGACTCTCAGAGACCCACCGTTGATTGGACTCTCAGGGACCCACCATTGATCGGACTCTCAGGGAGACCCACCATTAATCGGACTCTCAGAGACCCACCATTGATCGGACTCTCAGAGACCCACCATTGATCGGACTCTCAGAGACCCACCGTTGATCGGACTCTCAGGGACCCACCATTGATCAGACTCTCAGGGACCCACCATTGATCAGACTCTCAGAGACCACTGTTGATCGGACTCTTACATACACCATCGACTAGCTTCCTGCTTTCCTACCCTAGACCTCCATGGAACAGAACCTACGGCAGGCAGCTGACCAGGAAGGGAGTGCCCGAGGGACGTACATGTACCACACGGTCCTGGCATGAGTAGCACCCAACTTTCACAAATATGTAGTGGATAGATGGCCAACCAGGGAGCAGAAGGTCGGGGGTTCTATCCACGACCACGTCATACAAAAGGATGTTAAATGCTGTTTCCCTGCCTGGCGTTTGTCACTGAGGGGATAAAACAAGGACTGGTCTGCTCCGATTCAATATACTGTGTGGGGTATTCATTTTGAAACATGGTACATGAGTGGGCCAGCACTATAAAACCGGCATCAGTCCAGGCTAGTACAAGCAGCCACACACATGCATCTAATCGCTATACGATCGCAATAATCTTTAACGTGAGGTTAACCTTCACCTCACTTCACAACTATGTCTTTACTAATCTTCAACTCATTTATGTAGACCAGTAGTTCTGTTTGAATCAGTCTTCCCGACCATGTTGTGACAAGTGCAATATATAGGATATATATGGTGGTGGCACGTCTGAGTTTTAGCATTGCTACAAAAATAATGAAGGCACTTCGGAAGACATACATATAAATATTAGGCACATGATGATACAATAACATTGTCAGTACTATATATGCATTCAAAGCAGTGGTTTGGCACAGGTTATATACAGGTACATAACAAAACGTGACATGGGTAAAATGCATTTCTTTGGCAACAAGGTGTGCACAAGTTACAAGGTGGTATAAAACAGATCCAAGATCTAAAATGGATTTGAACAGATTATATTAAGAAACGTCATAAATGTCATGTTAAAAACGTGTAACTACTAAAACTGTACATTTTCACAAAAACAAAAAATGTATTTACACACATTCTCCCTGTACACTCAAATACTCACTCACCAATATTGAATGTTGTTGAGTGTCGGGTTTGAACATTAGTTCAGTTTCCTCACGGCATGTCTGCTTCACAGCATGTCGGCCCAAACTGACGCAGATCTGTTTCAGTTTCATGTTGTTTGACGCTGCACTCAGCAATATTCCAGCTATATGACGGCGGTCTGTAAATAATCGAGTCTGGACCGGACAATCCAGTGATTGACATCATGAACATCATTCCCGCAATTGGGATACGATGACATGCTTCAACCAAGTCAGCAAGCCTGACCACCTGATCCCGTTAGTCGCCTCTTACGACAAGCATAGTTGCCTTTCACGGTATGCATGGGTTGCTGAAGACCTATTCTACCCCGGATCTGCACGGGTCGACGCAAATCTGTAACGTTTACCAGACTGGGGAAACCCATGAGCACAAGTATGGTGCTGACAAACCAAGAAACATAAACAGGGTGAACCGGGATTCAAATCCACAATCATAGGCTCACATTCAAGGCTACCAGCGCCATCAACAAACATCTAACTGATGCTCGTCATAGTTCCAGAAATGTAGACAGTGTGTAATCTATAATCTGGGAAAATGTGTCTTTGTGGTCGGGAAGCTTGTGGTTACTGCTTACAAGAAAAATAAAATGATTTTATACATAATCACCTATCCACGTTGTGTACTACAAGGCCGACCCGTGAAGATCCGGGGTAGAATTGGTCTTCAGCAACCATGCATGCCATAAAAGGCAACTATGCTTGTCGTAAGAGGCGACTATCAGGATCGGGTGGTCAGGCTCGCTGACTTGGTTGATGCATGTCATCGTTCCCAATTACGTGGATCGATGCTCATGATGTCCATCACTGGATTGTCTGGTCCAGACTCTATTATTTACAGACCGCCGTTATATAGCTGGAATATTGCTGAGTGCAGCATCAAACAACGAACAAACAAACAAAACTATGATGTCATACAAGGCCAGACCAAATTATTTTCTTGTTTACAGAAATTTACCTTTAACTTTTTATTTGTTCCAAACATATGACAGCAGCCTATAAATAATTGGGTCTGAACTAGACAAACCAGTGACTGATATTGTGAGCAACTCGCCATGCCTTGCCATGTGGTATAATGACCCGATCAGCAAGATCACATGATAGGCCCAACTACCACACCCTCGTTGAAGTCCACTCTGTGAATAGCAGTCATTGCTACAAACTATTGTGACTTCACACACTGCTCCAATAAGCACACCCTGACATTCCAGATCATTTGTAATGACTCATAAGTAAGTGCCCCTGTATAAGAACGAAGCTTTACATATTTTCTTGTGTATGTTGGTTGGTTGGTTGGTTGGTTGGTTTGTTTAACGCCGGACTCAGCAATATTCAAGCTATATGACGGCGGTCTGTAAATAATCGAGTCTGGACCAGACAATCCAGTGATTGACATCATGAGCATCGATCCAGGCAATTGGGATTGATGACATGCATCAACCAAGTCAGCGAGCCTGACCGCCCGATCCTGATAGTCGCCTCTTACGACAAGCATAGCATGGGTTGCTGAAGACCTATTCTACCCCGGATCTTCACTGACATCTTGTGTATGTAATAGAAAACAGTTGTGTAAAAGGGGCATATAATAGCATTAGAATTATTATTGAAAACATTTTAGTTCATCCACATTTGAACTCGCTACCGCACAATTTCTGAAAACATATTTACCTTGTGGATGGTTTTATTACGTGCCCCCTTTGTCAGTTTTCAAAACGCACAGTGTGCTGATTTTAGTGAATACGGTATTTCTTCCAGGAACCTGGATATGCTAAATGTTAACACCCTCCATTTACAGCACCAGTCATACACATACATGTATTCTAACATCAGTCTCGGCGATACCACTCTAGAACAGACATGAGTATATATCAGGTCACACATTGCTTCCAGTAGAGTCTCGGGTTCCATGTTATGATAAATTGTACAGTGAAAGTCAAGCTGAAAGATTTGACAGCAGACGTGTATACCATGGACCGTTCAGTACACGTTCACACAATGGGCCATTCAGTACACACGTCTACACGATGGACCGTTCAGCAGACCTGTCTATATGATGGACCATTTAGTACACCTGTCTACACGATGAACCATTTAGTACACCTGTCTACACGATGAACCATTTAGTACTAACATGTACATGATGGACCGTTCAGCAGACCTGTCTATACGATGGACCGATCAGCAGACGTGTATACGATGTACCGTTCAGTACACGTTCACACAATGGGCCATTCAGTACGCACATCTACACGATGGACCGTTCAGCAAACCTGTCTATATGATGGACCATTAAGTACACCTGTCTATATGATGGACCATTAAGTACACCTGTCTACAAGATGAACCATTTAGTACACCTGTCTGCACAATGGATCATTTAGTACACCTGTTTACACGATGGACCGTTCAGCAGACCTGTCTACACGATGGACCGTTCAGCAGACCTGTCTAAGCGATGGACCGTTCAGCAGACCTGTCTAAGCGATGGACCGTTCAGCAGACCTGTCTACACGATGGACCGTTCAGCAGACCTGTCTACACGATGGACCGTTCAGCAGACCTGTCTACACGATGGACCGTTCAGCAGACCTGTCTACACGATGGACCGTTCAGCAGACATGTCTAAGCGATGGACCGTTCAGCAGACCTGTCTACACGATGGACCGTTCAGCAGACCTGTCTACACGATGGACCGTTCAGCAGACCTGTCTACACGATGGACCGTTCAGCAGACCTGTCTACACGATGGACCGTTCAGCAGACCTGTCTACGCGATGGACCGTTCAGCAGACCTGTCTAAGCGATGGACCGTTCAGCAGACCTGTCTAAGCGATGGACCGTTCAGCAGACCTGTCTACACGATGGACCGTTCAGCAGACCTGTCTACACGATGGACCGTTCAGCAGACCTGTCTATGCGATGGACCGTTCAGCAGACCTGTCTAAGCGATGGACCGTTCAGCAGACCTGTCAACACGATGGACCGTTCAGCAGATCTGTCTACGCGATGGACCGTTCAGCAGACCTGTCTTAGTGATGGACCGTTCAGCACACCTGTCTACGCGATGGACCGTTCAGCAGACCTGTCTACGCGATGGACCGTTCAGCAGACCTGTCTACGCGATGGACCGTTCAGCAGACCTGTCTACGCGATGGACCGTTCAGCAGACCTGTCTACGCGATGGACCGTTCAGCAGACCTGTCTACGCGATGGACCGTTCAGCAGACCTGTCTAAGCGATGGACCGTTCAGCAGACCTGTCTAAGCGATGAACCGTCCAGCAGACCTGTCTACACGATGGACCGTCCAGCAGACCTGTCTACACGATGGACCGTTCAGCAGACCTGTCTACACCATAGACCGTTCAGCAGACCTGTTCCGCGATGGACCGTTCAGCAGACATGTCTACACGATGGACCGTTCAGCAGACCTGTCTACACGATGGACCGTTCATCAGACCTGTCTACGCGATGGACTGTCGATGGGAGGCATCCTCTACATGACTCTGGGGGTACAGGCCGGTTGTACCATCTGCTAACATCCCAATACACCAGCCTGGCCGACCTATGGCCTGCAATTACAGTGCAAGACATAACATTATTTGCAAAGGTTGATCAATAAGTACATTTACATATTATATTTGAAATTGGTTAAAACTAACCGAACAGACTTTCTTTTTGACTAAGTCGCATCTTTTAGGAATATACCAAAATTCACATACCACTCCACAAATGAAAAGAAAGGGCATGTAAAGTTGCAATGCAATGATGTCAAAGTGATTGAATGTTTAACCTTGCACTCAAATTGACCACAGCCAAAGAATTCAGTCCTTTGATTGTTGTTATTTATAGATTGAATATCTATAATCAGTGGACTCTGATAAGACGAACACAGTTCACTACAGCACTTCAGGTCACTGGAACATCCAAGTCCGCAACCTTAGCCACTAGTCCAAAGGTTTTCTTGTATAACTTACTTTGCTCATTTCCTTGATAAAACTTCCTTCTTCAAAACTTAGCTCCCCCTTGCCCTCAGGCACATGGCTCTTCACTGCTCTTCGCAGGGTCTTCTTCTTATTGGCACCCCTGTCAGGAGCAAAAGTGAGTGAGTAAGTGAGTATGGTTTTACGCAACCTTTAGCAATATTCCAGCAATATCACAGCAGGGGACACCAGAAATGAGCTTCATACACTGTACCCATGTGGGGAAACGAACCTGTGTCATCGGCATGATGAGAGAACACTTTAACCACTAGGCTACCCGACCGCCCCTCAGGAGCAAAAGAATATTATGGATATTAGTTTGGAAGACATGCTATATCAAAACATGGTAGTACTTTTAAATCACATTAAGTGAAATAAATTAAGAATAGATAAATAAAAGCAACAAAACCCCTTCCATTGTACGATTCTGACATTGCTGGAACATGATTTGTTTGGTGTAAGATGGCAGCCTGTAAACAATTGAGTCTGGACTAGACAAACTAGTTCTGCGCCTGTGGAATTTATATAAATATATACATAATATTTTTTTACTAAACGCCTAGGCAAGTCTAGATCAAACTAAACCAAGTCTAGTTTCCTTGATTCCACTATGAAAACAGCAGAAGACGAAAGATTCTTTTGAAGAAAAGAAAAAGAAAAATTATTTTAAAGAAATATTTTCATTGACTAAGTGTTAGTCTATAGACAAACCAGTGACTGGTATTATGAGCAACGGGCCATGCCTTAGTGGCATGTTGACACACTACTAATAAAGTCACCGAACCTGATCGACTTAACCAATGTGTATGACAAGCATAGGCTGCTGGTGACCAAATCTAGCTCAGAATCCCCAAGGATGTCTGGACTATTAAGTGACAGTGGTGTCCTATCATTAACAGACCAACAGGGCACAAGGACACTGAAATACAATCTGAGGTTTAGTTCCAGGTGTTGTAACTGGTACCCTGTGTGAAACCGAGACATGTCTCCATGTAATTAGGGTATTCAAAACCTGTTAGGTTGACACATATCATAAAATTAGCAGGAAAGTAATCTTTTCTACTTGAATCAAACTTGCAAAGATTGCAATTTTACCTACTTAGACCACACCTTTTTAATTTTATGTTTCACAGATTTATTCCAGCTTTTCCACACAAGGTCGGTTAAAATAAAATTAAAATAAATAGCTATGTCAGTCATTTATTTTTTATATAAAAGTCATTTAAGCATTGAGTTAAAACCGTAACTGGCTTCTCGAATCACTGATGTAGACATGGAATTTATATATAACATTTTATATTGTATAAGAGGGTGCATATTACTAGCAGGAGACATAATAAAAATAAATATTTTTATGTTTCATTTATTTCTTTTCCAGCTGCTTTTCAGTAGGGGTGGTGAGCCCATGAAACAAACAATATATTTTAAGTGTGGCCTTAAGTAGTTTCAGTTAACAGGACACCAATGAACATATGGAGACAACAACTACACTTACTCTCCATCTAGGTTCACCAGCCTCTGGGTTTTGGATGGTGGGGATTTGGGAGGCGGTGGTCTTGCAGGAGGAACTGGAGACCGTTCCTTCCTGGGTGAACGTGGCTTCTTAACAGGAGGGGTTGGTTTTTCTGGCACTGGCACTGGAGGCTGATCATCCATGCTGGTATTCACAGACTCTTCAGGGGAGTCCTCTGACTGACCATTTGGAACTTCTGGAAGACCATTAGAAGGTGCTGATGGTTCAGAAGAACAGTCATCAGACAGTTCCGGATCACTATCCAGAGGTTCCGTTTGAGCAGGTGGAGGTTCTGGCAGACCATTAGAAGGCTCGATGTGGTCAGCAGAAGGCTCTGTATCACCACTGATGGGTTGTATGAGCTCCAGCTGGCTATTGTAGGGTTCTGACAAATCACTGACAAGGTCTGGTTCAGGAGCAGCATCTACCGATTGTAGAGGATTGTCCTCAGCTGAGTCCACATCATCAACTTCTCCATTAGCACCTGTTTTTGTGTCTAGTTCTTGGTCATCACTCTCACCAATATCTTGTCCCAAGATGATATTACCAGAGTTAGAATCACCATCAGAATCATCACTCATGTCACCATTTGTCAGAGGGGTATCACAATTCTCTCCACCAATCTCAGGAATATTTGTACTCTGTCCATCATGAGCATGCTGGTGTTCCTCACGGTCAGGTTCTGGATTGGCCGCAACCTCTTCAAGGCTGCTTCCACTTTGACCTGTATCACTTTCATCACACACAGGACTCACATTCACACTATCACTGGCAACAGCGGACGCAGATAAGGTTTCTGGATGTTGCTGTCTTGTCTGCACTTCAGGACTACAAGAATCTGATGCCACTGGTGGAGGAACTGACATGTCTTTGTGAGAAGAAAACTTATCAATCTCCTTGATGATATGAGACACCCTACCACTCACCCCTTCAGGGGGAACATCTATCGCTGTTGGTGGGCTGATTATTTTGGGTTTTGGAAGTGTCGGAGGGGGAATTCTCTGCGGTTTTTGAGGAGCAGGTTTCTTGGCAAGGAGACTGTTGATTGGATCCTTATCCATGTCATTATTATGATCCAAGTTATTTGTGGGTGGACTTAAAACAGGACTGGCAATAATAACCTTATCTGAACCAGGATTGGAGTCATATGTGGCTGGACTTAAAACAGAACTGTCAATAACCTTATCTGTACCAGGATCTGATTTATCAGTTGGTGATGTAGATGAAAGAGGACTGATAACTTTATCTGCATCCAAGTCTTTGTCCTCTGAGTCTTTGTCCTCTGGATCTGTGGATACAATGTGAGCAGGTGCCTCTCCACCCTTATCTTGCTCAGGTACAGTTGGAACAGAAGAAGCTTCTTCCACTGTTTCCTCCACTGCCTGGACAGCAGGTGCTTTATTCTTTGCCTCCTTATTAATCACTTGGTATATAGGTGCATCATCCATGGGTCTTTGTACTGGGGGTGAAACTGGGATAAGTGGGGAATCAACAACAGGGGGTGAAAGGGAAGGCCCTGTTTCCACCTGATACACAGGACTGCCTGGGAAGGGTACAGAATATCCATCCTCCGTAGGACTAGCAGTAGATCTGGAGTCCGACATAGCACTAGGAGTTTCCTCTGGCCGAGTATTAATGGTTGGCACTAGGGACTGATCATGAGGGCTCCTACCAGACAGTTGGGCTCTCTCTGGTGTTTTTTCTCGAGGACTCGGTTTCGGAACAGTTTGTGCTGGTTTGTTTGGCACCATTTCTCCTGGGCATGATACTGGCCTGTCTATTGAAGGGCTGCGCACGTGACTCATAGCCTTGGGAGGCAGCACTACAGGTGGAACCTTCCTTGGGGTCAGGTGCTGAGTATGATCACCTGGATGGATACCAGCTGTTTGAAGGCTGTTCTCACTCTTTGTAATATTCACAGAATTAGATGGGGACCTACTAAGATCGGTATCTGTCTTTTTGAGGTATTTTCCTGAAATACTGTTAGATGATTGCACTTTGCCAGCAGTGTTACCACGCACATTAATCTTGGGAGGTGGTGGCCTTGGGGGAGCAGGACGAGTCGATGGTCGAGAGTTTATTGCCAGGTTTTGAAGTCGTGAGGACTGCCGGGGTATCCGGATCACTTTAGGCTTGGCAAACCTTCTGGGTAAAACTGGTTTCTCTCCTGGTTTGAGCTTAGACTCTGAAGGAGCTGCTGAGGATGTGGCAACAGTTGTGGGTACCAGTTCCTGCATAGGAGAACCTGGCTGACTTGTGACAGGAGACTTTTGACTGTTATTACGCTTAGGAGGAGCGGGTGCTGGTCTTTTAGGCCTGGGGTTAGAAGGTGTTTCCATCAAGCCTGGACTGAGTCTCTTATTGTTGTGATTGGCTTGATCCTTTCCTTGAGTATTCAGCAGGACATTGTGGAGTTCACTCTTGAAGCTGGAGGTTGTCTGGAGGTTGTGTTGGCGATCAGGTATTTTGAGCGGTTTAAGTGGTTTTGGTTTTGGTGGGGGTGGAGCTCTCCGAGCGGGCTTCGGTTTCGGATCACCGAAGGTTGAGTTGAAGGTGGAGTTGATGCTGTTGTTGCTGGTGATGTCAGATATGTCCTCCTCCATCATTCTACTCCGGTCTTCTGCTGAGCTAAGGACGCTAGACACGTCTGATTTACTGTCGTCATCTCTGCTGGTGTCCAATATCTGAAATACACAGGCAAACGTGAGGGGCTTGTATAAGATCTTCTATGTAATGGCTTGTTTCAGTTTAGGATCATGATGATTCATAAGGGTGATTATGACAATACAAAATACATATGTCTTGTTCTTATTTAACGAGACAATAACCCCATCTTGCTATACAAGCTGACTGCTGTTTATAACTTGATGTTATAGATGGGATTGAAAAAGCTGACCAGTGTATTGACTTATGTATCATGTTATGACCAGTGCATCGAGATATGTATCATATCGTGACCAGTGCATTGAGATATGTATCACATTGTGAAAAGTGTATTGAGATATGTATCGTATCATGACCAGTCTATCGAGAAGAATACCATATCGTTTATTGTATCATAACTAGTGTCAACATACATGACCATTGTTTCGAGAAGAGTATCGTATCGTAACGAGTATCAAGATATGCATCGTATCGTTACCAATGTATAGAGAATAGTAACGTATTGTTATTTAAACATTCAAATTCATTTATATATTGGAAGACAGTGGATGACGTTATATGTTTCCAAGAAAATTGACACCACCCGTCTTGCAGAGTATGGACAAAAGAAAATCTAAATTGTTCTTATAGATATTGATGAAACTTACTATTGCATTAGTGTGGTATCTATTTTGACAACCAATTGGTATGGTTTTTTTGGTCAAATTTGTGATTGAGAAAAAAATATATGCATCAAGAAAGTTATCAATAGTAAAGAGTCTTATCCAATACAATTTGCCAACATTTTCAAACAATCAGATTACAGCACACACTCCCTGTTGTTTTACAATAGGTAAACATGATAATCCATAAGATTCCACATGAATCAGTTCTGGACCCATTTGCACAAAGCGATCTTAGCACTAAGATGATCGTAACTTACAATAGTCGTAGCGCTAAGATCGCTTTGTGCAAGTGGGCCCTGCATGTCACAGCCTATTATTGCCTACACATGTGAGTGTGGTCATCCACAGCTTGACCCCTACTGACCTCGAGGTAGGACCCAGGCAGCCATCCAACCTCCTCCCCGCGACTTCCCAACCACCAGCCATTGTCCAGCGTCTCATAGATGATGACGATGTCGCCAATGTCGAAGGTCAGATCTGTCTCAGAGTAGCCGGGGTAGGGATGAAGGGCACGATGTTCTAAAAGCAGATATATGTAATCAAATTTCAAACAAATATCTCTAATCGTAATGAACAAACCTGAAGCTTCTAAAGACTGAATGACCAATTTCCTCAAAATGTTCCACCCAGAGTAATGTTAGCATGACGAGGATATTCATGTCATAAAGTGAACAAACCTATTCCAAGCCACTCCTGATCCGATGCCCTGGTTTTGTTAGGCGCCAGCTGATCATAGGTGATGGGACAGGAATGAGTGCTCTCCCCTGATATGGAGGCCGTGTCAGACGGAATCTGTGAGACAAGGAATTTATTGCATGTTTAGGCTTAAAAAAATAAAAGAATTGGTTCTCAAGCAATGGTTTTTGAAAATATAGTGCTGGCGGGCGGTGTCTTTTTTTTGTTGTACAAATTAGTATGTAACCAATAAACAGTTGTGTAATCAATAAAACAATTGTGCACAATCAACCTGGGAAAGGGCCTCCCTACATAAATGTATTCCTTGATGAGTAAAATACTGGAATACAAGTTGGACTTGGAATATCTAAGGATTTTTTATATATCTTTTTAAAAATTGAAATAAAAAACGAAACGTGCAGCAAACTTTATGATGATACGGTAAAATACTGGAATACAAGTTGGACTTGGAATATCTAAGGATTTTTTATATATCTTTTTAAAAATTGAAATAAAAAACGAAACGTGCAGCAAACTTTATGATGATACGGGCGGTGCCTAAGAACCAAGACTATTATTTTTTTTAGCCTTATATACCAGTGTAACTGGTGAAGATATGGCTGTTATACCTGAACACTTCAATGTGATCATATTACAAGTGCTCATACAAACCAGGTAAGCATTAGGGCCGAATAAACTGACCAATCTTAGCCTTTCTGCCTATGACACATAAACAATATTGACACAAACAAAATTATTTTGACCTTGAACGAATGAAGCTTACATAAATAACAAACCACACCAGCAATGGTTATAGCTTTATCAACATTATCTTTCAAAACACAGCAACATTTAGACAAGAACAAATTTCATAAGAAACATAGCTGTTTTTTTAATCCTAATAATATCTGACATGTTAATAGCAACCTATGACACTTAGAGTATGTGCCGAAGAAAACGCCAATTCCAATACATAACTTCCCAACAGAGGATGTAGTGACTGACCTCGTCAACATAGACGGCTGGGAACCACCCTTCCTCCCTGTCAGCTTCCTTCCTTCCATGCATCCACCCATTGCGGTCCTTCTCCCATGCTCGCAGGATGTCCCCTTCCTGTATGGAGAGCTCTCCCTTGGAGGACCCCTGGTAGGCAAACAGTGCTCGGTACAGCCTCCCTGAAACAGAAGCCAACGCCTTAACGTCTTCTCATATTTAGTTGTTGTTTGTTGTTTAACGCCGCCCTCAGCAATTTTCCAGATATATGACGGCAGTCTGTAAAATAATCGAGTCTGGACCAGACAATCCAGTGATTGACATCATGAGCATTGATCCACGCAATTGGAATCGATGACATGCATCAACCAAGTCAGCAAGCCTGACCACCCGATCCTGTTAGTATTTGTCTACTGAGAGGTTTTCCAAAATCATAGGACTGCATGACTAACATGTTTAAAACATTATTTTCTTAGTGATCTGTTGACTAGAGAAGAAACAATAAAATATCATACATGTTCATATATTGAATTTTGAGCCAAATATTTCATAAGACCAACTAACAAATAAAAGCCCTAATAATGGTGGGTTTATTTTTAAGTGAGGTGAAATCAGGTTTAATGTCCTATTCAAGATTATTGCACTTATACAGCGACATGCATGCACGTGTGTGTGTGTGTGTGTGACTGGTTGTTTCCAGATTAATGCCAGTTTTATAGTGCCAGCCCACTGAGATACCATGCCGCAGTTTAACATGGATATCCCAATCAGACACAGTATACTGACTCTTAGATTAATGTGCTAAATGCTGAGTGCCAGGCAGGGCAACAACAAGTACTGTACCATCTTTTAACGTCTGTTGGTATGACGCTCAAACCACTGACCTCCCCTCCCTGGGCAGCGGCTCTATCTCATTTTTTAAAAGTTTAACCCGATATGTATAATAAAGGCAAGACAAAACAAACTTACCTGTAAAGTCATCAATAACACAATAATATATGCCATAAATGTAAAGTAAAAATTAAAATTTAGCAGCCATCATGACCTACTGATCTCCATCTCAATGTCTTTAATGTCAAAAACGAGAAATTTGACTTTTTGTTTGAATTCTTTTAAACAGATTCTGGTGACAAAATTTGCATAAATAAACATTCTCCCTCTATATTTATCAGCACAGCAAGCAATACTTTTACACAGAAAAAATATCTCACCATCATTAAACCATCTAATATCAGCTGAGTTGAGGCTGGGCAGAGCTGAGGTGCTAGCATACAGAGGGGGCACCTGCAATAGAGAGACACAAAGACTAGGGAGGATCAGTCAGGAAGGTGCTTTCAGCCTGTGCATCGAGACAATAAGTCCGGGAAAGCCTGTTCATGGGGGCAATAAGACTGGGAAAGCCTGTTCTTGGAGACAATAAGTCTGGAAAAGCCTGTTCTTGGAGACAATAAGTCTGGGAAAGCCTGTTCTTGGAGACAATAAGTCTGGGAAAGCCTGTTCTGTGCATGGGGACAATAAGTCTGGGAAAGCCTGTTCTTGGAGACAATAAGTCTGGGAAAGCCTGTTCTGTGCATGGGGACAATAAGTCTGGGAAAGCCTGTTCTTGGAGACAATAAGTCTGGGAAAGCCTGTTCTGTGCATGGAGACAGTAAGTCTGGGAAAGCCTGTTCATGGAGACAGTAAGTCTGGAAAAGCCTCTTCTGTGCATGGAGGCAATAAGACAGGGAAAACATCTAGGATCAACAACATTTGTGAAGGGTCAGAACTGGACATCTTGGACATCAGGCTACTCTCATTTGAAACTTGAATGTGAAGGTCAAATACGGGGGACAAGAAGTCATTGCTTACCTGTTGCAGAATGAATACATTAGGCTTAAATAAATAATTCTATGAACATATGAATGTAATGAAATCCACACTACTCCCATGGGCAATTCCTGCATTTGTAAAATTCTCTCTCAGATAATTTACTGCCTACAACACACTACATTTGGTTTCCCCTCTGGAAACGATGGTTTTCAAACATTGTTTGCTGGTCCAGGGTACCGTTGTACAAAGAGATCGTAACTCGCATACCTTAACATAGAGTTATGAGCGCTAGGGTTGTTTTGTACAGCACCTAGCACTGGGCCTACGAGACATGATCAAGAAAGTCATTATTCCAGCTTTGTGGGCATGATATGTTGGAATGTGTGGCAAGCCTGTTAAATAGATGTACATTCATTTCTCTGTGCCCTTTTTGGAACAAACTGTCCAAGTGGGCCCACAGTGGTGGACACAGAAAGTCAGGAGTGAAACTCATGACCTTGATCAACCAATCAGTGACAAGGATAATATTTTCTGATGTTAACGATGTTACTCACGGGATAATCAGGGGACTGGCAATAGGGGGACACAGCTGTTGCGGACTTCTTCCGGTTGCGTTCCCGCTTCTTCAGCATGAAGGAGCTGACTCGGGACCTCTTGGTCTGTGGCCCTTCTTCTCCATCTCCAGCTTTAGAGAAGATCATAGACAACTCATTACTGTCACCTTACAACTCATGACATTACTGTCACCTTACAACTCATGACATTACTGTCACCATACAACTCATGACATTGACCACCTCCGCCTAAAACAAGGACTGGTCAGCTCAGAGTCAGTTTACTCTGTCTAACAGAGATATATAGCACTATAAAAAAGGTATTAGCCCGGACTAGTACAAGCAGCCACACACAGCCACACACAGCCACACACACACACACCTGCATGCACGTCGCTACATAAGTGCTATAATCTTTGACGCAACATTAAACCCTATTTCACCTCACATCATGACATTGACATCATCTTTATCATCTGATCCACCCTGATGACCCACCTGTCTTACTCTCCTCTACATAGCACCCAGGGAACCACCCTAAAGACCCATCCTGGCTCTCCCCAAACTGTGACCCATCCTGGCTCTCCCCAAACTGTGACCCACCTGTCTTACTCTCCTCTACATAGCACCCAGGGTACCACCCCAAAGACCCATCCTGGCTCTCCCCAAACTGTGACCGACACCGATGACCCACCTGTCTTACTCTCCTCTACATAGCACCCAGGGAACCACCCCAAAGACCCATCCAGGCTCTCCCCAAACTGTGACCCATCCCGATGACCCACCTGTATTACTCTCCTCTACATAGCACCCAGGGAACCATCCCAAAGACCCATCCTGGCTCTCCTCAAACTGTGACCGACACCGATGACCCACCTGTCTTACTCTCCTCTACATAGCACCCAGGGAACCACCCCAAAGACCCATCCAGGCTCTCCCTAAACTGTAACCCATCCCGATGACCCACCTGTATTACTCTCCTCTACATAGCACCCAGGGAACCATCCCAAAGACCCATCCTGGCTCTCCTCAAACTGTGACCGACACCGATGACCCACCTGTCTTACTCTCCTCTACATAGCACCCAGGGAACCACCCCAAAGACCCATCCAGGCTCTCCCCAAACTGTGACCCATCCCGATGACCCACCTGTATTACTCTCCTCTACATAGCACCCAGGGTACCACCCCAAAGACCCATCCAGGCTCTCCCCAAACTGTGACCCATCCCGATGACCCACCTGTATTACTCTCCTCTACATAGCACCCAGGGAACCATCCCAAAGACCCATCCTGGCTCTCCTCAAACTGTGACCCACCAGGTTCTCCCCAAACTGTGACCCATCCTGATAACCCACCTGTATTACTCTCCTCTACATAGCACCCAGGGAACCATCCCAAAGACCCATCCTGGCTCTCCCAAATTTGTGACCCACCCTGATAACCCACCTTTCTTACTCTCCTCCACATAACACCCATGGAACCACCCCAAAGACCCATCCTGGCTCTCCCAAATTTGTGACCCACCGTGATGACCCACCTTTCTTAGTCTCCTCCACATAGCACCCAGGGAACCAGCCCGATCTCTCCCCACTCTGTGACACACCCCGCCACCATCCGTTGTCAGCCATCTCAGTGACCTTCACCAGCTCCTTCTCCGCGATGGTCATCTGACCTTCCAGTTGCGCAGTGAAGCCATATATAACCCGATACACTCGGTCTCCTAATTCAGGAAAAAGAGGAGTTAATCTCTATCTATATAACATTCCATGTGTTCAGGGTTCAAACTCCTTTACAAAATTCACAGCCATGAATGCCAAACAAGAAAAGTACACTGACAATATAAAAAAGAGTAATAATTCAAGAGATGTATCATTCCAATCATGTGTACCTGGAAGATGCCTTTAAAGTCGTGAATCAAAATTTTGTGGATGGCAGATTTCCTCTGGTTCAATATCACGAGATAAACATACTTTGTTTTCAATTTAGAGCCAGGTTACCTTAGATATAAGTGCACTAAATTGAATTTGGACCAAGGACACAGTATGATAACTCACCAGGCTTAAATCCAGGGACAATCTCCGTGGGCGTCTCTATGGCGGAGGGTGTCTGGGGTACCAAGGATATCTCCGCCCGTGTGTTCACCCAGAGGTCTGGATTCTGGGCTGCAGTTTGCTGGAAACAAATACAACCAACTAAACCTGCTTAGTGTGTATAAACTGCATGGATTCAACTGAACACTGTTGTCCACTCGTTTTCAAATCCCAAAGATGAACACACATCCTTCCTTCTGGGGATTTGTCTTTGACTTGTCTAGCCCATGTGTCTATGACAACTGAATGTTCAGCCCAAAAGACAACTGCCAAATCTCCAATTGTTTAGGTGAGACTTTTAAAACACATTACTTTATCGTATCCGCTTTCCAGTTAAACTGCAAGACAATAGGTTACAACACAATACACTCGGTTACAGTAGGTCAAAGGATTAGACATGCTCAACTGATACTGCACACATACCAAAGTATTCACATAATGACTGGGAGAACAAAAATCATCTGAAATGTCTTTGTATTGGTTATTTTTCACCCATACCGACCAATATGTTTCACCCAAATATTGGTTAACCCAGAAAAAAAAGTCTGGCCTCAACATTAACATGATTACCTAGAATGAGTTAGTGTGGTTACCACGGTTACACCGCTTTAGCAACTTTACAGCAGTACCAGTAAAGGGGACACCAAAAACTGGATCAACATATTAAACATGTGGGGAATGGAACCAGGGTCTTTGGCCTGATGAGTGAGCACTTTAACCATTGGCCTACCTCACTTCCTGAATAGAGTTAGAACGTTATAGCTTCATATTCCCCCCTTCCTACTATATTCAAAATATTAGTCATATTGCGCAATGTGGGAGGCAAGCTGACAGAGACAGATGTTAACTACTTTGGTAAAGCCAGTAAGGCTGGTACACATGAACCAAGGATCATATTCAGAGCAAATCCTGGATTACAACCAACTATCAGCACATCCGCAACAACACTAAAAAGTCAATTCTTACAAATATATAAATAAAATAATAACACCACAGACTTCTAAATTAATCATTATCCCAAGAAACTGCTGACAACTATATGATTTTGTTGTTATTTATTTGACGCCGCACTCAGCAATATTCCAGCTATATGACGGCGGTCTGTAAATAATCGAGTCTGGACCAGACAATCCAGTGATTGACATCATGAGCATTGATCCACGCAAATGGGATATGATGACATGCATCAACCAAGTCAACGAGCCTGACCACCAAATCCCATTAAACACTTCTTACGACAAGCATAGTCGCATGGGTTGCCCAAGACCTATTCTACCCTGGATCTACACAGCTGACAACAACATGAAATCAGTGACATCCTCCACCACGATAATTCAACCCAAGCTCCATCTATCAATGACTGATTCTGAAATGGAAAGCACACACACACACACACACACACACACACACACACACACACACACACACACACACACACACACACACACACACACACACACACACACACACACACACACAAAAAAAAGCCAAACGGTGTTAAAAACATATCCCAGAGCAATATTTAAAAAGAAACAAAGAAGCCTTGGCACATACAGACAGCAGATAATGACTGACATGCTGGGGCACTTTATTCAAACATAAATTGTTTAAATGTCCCAACACAATTTATTTACATGATGCTAAGTAGACCCATTCACCTTATAGCCTTTCTTTAGGTCCGCCAATTTCAGAAGGTGAAGAATCTAACACAGAATTATTATTTCTGTCTGGTGCCATTGGTTGCCATGGAAACTTTACCATTTTTTAACTGATCCCAAGTTTACCTTTTTCGCACTCTTCCTGCGTCGGATGCAGGTAACCAAGACGATAGCCAAGATAAGCAGGACCACTACACAGACAGGTACGAGGATGATGAGAATGGTTTCCCTCGGCATCCCTGCAAGCAGAAGTAGCATGGTGTTTACTTGTGTGCCAGCTCAGTGTCAGGTCCGTCATCATGTCAACTTGAACACTCGACTACTCGTTCATCATACTCGAGTGTGTGGGAAGGATACTTAGCTCTACTCCAACCCATCACAACAAAGGACACCAAGAATAGGCTTCACAGATTGTAACACACTATTTAGAACTACAATCATTAAGCTGAAGTTTTGCACAAAATGTCCTGAAAATCCTGTATGTCTTTAATCAGTGGCTGACAAAATTATTCTGTGTCTGACAGTCTGCTATGTCCCTGCGGCCTGTGGTAAGTGAGCGGGTAATGTTTTATGCTGAAGCCTGCTATTGCTGCCTGTAGTGAGTCAATGATGTTTTATGCTGAAGTCTGCTATTGCTGCCTGTAGTGAGTGACTCAATGATATTTTATGCTGAAGTCTGCCATTGCTGCCTGTAGTGAGTCAATGATGTTTTATGCTGAAGTCTGCTATTGCTGCCTGTAGTGAGTGACTCAATGATGTTTTATGCTGAAGTCTGCTATTGCAGCCTGTGGTGAGTGGGTGATGTTTTATGCTGAAGTCTGCTATTGTTGCCTGTAGTGAGTGAGTGGGTGATTTTTTTTATGCTGAAGTCTGCTATTGCTGCCTGTAGTGAGTGAGTGGGTGATATTTTATGCTGAAGTCTGCTATTGCTGCCTGTAGTGAGTCAATGATGTTTTATGCTGAAGTCTGCTATTGCTGCCTGTAGTGAGTGACTCAATGATGTTTTATGCTGAAGTCTGCTATTGCAGCCTGTAGTGAGTCAATGATGTTTTATGCTGAAGTCTGCTATTGCTGCCTGTAGTGAGTGAGTGGGTGATATTTTATGCTGAAGTCTGCTATTGCTGCCTGTAGTGAGTCAATGATGTTTTATGCTGAAGTCTGTCACTGCTGCCTATTGTGAGTGAGTCAATGATGTTTTATGCTGAAGTCTGTCACTGCTGCCTATTGTGAGTGAGTCAATGATGTTTTATGTTGAAGTCTGCTATGTCACAGCTGCCTGTGGTGAGTGAGTGAGTTAGTGAGTGAATGAATGAATCAGCAATTGTTGTTAGCTGAGTGCTGAAGTCTGCTCTATCACAGGCACCTGTATAAAATTGATTCAGGACAAATCAACAAATTATTTGGAAGGGTAGGCAATGCTCTAAACTTTGAGGTCCTCACACAACCAGCCTGGTCCCACAGGGCACTTGGTGATAGTTCATCTCCCCAAGTGTCCTCCATCAAAGCACCTCGCCCACTCAGAGACTTATCATGGGATAACATTTATACTAAGTTATCCTATAATAATTAGACCTACATCAAGTGCTTTTATGAGTTATCATGGTGTAATATTTATACATCATTTCATATAATTATTACTTGCTAAACTATAATTATATGAAATGATGTATAAATATTACACCATGATAACTCATAAAAGCACTTGATGTAGGTCTAATTATTATAGGATAACTTAGTATAAATGTTATAGCATGTCTAGAAGACGCGCTCCCATTACCTTAGGCTAGCAACCATCTAAAAAAGCTTTAACTGAAACTACTGATATTTTATATATGCATTTTACCTAATGATAATTATTACTTGCTAAACTATAATTATATGAAATGATGTATAAATATTACACCATGATAACTCATAAAAGCACTTGATGTAGGTCTAATTATTATAGGATAACTTAGTATAAATGTTATCCCATGATAGACTACTGAGATCGGCCCATTGAAGTAGTCTGTCTCGTCATCAAAAGGGCACATGTGACCTGCTGAGTCTTCATCAAGAGACAGACATATATATGTGACACACTTTCATCACTACTCGTATAGATCGGGGTTAGAATAGGTCTTCAGCAACCCATGCTTGTCGTAAGAAGCAACTATGCTTGTCGTAAGAGGCGACTAATGGGATCGGGTGGTCAGGCTCGCTGACTTGGTTGATGTATGTCATCTTATCCCAGTTGGAATGGATCGATGCTCATGATATCAATCACTTGATTGTCTGGTCCAGATTGGATTATATACAGACCGCTGTCATTTAGCTGGAATATTGAGGAATGTGGCATTAAACAACAAACAAACTTTCATAACACACACTAGTCATGTGATCAACCAATCATGTTACTTGTGAAAAGTTCGCAAAATGTCTGCTTGTAGCTGTTTGAGAAATAATTTGTGAATGTCTGTTAATGTGTCATCTTTGTTTTATGTATATTTAGAGGTGATAAATAATGTTTATTTGTTTGTTTGTGTCCACTTGAGTCTGGACCAGACAATCCAGAGACTGATATCATGAGCATCAATCCACGCAATCGGAATATAGTGTCATGCAATCAACCAGGTCACTGATTCTGTCCACCGATCCATTAAGACACCTCTAATGACAAGCATTGGTTGCTGGGTGCCTATATTCTTACCCGGAATACCCAACAGATAAAGAATATTATGATGGCATATTATCAGAAATGTTTAAGTAATTCTATATTCTATTATTCAATAGGTTGTAGACTGAACCTTAGCCAAATAGTTGATAACAGCACCATAGTGAAATAGTTGATAACAGCACCATAGTGAAATAGTTGGTAACAGCACCATCGTGAAATAGCTGATAACAGCACCATAGCCAAATAGTTGATAACAGCAATAACAGCATCATAGCCAAATAGTTGATAACAGCACCATCATAAGTCAAACAGTTGATAACAGCACCATAGTGAAATAGTTGATAACAGCACCATGGCCAAAAAGTTGATAACAGCAGCACAGCCAAACAGTTGATAACAGCACCATGGCCAAATAGTTAACAGCACCATAGTCAAATAGTTGATAACAGCACCACAGCCAAATAGTTGATAACAGCACCATGGCCAAATAATTAACAGCACCATAGTCAAATAGTTCATAACAGCACCATAGCCAAATAGTTGACAACAGCAATAACAGCACCATAGTCAAATAGTTCATAACAGCACCATGGCCAAATAGTTGTAGGATAGTTGATTAGTGTTAAACAGCCCCACAGTTAACTGCTTGTAAACAGCAACAGAGTCAATTACTTGTAAACAGTCTCACAGTTAATAGCTTGTAAACAGACTCAGGTCAACATGGTCAATAGGTCCTTAACAGTTGGAGTTAAATTCAATTAGTTGTTACCAGCATCAGTACTGGTAAAGAGTACTAAGACATTAGCTTTAACACTAGTTTACACTTCTGCTTGGGCATGTTGGGAAGGGCTAAATGATAAAGAAGAATTTAGAAGCTCAATAATATTGCATTGTGGTGAACGAGCATTGTTCAGGTCAGTCAGTTTAGATGGTAACATAAAACTTGTAATCTGTTAACATGCTTACTCCTTTAGGGCAATATGGCCATGTTTCTGTCCAAAAATGGTCGTGCTGCAGCATCCAGAGACGAACTATAGTGCATTCGATTAATTATTGTTTAGTTGTAATTTTCTAATTACCATATTTGACATAATAAGCACCCAGGGCGTTCTCAAAATTAGAAATATGGGGCTCTTATTAGAATATTATTTTGGTGAAAAACAACAGAGTTGAAAGATCGTAAATTTCATGGTTTATGCTGACAGCCTGAAATGTTTATATACGACAGATATATTTTCCAGAATTTAATTTCCCATAATAAAGGATGCAAGTAACACACTTATTATACACGAATAAATAAGTAGTGTGTACATTGATCAATCGGAAGGGGTGCTAATTGGGATTGTTCTCTAGCCAATATATTAGCAAATATCTCCGTGGGCGTTTATTAGAGCGGGGCGCTAATTATGTCGAATACGGTAAACATACATAGCTGTCCGGCAAAGAATAATATTTTCAACTATTTTTAATATAATTCTGATTGTAGTTTTCGGCTCCGTACACTGAAGAAAATACACAGAAGTAGAGGTGCCTGCCCTATTTATGCCCCATCAGTAATATCTGGATCAAACAGGAGATTGACATAACCGTTATTTGTAGGAGTACCAGAATACTTTTCACTTTCTCGCTCAACTGTTACTTGATAGAAATCGGAAACTGCTGTACATGTTTAACATTAATTATGAGCTCTACACAGTGTACTTCAAGACAGGATGTCGTGTAATTCTACAAGCAACTTACATGCTAAACTTCAATTACACAGTTTTTAAAAAATTAGATTTTTATACTTTTTCCGTAACTGATAACTTTATCATCATAATGCTGTGATTTATAAACTAAAATTATAACATAATATATACAGTGAAATCACAATGGAAGGCAACTCTGCAAAAGCGAAATCAAAATATGAATCTGTGAGTGAGTGAGCTGGGTTTGACTCCGATTGGGACAGTAATCCATGGCATCTCAGTTTAATGCGGCAGGAAAGCCTGAAGTGAAACAGATCTCCGACATTTACCACTTTGGTGAAACCCATGAGCATGGGTATGTTGCTGACAAACCTAGAAACATAATCAGGGGGAACTATGGACCTATAGTCAGAGAATAATATCAGTATATCATGTCACAGGCTGTTGGCCAGAACCATGTTTTGTTACGAAAGTCCACCTGCTTCCAATGCCGAGTACTTCCTCTTAGGATTCTCATGATTGCACATGATAACAAGCACATTTAACTGTTATTACCCATGACCCTTTACCCTTGTACAGGCCAGACTGAGACGAGACCTTTGATTTCACATGAACACTGTTCCACTTTGAATTGCACTACAAGCATGTAGCATTAAATTAGATAAAACGACAAAAATATATTATGAGTGTTTTCGAGCCAATTTCTAGGTAATTGATCTATTTGGAAATTTGTCAGGAGCTGAGGGTCGGCTGCTATTTTTGTTTGCATGGTTGTCATTTTTTCCACATAAGCATTGGCTGGGTTAACCAGTGCCAGTTAATGTAGTGATTAAGTGAGTAAGTTGGATTTAACACTTATCGATCAGTATTTCAGTTCTATTAGAGTGATTAAACTTAATGTAGGAGGAAACTTAGACGTATGTCAGTCCTAGACTCGATCACATTAGACGGCCCAATAGATGTGTGTCTTTGTTGTGTTCACAGACCGCACAGGTGAGGTGAGGTGAGGTGGGGTCCAATCAACCAAGCAATTGCCCATCAAAATATGGAAGTGAGTTTGACCCTCTTTCAAGTTCTCAGCTGTTCTATTGTATTACTAAAGTTTACTCCCTACTTACCATTCAGAGGTTGAGTGAGGTGAGGTGAAATGGGGCTTATGGGTCACATGGGGTCACATTCATGATTATTGTACTTATATATAGCGACATGCATGGGTGTGTGTCTGCATGCGTGCGTACATTACTGGTACATACTGGTACTAGTCTGGACTAGTCCGGTTTGATAGTGCTAGCCCACTGAGATACCATGCCGCAGACCTCACTCAGGCACAGCATACTGACTCCGAGCCAACCAGTCCTTGTTTTAGTCCCTTAATGCTGAGTGTCAGGCAGGGTAACAACAAGTACCATCTTTCATTTTTTTGGGCATGACACAAACAGTGAGTGCACCACTGACCTTCACTTCTCTGGGAAGTTGTAGACTATGTTGGTTTCACTTAAATGCTTAAACATGTTAAACAGAAGAGGTTTTTATGTTAGACCAGGTTAAGATACTTCAGTTGTGAAAAATCATGTTTGCACTTTGCAAAGTTACTGCAACATGTTTCAATAACATATTGTTTTTCCCAAAAAGTAATAATAGCTAGTGTTTAAGAGTTATCACTCCATGGTCTGGTGTTGATTCACTGTCCCAGTCTCACCATCGTAATACATGTAATAAGTGCCACATGTGAGACTGTAGCATTGTCTGGGAGTAATAAGTGCCACGTGTGAGACTGTAACATTGTCTGGGAGTAATAAGTGCCATGTGTGAGACTGTAGCATTGTCTGGGAGTAATATGTGCCACATGTGAGACTGTAACATTGTCTGGGAGTAATAAGTGCCACGTGTGAGACTGTAACATTGTCTGGGGGTAATAAGTGCCACATGTGAGACTGTAACATTGTCTGGGAGTAATAAGTGCCATGTGTGAGACTGTAGCATTGTCTGGGAGTAATATGTGCCACATGTGAGACTGTAACATTGTCTGGGAGTAATAAGTGCCACGTGTGAGACTGTAACATTGTCTGGGAGTAATAAGTGCCACATGTGAGACTGTAACATTGTCTGGGAGTAATAAGTGCCACTTGTGAGACGGTAACATTGTCCGGGAGTAATAAGTGCCACGTGTGAGACTGTAACATTGTCTGGGTGTAATATGTGCCTCGTGAAAGACTGTAACATTGTCTGGAAGTAATAAGTGCCACGTGTGAGACTGTAACATTGTCTGGGAGTAATAAGTGCCACGTGTGAGACTGTAACATTGTTCTGGGAGTAATAAGTGCCATGTGTGAGACTGTAACATTGTTCTGGGAGTAATAAGTGCCACTTGTGAGACTGTAACATTGTCTGGGAGTAATAAGTGCCACGTGTGAGACTGTAACATTGTCTGGGAGTAATAAGTGCCACGTGTGAGACTGTAACATTGTCTGGGAGTAATATGTGTAGTACATAACTGCTGGATGCATGTATAATCCCAAACTGGCTTACACCAGAGATGATACTTGGGTGAGGTCAAGTGATTGAAATTGCATCACAATGCTTTGCAGACCATTGTGACATCAACGGTTACAATGACATCACAATCAAATGACATCCCCAATGTCTCTGCTACTGAAGCTGGTTAGCTGCACTTTTTACACTAAAGACACAGGGTATTAATGTTAACAAACTGAAAAAGTTGGATGAATGATGTTGGATGATGAATAGAATCTCACCCAAGTGTCTTTTGATATCAAATATATCATCACTCTATAATTCATGTAGCTATACTTGATATGTAAAGACTCTTGGGTGAGATTCTGCATATCTTCATAGTCAAGCATTTTCATGCATTTTGATTGCCCGAGTAAGCAAAATGGTTATTGTATATTCAACCATTTCGGTAAAAACATATGACCATACCGATCAGAAAAGAGGTGTTTTCAGAAAAAGTATCAATTTTAAAAAGCAAATATTTAAGTTTTAATGATTATCATCAGGAACGGAGGAATCTAAGATATCTGACATCTGGGTAGATGATCCTCATAGTTGTAAGAACTTGTACAGACTTATTACAAGAGCATGACAACAAAGCAGTATAGTGAGTGAGTGAGTTAAGTTTAAAGTATTTCAGTTATCATAAAACAGTGTTTCACCTTGATGTGGGATGCCACTTTGGTGAAACCCAAGAGCACAGGTATGGTGCTTACAAATCTAGAAACACAATAGGGACAAATTGGGATTTAAACTCATGATCATAGGTTCCTGGCAAGCTAAAGGGAGGCTACTCTGCTCAGTGAATTGTCAAAGAGATAATCATAGGAACAGAGAGGAAATTATTAAAACAAACCTGGGGGTGGTTCCCTAGCTCCAGTTTTGTTTTCGCCAGTATGTCCAGGAGTTGTCTCCCCTGTGAAAATCCCAGCACCAATGGAACTGGTGGCCATCACAGGTGATGCTGTTGCCATGTGTGACCATGTTGTTGTTTTCAAAACTTTCGTTGGCTGGGTTTTCACAGCATTATCTGAAGGCACATTAGTATATGTTTTTGGTGCGGAAGGCACTTGTAGAGGGGTGGACTTGGACGTTTGGATGGTGTTGCTGTTTGAATCGATGACATCCGCTGATGTTGATGCCATGATGGAGGTCGCAGACTGTTCGGAATACGATGGAATGGTGACATCTGTCTGTGACTGAGTTGCTGTGAAAGGGAGGCTGGGAGTAATGGATACACTTCTTGAAAACCCTGATGAGTATGCTGTGCTTGGGTTCAGAGGAGAAGAAGGAATCCAAGATGGTGGCATGCTTTGGGCAGTTGGAATCACATCTGCTAAGGGAGGAACAGCATTGCTATCCAAACCTGTCCTCGATATGTACAGACTCTCATCCTGTGAGGTTGATGATGTTGCTCTAATACTGATGTATGGAGACTGTAACTTTGATGCATTCTGGTCTGCAAATTGAGCCTGGGTCGACGCGACATCCGTAAAGGAAGTGGGACTGACATTTGTTAGTCCATCGCTTTGTGCTGGCACCTGGGATGAGGTCACAGGGGCCGATGGAGACAGATGGGCTGTCGGTGTGACCTCTGACCCTCTTGATCCAACAGATGTCATCTTGTGTAACTATTGCAGGATGCTCCCCTCATTTCCTGCAAGAATTAATTACAAGCTGTTATGATTCATAAACATTTCACTGTATCACTGCCATGCTTACTGCTTGAATAATGATGATGTATATATTTGGGAAAACTACAGTGTTATTAATTTTTAACTTGAGTGAGATTTTCATTAACTTGATTGGTTATTGTCTGAGTGAGTGAGTGAGTGAGTGAGTGAGTGAGTGAGTGAGTGAGTGAGTGAGTGAGTGAGTGAGTGATCGAGTGAGTGAGTGAGTGAGTGAGTGAGTGGGATTGGTGGGATGGGTGGGTGGGTGGGTCGTGAGTGAGTGATTGAGTGAGGGAGCAGCAAGCTTTTATGAATTGCTTTACCCACTAGGCTACCCTGAAAGTGAATTGAAGTTTTGACAGTTATATAATTTCTAGCAAATATTTTGATATCAATGCACTGAATTCAGCCTTCTTGTGTGAATACATGGTTTACTCATTATCCGGTACTTTGTCCATAATGCAGTTTTTAGTATTCAAAATGAAGATAGACATGTTTTCTCCAAAGTCGTCTTTTAAAACTATTGTCAGTTGGGTGAAAAAGGAAAGCATGAATGAAACAAGAAGTGCCAGCAACACTTCTCCTGTAGTCCTACCTTGAAGCTGCTTCTCACTCATGAAAGGCAGACACACTTGGTGGACAGACTGTTGTACAAATATTACTTATTTTTTGGAGTGAGAATTTTTTAAGTAATAAAAAAAAAACGCCTCTCAAACTAAAATGCATGAAAGTAATTTGACAGGAAACTTGCGCTTTATGAACAGGGAGTGAAAGCCTTATCAGTGAAATATTGCACTCTTAAAGTCTTGCCGGACACAAATGACTGATTAGTTGTGAATTTTGGTTACCATTCGTGTAAACTTTATTGAAAGTGTCGACCAAAAAAAGTAGTTGTAACATGTTTACTATTAGTATACCAAACACCCATAAAACATTTCAAAAAGGGGGTGGAAGGGCATGGGGGTTACCCCTACTGTATTCCCCTCTGAAACCATGTAAAACATGATGTGCACCATTTGCCTTCTTCTACAAAATACCATGAAACGGAATCTATAATAAACACGACCAACTATTATCATGCAAGGTAATTCTTGATGCTATAACTATAAATAGCTGAAATATATCTGTCAATGAAACGTACTGACCAATGACCACTACCTGGAAAATAAGAGTGAGAATCAGTACTATTGTATTCTTATCAAATTCATTTTTTTTGTATCAGGTTCTATGTTCTCAAGACATTTTTAAGACATGCATTTAATTACACAAATAATATAGTACATTGGTTCAGCAAGATTGGCTAGATCTGTGGGACAAATGTTAACATCACATTTGAAATCCTCCTTGGTTATCCCATGTCTTATGTCTCCAGGTTAGTAACAAACTTGACCCACTTGTTCTCAAAGCCCTTTATTCAAGTGAGTGAGTGAGTAAGTGAGTGAGTATGGTTTAAAACACTTTTAGCAATATTCCAGCAATATCACGGCGGGGGACACCAGGTGTGGGGTTCACACATTGTACCCATGTCGGGAATCGAACCTGGGTCTTCGGCGTGACGATCGAACGCATTAACCACTAAGCTACCTGACCACCCCTGAATATGGTTTAAAACACTTTTAGCGAACTTCAGCAATCCTCTAATTCTTCATTATTTCCATACTATTTAATTTACACAATGCATAAATCTATGGATCTACATTCCTAAATTCAGATAATTTACAAAAGTTAACTCACTTTAGAAATGACTCTAAAAACACATCACATACACAGCAATGGCTGCCCCACATAACAAGGATCCAATGGGTGTGCAATTATATGGCGCTAATTATCTGTTTCCCAAAATAATTTCCTTGCAACTAGAGCACTGGCTCCAAGGAATGGTGCTCACATCACACAGGAAATTAAACACACTTTTTGTGCATTAGCTCCCACTAACTTGAACATCTACAAAACATCCTCCATGCATCTGCTTCCCAGAGTTCCACATGCTGAGTGTGGCGGCAGCTAGCCAAATAAACCCCTTGTCAGTACTTGATAATTCATACTTATATCATTGGCAGGATTTGACAGATGCCTTATACGAGATGATCATTATCTTGATTGGATATTGTCTTCTGATCTGTATGAGTGGGTGGGTGAGTGGGTTTGAGTGAGTGAGTGAGTGAGTGAGTGAGTGATCCTTAAGGCCACTTTTAACAGTATTCTACTCATTTCAAGACATGTCAGCTTAATGTGGGAGGAAAGGCTGAAGAGATCTAGGTTTCAGATGTTTACCACTTTCATGAAACCAACGAGCACAGGCATGGTGCTGAAAAAACTATAAACATAATTGGAACAAACTGGGATTTGAACCCATAATCAAAGTGCCAAAGGGAGGCAACTCTGCACCGCAATTTCTGGAGCCTTAGATGACTGGGCCTGGCTGCCCCCTCTGGCCTTATGAAGATATGAACTGAGAGGAAATCAGCATGAAATCAGTTAGAGCTTGAGAAAGTGTCTTAGTCTTGCTACACTTATACCAGATCACACATATAACTCTCAATGCATAAATATTTAGTAAGCTTCTGCAAGGGGGAAGGGTGAGAGGTGACCGCTTCACCAGCCACATTCCCGCTCCCGCTCCCGTTAACTGACAAATCCAAACAACTGCCCCTGGCAGTTTGCTGATAACTTTAAAAAAAAGTTAAATAAAAACACAGTAAACTAAACCCTTCCTTCTATTCAGCTGCAACTGTCTTAAAAATAGAAATATGAGACTTTGTAGCTTCCCTATGAACATGTGTAACAGAAGCACAAGACTTGGCAACTTCCTTATGAATGTGTGTGAAAAAACATAAACCTTTAGGTAATTTGGGGGAGTGAATATCTCTGTAACTATGTGAGTGAGTGAGTGAGTGAGTGAGTGGGTGAGTGAGACAGGAGTGAGTGAGTGAGTGAGTAAGACAGAGGAGTGAGTGAGTGAGTAAGTGAGTGAGACAGAGGAGTGAGTGAGTGAGTGAGTGAGTAAGACAGAGGAGTGAGTGAGTGAGTAAGTGAGTGAGACAGAGGAGTGAGTGAGTGAGTAAGTGAGTGAGACAGAGGAGTGAGTGAGTGAGTGAGTGAGTGAGACAGGAGTGAGTGAGTGAGTGAGTAAGTGAGTGAGACAGAGGAGTGAGTGAGTGAGTGAGTGAGTAAGACAGAGGAGTGAGTGAGTGAGTAAGTGAGTGAGACAGAGGAGTGAGTGAGTGAGTAAGTGAGTGAGACAGAGGAGTGAGTGAGTGAGTTAGTGAGTGAGACAGGAGTGAGTGAGACAGAGGAGTGAGTGAGTGAGTGAGTGAGTGAGACAGAGGAGTGAGTGAGTGAGTGAGTGAGAGAGGAGTGAGTGAGTGAGTGAAAGAGAGAGAGGAGTGAGTGAGTGAGTGAGTGCTAAAGTACCCGTATCTCAAAAGCCAGCCCAGACTCATATACCCTATTTCAACGGTAACATGCCATACAAACAACACTAAAACCATCTAAATGTCAAAATGAGAGCAGACACTGTACCTTTTCTCTTCCATGTCAGCAACATGTGAAGTGTGAGTTATCTCCCCTTGTGTAGTACTTGATTACTCTAAACCCAACCTTTGCTCGAATACTTAAGAAGCTGTTACAGCCCCAAATGTCTGAGTGCAGTTTTACACCCTTTTGCTATATATAGTATGGAAAATATTAATATGCAGAAAGCTGAAATTGAATCTACAAGTACACTATCATGCACATAATATGTGTACCCAAAAACATTCTCTGTATTTAATCGGCCAAATAGGGTATATGGGCGACTATAAAAATGGTGCATATCTGTATTCCAAGTTGCTGGACAATGGTTACACACTGGCCATATTGACAATGGGTTCAAATAGAACTCACTAAATCATGAAAATATTTCCTCAAGACTGGCATTGCATAACATGATTTCAGTGGAGGAAGAATGACATAAACGTTTGGTTTCATTTTTTGTGATTGTGAAACTACAAATGTTGTTTCATATCCGGCTTTTGTCCTATGGCGGTCAGTCATAGGTTTTCCAGCTTTCATTACCGCCATGAAGGTGACATATACAAGTTCCATATACACACAATGTTGCTTTAGTTATCGTGCAAACCTTGTTAGTGATATGACCTTGAGTCTGACCTTGACCTAACAAAAATCAGTGTGTCAAGAAGCCTTGAGTTAGTATGGTTTTATGCCGCTTTTAGCAATATTCCAGCAATATCACAGTGGGGGACACAAGAAATAGGCTTCACACATTGTGCCCATGTGGAGAAGTGAACCCGGGCTTTCGGCATGACGAGCGAACGCTTTAACCACTAGGCTACCTCATCGCTCCCAAGAAGCCTTAAGTATAAAAAATAGGAAACAAGACGTATAGTTCACCAATAATATAACCCAGCTCCATTATTAAGGGGTGGCATAATGAACCGTCTGCTCTAAATCAGTGATGAACAACTTGCCTTGCTATAATTCAGCAACATACGTATACTCAGCGGCATTATTGAAGGGTCACCTACATATGTAGGGTGTCAAAGATGAACATATGCCAACAGGTCGGAGTGTGTTGTTAATGTGGTTAACAGTTGAAGAACATGTTGTTTATACCTATGTTACACCGACTGGATGGGGTTTTTTTAAACTGGAAAAAAATATTAAAAACAATGAAAAGTACAATGTTGAAAAAGCTATCCTAAAATACACGCCTGAATGCAACAAGTGCTTTAGCCCATGCACGTGCAGTGCATGACAGGTAACAGTCAATGCAGGAATATAATGGTTCAGTCCAGATGCAAATGAACTGCACTCTTGGAAGTTGAATGGGTACAATGTGTGAAGCCCATTTCTGGTGTCCCCCGCCGTGATATTGCTGGAATATTGCTAAAAGCGGCGTAAAACCATACTCACTCACTTGGAAGTTGAAAACGCAACGTTTAATCTCTTATTGTCTGCATGACTCTTTCCCTCAACATCTTTG